GGGATTTCATCATTGGCAGCCGTTAGCTCCGGAATCTCCGCACGGAATTAGGTGGTTCCAAGGTTGGTTATGTATATTAAGGTGTCCTTCTGACGGCTATCCTTCTTTTATATATCGTATAGAATTGAAAATATATTATACCGTACATTAACCCCGAAATTTTAGACTCTCACAACGCCTCCAACACCTCTTAGTGCCGTATACATACATCCAAGGCTGAACTCTCCTAGTCCGGACGAAAAACCATATAAGCCCACACAACTTAGATCACCATAGAAGCATCTTCCTGGCCTGCAAAGAATTTCTTCTGACCCAAGCACCGCTCGCTGGTGCAGCCCTGGCAACGCAGTGTCATCTGGCGAGAACACAATTCTCCCTTTTGCAAGTGCTCACGAGCAATATCGGCAAGTGCCTGGATGAAGACTGGGCTTCCGTTCAAGCTCTCTGCGCGCTTGACACCTGGGTTGTTGGCTTCATGGATGACTTCCTGATCCAGTTCGTAGAGTGTCTCAATGTGGTCACTTGTAAACGCAATGGGAACCAGGATCAAGTCCGTCTGTCCTCGTTTCACATACTCTTGAACGGTATCACTGGTCTGGGCCCCGAGCCATGCACTAGGTCCCACTTGGGATTGCCAGCACAGGCGGTAGGGGTTTTTGAACTTGAGTCGTTGCATTACGGCATGAACTGTCGCAGCAACTTCGGCGGGGTAGGGATCACCTGTGTGAGAGAGTGATTAGAGTAATTCTAGTAAGTAACCGGGGGACATCAGCTTACCTCGGTTGACAACGCTCATAGGCAAGCTGTGGGCTGAAAACAGCAACACGACCTTGTCACGCTTCTCCTCCGGGTATGTCTTGAGCTGAGCTTCGATATTTTGTGCGAAAGCCTCCACAAGACCAGAGTGAGAGGGCCAGCGGTCAATGACACTCCATTGGATTGCGCCAGCCGGCTCGGACTCTCCATTTGCGCGCTTTCCCTCGAGACGATTACGCCACTTCCACAGTTCATTAAGGGAACTGCCGGTCGTTGAACAGGAATACTGCGGGTATTGTGTAAACGCGACAGCACGTCCTCCCTTGCCATTGCCAAATCCATCGGCGAAAAGCTGCTCATACATGGTCTCGGTCAATGGGGCAGCGTAGCGGAAGGCAACGTAAGGCTTATGCGGCGCGGTCTCCGGGGAGATCTTATCCAATAGCTTGCACATTTCCGCGCACTGGTACTCGGACCATTTCCGAATGGGCGATCCGCCGCCGATATCCGCATACTGCTTTTGGATCTTCGAGGTTCTCCGGCGTGCGATGAGGGGGCCGATATACGATTGGAGTCGTCCTAGGGGAATCAAATCACCGTCGGCCTGTAATTCAATATGTTTAGCATATCAATTCAATGTGGCCATTGTAGCAAGTTCTGACGCGTACAAATAGTCTGCTCAAAAAGTCCTCCACCTCGTTCGTTGTGGAAGGTCCACCCATGTTCATAAAGACCATAGCCGTCGGCCCCTTGGAGCCTGTTGCATCTTGTGTGACTGGCGGTATCTCCGTCGCGAGACCTCGTCGATTGCATCTCAACCGAGTGCTAATTGCCGAGCGACCTCCAAGAGATGCGGTCCCAGTCAATAACTGTCGGGGGATCGCGAAAGGGCTGCGGAATGCCATGATTGGGTCGAGGAGATATTATATGAAGGAATAGACCCGAAAAATAATATCAAGGTATTAATGAGGAATGACAATTCCAACTTGCGTCCGACTTGGACCTCGGAGTTGTTGAATCCGGTTCCGGCGGCCCCATGTAGCTTCCGCCGCCCACCGAATGTCAACCAATCACCGCGGGAGAATGTCAGCAGCTTCAGGCATCAGCGTCACCTGACTTTCGTGTTGCCCGCGTCGGAAAGCGCGTCTCAATGATATTTTGGACCTGGTTAATTTACAACTTTTTAATCTTTCCAATATTCCAAGGTTCCCTGTTTCATAACCATGGCCGAAGATAGCTACACACGCGAGGAGGAGAATTACGAGGATGAAGAGCTCGATGAGACCGTGAGTATCAAAAGCCGGAGATATAGTTACCGACTGTTGACTGTTGCCTACATAGAGCTTTAAATCAGTCAAAGATGCAGTGCTATTTGCCATAGACATCAGCAGTTCGATGCTCACGCCTCGTCCATCGCCTGATCCTAAAAAACATAGCGATGAATCACCCGCGTCTGCAGCCTTGAAGTGTGCATACCATTTGATGCAACAGCGCATCATCTCTAACCCTCATGACATGATTGGCGTTTTGCTTTATGGAACGCAATCGTCCAAGTTCTATGATGAAAATGAGGAGGACCGCGGAGATCTTTCATATCCTCACTGTTATCTGTACACAGATCTTGATGTTCCATCAGCCCAGGAAGTCAAGCAACTGCGGTCACTTGCATCTCCAGCAGATGCTGATGATGACGTACGGCAGGTCTTGGAACCATCCAAGGAGCCAGTCTCGATGGCCAATATGTTGTTCTGCGCAAACCAAATCTTTACCTCGAAGGCTCCAAACTTTTCATCGCGACGACTGTTTGTCGTGACTGACAACGATAATCCCCACGCAGACAATAAGGGAATGCGGTCTGCCGCAACAGTTCGCGCCAGGGACTTGTACGATCTTGGTGTCAATATCGAGTTATTTCCCATCTCTCAACCAGATCACGAATTCGACACCTCTAAATTCTACGACGTAGGTTATTCGCCTTGATTGTATAGGGGTATACTCACATTTAGCAGGACATTATCTACAAAACATCACCTAGTGATGGAGATGCCCCAGCATACCTACAGCCGGACACCAACACTTCGACAGCTAAAGGTGACGGACTCTCATTGCTCAATTCTCTATTGTCGAGTATCAACTCGAGATCTGTCCCCCGCCGATCGCTGTTCTCAAATGTGCCACTTGAGATCGGACCTGATCTCAAGATATCCGTCAATGGATATTTGCTCCTCAAAAAGCAAGAGCCTGCTAGGAGTTGCTTCGTCTGGCAAGGAGGCGAGACTGCTCAGATTGCGAAAGGCGTCACAACTCTAATGTCCGATGACACAGGACAGGAGATCGAAAAATCTGACACTCGAAAGGCATACAAGTTTGGCGGTGAGCAGGTTTCATTCACCATCGAAGAACAACAGGCGCTAAGGAACTTCGGTGACCCTGTGATCCGTATTATTGGGTTCAAGCCACTGTCAGCCCTCCCATTCTGGGCCAATGTTAAACACCCCTCGTTCATCTATCCCTCCGAAGAGGATTATATCGGCTCAACACGGGTCTTTTCTGCATTGCAGCAGAAACTCCTCGATTCGGAGAAACTGGCTTTGGTCTGGTTCATCCCCCGCAAAAATGCCTCACCAGTCCTAGCTGCTATGATTGCTGGGGCTGAGAAGATCGATGAGAATGGTGTGCAGAAAATCCCACCTGGAATGTGGATTATCCCTCTTCCTTTCGCGGATGATGTGCGCCAAAATCCAGAGAGCACTGTCAACCGGGCAGGAGATGCGCTGAATGATGCCATGCGAGATGTTGTTCGCCAGTTGCAGCTTCCCAAGGCTGTATATGAGCCTTCAAAATACCCGAATCCTTGTGAGCCTTTACCACTGCAGTTTGTTGAAAATGATACTGACTAATTTTCAGCGCTTCAATGGCATTATCGTATCTTACAGGCTATCGCCTTGGATGAAGATTTCCCAGAATCATCAGATGACAAGACTGTGCCTAAGTACCGACAGGTTCACAAGGTTGGCTGCTTCCATGATCCCAGAAATTGCGGGAATGTACTGACTAAATGGATGCTCTACCACAGCGCGCTGGCGACTATATTCTTAAATGGGCCGAGGAACTTAAATTGCAAGCCTCTGAGATGTTTGGCAGCTCAGCAGCCACCTCTACGCTGGTAAAGCGAGGTGCAAAGACCGAGCCTGCTGGTGATCACCCATCAAAACGGGTGAAGGTTGAAGATAGCTCCTCTGGAGTGGAAGACGAAGTAAAGAAATGTTATGAGAAGGGCACTGTTTCCAAGGTGAGCATAATTCTCTCAGGTAATTGACCAAACTAAACTAACACCTACGTTCAGCTTACCGTGGCCGTGCTGAAGGAATTCTTGCATGCACATGGCCGCGCTACAGCAGGGAAGAAAGCAGATCTCGTAGACCGAGTTGAGCAGTACTTTGAGAAAAAGATTTAAACGCCGATTCGAAGTTTGCTTGGAATCATCTTGGTGTGGGATCCGGGGTTGCCGCAATTTGGGACCCGATTAATGAGTTACGAGTGTATCCTACTTGCCTGTTTACATATTGCCATTGTCATTTCAAACCAATCAATCTTCTTTATTCAAGATGCTACAAAATACCTCTATCAATCAGTCAACCACAATAAAAATCATAACCCTTTGCCAATTCCACCTACCTACCTAGGTAGGCATCAAATGGCGGTTAGTCAGCTATGGGGCTTCCGAACTGGATGTGGGGAAGTGGGGGAACCCCAGACTTGATCCTCAACATCTACTTGCAGATTGCTCTGGAAGAAAACAATCCTGGCAAGGAAAACTGATACAGAACTTTTCCTCGGGGTGTTTCTTTTCGGCACCCTTGGAATCGATGTCTTTCTTCCTCTGATCCATGTTCCTATATTGTGACAAAGTCACCCCGCCACCAATTTTTCAAGACCATTCACTACAGAGAATATGGACAGGGTACGGTCACGAGATGATCGAAGATGTCATACATGCAACAAAACATTCTCCAAGAAAGAGCATCTCACTAGACACATTCGTGGTCACACTAAAGAAAGGCCCTTTATATGCCCTGTCTGTGGGAAACTATATTCGCGGAGGTATGAGGTATCCCGAATGGCCAGTCAGTTTGTGCACTAACATTGTTAGTGATGTTCTGCGTCGGCATGAGCGAAGCCACAGTATTCAACTGGAGAGCTTGCCCACTGGGTCCCCACAAGGATTCGCTGCCGGTTCGGCGATGCTCACGCCTCCATCCGCAGCTGATTCGTTCAGGGCTTTCTCGGGGTTACCATCTGGACCAGCACCTCATGTTTCCCCACAGGTATCTCTAAACACGGATATACCGAGCCTAGCTCACACCAATACTATCGATTTTGGACAACCCACTGGATCTACACAAAGCGGTGTAGGTGAAACAGCCCCCAGTTCTGGACCCGGAGCATGGTTCCTTGAAGACGATTTTGATGTCAGTGCGCTTGACTTCTCAATAACCTCTACAATATCCGAATGGGCACAGATCCCAAATTTGTTTCCTGCTGCGAGTCTGTCTACAGGAGACCATGATGTTTTCACCCCCGTTCAAAGCTCTATCCCAGATATTGAAACTGCAAACATGGCCGGGGACACAGTCAAACGAAAATGGTTCACCCATCTGTCACCATCTGACGAGAACCGACCTAGTCGAGAATTTACCACCACGGGAACGAACTGGCCAGGTCAAACGAATGCAAATGAATCATACCGAGCTGGCCTATCTCAGAAACTCCGTCGACCTATGGAAGATGAGGCATTGCCGTCTTCGGAACAACTGAACCTTTTTGCCAAATTATACTTTCATCGGTTTCATCCTTTATTACCAGTCATACATGCTCCCTCGTTTCGACCGACGGCGGAAAACTCTCTATTATTCCTGTCAATTTGCTCCATTGGCAGCTTATTCGTCGGATCTTCCCGCGCAGTGGCTCAAGGCTCACGGATATTCGAGCGGCTGAACAAAGCCATTCTGGCATCATGGGAATCATTCCTGTCAGAAAGCCGACCAGATGCCCTGTCTATGGTACAAGCTGCTATTTTGGGTCAAACTTATGCTATTCTAGCTGGAAAGCCTGAGTACCTTGTTCTGGCAGATGTATTGCACGGGACAGTTGCCGCATGGGCCCGTGAAGCAAATCGACTAGGTGCTCTTTGCAGCCAGTCGCAAGATATGCTGAACAGCGCAGATATTGAAAGAAGCTGGCATCGATGGATTGATAGCGAGCAACGTGCTCGAGTTCAAGCTGCCCTGAATATCCACGACGCCGAGCTTGCTGCTTTGTATCATCACGAGCCAATTCGCAGTCACCGATTCCGCAAGTTTCCCCGTCTAGCATCCGATGAATTGTTTTCGGCACCTACGGCGTCTAAATGGGCCGTAATTCTCCAATCACTTCAATCCCAAAGTGAAAATCAGGCTCAAGCTCAACTCTCTCGGTCTCCCGATCCATTCCCGATCACAGGCAACGACTCCAGGTTCACTGCATATGGAATCCTTGAAGGAATCAGCGCTCGCCTCATAGATGCCAAACAGTCTCACGAATTCAACCATCTAGTCTGCCAAGATATATCCAACCTCTTGATCCAGTGGTGGCAGACATACCACACGACAAACCAAGATCCATTTTGTCTACCCGTTTTATGGCATTCCATTTTCATATCCCTGTACGCGGACATGGACCTCCTGGAACAAGCAGTCGGCCGCGATGGCAGGGCCCGAGCCCTGGAAGCATCAGAACCGGCACGCGAATGGGCCTCTTCTCTGAATGCAAGCCGCTGTCTCGTGCACGCATCGCTGATTGCCCGGTATCTCGAGCGCATGAGTATATCCGCCGAGCCAGCAATACATGTCCCTCGTGCGCTATTCTCGGCGGCATTGATATATCTATGTGTTGCGCAGTATGCGCCCAAACATGTCGTAAGTGCGGAGGCATTTGCGTCGCCGGAGATCATGTTGCTGGGTGATGGGGCTGCGGAGGTTGCATGTTTTCCTGGGAATGCTCAGAATAGTGAGCGTTCTGTAGTCACAGATTTGGATCAATTGTATGGCATGATTGACTTGCTACAGCGGGGTGGGCGTTGGGGTATTTCACAGGCTTTTGCGAATGTGCTTTCTACGGTGCTGGATGAGGGTAAGGGTGGTGTTTACGGATAAATTGGTGTTTTTGTTATTGTATACTAGGCCCAGTGTGAATTACTAATCAATTACTCACAATATAGCTGTTTTTCAAATTACCAAATGCTTATATACAAGAATAGTCGGCCGCATAAGCGGCCATGTCAAGTATTTTTTGGTCTTTCTAGATGTCTGTTTTCATAGATATATTCTCTCCCTTCTCAGTTTGTTAGGGAGGGGCATGAAAAAGGGGTAAGAGGCTTAATTTGTGAAATAGACTTTTCTATGTATACCATTTGTGATGTAGCGATGACTGCCGATGCTCATATCCGATTGTTTCTCACCCCCCAATATCTTGCGGGGTGAAGGTCCACTACCTCCACTATGTGGGACGGTTGTTATTTACCAACTTGGGGCAAATGATTGGTACCTATTGTGTGAGAATAATCTTTACCTAGATAAATGATGGGTGGTATTCGGTAGGTTTCAGCTTTAGACACTTAATTGCTACTTTGTTTCATTTCATTGTATTATCTCGATAGCGGTTTTCTTTTCGGAAGTCTGGTATATAAAGATATGTCTCGCACATATATCCGAACTCTCACCCTCTCCTGCGACTGAATTCTCGAGATAAACTATCTATTAGCCTTAATCCAATCACAATAAGGGTAGTTGTTGCTAATCATCACAAATCGTGGGGGATGTACAGGTGCGCCCCGCATGAGGACTATCGCGGGGGACTATAGCTCTACCCCGTAAAAACAGCCCAAATCAAGACCGCTTTATAAGTATAGCTATTCTTCTCAGTAAATAATCTCAATTGTTATACTTCTAGCAATCATAAAGCAATGCCGGTCTTCACTGAACACTCCTCCTCATCTCGGGACCTAAGAGTCCTACCATCATTTGCACCGCCGCTACCCCGACTAGCACCCCCATTCGAGCGCAATGATAAAAACGAAGAGAAATACGAAGCAATTGTGGTCGGCGTATGTGTTCTCTAGCCCCCGGATATCAGCACAGTATCCAACATCGAAGGAAAAAGAAAACCTAATATCAATCTAGGCCGGACCAGCAGGCCTAATGCTAACCCTCCTCCTCTCCCGCTATGGCCTTACCGATACCTCACTCCTCTGCATTGACGCTAAGCCAAGTACTCTGAAATCCGGCCAAGCAGACGGCGTGCAGCCCCGCACACTAGAGGTCTTCAAATCACTCGGTATCTCAACCGAGATCGAGAACGAAGCGTGTCAGATGTGGCAATTCGCATTCTGGAACCCCTCATCGGACCCAAAAAAGGTCATTAAGCGCACATCCGTCGTGCCGGAGGTTATTCCTCCATCGCGGTTCCGCTACGAGGCTACCATCCACCAGGGGCGCATCGAGCGCATCATGGAGACGGATCTGCTGCGGTACTCTCACCGCGGGATTGTGCGGAACACGAAGGTTTTGGATGTTAAGATTGATGAAGAGGGTGATGCGGAGTTTCCCGTGCTTGTGACTATGGCTACGGATGGTGTTGAGAAGACGGTGCGCACGAAGCATCTTGTTGGTGCGGATGGGGCGCATTCGGTTGTTCGGCAGTGTATGGGTCTGCGGTTGGAAGGAGAGTCTTTGGATCATATCTGGGGCGTGGTTGATATGGTTGCCGAGACAGATTTCCCGGATATTCGTCGCCGTTGCGCGATTCATTCTCCTGCTGGTTCTGTTATGATTATCCCCAGAGAGAGGATCTCCACGGGTGAATATCTCACGAGGCTGTATGTGCAGGTTCCGGAGGATGTGGCTCCGGAGAGTGATCAAACGCCGAATGGAGTTGAGGGTGTTAAGTCTGAGGATGCTCGGCAGCGAAGAAGTAAGATTACCCTCGAGGGGATTCTGAAGCAAGCTGCCGATGCGATCAAACCATACTCTATTCGGCCCAAGGAGGATGCGGTCGACTGGTGGGCTGCGTATCAAATTGGCCAGCGTGTCTCGCCTGAGTTCATTGTCAATGATTCAAAGGGCGTTGCGCGGGTTTTCATTGCTGGAGATGGTAAGTTTGCTTCGAAGAGAGTGCATGGCCTCGAACTAACATGAATCGTGTTTATAGCCTGCCATACACATAGTCCGAAAGTAAGTCCCCACAGCAACTCTTCCTCCGAGGCGAGGACATCACTAACTTCCATCCCACCAGGCTGGCCAAGGCATGAACGTCTCAATGATGGACTCTTACAACCTAGCCTGGAAACTCATGTATCACATTAACGGGCTCGCACCAGAACCAACTGGCCCCAACAGCCCAGCCTCGTTACTCGAGACATATCAGACAGAACGCCACGAAATAGCCCAACAGCTCATCGACTTCGACCGGAAATTCTCCACCATGTTCTCCGGCCAAATGGGCGCAACTGAAGGACTGACACAAGAAGAGTTCCAACAGGCCTTCAAGCTCGGCAATGGCTTTACTAGCGGCTGTGGCGTGGAATACCCGGAAAACATGCTAGTTATCCGAGATGAGCTGAACGATGATATCAAGAGCAAGGGTCCAAACCCCGTCACAGGAACGGACTACATATCCGGAATCCTGAGACCGGGCCGGAGATTGCTTAATGTCCGATTGCTCCGACATGCTGATGGGTGGCAGCGGGATATTCATGATGGTATGTCAAGTCAGATGGAAGTTTAGCGTGGGAACATCATATCTAACCAAATAACCCTCACAGATATCCCTTCCACTGGCCGATTCCGCATCTTATGTCTCACATCGACCGACCTTCTTGATAGAAGCAGTGTCTCTGTACAGACACTGGAAGCAGTCACTCTGCTTGAAGCGCAGTTCCCCAGGTCGACTATTGAACAGATTATTCTGCATCCCCAGCTGCATCGGTCCTTTGAGTGGAGTGACGTGCCGGCATGTGTGAAGCAGCAGGCTGAGATGCGCTTCTATGATGGGTCGGCTTTGGATGATGCGTATAGTATATATGGCGTAGATCCGGCAGAGGGCGCATTGGTGGTGGTTAGGCCTGATGGGTATGTTGGTGTTGTTGCTTGTCTTAGTGATGTGCAGAGGGTGGATGGGTATTTGAAGCAGTGCATTAGGACTGTCTCTAGCAATTAGTCCCTGTCTTGTTATTTGCAGGAGCTTGCTTGTTGATAGAATCGAAAAGATATCAAGCTTGAATAATACAATGTTTTGGCAACCTGAAGGTTATTAGAGCATGGAGTCCCTTTTGATAGTTAGTGGAGGACGAACATGTAAAAACCCGAATGGCATGAAATGTATGCATCGCTGGTTATAGATAGAAAAATCGTCTGCACAAAGTATGCCTTTTTTTCGCCTTCGTATACACCTAAGGAGACATCAGAAAAGAACATCCAAGAAGTATATCGGAGGGTTCTTACATATAACATCTCTAATACCATTTTGGTCCAAATAGATCAGATTTTTCAAGTCTTAGGTCGTCAAGGACAGAGGCCGCATAAGCGGCCGACTATTCTTGTGAAAAGTAAAAAAGAAAATGGTAAGAATATACATTTCATGTACTCTGATTGTCCAGAAGTCCATCAATAAAAGTGATGGAGTATGTTCACGAGGAACTTTGTCCTCAGCGCTTGAACGCAATTAAATATATATATAATAAAAGTAGGGTCCCTGAAAACTCCAGTTCTATGTGACCAAACGGGTGACCGAATTCCGAATGGGTGTTTGTACTGTCGCAAAAATTATTTGCACATAATGACGAAAAAGTGTGTGCGTGGTCCCACGATATATAAATACCAGCCTGGGAGGGGTGTCGCTGGATTTGGGAATGAATGCTCAAGCCGAGGGCGAAATTCAACACTGTCCGTAGACTTGACAATAACATAATTGTTCATCGGGACAACTGCAAAAGGCGGTTAGTTCAATATTACAAGGAAACGTGAGCGACCATAACTTACTATACACCTTCCATACCGAAAATGATATGCCACAAGAACTCCATCACCCTCCCCGACGAAGCATCGCTAAGTTCCGTATCGATAATCCATTGTCGGAACCTGATGTAATCCTCCAGCGGACGCTTCTGAATCTGATCTCGCGAGAGAGCGAATTGCGCGCAGCATGCGGCGCCAATCTCAGCAGGCTTGCGAAGGTATTTCTGGCCTGCGAACTCCTGCTCCGTGGACGAGGAAGCATTTAAGGGGGGCGTACTCGTTCCATCGAAGACATCCATCCAAACCTGCTCGGTGACATGGCCATTAAAGCGGTGGGCGCCCTTGCAGCCTGGATTCCAATTGCAGCGAAGATTCACATAGCCGTTCTGCTGGACGAAATCGAGTCGTAGGTTGCGTATGGCGATGACGTTGTCGTGGAGTGGCGCATCGACGTGCCAGGCCATGAGGAAGCCTGCGCGGTGGGCGTGGAGAAAGACGACCGTTGAGGGAAGTTTGTGGTAGAAATCGATTACATAGGTGAAGTAGGCCATGGCTTCATGGCCTTTGTTGAGTGGGGTCGTAAGAACGTCGGGATTTAGTCGTGTCTCATGCGAGGGGTTGACAGTGTAGATTGCTCGTTGCCAGCTGTTCGAAGAGAAAGAAAGCCAATTAGTCGTGGGTCTTCGGAGGGTTGGAGATCAAAATTACTCACTCGGGAAGCTCTTCTTCCACCCATTTGGTGTCCTCTTCTTCTAGCTTGGCCATAACAATCACCTTATCCCCCGGTGTGGTGTCGCCGGATGGGCGTGAGGCGGAGTCATTGCGGTCTAGCCAATTAATCACGTATGCGCCAGCGCGATATTGATTGCAGATGTCTTGTAGATGCGCCTCGAGTAGGTATAGGGAGAATAGAATGAGACACGAGACGCCAAGCCCCGCGATACGGAATCCACCTCTCATTATGAATGATGAATAAGAAAGATAAAACTCCGGGGGACTTTGCGGAGAGGTACCCGTAGGTGTGAACTCGGGGTGGAGGATTCACTAATAAGCCATTGATATATACTGTTTCCGATGTATAATAGTGATGCGAAATAGGGGGGCGAGTGATTGTTCCAAAGTATCAGGACGCGTGATGGCAAATTCGAGAGACGCAAAAGGGTACAAAATGAAGGCAAGATCGAAATAAGAATGGAAGGACAGAGGGGGGTAGTAAAGAAGATTAAATAGAAATGGGAGAATTGTACCCCGTACAAAAGTGGAAACTGGGCATATCAAAGTAAAATAGCAAAGAAAAGGGGAGCTTCTTAATGCCCTGGCGGACTTCGAACCCCGTTTTAAAATGTCATGGCGATATCATTGGCCACTGAGGAGGCGTTGGCTCAGGTGAGCCGCCTTTAGTTTGATGCCAAGGGGCGTTTGGGTTTTTGGTTTCTTTTTGGTTTTGGCTGATTTGAATGTGGTTGGGGCCCCCGAAGGGCCTCTAGGGCTCAAACCTAAGCTTGCCCCACCACTTTTCCCCAATCCACAGAATCCCACTTTTTTCACCTTTTCCACCAACCATTTACACCAACCACTTCCACCAAGCGCTTTCCAATATGCAGTTCAGTCCCGCGTGTCCAATCCCCTACGTCCAACAGCCCACAGAGCGGATAGAGCAACTCAAAGCTTTTCTCAAAACTGATTTTGGGAAAGCCCAGCAAGTGAACGTTTATGCTCTCATTCGTCTATATGAAACTGGCGAGCTCGGACCCCGCAAGCGAGGCGATCCCCCAATCTACCTTGTAGAAGGACAACGAGTTGAGAATAACCCCTGGGAAGATGCCTCGGTACCCGATAACGCGATGAGATGGTGTGAGGTATGTTGTTCAATATCCATCGACCCATTGGCTATCTATTATACTGGTTCATACTAATGATATCTTTAGACCTTGGAATATCAGCAAATGACGCAGCAACTTGAACTCCAGGCAAATATCATATAAACCTATATGGTATCATCAAGAGTCTCTGGCTAATCAAATGTCGTATTTTATGATGATTAACCGCAGCAACTTGCCCAATCTGTGTCAGCAACTTTTCCTTATTCGAACACCTTCCATATGCACCAGGTATATCACAATCCAAGCTATATCAATGACTTGAGGTTATTAACTAACACAAACTAGGTACACGCGCACGTCAGAATACCTCCGCAGTATGGTGGCGATTCAGACTTGACACGGCCTTTCCTAGTATGCAATGATACTGGAAGCAATGTCCTTACCCTTTTCACGTCCGATCTTCTTGCGCTTCAGTTCGATTTGGTACGCCACGGAGCAGCCATACGAGGTGTCGACTCTATAACCACCGCTAATGGCCCGTCTCTCCACACTCTGATATTCGTTGATATGCAAATCCTTACCTCTGCTTCTGTGGCACTTACCCCTTGGTTTCGAGAGACTGCTATTCTAAAGCCAGATAGTCCGGGAGAGGCACGCCTCTCGGGTGCGGTCATGCGTAACCATTTGTTCTTTGCCACTGCTCCTGGTAATGCCCGCCTGTACGTTGCGCAGAAGAAAGCTGGAATCATTCGTGATCTCCCAGTTCGTGATCCCCCAGCTTGAGTTCCTTTTTTTTTTTCTTGCCTAGCAATCCCTAAATAGAAGCCTACACGATGCCTCAACATCCTCTCTTACTGCAAAATATTACCAGGCCCAAAAATTATATATTCTCTTCTATTATATACGTTACAACGGAGTCTTGGGATCAGCTGATTTGCATGTTGCGTCCCCGTTTAAACACTTGTGAAGTACATGCTCAATGTCAAGGTAATGGAGATAATCAACAGTAAAATAGAGAAGTTTGATACATTGCCAGAGGACAACTGTTGCAGTCCAGCTGCTTTTTGTGTTTATATTATGCTATACAGAGATATTCCCCGGCTAATCACTATCACCACTCTCTTCTTCATCGCTGACCTCCTCCCCATTCGCAATCGCCTCCTCTCGAATCTTGCGCGCACGTTCGCGCTTCTTGTTCAGTAAATTATTCAACTTCTTTGCGACATTGAAGACACCCCCCGTTCCCTCGCCGCAGGCAGCGCACGAGGGAGTTTTCCGGTACCGTTGTAGGGCACAGGCTTCACAGAAATAGTGACCACATTTGGTGATGATAGGTTCTTGATAGGGCTTCAAGCAGATGATGCAGGCGAATGGGATGCTCTCTAGCAATTCATCCTCGTCGTCATCATCGTCATCCTCGGCGATTTTGCCCGCGCCTTTTCGCTGTGAAATCACTCGCCCGCTTAATTGCTTGCCCTTGGTGTTGACTTCCCAGTCACGATCCAGCTCCCATCCTGCCTTGTATGCCTCACGAGAATGGAGATATTTACAACTTTCTCCAAAGCCACACTAAATTTAGATGGATTAGCATTGATTCATGAAATACAGATGGGGTTGAGGATGCAACTCACATAGCCAGTTTGTTTCCAATCCTTGCACACATCGGGGGCAAAATCCGTCACTGTGATAGTCCTAACGTTGGTCGCAGCTTTGACAGGACCGAATTTCCCCGGTGCATCGGGGTTCTTCTGAATGAAAGATTGATAGTTGGCGGCGCCCTTGTACGTTCCGTCCGGCTGTGAGGCAGAGGAGACCGGTTTCTCCCGGGTTGTGCCCAATAAGTTCTTCTCGCTCAGGTTCTCATCATACCAGTCGGAAGCCTTTGTCGCATCGTTGCTCGAGGTCAATGGAGCGGGAACCGCGGTTGTAGGTCCGTTCTCTGTGCGCTGTTTCCTTGTCGCATTTGATGTGGATGACGCGGTAACAGCTGCATTCTTGCGTCGCCTCTTGATCCGTCGCCCTTCATCGTCATCGGATGATACAAAGTCGGAGTCGGAGTCAGAAGCCGGAGGTGGCGTCGCGGGCTTCTTGCGAAAGTTGGCTTTGCCCTTGGAGCGCTTCTTGAAAGCGACTTGGGGCACGGCATCTGCGACTTCGGTTTCTTCGCCCATATTGTGTATTGGGTATTGGCAAAGATTAGTCGTAGATGTTCAAGCAATTGTGTCAGATGCAAAGGTTGTAAAGATGCGCCAAGGTTTGATATCGAGGTGGCAATGGAGAAATGACTAAGCAAACATAATGCAAACAAGACAAACAACCTCCTCGCTTTGGGACGCGTTTGATAGCGAAATCGCAGCAAAACACACGCAGGAACCTGTCGAATCAGCACTTCCTATTGTTTTTACAGTTTTATAGTCAATTTAAAGGTCCCAATTTAGAACAAATAATATAGCCTAGTATCGTAGAATCGTAGATTCGTAGATTCGTCTCTCCGTCTGGGGTGATTATCGATCGTGAATCTCAAACACTGGCGCCATTTGGCAATAACACAACAGCACGTTCGCTCACTCTCTTCTCTTCCTTTTCTCCCCCGCCGAGTGATCCAAACTCGACCTATCCAATCACTCCCTACGCTCCCTTTCTTTTTTTCCCTTCCCTTTTTTTAGTTAGCTGTCCTTTCGTTTTCCCTTTTGTTTTTTAGTCTTTCCTTTATTCAGACCACTGAGGCCGATTCCAAAGGTCCTGCAGATCCCGAGCACTTTGTTGTGGTTAGTTGCATCTCTACGCGCGTGTCTGGCCAATCTCACCAGGAGCTCACTGATTCGTCCGAAGGTCCTCGGTGTTTGTTGTTTTTAATCGTGTGGGCTTTCCCCCTCTTCACTTCCACATCTTTCAACGGTGTGCCGTTTCACCCCCCCATCGCATCAACATTAGCGTGTGGTAATCTCGAAAAACCTCGAACAACCTCTGGTCGCTGGTCGGCTCGGCAAAGATCTCAACGGAAAACATCTTGCGACAACAGTCTTCGACCGAGTGCGGTGATTCGGATGATGCCCGCGGCCTAGAATCAGAACAAAGATTAAACCGCGAGTCCCCGATATCTTAACGGCAATTGTGTCCTCGTCATTAAGAGGATTCAGATGCCGTTTGAGGCCCCCGATTCCCACGTAATGACCGCATCCAACGCTGAGGCCACCGGGTCATTTGCATCCATGGAAGACCCCTTCGTTGCGAATTCTGGAAAGCCAGCTGTTCCTCGTGACTCCAATCGATACTCGTCCTTTGATACACAGCTATACAGCCTAAATGCGTCTTCACCAGCACAGGCCAAACGGGCCCTCGAGGCCCACTTGGCGGAGACGGAGCGTCGACTGGAGGAGGCTTCAAGGCTCGGAACGGCCCTTATCGATCAGCAACGGCAGCTCTCAGAGCAGTTGAAGGAGGTCGAGCAGGAGCAGAATGAGGGAGAAATGGGCCCGGAACTGCGACGCAAACTTGCAGATTTGGAGAAGGAGTACAACGAGATCGGCCGTGAGTCGGCACGGGCATTTTTAGCACCCAAACGTCTTGCCGGAGGCCCAGAGGATGCTCAGCTTGGAACGCCATCTTTCGATCAAAAGGTACTGCCTGGGGTCTTGAATCTGACTCTGGTTCGATTTGTCGCCGAACTAACATCGAGTTTTAATAGTCACCCCTAAGTCCCGCTTTGTTCGCCAGTCAAGCCACAAATTCCCCTAGCAAAGTCAGCGTTCCATCCCGCAAGCAGCGCAATCAACCATCGAACCGTGTCCATGATATCGAATTTGCGACTGAGATCTCCACTTCACTTTTAGCCCAGGTACGCCAACTGCAAGCTCTTCTCGCAGAACGGGATGAGACACTCAAGTTTGTTAATTTGGAAAAATCGCGACTTGAGTTGGAGGCAGAGGGGTATGCACAAAGAATCCGGGCGCTCGATGATAGTGAGCAACGCTACAAGGACGAGAACTGGGCGCTGGAGACTCAAGCACACGAGTTGATGGCAGCTGCGAGGGAGGCCGCGGAACGTGAACAACGGCTCAACAGCAGCATAACATTGTCAAATTCGGAAAAGAACGCCGCGGAACGAGAGCTGGAGGAGCTAAGGCAAACCAATGCGAGGTTACTTGAGGATCAGAGCCTCACGCAGAAGGCAAATGATGCGGAAATCCACCTCTTGCGGCGGAATCTGACTTCTGGCGATGCGGAAAAGTCTGCGCTCCAAAAGAAGTTGATGGAAATGACTTCTCAGAATCAAGAACTCGCCAAGGCAGTTGCCATGAGGCTCCGGGACCATGAAAACCAAGGCTCGAGGGATGTTTCATATGACAACGACGGCAATGAGCCCGAGCATATCACACCTGAAAGCTCTCCGCCACCATCCCCCAACAAGTTCACTCCTCGACACGGCCATCTTGAATCGGAAACCTTGAAGAGCTCGCTCGGCCATGCTCATCGCATGATCCAGAACCTCAAGAGCACAATTCACCGCGAGAAGACCGAAAAGATTGAGCTCAAGCGCATGCTGCAAGATGCTCGGGATGAGGTTGAGCAACGCCGCCGTGACAGCACTGCGCTGAACGGAGCCAGCAAACGCCAAAAGACGAAGACGGATTCGTCCCGAAAGCCTCCCCGCCCAGATCTTCTGGGTGCAGGCCGCAAAGAGAAATCATTTGTTGAGCTTCACGACACAGACTGGGAAGACAATGCCGGCCAAATCAGTCCTACCCAGACCCACGCTAAGGCGATATCCACTAGGGGCCGCCCTCGCTCCGAGTCTCCCTCAGGACCTAGTGACGTCTACCAGACAGCTACCGAGGCGGAGGATGGATTTGAAACAGCGAATGAGCGGGCAACCGCAACTGAGAGCGAAGCATTCCAGACGGGTGTCGAAAGCATGGCGGATGACAGCAGCGATTCGGCAGATCTTACCGAGACGGAAAACAACGTACAGACAACTCCTCGCCGCCGAGTGCCTTCTTCCCTGGTCATGGCCAAAGCTCGCGATCGCACCTCGTATCACAGCACTGCTTCAGCATCTTCCGATGATGAAGAATATGATAGAGCGTTCGGCTCTCCGAGCCAAATGAATATCTCCCGACCCCGTGTTAAGTCCAAACGCAGCATCTCGAGACGCATTCGTCCATCTGGAGAGGCCACATTCGCATCCACCAGTCGTCCTTCGAGTTCACGCGAATCCGCAGCACCCAGCTTTGCGCCAGTACCAGCAGCCCAAGAGGGCCAGAGCCTCTTTGCCGAACTTGGAGAGTTCGACAGCACCGAGGATGATGAAGTAACCTCTCAGGCTTCGACACCACGAATGGAGCCTGCATCGGGTTCACGAAGACCCTCGGATGCAATGCTGGATGCACCACCTAAGCCCGCAATGGTGGATTCTGGTGTTATGACTGAACCTTGGGAGCCCACGCCTTCTATAACTGCTGGCATTGTTGCTGGAGCTGCCGGTCTTGCTGCAGGAGCTGCTCTGCCGCATGCTCTCGCTGCACCCCAGGAAACTCAAACAGCAGACCCGGAGATCGTCGAAAAAACTAAAGAAACTCGTGATCTACCAGATATGGGCATGGCAGACGTTTCTTCCCAAGAGACCACGCCTTCTGCACCTAAGCGGCCTGATCTGAGTGTCTCATACATCACTGGGGGAACCACTACACCTGTGAAGCATGAGCTGCCCGCGCCGGAAGTGCCGGAAATGACGATATCTTCAATTTCATCACAAACCACTAATCCCATTCAACCAGCGGTTCTCGTACCTGAGCCAATCATCAAGCATGTCGATGTCATCAAATACGTGGAACGCGAGCCGGAGGTGCCCGAGCTGACCTTCTCCTCCATCACCACTCAATCAACTTCCCCTGTCCAGACAACACTTGCTGTGCCAGAGCCTGTGATCAAGTACGTGGATGTGATCAAGCACGTTGAACGCGAGCGTGAAGTGCCAGAGTTGAGCTTCTCGTCTGTCGCCGCTCAATCGACAGCACCTGTCCAAGCAATCCAGGCAACTGTTCCTGAGCCAGAACCCGTCATCAAATACGTCGACGTAATTAAACACGTCGAGCGCGAGCGCGAGATCCCCGAGTTGACATTATCTTCCATTAATAATCAATCCACTGTCCCTATCCAGGCAACGCTTGCTGTGCCGGAGCCTATCGTCAAGTACGTGGATGTGATCAAGCACGTCGAACGCGAGCTTGAGGTGCCCGAATTGACCTTCTCTTCCATCACCACTCAAACCACTGAGCCAGTCAAACCAACTGTTCCTGAACCGCAGCCGCCTGTCATTCAATACGTTGATGTCATTAAGCACATTGAACGTGAGCGTGAAGTGCCAGAGTCAAGCTTCTCTTCTATCACCACTCAATCCACTGCGCCTGTACACGCAACTTTTGCTAAAGCGGAGCCGATTATCGAATACATTGACGTAATCAAGCACGTTGAGCGCGAGCGCGAGGTGCCTAAGTTGACGTTCTCTTCCATCAACAACCAGTCCACTGCCCCTGTACAGGCAACCATCGCCAAAGCAGAGCCTGTCATTGAATACGTTGATGTTATCAAGCACGTCGAACGTGAGCGTGAGGTGCCCGAATTGACTTTCTCTTCGATCACCACTCAATCCACTACGCCAGTCAAAGCAACTGTTCCTGAACCGGAGCCACCTGTAATTCAATACGTCGATGTTATCAAGCACGTTGAACGTGAGCGCGAGGTACCGAATTTGACGATCTCTTGCCTCGATCCAGCATACACGGAGCCTATTATTCCAAGACCCCGCCTTGTCCCTACGCCGGCATTGTCATTCTCCTCTGTTCGCTCTGTGGAAACTCATCCAGTGAAGTCTATGCCATTTGTCATCCCTGCGGTGGCAGACTTATCTACTCAAACCGAGCCGACAGAGTCAAAGGCCGCAGGAGCCGCTGTGATTGTCCACGAAGACCAGCCTGCTGACGCTACTCGTAGCCGCACTAGCACAGCGAATAGTGACCATCTCGTTGGTGCCGGACTGGCCTTGAACGATATCTCTGGCAACGCCCTTCCTCGCTCTGCTAGACAGCAATCTAGTTCAGTGAGCATGGACCAAGGATCCCAGACTATCCTATCCTCTAAACAGATAGATCAAATCCTTATGGATCGTGTGTCCGCACGCCCGCTATCTTCCGACAGCCAGGTGACGGACAACTCACGAGAGATTGCCGCAGTCACCACAACTGCCGCATCTCCTTACGTGACACCCAAAGCTTCGACGCGACCTCGCCTTTCGCAAATTCAGTCTGCGAAGTCAACAACGCCGAATTCCCGCCGGCCTCCCAGTGCGGCCAGTCAGACATCTGGTGTCAGCCATCCCCCACTGCCCGTCGATCACCGGGAAGCTATTTTGGCAGCCGAGAAGAAGCCCATCGACGTGGCCCCGCCATCTCCTACCTCTGTCATGGGGCCTCCTTTGGCACCTGCCTCCGCCTACCGCATGAACTCCCAGCGCCCACTTACGCCAAGCGAACAAGCTGCGCGGGCTACCTCTTCAAGAACCGGTTCATCTCAGGCCAGAATGAGGAGAGGAAGTCAAAGTCAGATGTCTCGACGATCCTCAGTGTCGTCTTTCGCGTCTGAGCTCGAGGAGCGTTTCAATATTGCCCCTCACGCTGGCCCCATGCCTCACGGCTATGGACCTAATACGGATCCGCGCATGATCCAGGCGATTACTCAAACCATGATTGGTGAATTCCTTTGGAAGTACACTCGCAAGACCGGCTCATCGGATATGTCCACAACAAGGCACCGACGATACTTCTGGGTTCACCCGTACACCCGTACTCTGTACTGGAGTACGCAGGACCCGCAAACTGCCGGAAAGAGTGAGCTCCGTACCAAGAGTGTGCCTATTGAGGCTGTTCGAGTGGTTGCCGATGACAACCCGTATCCTCCGGGTCTTCACTGCAGAAGTTTGGAGGTTGTCAGTCCTGGCCGACGAGTTCGGTTTACGGCTACGACGAGTCAGCGGCACGAGACATGGTTCAACGCGTTGTCTTACCTGCTTTTAAGGGAGACCAACGACAACTGCGAGGACAATAACAGCGTAACCCTCGACGATATCAACGAGTTCAACCCCCCTAGCTTCCGGTCTGATTCTCGTCAGACAGCACGAATGTCGTTCTCATCTTACAATAGCCGCACCGCTCGTCAAGCATCCAAGCAACAGCGGCGAGCGGCCTCGGCGATGTCCATGCGATCTTCTGGGACTCTCGGTGGGCGTGCATCACCGGCGCTCAGCTCACCTGTACCAAACTCGTCGTTGCAAGTTCCCGATGATCGCCAACGTTCTTCGTCAAGACTCAGCACCATCTCCAGTTCGATTCGGGGGTCCATCGCAAGTTTGAAGGGACGGCACGGTCAATCTCCCAGTATCCACAATGAAAGTCTTCATGGCCAAGAAAGTGCCGATGATCTAAGAAATGTGATCGAAACCCAGGAACAAGACCGGCTCGAAAATGTCCGCGCCTGTTGCGACGGAAAACACGATGTTGGCTCTCTTTCTCGCACCAGTCGATACAGTCCGAGGGTCAACCGCATCCACTCACCCCACCATCACTGAACATCGTCCAATGTGATTGGCATTTGTTCGTAGGGTTTGTGGGCAGGTCCTCAACCCAGACTCGAGTCACTTATAAAGATAATAACGACGAGTCTCCTTTTATTCTGTCTCTTGTCCAACCAGCAACCCTTCTAATAGTGTTTCCGACTTTAACTTCTTTCACACGAGCGTGGAATGCCCCATTCTTCAAAACCGAGACTCAACTGAATTATGTACTCTTCGGTGATTCTGGATCCTTGGGCTCCGAAACTCCCTGGATAGTTTCACCCCAACTTCCTCCACCTTCTCTTTATCTACGGTCTTTTTCTTTCTTTACTCTCTACAGATCTCAACTCTCCTACTGTCTCTGTCTCTGTCCTTCGTTCAATCATTGCGTCCTGCTGGAACGCTTCTCCCAATCTGAGTCTGCTCTTTTCCTATATTCTCCTTTTATGTTGATAATTTCTGTGACCACTACATGCCGTCGTCTTTGTACTGATAGGCTCCGCTCTTTCTTCCGGACCATCTTTTGAGTATTTGTGCAATTTGCACCAGACCAGGATGCTAGATATTAGTCTATGTTCAATTTTGTTGGATTATGCCTGATTAATTTTGATTTCGTAAGACGCATTGATCATGCTCAGGTGAGCCGATATGATCATTAATTGTTGTTCATCTTCAGGTCACACCTGTGGAGCTGAGCAGATATGACTTGTTTATTTCAAACGCCGAGATCCCCGCAAAGCCTCTGGGTCACGTGAGGGATATCCGCGCCCTAACTATATAAACTTCCTCTTGTATTCTCTCCTCTCGGCATTCATTAGAGTTGGTTGAATCGGATTTTGAACACCTCTGACCCATAATGTCGACCGAAGCTCCGCCACCGTTTATCGGGCGAATGCTTGCTATGTTTGAGCCAGCATATATCATGACTTGGGCTATGTCGCGTAAGTACAGACGCCGAACAGACACCGAATGGCTTCGATCTCAATATATGGAATTCGAGGCCGGTGGATGTGCTTTATCTCTGCTTGTATTCGCCATACCGTGGATTTATTTTCAATCTGCTTGTGCTTGCAATTTGCTGTATCAATTTTCGTATCATCTTTTGTCTTTTGGCGGGATTCTCTCTGTATCTGTCATATATCGTTTCACTTCCTCACACACCAGCACCAATTCCTCGTCTTCTATAAAATAGTACATTACTAACTGCAATACTACAGACTACGCCCGAGTCTGCACCGAAGCAATCTTCAAAAATGGCCAGCTCTTTGCCCCAATTACCCAGACCGGGAGACTTCGCGATGAAGCATTCGGAAGATTCTGGATCGAGTTCACCAGTGAGTCACAGCCACCACATCTATCATCAACAAGCCCAAAGCGGAACCTCTTGCTCTTAGCAATCTCTACAAAACCCATAAAGAAGGCCCTGTCAAAATCTCTGTCAAAATAAATAAAAATAAAGAGATACACAAATCCTAACCAAACCACCAACACAGCCCCCCGCCAAATGGCCTCCGACCCAAACAACCAAGAAATCCCCGAGCCAATCGGCTCCTCAGCTCTAATCCCCCCAATCCTCCGCACAGCCTCGGGAATAGTCCTCGACATCGGACCAGGCACAGGAACACAGATGCCACTACTCACCTCACCAGCCATAACAGCCCTCTACGGCGCCGAGCCATGCAAAAGCCTCCACTCCACGATCCGGGAGAAAGCACTCGCAGAGAACATCTCGTCCAAGTACCACATCGTGCCTACAGGCGTGGCAGCCCACGAACTGATCCCCGCATTGCGGGCGACGGGGACGAGCGTCGTGGATGCGTACGATGCCGACCCGCGCGCGGGCATCTTCGACACGATCCTGTGCGTGCGGGTGCTGTGCTCCGTGCCGGAGATGGAGCGTACGGTGGGTGAGTTGTATGGGATGCTCAGGCCTGGTGGAAGGTTGCTTGTTACGGAGCATGTTGTTAACCCGTGGCGGCGGGCGAAGGGGTCGTTTGTTGGGAGGGTTGTGCAGGGTATCTATCAGGTTCTTGGGTGGAGTTGGTTTATTGGGGATTGTTGTTTGGATAGGGATACTGAGGCGGTTTTGAGGGCTGCGGCTGATGGGGATGGTGGGTGGGAGAGGGTTGAGTTGGAGAGGAATTTTGAGTGGTCGGCTATGCCTTATATTTCTGGGGTTTTGGTTAAGAAGGGGGTTTAGGTGTGTTTGAGTTATTTTTGAGATGAGTTAGGTACATATATGTATTTCATCAATGTCAAATGGGTATCTTTGTTTCTATCACATTTTCGATCGTGTCAGTGAGGTCGTCAGGGATGATTTTGGGTCTCCAGGGCTCATTTCGGACAAACAGAGCCTAACTTTTAATGGGACAAGCCTTTTAATTCATCATGGGTTGGGGAGAGAGGCGGGGAGTCTGTGGATGGCAATGCCTGGTCTCCACGACAGGAATTGCAAGCAGTATGTGTTCGCAAAGTGTGCTCTTGTGGATGGAACCTTGAAGAATAGTCTGTCTCGCAGGAAACCACAGAAAGCTGCTCACTGCCTTGGCTTCAAAAACAGCACGGTCGACGAGGGGGTTTCGGCGATTTTGAGGTTGCTTCTCACGAGACGGTAGACCTCGTCGGGTACAAGAGCCTTGGGAGGGGATAGTCCTTTGTATTACCGGGTTGGGTTGAACCCTGCTCATTGGTACTTAGAACCTCATGCACGGCTCTCAAACCGAACCACAATATTTTATTCGTTTGGTTTTGGCCGTCCAGCAGGCCAGAAGTCAAACAAATCTAATGCCTCAGATGTCCAGGGGCCTTGCTCTTTGGGCTCATTTTCCTTGTCGGCCGCGTGGAATGATCCTCCTGCCCGGATCTGGCGGGCAGTCAAAGCAGTCGGGTCCGATATCGATTTGCGCAAGGGTGAATCCATAGATCTTTTCCCGGTTAGCCTTTTGATTGTGGAGGGCGATTTGAACCCTGATTCATTTATCATCTCGTCGAGGATAAATTGTGTCGAGCTCGAAGGCATAAACTCTTCATTTGATATTGAGCAATCACCTGGAGCGGCGGCCAGCCTACACAGAAATCAGTTTAACAATCTTGGTTAATGGGTGGGTACATACTAACTGTTGCTCCGGGGTATTTGTGGCGGGTTCACGGGTTGCACTACCAGGTGGTGTGTCCGAGGCTGCCGGCGATGGGGTTCGTGAAGCGCCGGGCAGCAAAGCACTGTACATCAGTTTTCTGCGCGGCTTTCCGGTTCCCATGCGTAGAGCCGTCGTAGGTGCCCCAGATCGTAGTACGGAAGATGCGGAAGATGGACGCGGTGGAGGTGGCATGTTTGTTGAAGGCGAGATATTGGCGGGAGGTAGAACGTTGGCTTGAGGTGGAACATTGGTTGAAGTTTGGTTATGCACGGGTTCGATGGGGTTCACATAATTCGTGACTGCACGCACTGGCGCCTGTGCTGTAGATCGGACAGCAGACGACTGTTTGGGTACATTTGGGAGAGTGCTTCTTGAAACCGTTGGAGGGTCAGACCTCTGTTGGGGGATGGGATGTGACGCAGCTTTCGACGAATTTTCGCGGTTCATTGATGGTTGCTCTACACGCAAGTTTCCACGAGGCCTGGATGTTTCTGTTTCTGGGAGTACAGTGGGAAGAGAACCTCTCGATGAGGGGCCGAGGGGTCTTGGTGGTTGCATAGGCGGCGGTACATCTTTCGATTTATTGCCTAGGGGCCTTGCAGGTTGGACACCCTTAGTGGCTGTACGGACTACCTCCTCTGCTGTTGGTCGACTGGAGATTGGTTCAGATGCAGCTGAAGTGGAGACTCTTGAAAACGAAGGAGATTTGGGTCTCTGCGGCCGAGTTTGTTTTGACGGGACTGCCGACCTCTGCTCATAATTTGCTGAAAGCACATCAGTCGTAGAATCACCCCCGGCTCGGGGTGGTTCCTTTGTCACTTGAGTTGACCTTTGCCTTGCGGAGAGTCCTTGAATTGAATAGGTTGAATCGGTTAAATCAATGACCTCACTATGGGTACGCGAGCCTTGCTCGGCGTTTTGTTTCACCAACGAGAATGTCTTCTGTCGCTTCGGTGGTCGTTCGGGTTCTTGGATGCTGGAGGCTGGTGGCGGAGGATTCCGTTGCTCGTATGGAGAAACCAAATGCCCGATTGGAGTCTTTTTAATGCCCAGCAAATCATTGAGTGAGCGAAATGACTGGGACGAACCGGAGGAACGAAGAGGTGCGGAGGCGGAGGCAGAGGCGCGGGGGACTTGGGACGCTTGGTCTTTGGTCTGCGGAGAACCTTGACTGTATTTCTTTTTTTCGAATAGGGTTGTGATATCCGTCTCAGTCGTGCCCATTTTCTCAGTCACTTCAATCAGGACTCCCTTGTCCAGCTCCATTTCGTCGCCATCTTGTACCTCATCGGGGGATCGCCAGTGGTGGTCGCCGATAAAATTCCCCTGGTCATCGTAGACCATAACACGTTGGTTGAACTTATGATATCGAAGGTAGCCATCGTGCCATCGTTTGGACTTGCGGCGTAGGTCGTGAGTGTACAGGCAGCGAAACTTCACAACCAAGGCAGTGGCCTGCGGGGAGGTCGGGGGAAGATGCGTGGAGGACGACGGTGTGGACATCATGGTAGCATTTTGGAAGACCTGATTTGGTCATGACTGCATTAGAGTCGCGAAATGTAGTTTTAGTCGCGTTTCTCGCGTTGAAAGAGGAAAACACGTCCCACTACTCCACCGATAGTGGATCCTATACGAATCGGGCAACCTATTGTAAAGTCTGCGTTCTAACCAGCGTATTGTAACTTTAAAATTACCTTGGGTAATTATTTTCACGTACGGAGAACTTTGTACAGAATAGTCGCTTATGCGGCCTTTTCAAGTCTTCTTTTTAGTAGACTTTCATGGTAGTCTTTTTAGATGTCTTTTTAGATGTCTTTTGGGGTGGTCCTTTTTGGTGGTCTTTTCTGGTTGTCCTCTCAGATTCTTCTCAGTTATTCTTTTCAGATGTCTGTTTTCATATAGGTCTTCTCTCCCTTCTCGGTTTGGTAGGGAGAGGTAGAAAAAGGCAGAAAAAGGCCTAATTTGTGAAATGGACACTTCTATGTATAACCTTTGATAGTGAGAAATGGAGAAAGGAAGAAAGCAGAAATATACAAACACGTATTATTATTATATTATACAACATAGGCGAAGCAAACAAAGCTAGTCCTAATTATGAAATCATTTAGGCTCACTGCACATGGGGTATGCTGTAGTGTAGATATTGAGAAAGAGGTTGGCGGAAAGGAAACTTTTGAGGGAAATCAATCTTCCGCAACAAATTTAAGAGAAGAGATTGTGGGAACTGACGAATGCAGCGAGGTTTCGAGGCCATGTTTGAGGAAACTTGCGATATAGTTTGCAGTAGTATTCAGGCCTTGTTCAAGTGTTGGATAACAAGGAAGGGATAGAATGAATCGTTTCTTGTAGCATCGTCATGTCATCGTCATATCATCGGGCCCTATAAAACCACCATATCGAAGCTCTTTGTAAATAGCCTCTATCAACTTGGTGGTCAGAGTTCTTCCTTGCTGTTCATTTCGGGCTAAGAAGCTTAAGTTTTTCGTCAGGTCAGAGGTGAGGCGAAGGTCATCAACTTTAGATAATTAGCTTGGATAAAGGTAGTAAAAGTGATCATTTCCACTCACAGAAAGCCTTCGGTAGAGTGACAAATTGATAAGGATTCATCCAGGCTTTCCGGCCGAGCGGTGCTTCGTGCAGTCCAAAGCCAAATTCAATCTCCTGGATTTGCAAGCCCTCGCAACTCACAGTCAGTGTCTCCTTCGGCTGCTGTTTAAGTGTTGCTTCGAACTGTGGGAGGGTTGCTTGGCCGGTGCGATATTTCTCAAACTTTGACTGACACACTTGGCCCATTCGCGGTACCACTTGATATGTTGCCTGTCTTTGGTCATGTTGACGAAAGTAAACTGAAGACGCGAGAGAAAGGTGATATCTGAGACAAGAAAGAAAAGGAGGGAAGGAAGGAAGGAAGGAAGGAAGGAAGGAAGGAAGAGAAAGAGGGAAGGTTGAAAATATCAATAAAACCAGATATCTGAAAAGACTATCAGAAAAGACTAAAATAAAAGACTACCGAAAGAAAAAAAAAACACGATAAAGCCGTATATGCGGCCGACTATTCTTGACGACCAAAGACTTGAATACCCTGATCTATTTGGATCAAGATGGTATTAGAAATGTTTTATGTAAGAACCCTCTAAAGGTAACTATGCCTTTTGGATGTTCTTCGTAGATGTCTTTTCTAATGCCTTCTTAGGTGTATACAAAGTAAATTGTGCAGACGACTGGTGAGAGGTTAGTTAATTGACTATTATTTTGGGTATTATACTTGAATAGATTGATACCTTCTTCACATTGGGCATCTAAATTAGGCATCTGATTGTTCGTCGTTTTCAATTGAATATCAGCCGACACCGGGTCAGCCTCACTGATATTGCAGTCTCTGCGGGGTAGATTTTATTTTTCTAACCTCGCCTCGCAACGCTGCCAACACGTATACTTTCTCAACAGGACTATCAACTCGATCAATCCGGCGAATAATTCAGCTATTGCTACAATCTCCATGGGTGCTCCAGTCACAGCTCCGTTTGGCCAATGGAAGAGCCCGATCAGCTCTACCTTGCTTGGTGCTGACGGTGTTCAGTTTGAATCCATCGCGGTATGTTCAATGAATATCAAGATCGCTCATGTTACAATCTTTTAATGACCTCTTCAGACATCAAATGGAAAGGTTTATGTCATTGAGGGTCGACCCAAGGAGCAGGGACGAGGCTGCATTGTCGAATACTCTGGCCGTGAAGGACGCGATATCTTACCGGCCAAGTACATACTTGAGATCCAGCCATGTATGAATCCAGCTCTAATGAGAATTTACTAGATATGATGCTCGCACCAAAGTTCATGAATACGGCGGCGCGTCGATGATCGCTTTCAATGGGCAGGTTGTCTTTACTGATCGGGAGACACAGGATCTGCACAGACTTGATCCCTCCTCAGGTCATGTTGAGCAGATCACCAAGACAGACATTGCTCTCCGTTATGCGTGCACCTCCGCCATAGGCTCTTTGTCGGATGGCCAGGCAAATTCGGGATGGATCTTGGCGATCGAAGAGGACCACACCAAGCCATTGCCGTCGGAAGTTCGGAATCGGCTCGTCGCGGTGAACGTGCAATCCAAAGAGATTGTCAACATCGCCTCCGGCGACGACTTCTACAACGCTGCTCAGTTTTCCCCGGATGGCAGCAGGATATGTTGGACCCAGTGGTCTCATCCAGATATGCCCTGGACAGGAGCCCGCCTGTATGTGGCCAAGTGGAACAATGGTCAGGTCACAGATGTTCACCATGTGTCTGGTGTGCCTAAGAAAGAAAGTGTTAGTCAGCCTCGATGGGGCTTTGATAACACATTGTACTTCACAAGCGATTGTTCGGGTTATTACCAGCTCTATCGGTCTCGCGTCGGCACTTTGGAATGCCAACGGATGCCTCTGCATGGCCTGGAAGAAGTGGAATTTTCGCAGCCAGACTGGCGTCTAGGAAAGTACGATTGATTTTGACTGGAGGAAGCAGCTGTTGATTTGATGGCTGACCTATATTTTCCTTTTCCAGCTGCACGTACGTGTGTTTGACTCCAACTTCAATGATCGCATCGTACACAAAGAATGCTCGATGGAGCTTCATACTGATAGATCTGTCGAACGACACCTGGCAAGACATGAATGTGCCGGTGACAGACACGATTATTTTGGCAGATAATCCCCTCTCAGACACAAAAATAGCCCTTCTTGGTTCTAGTGAGACAAGCTTCAGCACCGTCTTTACATTGGACATTGCCGACACCGTCAAGGTCAATGCACTCAAGGTAGCTTCCGAGCTCCCTATGCCAAGTTCTCTTGTTTCCAAGCCAGAGCACATATCTTTTCCAAGAGTCCACGGTAAGACCTTGAAAGGAATGGCACATGCCATCTTCTACCCGCCTCAGAACCCAGATTATCAGTCACCTTCTGGAGCGCTGCCACCTTTGATCGTCTGTGTCCATGGCGGGCCAACGTCCCAAACCGGAACCGGCCTGAATACTACGGACCAATACTGGACTTCTCGAGGTTACGCCGTTGTTTGGGTAAATTATGGAGGTAGCTCCGGATATGGCAGAGCATACCGGGATGATTTGAATGGGCAATGGGGTGAGAATTTCGCCCTTCTCGTGACAGATTCATTCAATTCCCTCCCGATGCTGACAAAATATCATTAGGAATTCTTGACACGGCAGATGCTGCTAGCTGCGTGTCATTCCTAGCATCCACTGGCCGAATTGACCAGAACGGAGTCGGCATTCGCGGCCAAAGTGCGGGCGGATACATCGTACTACAAGCTCTGTGTGACTACGCCAATCTCTTTGCCGGTGGCAATTCTCTGTACGGGATAGCCAATGTCAAGGCTCTCTGTGAGGATACTCATAAGTTCGAGAGCCATTACGCATTCGCCTTGCTATTTGATCCTGATGCGGATGAAGCCGAGAAAACCCGCATTTTCCGTGAACGCAGTCCCTGTTTCAAGGCAGACAAAATCACTGCGCCGCTATTGCTGCTTCAAGGTGACGAGGATTTGGTCGTTCCTATGAACCAGGCAGAGGAAATGGTCGAAATGATGAAGAAGGCTGGTCGTGATGTCAAGTTGGTGGTTTTCCAAGGAGAAGGGCATGGATTCCGGCAGGCGAAGAGTCGGATAACAGCCGTGGAGGAGGAGGAGAAATGGTGGAAGAAAGGTTTGTTGAAGATGGATACAGCGGAGCTTTGAGACAATCATGACATTGCGGTTTTTGGCCCGGAACATGAGTCAGCTCATAGTTAATGATACAATTCATGATACACTTGCTATGAATGTTATCAATCAAATTTGAATTGAATCTGAATTTCAGTGGCTACATGGTCAGAACCAACCTCGAATAACTAATTGAGAGGAAGTCTAAGTAGTCTGACCTGAAAAGTAAGGCAAAAACAAGCAAACTAAGAACCAATTAGAATTAATTAGGTGACCGCTCTTCGAAGCGTCCCCTCTCACCTCTCACCACATATTATCATTATGGATATCCGACGCCAATTCCCTAACGTGCACTGGATCTCGAGAGGAGGTATCTCTTTCGTTTACGAGGTCCACCCTCGCATTGCGCTCAAGGTCCCGAAGTCAGGAGAATTTGAAAGGGAACATTTCGATAAAGAGCTCGAGATATACCGGATCTTCTCCCAGAATCCGCCTTGCCGTTCTATTGTGCAGTGTTTCCTCATTTCAGGCAACGGCATCTTCCTCGAGTACATGAGAGGTGCGACCCCTATTAGCAGCTAGCAGGTTTATCTACTAACTAATTACTCTAAATAGATATGTCGCTTTTCCATAGGATACAAGAAAACCATATCCTGGATAGACAAACTATGGTGGTTACTAAAGTGGAAAAGTTGGTACCCCTACCCCCACGAAAGGAATGGATGAACGATCTTGCTCAAGCCGTCGCATTCCTGGAATCACTTAACCTCGCTCATGGTGACCTACGACCTGAAAATATCCTACTTGATCGTGACCGACTAAAACTATCCGACTTTGATTCTGCAGCGAAAATCGGAACGAAGTACGAAGCTTGTATGGCTCCATATGGCAGAATATTTAATAACAACGAGACGGACCAAGGAAATCGTGGAACTCCTGGCTTCCTCGGTTCTCGGACAGAACAGTTCGCCCTCGGTTCCCTGTACTATTTGATAAACTACGGATTTGAAGTCTATGGAGATCGATGTCTTACCGATGACCCTTACGATCATGGTCCTAAGGTCGTGGACTTGCTACAGAATATGGATTTCCCGAAACTGGATGGCAATCCACTGATTGATAAAATCATCAGCAAATGTTGGCATAACCAATATGTCACAGTTGCAGAACTGGCGTTGGATACAAAATGGCTTTTGAATGAAGGAACCGAAGCGGAAGGAAGTAACGGAGTGGGAAACAGAGAGGAAGGAAATAGAGAGGAATTTCTGTGGCAAAAGGAATTTTGTCAGGACCTGGAGAGACGTAGACTTCTCGACTTGCTTTCTTCGGGTGAGCCTGAGCAGATTGGTTTTACTTTCGATTGGTATAGGCATAGTATCTGAGGTGAACTGATTGAGGAGGCGTTCTATCGATGAATATGATGGTTACAAATCTTGGAGTTTTTGTATTTTCATTGAATATGATTTGGAAAAGAGTAATATCTTGTGGAATGTGATTTATTTTTGGTGCTGTTCAGTTAGTTTGCTATATATCCTTGGAATTCCTTACATTGGGTGGTACAAGTGACTTTGTCCTTATTGGGAAACTGAGGGTTAGAGTACTATAACGAATAATTGCTGTGCCACTGACTTCTAACGAGGTAAGATCAAGGTTTAAGATCAAAGTTTAAGATGAGAGTCACAACTTTCCCATTTGCTATGAGCTTGACTGAATCCACCTTTCAGGTCAGATAATCCCGATTCTAACTAATAAATATGGAATTTGTTCTATGGGTCGCTAAAGATACGGCAAACGGTGTTCTATAGTTAGCTGGTAAAAACGGCCGGGGCTATACCAAGACGGGGAGAGGCTGACGGCGCTATACTCAGAATGGAAGGGGGCCATTTCTGGTGACCCGCTCGCCGTTGCATCGTATCGTTTAGATTAAATAATCAAGAGAAAACAAATATCTACAAGTATAAAACCTATGAAAATCAAGAGTTGCCCCACGATGTGGGTACAGATCACGTGTGAGATGAGGTTCGATAGGTAGATAGAGTTCTTATATCAGCAGGTTAAGTTCATTCATCCATGGATTTCAAGGTCAATTTCAATGTTTACATCTTATTTCAGCTTCTCTTGTATGTTTCAAGGTTGGACATTGGAATTTTATGACTCAAGCGGAAGCTAATACATAGCCCCCTCAAAGTACTACACGTATATCCTTGTTGTAGGACCCCATGTACTCCGTATTGATGTATGGGATAAGATGGTTATTACCCCTGATTTAATATGATTTGTCTAAAGTGGAGAAGCGGTTCCGAGCGGTGATTGACATAGCTCTTTCCCGAAAGGTCAGTACTTATGGAGGGGGCCGTGGGGCGAGAGCCGCATGAAAGGCTGAAACACTTTGGGGCCGAGTTATGTGTCATGAGGGGATGGGACGTTGGGCCCCCCTTCCAAGGCTCCAAGGTTCTTTCAATGTTCCTTCCCAATCACTTTACATTTTGATTTGAATAATCTGGCAATGCTTAATATTGACCTGAATTAAAGTTCTTTCTTGTTTCAAGCACTGTGCCCGTGTGTCACGCTTCTATTATCATTCCTCTCTCCCCGTTTCGTGTTCCCCACAACCTTCTGAGAGCTCCCTCATCGCCCACCATGCAGAACATGTCGAGGCGCTTTGGTCGCATGACGACGAAGTCGTCTGCGGATGACAGCCAAATTGCTGTGCTCCTAAAAGATTTCGATGATGCAGATATGCTTCTGGGAAAGGTAGACAATATTACCCCGATGACGCGCGTTCTGTCGCATTTCCTAATACGTGTTATTTGATCAGATTGTGGAATCTACCCAAGCCTGGCGTGATGCTTGGGTCTCTATCGCAACTTACCAGAGTCGCCTTGTCGATGAGTTCGACGGCCTCTACGGTCCTATCATTGGCTCATCAGAAACCCCATCCAACCACAAAGCCGTGGATACAGACCCCGTCAGATTATCCCGGACAAACCGACTGCGGAAGGAATACGATGAGCTACGTACCGACCTTGTGGAGGAACTTGGTGCTGTCGATACTCGCATGTCCCAGCCAGCTGCACAGGCTAAAGAATCCCTTGCGCCAATGAAAAAGACGATCAAAAAGCGAAATGACAAGAAGGTACACAATGAAGGTTGACAGTTCTTGGTGAATTAGTTGTCGCTAATATCTCGACTCCTAGACCGACTTTGAAATCTCCCAAGCGCGTGTTGATAGCCTCATGAAAAAGCCAAAGCGCACCGATCGCGAAAATGTGAGCCTCGCCAAAGCGGAGATAGAACTTGCCAATACGAAAGAGGTACAAACCCCAATGTCCAACATTACGCATAGAATAAGAAACACTAATCGCCATCCAGGCTTATCAAGCTGCCGACCATGATCTACGACAGCGACTCCCAACATTGGTCGCTCTCATATTCTCCCTGACGCCATACATCCTCGAAGCGCAGGTCGATATCCAAAACCGCATGCTTGCACACTACTACACAGTGCTTCACACTTACTGTGAAGAAGAGGGATTCCCCTCCCCGCCACCAGCCATGGAACAAGTTGTCCAAGACTGGGAGTATGCCTTCAAACCCGTGCAAGCCGAAATAGAAAGCTTCGGTTCCCTGACTCAAGGCAAGGCCATGCGTCGAGCCGCAGCCGACCAGGAGAATAAGAAACGCCCCTCAATTGGAAATCGCATTCACAGCACTGCCTCATCGAGCTCGCTCTCAGCTTCTTTCCGCCGGGGATCACAAACACCAGGATCGTCGAGCCAGACTCCAAGTGTACCAGAATACCCTCCCTCTCCGCCGCTATCAACAATTAGCCAGAGGAGCAACGCAATTCCTGTTGGAAACACCGCAGGATCCAAGCCCCTCTCGACGGGCGGCGACTACTTCGACCCCCCTCGTCCCACATTTATGCCGAGCCCCCAACCCACTCCCATTCCATCAGGAGTGGTGAGATCACCCGCCGGCCCAAACATAGACGCTTTCCAGGCCAAGGTATCGCCCATGGCTGCCGCCCTAGGGAAGAAGAGACCCCCGCCACCACCGCCCGCAGCTTCCCGTCCAGTGTTCGTCACGGCGCTGTATGACTTTGATGGCCAGGGAAATGGTGACTTAAGTTTCCGGGAAGGAGACCGCATTCGTGTCGTGCGCAAGACGAATAGCACGGACGATTGGTGGGAAGGCGAGTTGAGAGGGCAGAAGGGACCTTTCCCTGCCAACTATGTTGAGTGTTGAGTAATGGTATTGGAAGCTTTGGAGAGGCCTTGGCTTATTGAACATGCATTAAAATGACGCATCGGGGTGTCGTTGGCAGAACAACCCCTACACCAGTATCTAAGTACACGATTAATGAACTCTTTTGTCATCTTGCTTTGTAGTTATGGTTGGCCTTTGATATCTGTTCTCTCCTTTGTTTGTTGGGGAACGTGGAAATGATGTCAAATCGATGATTCCTCTTGCACAGGCTCTTCATTGTCATAATTTTATAATTCTCATTTACGCATAACCTGCCTGATCTTGTCGAGTCTCACAAGTGACTGCATACTGGATACTTCCATCCCGGCAAGATCAGATCGAACTGTTGGCTGCGACGCTACATTTAGTGTTAAGACTACTAAAAGGACATCACTGCAACGATGAAGTTTGCAATTCCAACCCGATGGAAGAAAGTACTGTTTACTAAGTTTGATAGCAAGATGTTACCTTGGTTTAGCTTGAACTGATCGACGCCATCAGAGAAATTCCATTGTTCCCTGATTGAAAGAACTGAACATCAGACCAAGCTTCATTTACAATCCCAAGTTCCTTGAAGGAATAGCATTTACCGACAGCTATGGAGGCTTTGTTCTTTGGCTCTTCGATCTTGAATTGTAGCACTGAAAGGCTTCGAGGCTTTGTTCCTTATACTTCATATTTAGTTATAGTATTTAGTCAAAGATCAATAAAAGGCCTTGTAACAACCTTAGGTAGTGTGAAAGACTTTGTTCTCAACCAGGTCAAAGACGGCCTCTCGATAGAACTGTCCATTATCCCACAGCTTCTATTTAAATAGTCTCGGAGTCCCCCATCCAGTCTCTACCATCAGACAGAAAAGCAGCTCCCTATCACAGGTTCATCAAAAGCCAACCAACCCCCAACTCCCCTCAACAACTGAACATATTTAGATTGAAGCTACCGCAACCCTTGAGATCATGGATTCAGCACGCCGAGAGGCTTTGAAGCACACACGTACCATCTTCCTCTCCGATGGCCAGCCTCACTACGAGAACCTCAGCTCCCTAGCCCAATTGTGGTGGGTTTCAGTGAAGCTTTCCGTTGAAGACCGCCTCCTTGCCGATGAAGAGTTGATGGATGTTGTGGCTGACCGTTGCCGCTCTGGGGACTGCACAGTCACCAACTATGATGCCTTGCACCACCAGGAGGAGCTTTATATCTCGTTCCCGGTTATGAACTGTGACCAGGACCTTGCCCAGCGGGGCTGGATTATTATGGTTATAGGACTTGCTGAGCACTACCAGATGGAGATTGCTGCCGGACGCCTTGCAGTTGATCGGGACTATGTTTTCGGGCCTAGGGCCTAGGGCCTAGGGCCTGGCACGAACGTGAGTCAGTGATGGCTTTGAGGTAGGTCTTATTTAGTTAGTTCTTATTATATTGCTTTGCACTTCTTTTCTATCGTGTTCCGAATTTTAGTAATTCTCTCATGAGAGCTGAGTAATGCATGTCATAGTGTTTCTTTCATGCCATGTTCTTCGTCCCATCCATCCCTCCATAAAATAAAGCATAGCCAGTAGATAAAACTAAAAGGGAGAATGCATTGCGAAATAGGTATAAATATAAATTTGCCAAACTCCCGGGGACTCCGGGGGGATATAGCAGATGTTAAACCGAGAAGATGCGATAAAATAAAGTCTAAATCCAGACGCACAACATACCAATATTTCAGATGGTAGCGAATATTCTAGCTAAACTCCTTGGCAACCTTGACATTAATCACATTGATTCCAGGAACTGTCTGTCCATTGAAACAGTCTCGAACAATTTCAACATTCTTGTCGTCAGTTTCATGAAGCTCCAATTGGAACTTGCGCACCACGGTGCCTATCACGGCGTATAGCCACGAGTAGGTCATGCTAAGATATATCAGTGCCACCGGTCTGGAACTGGTAAAGAAACTACTTACCTTTGACCCATGCAACTTGAATTGCCCTTCGCAAATGGAACGAGATATCTATCCAGTACACGGACTTCCTCAGCAGGACCCATCCAGCGTTCTGGGATGAATTTCATCGGCTCGGTATAGATTTCAGGGCTTCGTAGAATGGAATGGGTGGTCATGCTGATAGGTGTCTATATCAAAATATTAATAAACGAACAAGATTAATAGACTGAGTAGAAGATTTATAAGCCTTGTGAAAACATACCCCAGGTGGAATGGTCCATTTCCCGTATTGTAAAGCTTCGTCTGGTGCACTACGCGGAAGCCTTGTTGTCACAACGGCAGAAAGTCGTAGACCCTCTTTCAACACGGCAGACTTGTACGACTAATTGTTAGTGTATTATATGAAAACACGAGAGGATTGATGCCGTCTTACCAGATAGGGAAGACTCTTTAACTTAGTCCAGTTCGCATCGGACAGAACAGGGAAAGCCTCATCCAACTCGTCTTTGAGTTCTTGGTATGTTTTCGGATTCCAAAGGAGATGGAACAGAGTGATTGCCATTACTTGGGAAGGCGCATCAGTCCCAGCAATCATCAAAAACGTCAGTTCCTGCCTCAGGCGTTCGAGGTCTTTTTCGTCGTCGAGTAGTTTCTCGTTGGAGAGAATAGTTGATATCATCGATTTCCCGTCGGGTTTTTCGTACGCAGATTTCACGCTTTGTCGTATTTTCTAATCCTCTATCAGTATATTTGCAGTGCCAGATAGTGACGACACATACCGTTTCGCATCGTTCAACCCAAAAAAAGGTAGGGTACAACAAGGTGGCGATCCTAGGAAACCTGCGTGCTGGGTTAAAAACGAATGGAAGATGTCTGAGAAGAACCAGCCCCTCAAAGACGCTGGTAACATTCTTCTTCCATTCATCTGTTATCTCTGCGTTATTCAAGTATCCATAACAACTCGCACGGCCAAGCACAAATGTAGACGTCACGTCTACGACGAAAGCAGCGGAGATAGAATGCAAGTCCAGAAACTCTCCTGTACCGACCCTTCTGGACAGGTGGCTACAAACCAGATCCACCTTTTCCTGAATGACAGGCTGGAGGCCTGTAACTGATTGCGTTGAAAGGTAAGGACTTAATAATTTCCTCCGCTCACGATGAAGACCATGTGGCCCAGCCTCGAAGGTTGCCCGGGGCAATCCAGAGTGAATAAACGAAGGTACTCTATCTCTTTTATTTATTGGTCCGCCGTAAACGGTATCGTAAAAGCTGGGATCTTTGATATGTATTTCGTGGGGATTGATGCGGAGGATAGGACCGTATTTGTCGTGCAAACGGTCAAGCTCGAACATGAACTGGCCACCTCTCACAACGTCAAAATAAAACTCATAGAGACTGGTTGCTGCTGCCAAGCGTGGACCTGGAAATTTGGCTAGTGGAGAGAAATATAGGCGATAAATGATCTTGATTCCTTTATAGGCAAGGGCTGCATATACCAGCAAGAGCAGGTATTTGGATATATCGAATGTGAGAGGCACCATCTTTTAAGTAAATAATTGTGGACTTTAAGGTGTGAACGTGAGAATCCTAATAAAGATAGGAAGAGAGCGAATGATTTTGGCTCTATGTTATTTCAATTGTATGACATTAGCCCTGGAGGGAGGGTGCGTATTAAGCACATCTTTATAGGTCATAGTATATGTCTGCAGGCTCCACGATCGGACCTTCATACACTGACAAGGTATAAGGTTGGCGGAATATTACAACATCATCCATACATGTAGATATCATGCATGGAGTCTATTCAGTTATACGCCCCACTTTTGGGGGTGAGACTTTCGTGCTTTTGAGGCAATTGATGTCGTGTAACCTAACATATCGTCTCAAAGCAGAAATATGCATGTCAACCACGAGTAATGTGTAACCCATAAAATCTAGGCCTAGAGGATCCTTTCCAAGGTTGTAGCTAGTCATGCTGCGCTAGCGAAATGCTGCTTGAATACTACGTGCGACTTGTTGATCTTTGGCTCCAGGTGCCAGCACTAAGCCGACAAGTGCCCCAGTAACCTGTGTACTAGGGTATCTATTGGTCAGTAATATTGCTTGGAATCAATGACTGAGAAGATGATCCAGTGCACAGAATGCAGAGATAACATTATGGTCTGGTTTGTAGGTAGTACCTAGGTACCCGTGATTCATGTTACCAATTTTCTTTGTAGGCGATACATTATATCAGCTAATTAATACAATGCAGCCAACAATATAAGACTCGTATAGCTAGGCAAAAGTTAAGACCGGCCAGAAATAGTATCTGATGCAGTCTTCGAATGTTCACGATAGGAAGCAATAAATGTAGGCAAGTAAAAACTAAGTAACCGAAATCAACGTAAATACATATTTACATGGATGCTACTAGAGTTTCGACCTCCTTTTCCGCGCTTCAGACTCGAAAATCCTTTCCAGTACGGGTCTCCATTTAGCGGGCGCAGTCAACACCTCTCTTGTTGACTGATTAGTCCATTTCTGGCCAGTGTCACGTCGTACCTTGATCGTCACCACGTTAAGTGGCTGTACCTTGCCAACATGGTCTCCTCCCCTTGAATAGCTCATGGATAGCATCCCAACCCCTTCCAAGCCGCAAAATTGGGATATTTGACTCTCTATATGACTCAGTCTCCCCAAGTGTCCATTCAGGGCAGTCGGCTACCGATCCTGTTGCCTTAGTTTCGGTGCCTATTTCGGATACTTCAGTGGGAGATTCGATCGTCGTAACCGACAAAAGACCGCAGATCTCTAAACCACGCCCAGGAGGTACTGTGGATTTGTCGTCTTCTCGTATTCGCTCGAAGGATCGGCCCGCCCTGACCGAAACTTGGTCTGTCGACAAAATGCCTGACCATGTAGATCCATTTATCACCCCAGCTCCCAGCCTTAGTCCAGAGGTCGTGCAGTTGAAATGGCTTGATTTCTCGACGGAACGTGCACGCAACCGCGTTGACGATCAAGTGGAAATGCACCGAACCTGTGGTCTTCAGGAAGATAGGCGCAAATAGCAACCCGCTAATATGCGCTCATTCGTGCAGTGGATGGGTCAAGGCAAAGCAAACGAGGCACTCATGATTGGCAGAGAGATTCCTGCCAGCGAGTTGGTTCAGGTCGGGTTTGTTAACAAAGTCTTCCAAGACAAGAGCAATTTCCGCAAACAGGAGAGGGAGTACTTGCAGCAGACCTTTGGCGATAAGGCTTCTGGGAGTAAGGTGCCCCATATTCTTATCTAATGTGCTGAGCGTGACTCCGAGGACCCGCAGCCTCCTGCGTTGCTAAGGCGTATTACACCCGGGAGATCGTGTATCCAGCCTCAGTTTCTTTGCCTTTCGGACGACATTTCTCTTGGAAGTTACACGAGCAAGCAAATAATTTATCCTCGATTCATGAATGGGACAGTCTGCATGTCATTCTCTTGTAGTCAGCCAACAAAACAATTCAGTCGCACAGCAGTCTAACACAACAAATTCGAGTCAAATGAGCGTAAAACCCAAAACATGGAGCCTTTCAAGGTCACTTGCTCAATCCACCAATGACATCCCTAATAGCTCGCAAGTTATCAATTGGCGCATCATCCTTCACCAACTCCCACATCCCATCAATTCTATCCACCACCCACTGTTCGAGCGGCCCTTTCTCGATTTCCTCCACGGCCTCGCGAAACTGTTTCGCAGAATTCGCACCAATGATCATCACATCCCCCAACTCCCCTTTCAAAGCACTATGATACCGCACCCATCGGTACGCCAAACCGACTTTACTGATGCCACTTTCCTCAGACAACTTCCCATACTCCCGTAGAGTCTTCATGTAACTCGGCTTGTAATACAAGTGTCTATTGACCATCCCGTAAGGCGAAGCGGGATCCCAACGTTCGGTTCCACTACCATTCTCGATTTGCTCGACGGTTTTGGAGAGAAACCCAGCAGCAAGCGGAGAGTAGGCTTGGATTGAGATGCCGAGTTCTCGGAGCGTGGAGAGGAGGGCGGTCTCAATGCCACGTACGACGGGGCTGTAGGAAGCTTGGTAGACTGTTGGTAGAATAAAATTCTGGGACTTCGCATAGTTGTAGTGCTCGAGGACTTGGTGTCGGGACATGTTGGAAAGGCCGAACTTTTGAGTTTAGAGTAAGCTGTGTGTTGGGTGGTGAGAGGTAGGACTTGAGTGACGGATACCTTTTCAAAGCGGCCCTCTTCGTACAGTGTCTGAATTGCATCCAAGGTCTCTGCCACTGGGACGGATTCGTCCGGGGCATGGAGAAAGTAGACCGGAATCTAGAAAACATGGTCAGCAAAGCGTTGGTCTGGAGATGGTCACCGTAAAGCTCACCTTACTGAGTCTCAAGGCTTCGTTGCTTTTCCGTCCCTGCTCGAGGATATTCTCCCTTTTCCCAGCCCCACCGCCCAAACCCGTGGGAGCCTTTGTCCAAACATTGAATTCGGCTCCGAGGTTTTTGTTTCCAATCGTTTCTTCAGACGCTCCCATGCCCTATTCTTAAGGTCAGCCAACCAACCCACTGGGAACTTTTGCCAAAACATCGTAAAACCATATAGGACTTTGAGACAAACTAGTATACGCACGTAAGATCTGGCAGTGTCAAGATTGGTGATTCCATGTTTCCGCAAGATGCCTACGATCTCATCTTGCGTTGCCTCGCTTTCAGGAGTTGGCACCCAAGTGTGCGTTCCTGCCGCAAGTGCGACGAGCGTTTGTTTGGATACTGGAGCAGCCATTTTTGGGCAGTATTGGAATTGACTGAAATGATTGGGATGAGTTTGATGATGATAGAGAAATAAGCTACACAGATACCCAATCTTATATTTAAGATACTCCCCTTCCACAGCTCACTTTCCGAAGCAAATTACAAAGCTCGAAAACATATATTATTTTGAATTTGTCGTGTTTTTGTCTTCAAGTGTTGGCGTCTTCGTCATAATTTGTCGATTTCACGGTTCTCGAACGGAGATAAGGCGTTTCGATGCGAATCCGGCCGGGCGAAAAAACCGACGTGTATAGTAAGGCTTCGCATTTGGCACCTGGGCAGCTACCTAGGTATAAACGATGCATTTGTCAGCAGGCTTATGGCACAACATCTATCTGGACCCATATATAACTCTGGATTTTTATTTTGAATTTGTCGTGTTTTTGTCTTCGAATCTTGGTCCACAGGTGTCTTCCAAGGTTTGTCATGATTGGTCGATTCCACTCGGAAACGGCCCGGGGAGGTAAGTCGATCGATGCATACTTCCGAATCGGGCAGGGTAAAAGCCGACGTGCATCTATAGATGTCGATCGAGGCTTAGAGTTTACCAGCCACAAACCTTGGATACATTTGTCAGCAGACTTGTAATCCATCCATACAACGTCTATCGACCAATATATAATCCTGGATATCTATTTTGAATTTGTCGTGTTTTTGTCTTCGCCTTTCGGAAGCCTTTGTCATAGTATTTCTAACTTTGCCGAAGATTTCACCATTCTCAAACTCAAGCCCTTTACCGCAAAGCGGAATAGTCAATATGGCTTCGCTCAAAAACCAAGGAAATGATTGGGCCGGTGTTAAGAGTCCTGCAAAACAGCAGCGAAAGCGTGGGCGGCCTCCTATCCAATCGACTTCCGACTCCACATCACCTGGCCATGAGGACTCGGTAAGAAATCGAAGTCTTGCTAAGAAATCTAAAGTCAACTGACTTTATAGCAACGGAAAGAGCGAGTCAGACTTGCACAGAGAGCATATCGAAATCGCAAAGACATGAAAGTAGATGGCTTGAAAGCAAGAATAGCGAGGCTTGAATATGCATTGGATCAGACGATGAAATTATTCACTAGGTTTCAGAATTTGGCGATCGGAACAGACAATCTTCCCCCGAAAATTGCGATGGAGATTAGTAAAACTGCTTTGAGTGTTGCTTCGATTGCTCAGAAAGCGCACTCAGGAGAGCCTCTTCAGAACGTTGTTCCGGAACATGACGGATCTGGGCCGGATTGTCAAGATGCAACAGCGAATTCTATTGAGGGGTTCGTTGCCAGGAAAAATCGGCCGGATGAGACAGCACCATCATCCGGTTCCAGTTACCCGTCGACAACCTCAGCGCCCAGAATTGGCGCTACAAGCTTTGGCCTAGCGGAGACCCCATCACAAATGGGCTTCTCTACCACAATCTCCACGCAGCAGAACCTGGCTCTTCGGACACCAGAAACTCACCGCAGAACACAGTTTGCAGCATCGCTGCTCAGACTATGTTTGGAAGAGGGTGTTCGGCTACTGACTTCTCCAACCATGACCGATGATGATCTTCATCCCGCACTGTCAATCCACCTCACTTGGGTGACCGTTGACGATCTTCGAATGCAATCCGTGCGATCCATGCCAACCAACTTCGAGTATCTCCCAGAAGATCCAGACCCATCCATGGCCCTGGTATATCCTAATATGTATCGCTCGATCGAAGGAAGTGATGGCATTGTGGTCCCTCGGGTGCCGAAATTAAGGCCTCAGCAATTAGTTCATGGACGAACGAGAACGAAGATTAGCACCAATTTGCACGACTTTCAGGGCGAGTGGTTAGAGCCGATCGATGTGCAGGAGTACCTGGAGCAGAAGGGAATATTCTTGGGAAGCTGTGGGCAAAGTCAAGTGCTCCAAATTACTATCCCTGAGACTACGCTTGAAGATATTTGGATACAGAATGCGGATGCCATATTTACGGAAGAGATTCAACGGTCAAGAATCCTGTCGACTTTATGGCCATTTGGTATCGAGTCGCAAGATCTCGAACTCGAAGTACCAGATGAAGTAGTGACGCAATCAGCAGAATCCGAAATTCCAACCCTGGCAAGACAGAATGATGCGCTGGGTATAAGTAATCCAGAGCAATCCATCGTCGGACATGCTCTTCATGAGTATCACTCTCGAAGCGATGCAGCTCAATACAACTTGCCAAGCGAATTTTATCCACCAAGATACGCCGAACAACTTATCAGTGTTGGCCTGCATCTTGAGAGGTTTATGGGATTCCTCGTCGGAGCTGCTCGTTGTATTGGATCTGGACCGGGAATTAGGAAGGAAGCTGTCGATCATGCGTTAAGGGTGTCAATAGCCGTATATTGATCCAGCGTACGTATCCCATTAAATGGAATACAAGGTCCGAATTGCTCACAAACAGTAAACGATTGAGAACTTAGAAGGCCCGGCAAGAATAATTTAGCCTTCATCCAATCTCTGTGACTGAGGGCCTAGGCCTTTCTGTTGTAATATAGCTCTACATCGGAATGATCCCCATCCTCCACGGGATTACCAAAATTAATTGGAAATCAATATAGATGGTAAATGTGTATGTAAGTTACAGATAACAATGACTGGACGCCAGTGAATGTGCCTTTATGAAATGGGTAATGAGGGTGAGAATGGAGGTGAGAATTTCCCTTTTGGTTGAGCTATATATAAATGTTTAATACATGTATACCTGACTCCTGTCTATCCACTTTGTCTATATATTGAAGAAAAGCACCTAGTACACGAGGCTTGCTATTAGCGTCGGTGCTATAGTTAGTTACGACCTCACCGTCCTAGACTGCGGCTTCTAGAGCGGCACGGTCAGCTTCCTCAGTGTCGCCTGCAATAGCGCGACGGAAGGACAAGATGGTCCACTTATCAAACAAGGTACATGCGAGATCTTGCATGTCTATTTCATCATGTGTCTCGAAAGTAGAGCATGTCTTCTACCTAGCGTGCTTTTAGAAAGGGCAGCGACTTGGATGACAGCATAGCAAACAAGCTATATGCATATGCGTCTGCCGGCACTACTGTAACCTTCTGGATGGGTGCCATGTACTTTCAAGTCTGGCTGCATTAAAATTGGGTTGTATATATTTGGTCACTATCACCTTGGTCCTGAGAGCAATGGGCCCGTTTCTCACCACATAAATTGACGCTAACTGTATGAGGCTGTACAAATGCCAAACCCACTCATTTCATGGTCTCTCTTGCAACCATTAAATACGCGTAGAACAGAGCGACAGGAGGACTGATTTCCTCAAACAGCAAGTGTAGTGTCGGCGCAGTAACACCGGCATACCGGAGGATTTATTAATCCTATGTGTTTTCGTAATTTATGTTATGTAATCGAGGCTCCATATAAATTGTGTAGAGAGCCGATACAGAAATACAGAGAGTTGAATACCATTGATTGGACCCTACATTTTACAATACGGAATCCACCGACAGTTATGAGCCCGGTTCGCACTGAATAAGACTACTATATCGGTATATAGTATCTAGCACGCAGCTAGAAGTTGTCTTGCAACCCTGAAGCTATACCAAGCTATCATCCCTTGATTCATTGTTCAAAACATTGAAGCATCCAGCAATGGAGGCAGCATCAATCCTCTCCGCCATGAAGGGCGAAAAACTGAAGGATGCACCGCAATGGCTCACCTGGTTTGTAAAGGTGCAGTTATATGCAATGCAAAAGAACGTCTGGGATCACTGTAACCCGGATACCCTATCAACCGAACGACCCGATACCCTAAAGGAACCAGTGGAACCGGAATACCCTGAGGAGGGTGACGAAAGGAATCGAAGGGTCTGGCGAGATCGAATGGACGTGTATAAAGTGAAGAACGCACGGTGGGAGAAACAAGCAAAGGGACTGAGTGATGTAAATGAATACATCCTCACGTATCTTGACCCAATGCACCACCTCGCTCTGATAGAATATCGTACTCCGTATGATAGACTTGTGTATCTGAAGTCTCGTTTCGCAAGATCGACCGCGTATGAGGAGGAGATTCGAATGAACTGGAAGGTGTTTGCGATGCAGAAGCCGACGGGAGATATCGAGCAATGGCTTCAAAAGTGGAATTCGCTAAGGGAGCAGGCGATCAGCCTTGGTATCAACGATAGAGATGCTAATAGGGACTTCCTACACGCTGTGAAAGAAGTACTACCGATCTGGTGGCAAGGCAAATACCAGGAGATTATCATGGACAAAAAGGCGTATGATACTCGAGATCTTCTCGAATCGTTTCGCGCAATAAACCGTGAGATAGGTGTCAAGACTATCACCTCGACCACTCCTCCGAAAGGCGCCTTTTCAACCTGGCAAGGGCACCAGGAAGCAAAGCAAGAAAGGCAAGAGAAGCTTCCTTTTGAAAAGAGAGATTGTCCATATAGGAGATCTGGTTCAAAGTATAAGGTTGCCACTTGCTGGATTATGAACGAAGCCACCCGACCAGAAGGCTTCATCCTATATAAAGAGAAGCTGGAGAGAGTAAAGAAGGCGCTAGAGAAGGACCTAGGCTGGAAGAAATGGGTTGATAAGGTGGTAGCTGATGCTAAGCCTAAGCAGACTAAGTATGTAAACCAAGTCAGTTTCGCAACCACCTACCAAAGCTAGCACCACGGCCAGCACCACGGCCAGCACCACTACCAGCATGAAGGCAAGTCGCTAGGTGAAGCTATACAGATTAGCAAGCATGTGCTATCTATAGCAAAAGCCGGTGATCTCTCTCTCTATAATCGATGGATTCTTGATACCGGATCAAGCACGCACGTTTATAATAATCGAGATCTATTTGTCGACTTCACAGCAGATATTATAGATTTGACAACTAGAGATAGTACCACGCAGGTGCTAGGCAGAGGCAAGGTTCGCCTAATTAGGAGACACCCAGTCAAAGGAAGGATGGAGATTACATTAAGTGATGCTCTATACTCACCTAGTTTCCACACGAATCTCGTGTCGTATACGATGCTGAAGAAGAAAGGCGGGCTTTGGTGCCAACGCACGAATTGTATACGGGATCCAAACGATAGACCTGTCGTCTGTATGAACCTATGGGATCAATTCAATCTCTGGATCTTTGACGAGCCAGGTGAAGCTCCACCATAACAAGTATATGCTGTGCAGCCAACACAAAGGAGATCAGTGAAGCCGAAGGAATCAAAGGCTTCCGCCGAGGTATAGCACCGGCGCCTAGCCCACATTGAATCACGGACTATAGCAAAGCTTGCTACTATGGTGGATGGCGTCGTCCTCAAGGATAAAGGAGCGAAATCGACGGAGGAGTAGGAATCACTATGTTAAACCTGTCATCTTGGGCGAGCACTAAAGCAGATATCACGACGGCCAATTGGACGCACCTTTGGACGATTTGGAAGAGTCCATTTTAACTTGATACAACTACCACCGGCGTATAACAAGCATCGATGGATCTCTCACTTCTATATAGAAGGACCGAGATTCCATTGGATTATGACGCACGAACTGAAGCCTGAATGTCAAGTGGCTATCAACCAGTTTGTACAGCTAGCAAGGAATCAGTGGAAGCTGCCAATTAAGGCCTTTCACTATGATAATGAAGCAGCAGCTGGCAAAGCATCGGAGTACAGCTTAACAAGCGATGGTATCTTGATATATCATACTCCACCCGGCCACTCCGAGATAAATGGCTATGCCGAGAGATCTGGCGGCATGATCATTACTCGCATACGGATGCTCGCCCTCGAAGGGAAGCTTCCTAAAGATCTATAGCCAGAATTTACAAGCGCCGCCGTATGGTTATTGAACCGTACACCATCATATATTGCTTCCGAGAATAGGTGGTTGATACCATGGGAGGAAGTGAGAAAGGAATTTGCGCCGGCAATGCCGAGGATCAACCTAGCAAATGTTAGGTTATATGGAAGCCTAGCATACTGTAGGATTGAAAAGCAAGTGTAGTCAGATAAGATGAATCCCCGCGCTAAGGTTGGTTTCTTGGTTGGATATCTTGCTTCCAACATTTATAAGATCTGGTTTCCACACACTAGAAAAGTGAAGCATATTAGAGATGCAGTTATTGATGAAGGCCGCAAGTACTCACCCGAGTATGAGAGATCTCAACCAGTTCCACTACCACTAGTGAGAGAACCAGAAGAGCTCACCGTTGAAGAGATCACCTAGGTGATCAACCATGAGATTACTAGTCAAGAAGGGGCTAGTATGCCGGAATAGGACAACCAGCAAGATCACGGGGCAGAGGATGATCCCTAAGGTGGAATACGGGAAGCAAGTGACGCCGTTAACATATAACGGGATACCACCCCATTTTAGGGGGTGAATAAGGAAGCATATCTACCAACACCGAGCGCTCTATATACAGCGCAAGCGGGTGAAATGCTTCATAAAAAGGATTAGGAAGATCCACCACCGCGTATAGCACTACTAGGTGCTTTTCCGGATGATCAGGACCCACCACTACCAAACACGCCGCCGCAAGAACACGAAGAACAAGCGAGTACTGGTCCTGGTTAGGGGGTGGATATGCATGATCAAGATGATCAATTGCTAGCTAGGGACTAGGCCCAGCAGCATAAAAATGAAGCTATTCCCATTGAAGAAGATGAGCTAGAAAGACAGCTCTAGGCAGAATTGCTAGCACCACCAAGCCTAGCACTAAGCAGGGAGATCACCAGCAATATGGATGCCGGCAACATACTAAGTGGTCGTCGAACACGTAAAGCAAGACAAGATGATGATTTTGCATATGCAACCACTATAGTACAAGATGAAGAGCCACCGGCTCTACTACATGCTTTCGCAGCTGGCTTATACGCCGAGAAACCAGGCATTCGACGCCATCGGGATGATCTCCCACCACCGCCAAAGTACTAGAAAGATGTCATGAACTATCCCTTCCAGCAAGGATACCTCACAGCAATGAGAAAGGAGATTAATTCTCTACTCGAAAAGGAGACTTATGAAGTTAGTGAGAAACCAAGGGACCGAGGAAAGCAGATCCTCCCCCTACTATGGGTTTTCTCATACAAATTTGACCAGGACGGTTACCTTCTAAAGCTAAAGGCCCGTATCTGTGTACGTGGAGATCTTGAAACGATTTCGCATGAAGAAAAGAGAGCTGCTACACTAGCAGCTAGGACCGCTAGGATGATCTTTACACTAGTAGCTGCCTTTGATCTAGATCTCCGCCAGCGAGATGCTGTCACGGCATTTCTAAACAGCAAGCTAGATCAAGAAACGTATACGCATATGCTAGAAGGGTTTCAAGCACTAGGCAAATGCTGGAAGCTCCGTCGAGTATTATACGGCTTACGGATCTCGCCACGACTTTAGCAGTAAGAAGCAGCTAGCGTACTACGCAAGCTAGGGTTGCAGCAAGCACTAGAAGACCCCTACGTCTTCGTTGGAGAAGGACTACTAGTCTTCTTCTATGTGGATGATATCCTAATTGCAAGCCATCCCTCTGTAAAGACACAAGCAAAGCAATTAGAGCGAGATCTGGAAGCGCATTAGGAGCTTACAGATCATAGAGAAGCGGTATGGTTTCTTAATATCCGAATCCTTCGGGATAGGAAGCAAAAGAAGCTTTGGCTATATCAAGATAGCTATATGACAAGCATTGCTACCCGGTACAACTTGATAGACCGTCCACCTATATACACACCACTACCAGTTGACGAATTGAAGCTATACCAAGGTGTAGCCACACCGAGAGAGATCCATCTCTACCAGCAAAAGGTTAGATCTGCCGGCTATACCACCACCATTACGAGACCGGATGCGGCGAAAGCAACTGCTAGGCTAGCGCAATTTCTTACCAACCCCGGTCCTCAACATCATAAAGCGGTAGATAGAGTCATTTCTTACCTCTATACTACCCGGAACCTGGCAATTGAGTACAGTGCTGGAGCAGCAAGTGCCGGAATGGACTCGGTACAATTTGCAAGCGATGCCTCGTACGGGGATCACCCTAACAGAAAGAGCTCAGCAGGCTATATTTGCCAGGCATACGGGGGTCCAGTTGACTGGAAAGCTAGCAAGCAACCCACCGTAACAACTTCAACTACCGAAGCAGAGCTTCTTGGCTTATCAGAGGCAGGAAAGCAGCTTCAATGGTGGCGTCGACTCCTTGATCACCTTGGCTTTATCCTCTCCCACGATATGACAATCGATTGTGACAACGAGAGAACGATTAGCTTGTTAACAAGCGAGGACACGGCGTTTGAAACGAAGCTTCGACATGTAGATATTCATCGCCATTGGTTGAGATAGGAGGTTAGAGAGGGACGCATTCAGGTGAAATGGGTTCCAACGGCAAGCATGGTTGCCGATGGACTCACCAAATTACTCTCTCGCCAGAAGCATGAAAGCTTCATACGGATGCTCAGGATAGTGGACATAGGCTATCTAATAGCCTAGAAGGAAGCAGATCTACAGGGTCCAGCAATCCCATACTGGGATCGCTGAGGGGGTGTGTCGGCGCAGTAACACCGGCATACCGGAGGATTTATTAATCCTATGTGTTTTCGTAATTTATGTTATGTAATCGAGGCTCCATATAAATTGTGTAGAGAGCCGATACAGAAATACAGAGAGTTGAATACCATTGATTGGACCCTACATTTTACAATACGGAATCCACCGACATGTAGTGGGTGCCTTAGGCCATTATTCGATGCCTCAGGCATCGCATACTCAGTTGACAGATAGTTCGGAAGTTTGTCTCTCTTCCAATACAATCTGAGGCTTCCCTCCTGTCCTTTGGTCCTACGTACTGCAGTCCCAAAAGCGAGTTTGTTAGAACCCCAGTCCTGAAGGTGTGGGTACCTGAGATATAAGGCGCTCGATATGAACCTCGGTAAGACAAGTTGTTGTGGAACCGCCGATTTAAAATAGCCCGCGACCGACCCGAACAATGGAAGAATCTCGGATAGCCGAGTCTGCTCATAGGTCAATGCCGAGCGAGCAAAGCAATATCGAAGTGTCAAGTAATCGTGGCGAACCAACCAACACCTACTCAGGGTTTGTGGGCACCACCGGGTAGAAAATTTTCACCGGGTAGCAAATTGTAAGAATTAGGTGGTTTTTGTATAACAGCTTCATACAAATAGTAGATAAGCATAACATAAGCATAACGTAGATTTTCTTAATTTTCAAACTAGCTTAAGGAGAATCGATCTACTACGAAGATTAATCCTAAATATGTAATATAGAAGCGTAAAGAGCACCTTGAAAATATCTCATGAAAGGATTATATATAAAAGTTTAACCATCCTTTGTTTAACCATTCATTTTCTTGCTTTACCTAGGAACTCTATGTTGTAGAAGCATAACTACTTGATGTTCTTGCTCCGTACTCCATACTAAGTTTGATACTAAGCAATTAAGACCTGATCCATTTACACTAGACAAAAATAGTCGGCCGCTTATGCGGCCTGTGGCGTATTTTTTTGGTAATCTTTTAAAAATCTTTTTCGATGTCATTTTGGATGTATTTTCGGATATTCCTTTTAGATCTCTTGTTTGTAGACATTTCCCCCTTATTGGTGTTTATTGTAGGTATGGTATGTTGTATTTATGTACCTTTTGTGTACAATTGCCATATAAAAGATACGTAATTCTTACAATTTGCTACTCGGTGAAAATTTTCTATCCGGTAGTACCCACCAACCAAGTGTTGGTGGGCTTCACTGGGCTGGTGGGCTTGCCACGATTATCCTCTCTATAGGCTCCATAAGTGTCGCTTATAAGACATTTGCTTACAATACATGTCGATATTTGGAACTAAGCTAAAGCGTATATGTCCTAGCGTGTTTCTGAACAGGCTGAGAGTATCACAGCGAATTGAGTGAAACGAGCTTTGATCCACTCTGTATGGGGCGTTTGAACAAGACAATCATCCAATCACTGCTTTATCGCCTTCGCCTATATTTAGTAAGACTAGGTATATCTCGTATATCCTATCCTTATCGGTACATCTCGTATCGGGTCATCATGCATCTATGATGTACAGGTAGGTAGAACATTACGCTCGCTTGATATCACCATATAGAGTTGTATGCCAAATAAGCTTCAGACATACTGTTAGAATAAGATCAAGAATGCGACTAGGACGTTGAAGCCATGCATCTGGTGCGACGTCCGGCCCGTGCCCGTCATGATAAGGATGTTTATTTACGAGTGTCTGAGCGCGGCAAAAACAAAGAAAAAAAGATATCGTGCTGACCATCCAAGAAACTACCAGTGATTCTATACGATCCCCTAGCCCCGTCATTGGATTAGTGGCACAAAATCACCGAGATAAGTGTTTTTATTTTTACTGGGATTACAACAGGAGGGTGGTGGGATCGTTAGGTACATATGTAGTGTGGATTCGCTCGGTTCTATGTAAGACACGGGAGATCAGATTCGTTTGAACTGGAGCAAGGAATAAAAGTGAAGGAGGCTCGGATAATAGCGAATTTAACGAGAGAATATTCCATCAAACAGCAGGGAATTTCGAGTTCTTAGAGCGGAGATTATTTTCACCCTGATTCATATCGAGATATTCTGGCGATAGTGTTGTGAAACCGAACCTTGGAAGATGTGACGTCGAAGGCGGGCGGAACCGAAAGAAAAAAGAATCCACTACCAATATACCAACTTTTACCGAAATAGAGAAAGATCAGGGTAAAACAGGATGTCTCCGAAACAGTTGGAATTATTGTGTCATTTGTTAGAGATAGTAAAGACAGGTTTTTTAAATGATGGCACTCGTTCACCCACTATCTAATGTCCCATGTGTTTTGAATACTTTTTAGTGTAAAATAGAATAGTTTCATCAGACTACGACCTTTGAACTAATTACCAAGACAAGCCTCGAGGATTATCGGTTGCATTGCATGATGCAGTTGGAATGCGAGAAGAATAAAAGAGAGAAACATCGTGCTTTGACCTAGGCCATATCTCATTAAAAATGGGGGTTTTTTTGGGCGTACAGCGTATATGTACCAGCCACACCGGGGTGGTGTGCTGATACAGCTTTATGGCTAAGAACGGCACTTTGCATAACCAGCCCTGTTTTTAAGGCCATGGATTTTCCTATTGGAATACGTCGTACAACATATAGCCAGGTTAAAGTGCCTTGGTTGAGCGGACTAATCACGACAACCCAACGTCGCTTGTTAATAATCACTGCGGAGTAGCAAATGACTCAAATCCTTTGGATGTATCTGAGACACCGGCCCAAAAAGTAGCCATGCAGCGGCGAAACGCAGTGGATAGATAAAATCTGACTGGGTGGGTTTAGGTGGGTCTGCAGTAGTGTACGGGACTATGTATAGCCCATCCATCCGTTCGGCCCGATAAGGGCTTTGTTCCCCATAGTAAAAAAATATATTCTGTAAAATCTTTGAAATCAGTAAAATGCTAGAAGGTTGTTTCAGTTGATTTTTTGTTCTTTCACTCATCTCACTCGCTATTTGTTAAAAAATCATTTCATTCGTTTTTGAGTTGCGCATTTTTCCGGCAGCAGGTTCCTGCTGATAACAGTATTATATACGGAAATGCAGCGCTCAGCTTTCCTCATACTGTCGTTCTTGAGCGTCTCTGCCTTTTGTTGGCCCTATGACGAACCACTCGCTAAATACAATCTAAATGAAAACAAAACCGCCGAAGGCCCAATCGATTATTGGGGATCATGGCCGGACCATGAGTATCATCCGTCACCAGATAACTGGCGCATGCCTACATATACAATCTTTTTGGACCGTATAGCCAACGGCGACCCCACGAATGACGATATCAACGGGACCGCATTTGAGCATGTGGTCAACTCTAATCAGATGCGCCATGGCGGTGATTTGGAAGGCTTGATAGATACGCTGGACTATATCCAAGGAATGGGATTCAAGGTTAGTTGACCCGGCCTTATAATGCTTCCATCGCTAACTTCCAAAAGGTCATCTATTTCGCCGGAACGTACTTGATGAACTTGCCCTGGGCCTACGATGGGTACTCGCCGGTCGATACCACTCTCCTCGATATGCATTATGGAACACTGGACGACTGGAGGCGGACGGTCGACGAGATTCACAAACGGGAGATGTATGTGTTGATGGATAACACACTGGCAACGTAAGTCGATTCTCCAGATCTTCGGGTATTCATAAGCTGATCTTAAAACACAGAATGAGCAACCTGATCGGATTCAAAGGCCACCTCAACGATTCTGCCGATTTCGAAGCATCTGAATATCAAGTCCAATGGGTTACCGACAGAGAATATGTCGATTTCAAGTTCAGTAACGAGTATAACGAAACATGCAACTATCCTAAGTTCTGGGATGAGACAGGATTCCCATTAACAAACGAGGGGGTGCAAGATTTGAAGGGTTGCTATAACAGCGATTTCGATCAATATGGAGAGCTAGAGGCATTTGGTAACTTCCCCGACTGGCAGCGCCAACTTACGAAGTTTGCCTCCGTGCAGGATCGCCTACGTGAATGGCACAAGCCGGTCCGCGATGTGATCACTCAACATTCCTGCCTTCAAATCGCGAGTCTGGATCTCGACGGTTTCCGCTTTGATAAATCTGTTCAATCTACCCTCGAGCCCCTAAGTGAGATGATGGCCATCTACCGTGCATGTGCGCAGAAACTTGGCAAGAAAAATTTCTTCCTCCCCGGCGAGATCACGTCCGGAGACAGTTTTGGCAGTCTCTACCTCGGCCGCGGCCGCCAGCCAGATCAGCGTACGGCCAATGCAGGCGCTGGCATCAAGCTCACGAACAACTCGGATGGGGCTTTCCTGAGAGACGATGGGCTGCAAGCTTTGGATGCCTCCGCCTTTCACTATACCATCTACCGTTCGATGACCCGTTTCCTGGGTATGGACGGTAACCTGGTTGCCGGCTTTGATTTGCCTACCGATTTCATCGAAGCCTGGAATGAGATGCTCATAACAAACGATTTCCTCAATGCATTCACAGGAGAAGTGGATCCTAGGCATATGTATGGAGTCTCTAACCAGGATAACTTCCGTTGGCCAGCTCTCCAGAATGGCACAGATAAATACCTCCTGGGTTTGTACATTATCTCGCTGGAGCTTCCTGGAATCCCTCTTATCTTGTGGGGAGAAGAGCAGGACATGTACGTGTTCGACGCTACTGCATCGAACTATATGTTCGGTCGGCAGCCCATGACGTACCAGACCGCGTGGTGGACACAAGGCTGCTTCAATTTGAACACCTCGAAGTTCTACGATTTCCCTATCGAAAAGGGACGCGAGGGTTGCAATGATATCACCGTCACGTATGACCAGCGGAATCCTGCCCATCCACTCCGCAACATCATGAAGCGCATGTTCGAGATTCGAGCCCATTACCCAGTCGCCCAGGATGGCTTGTTCCTCGAAACGATCTCTCAACTCACAGAAGACGTCTACCTTCCTGGTTCTTCTACCACTCCCACGGTCACTGGACTTTGGTCTGTCTTGCGAAGTTATTTCCCTGGGGTACAAACGGACGCTATCCTGGCCAACGAAACCTTGTGGCTTGTGTATCAAAACGGAAACTCGACCGAAACATACGGCGGCAACTGCAGCGATAAGAATGCGTCCTTATTGGCTCCATTTGACTCAGGGACAAAATTGAAGAATCTCTTTTATCCTTACGATGAGCTCACTTTGGAAGATGGTCCTAAAAGTTCCGACAACACCTATGGATGCGTCCGTAAAATGAAGCTGCTTCCATGGGAATACCGGGCCTATGTCAAGACCGCCAACTTCGTCGAGCCCGGCCCTACCGTCACTGATTTCTTCCCCGGGCATGATGCTCGGTTGCTATCTTCAGAAGACACGGGTGAAACCATGCCCGTTCAGCTTGGATATTCCACAGAGATGGACTGTGACAGCATCACAAAGGCGGTTTACCTAAATTCTACAACAGAGAAAAACATCACCGCCAAGCTTGATACATCTAGTGTCAACTGCACCAAAATTTCTGCCAGGACCACGAGCCATAACTACACAGGAGAAATCCCGACTGTTTGGACATGGTCTGCAAACCTGAAAAATGTCCACCACGGAATCCACCAACTGACTGTTAAGAATGTTTCCTCTTCTGGAGTTTACACCAATTCGACCGACAAGTTCTTGCTCCGCCTCGGTGCTCATGACAACCCCTTGATTTCTCCGCTTGCCAATTACTCTACCAGCCTAGTCCACAAGTCCAACGATGACCTTTACGTCCAGCACAGAGCTGCCGGTGCAGACATGTTCCGATACTCGTCTGACTTTGGTCGGAGCTGGAACGACTGGGCGACGTATTCAGGCGGTAACACGACTATTACCATCCCGAAGTGGACTGGCACGGACTCCCAGAAGTGGGAGGGAACTCATATACGAGTGCAGTACTTTTCAAGGCTCACTGGAAGCAGCGATTACATCCAAGAAGGTGATTATGCGAGCGATAGAGTCCGAAGATTCCCGAACCTGTGGTTCAACGGTCCATACAACCAATACGGCTATGATGCAGGAATGGACAGCAAGATGAAGTATGATTCCAAAACGTCTCGCTGGAACTACGATTTCGTCTACGAATGGCCAGCCGTGGGCCAGCTGAATGTTTGGGGGCATGACGATGACGGCAACCCTGATAATACCGAGGTTTACGGTGATGTCGGCAACTCGTCTGCGGTTCAAAAGCTTCCACCGTCCTATCTCGCATCAAACGTCATCAACATCACCAGCCCGCCGCCATTCCCGCATCTTGGCTGGACCATCTCCCTCAATGATGGCAATCTGAGATACGAAATGATCCCCGTCGGATCTGGATGGGCCCAGTTGGTCCTCTTCATCCTTCTCTGGGTTGTTCCGCTTATTATGGGTTGTGCTGGTGTCTTTATCTTCATCAGCAACTTCTACCGTGTCAAACTCAACAAAAATGGCAATGTCATCAAGGCTGATACGTTCCTCGTACTACTTTGGCGCAGAATCAAAGGAACCTTCGCCAAGGATGATGATGTCGAGGAGATCAATATGGCAGACAATGCTGTGCCAACAAACATGGCTCTGGCAGGAGCGAGCGACCAACGGCGCACTGTACTGATTGCCACTATGGAGTACGACATCCAGGACTGGAATGTCAAAGTCAAGATTGGTGGTCTGGGAGTAATGGCGCAGCTCATGTCACAGAATCTGAAGCATCAGAATCTCATCTGGGTGGTGCCGTGTGTCGGTGATATTGACTACCCTGTGGATACCCCCACTGAGCCTTTTGTGGTGACGATCCTAGATCATCCGTATTCGGTGCAGGTGCAGTATCACGTCGTTGATAACATCACCTATGTCCTCCTTGATGCTCCGGTTTTCCGGCAGCAGACTAAGGCGGAACCTTATCCTCCTCGTATGGATGACCTTGATAGTGCAATTTACTATTCGGCCTGGAATCAGTGTATCGCAGAGGTAATGAACCGAACACCCTCCATTGATCTCTATCATATCAACGATTTCCATGGCTGCGTAGCACCGCTTTACCTGCTCCCATCGCGAACTATCCCAGTTTGTCTTTCATTGCACAATGCCGAGTTCCAAGGTCTGTGGGGTCTGAGAACCTCACAAGAAAAGAAAGAAGTCTGTTCTGTCTTCAATCTCCCTGTTGAAACAGCGACCAAATACTGTCAGTTTGGTAATGTTTTCAACCTGCTCCACACCGGCGCTAGCTATTTGCGATTCCATCAACGCGGCTTCGGCGCAGTAGGTGTGTCCGAGAAGTATGGAAAGCGCTCCTGGGCCCGTTATCCAATCTTTTGGAGCCTTGGCAAGATTGGCAGTCTTCCCAATCCAGATCCCTCCGACACAGGCGCCTTGAAGAAAGACCTCGACGTGCAAGTTACGGTTCAGTCTACTGACGAGGTAGCTAGTGACAAAACCAATGACAAAGTCCAGGCACAGAAATGGGCTGGTTTGAACGAGGACCCTAACGCTGACTTACTGGTGTTCGTGGGAAGATGGTCAAAGCAGAAGGGAGTCGACTTGATTGCGGATGTTATGCCGGCTGTCTTGTCTGCTAGACCTAATGTTCAGCTGATCTGTATTGGTCCCATCATTGATCTCTATGGTAGACTGGCTGCTATCAAGCTGCAGCGCATTATGGAGATGTTCCCCGGCCGTGTCTTCTCGAAGCCAGAGTTTACGATCCTTCCCCCCTTCGTGTTCTCTGGTGCCGACTTCGCCCTGATCCCATCTCGGGACGAGCCCTTCGGATTGATTGCCGTCGAGTTTGGTCGTAAGGGTGCACTTGGAATTGGTTCTCGCATCGGAGGTCTAGGCCAGATGCCTGGTTGGTGGTACACCGTGGAATCCGACTCAGCCCGCCATCTCTTGCACCAGTTGAGAACCGCCATTAAATCCGCCTTGGAATCATCACCAGAGACCCGACAGGAGATGCGTGCAAACTCTGCTAAGCAGCGATTCCCCGTTCTCGAGTGGGTTCAGAAGCTCGAAATCTTACAACGGACAGCTATCCACGTCCATCACCAAAAGAATCAACTCACCGTTGCACACTCGGCGCGAGAGTCTCAGATCTACTGGGAGACACCCGGCTTGCGGGACTCCGCAATGACTACCCGCCCTTCATCAGTGCGGTCAGCGTCGGGGGGTTTGGATACGCCGCCACCAGGCAGAACATCACAGCCCTTCCAGCCTTCCCTTCTACAGCTACAGGCAGTCGAAGCTCAAGAAATGCAGGCAGCCGAAAGCAACAGAAGTAGCATGTTGAATCGCAACCTGTCGCTCGGTCGACGATCTGGACCAGGACATGGCAGAAAGCGTCTCGTCAAGAAGTCACAGCGCGACAGTCAGATTGTCGAGCCTGTCGACGGTGATACCACGGATGTCGACGATGAAGGCTTTGTCACGCCACAGGAGAACCTTATTTCTGAAGAAGAGGCTATGGCAGCGGTCAACTTACCTCTCCAGGATTTCAGCACACACCCCAGAAACAACAATCACTCTCGTGAGTCTAGCTCGTCGGCCTCAGAGTCATCGCGTTTCATCTCAAGGGACTCCTCTCCAGCGAGAGCAGCCCGTGATCTTCTTGATCCAGCTGCACCTTTCGCTCACGGCCGGAATATTTCTGTCCTCTCCTTGCCTTCTGTTGTTAATGATCATGATCAACCCAATTTCCATCTGCAAAAGGTCGACCCGACATTTACTGACAGCATGGGCCACTTCACGCGGAACTTCGAAAAGCTGCTCACCGACCTCAACAAGAAAAACTCGATTTCAGATTATTGTATTGAGCTTTATCTCATGAAGAGTGAGCGGAAGTTCTTTTACATGTACAACGATGCGCAGTTAAAGAAGCAGCCCAAAGAACGTCCCATGACTGGAGCTGGTTTGGACCATGCTGTTGAGAACACTCCGTATAACCTCGTCACAGAAGGTCATGAAGAGTCGGATTCGAAAAACACAGATGAAATCGATCTGTGGCTCTCTCGTCTGGGATACAAGAGACCCATTGCTGTCCAGCGCTTTATGAGATGGCGCGTCGGAAACTGGCCTGTGTATGCTCTATTCTTGGGTCTTGGACAGATTATCGCAACGAACTCTGCGCAGATCACCCTGTTGGCCGGCCAGATTGGTGAGACAGCAGTCAAGCTTTACGTTATCGCGGCAATTTACTGCGTATCTTCCATTGTATGGTGGTGCCTCTTCTTCCGCTTCCCGTCTGTGATAGTCCTCACTCTCCCCTGGTTCATATATTCCATGGCATTCATCACCATGGGTGTTTCTCCTTTCGCACTCTCGGAACTCGGTCAAGCGTGGGCTCAAAATGTCGCCGCGGGTGTCTATGCCGCAGCATCTTCCAGTGGTTCCTTGTTCTTCGCTCTCAACTTTGGTGACCAAGGTGCCGTTCCTGTGAAGGATTGGATGTTCCGCGCAAGTCTTATCCAGGGTATCTCACAGCTCTACACTGTTGCCCTATGGTACTGGAGTTCCAGAGTCACTGCAGCGGAAGTTGGAGGTGTTTCCACGGTTGCGCTAAATTCCTGGAAACTCACAGCCGTGGTGATGCCAATTGCGGCAGTTTGTTTCATTATTGGTGTACTCCTTGCCCTTGGCTTGCCTAAGTACTATCGCCAAGCACCCGGAAAGATCCTCTTCTTCTACACATCCCTCTTCCGTCGGCGAATCGTCCTCTGGTTCTTCTTCATGGTCATCATCCAGAACTGGTTCCTTTCCGCGGCATTCGGTCGAAACTGGTCATTCCTCTGGTCCTCCCAACACACCAAACCATGGGAAATTACTCTCCTGGTCATCTTCTTCTTTGTTATCCTCTGGGTCGCTGTGATGCTACTCTTCCGCTACTTGTCTAAGGAGCACAGTTGGATCTTACCCGTCTTCGGCCTGAGTATCGGTGCACCACGATGGGCCCAAACATGGTGGGGAACATCCAACATCGGCTACTATCTTCCATGGGCTGGAGGTATGACTTCCGGGGCTATCGCATCTCGTTGCCTCTGGCTCTGGCTTGGCGTTCTCGATGAGATTCAACAAGTCGGTTTGGGAATGATTCTCCTACAGACTTTGACAAGAGTCCACGTGGTTTTCGTCCTGTTGGCCGCGCAGGCTCTTGGATCTATCGCCACAATTTGTGCTCGTGGGTTCGCGCCAAACAAGGTCGGCCCAGCAGGCATCTCCCCGGCTGTTGGATCGTCGCTGGACGCAGTTGGCAATGCGTGGTTCTGGATTGCCCTTTTCTTCCAGCTTCTGGCTAGGTCAGTTATCTCCCCCCCCCCCCCTTTCCAAAAAGTCTTATGGCGTTGTACTAACTGTGATTGCAGCTTCGGTTTCCTTCTCTTTTATCGCCGTGAACAGCTCAATCGGCCCTAGACCAATCACCATATGTGTTTGACTTAATAATTCAGTAAAATTTGTGTGTTGGTATATAGATGGAAAGGAGTCGGGGTTGGTTTTTGTTTGGTTAATAAAGCACTGTATAGTCTTCTAATATACACATGGACTATCGGATACAGCGCAAAATTTGCTAATGAACACCACATTTATGGTAGACAAGAATAGTCGGCCGCTTACACGGCCTTCTCATGCACCTTTTGGTAGTCTTTTCTAAAGTCCTGTAAATAGGTAGAGTCTCAGGCCGCCAACAATTTTTCCCATAACTCAGAGCAAAATGGTGATATGGAAACCCCCAAGGGATAGGGGAATCCTCGCAACGGTCTAAACGAGGACACTCTTCTGTATTATACGAAGCTGTCTGCGCGATCTTAATATCAAATCACAAACCGGTCCCCACAACCGAAACCTGGTCCTTCTTCGCTCCCTCGGTTGTAGACACCGCAAGTGTGCCTGTTGAATTGTCCTTAGACCCATTCCCATCGTTCGCGTGTGTTATATTCTTCTCACTGCATTTCATTAACAACTAGTCACTCATGTGAAAAAGAGGTCTTACCCGTTCGGGCCATAAGTGTAACGAATAACGAACGTCATAGCCACCAAGCAAGCAGTCATGACTGCAGAAAAGGGGTATCCTTTGATAAAACGAGGCCCTTCCACAGTTGGGTACGTGAAGAGTGGGATCCAACATGTCCACATTGTGGAAACAGCAGTGGTCAGAACTAGCACGATGGCGCGCTCCTCGAGGTTATCACGGTAAAGGACGTTCATCCATCCATATAGTACAGAAGATACTGCGACTGCCGAGTATTGCACACTGTAAGCAAACCATTTGGCTCCTTCGGGCACATCCCAGATAGCCAGAATGACCAGTCCCGTAAAGTTGATGCTCGAAGCCAGCGCAATAGCCCAGGCGCGATCAAGCCATAAGTCTGTGCTGACGTTGATGAAGAGAATAAAAAATATCCCGAGTGCTGGGCTGATTGAGTTGAGTTCATTCTGTGCTGCGGAACTGTAGCGATGGAGGCTCTTTAACCACAACAGAAAGGACGCTGTGTTGGCGCTAGAGTTGAAAAAGAAGCCATCCCATATAAGAACCAGCCAGAATCGCTTCGATAAAAACAGCTTCTTGGCGAGTGCCCATGAGAAAGAGGCGCTTTTAACTTGGGATCCCTGTTTTTCTAGTCGCCTGCGAGCTAGATCTAGATCACGTTGTGAAACAACGAGACGGTTAGGCTTATCAATTGTCCCGGGGTAAATAAAGTAGCCAATAATCGCAAGGGGTAGGGTAATTATAGCGTTAATGATGAAAAGCCATCGCCACCCTGCCAGTCCGTTAACCCCATCTAGGTAGTCGAGTGTGGCACTCTGCAGAAGACTAGCGGTCAGGTAGCCTAGGGTGAGGCCAACGTAGAAGGCCCCTCCTCGTCTTCCTATCTCGTTGCTTTTATACCAGGATCCGAGAACAAAGTGCACACCAGGGAAGTAAGATGCCTATCAGTGTAAGTAAGACAAAGGGATCCCTTTCGGACAATCGGTGAGTCATACCTCGAAGATTGAGACTAAAAACCTATAAGCCATAATTTCTGCATAGCTCGTGGCTCTATACTGCAGCAGAGTGAAAATTCCCCACATGAGATCGAGAGTGGGGACGAGATAATGCATCGGCACCCGAGGAAAGAGGTACATGAAAGGCAAAAGCGCAACGACGTTCCCAACAGTAAAAATAGTCTGGAAATGGACTAATTCATTCCCATTGAAGCCAAGCTCTTCAGCCATCCCTGACAGATATGCATTGTCTAAAAGTGGTGCAATTAGTACTAGTTTGATAGCCTTTTGTGATTGACTTACTGATATTCCCCTGGTCAATGTACTTGACCCAATAGACAATGAATGCATATGGGACGATCAAAAGATCAAGCTTTAACACTAACTTCTTCTCTTCGGGCGTATCGTCCGGAGAATACCAATGATACCACCTTTGGGTGGGGGTAGTGGCCGTACCCATTGCGGCGATGGGTAAAATGTGAGATCTTAAGTGTACGGTCGCGGGTACTGTAACAGAAGTATGAGACTTTTTTAATAGTGGTAAAAATATTTCTTTTCCAGTAAAGATACCCCATTTTATAACAATTATTTCTAGGTTGTTGATAGGGCCCCGCGGTGGTGGATGTTGCAATTTAGAGGGTCGCTAACACCACTGTAGTCTTTTTTGACTAAAATGATACCATCTGATGCTTAATCGAAACGGCAGAGGAAAAGATAAGCTAGGAGGTTCCATGTATTGCCCATGTGATTCAGCTTAGTCTCAACGAGCTTCTTGGGTTTATGAAGCGAATGAAAAAGAGATAGAGTCAGAACCGCGGTCAGAGTCCTCTCGCGCGAACGCAAGTGCGAATGCGAGACAGCGTAAGCGAAATATTGACTACCTTCTTTGTATCACGCAACCATTCTTTGAGTTTACCACCGAGCTCTTAAAAAAAAGATGTCACTACCTACCACGTTTTCAAGATATATCATAGGTTATTTGAACATCACGAGAAGTCAATCACGCAGCTACGACGAAATTAGGTTCCTTGGAAAAATACTATGCTTCAGGCGCTCGAAGCTGCCCGGAAAAAGCTCTAGGATTATTACTCCGAAACAGATGATATGCCTAGCGATCTTTATCCTATTGGTATGATGCTTGCGCCTGGGAATAAACTTCGATCTTTCCAAACAGGTGAATAGGAAGAACACTAGGTTCGGAGATATTGTTAGAGCCTTGAGGATTTCTTCGCTCCGTATATAGCAAGACTTGCTAGTACGCAGAAATTGCTAGTCCTAAGCTTCCGCACTATTACGATCACGTCTTGGCATGATGCTAGAGGGAAGTGGCTACTCTCGGAGTGCCTTGTGCGATAACCTTGCGCAATATCTTGATTCTGGTATATAGTAACGCTCTAGTCATTATATCTAATACTAAATTATTAATAGAGACTGTCAATGTTTTACCTCTTCTATTCTCGAAGGATAGCGAGTTATCGATATCCCGCCCTTGCTACGCTTGCACCAGAAGTGCTTTTTACCCTAGTAACTGGTGTAGGTGTTGAGCGGCTTTTTAACTCTACGCAGGATATATCACTATCGCCGAGGTGGGTTAAATGCTAGTACTATATAGGAACTCATCATATATCTCTAAACATCAAGGTTTAGTATCGAAGAAGAGCAGTATTCCTTCATTTAGCAGTTCTTCTCTCGTGGTAAGATCGAAGCAATAAACGTACAAAACCACTGGTTTACCTTTCACCTGTTCTGGTCAGTGGTCTCAAGTCCAATTCTCCACCAACCAGAATGGGTGAAAAGTAAAAGGGTGGTTTTACCAACCTTGGAAGATACCACTATATTTACACCTCATTAATTTGGAAGGATCGTCCGAGAACTCATTCTTCCATATTATGTACAAAGTTTACAAAATAACGTATTTCACATGCGAGCCGCCCACACAAGCGAGCCGTTCATCCTAAAACACTAGAGTAAATGCAATAATTACAACTTGATATCTCAACAACTGTGGTCTATAAGGACTTCTTATAGCCTCGTGCGTGGGCGGCTCGGGCCGGCTCGCATGTGAAATACGGTATGGCATTTTGATTACATATATAATTGATCGCCTTTAAACCCTCAAAAATAGATCTGTGGTACTTGGCGTATTCGCACTGACTGGTTTCGAAAACTACTGTAATTCCTATGTTAATGTCCATCTATTAATTGGTTCAAATTCTGTAGATGCTGTTGTCTAGACCGCCATACGCTCAACACGACGCTGCAGGGCCTTGACCATATCTATCCCAGCCTTGGTAGACTCATCCAGGCTCTCATCCAGCAATCCAAGCAGCTCATTCTGCGCCTTGGCAGAGAATTCATTTGATTCATCCGGGTAAAATGCCCTGGCGTACAGCATCTTGCTAAAACCAGCCATGTTACCACCTTTAACTTGCGCCAGGCCATCCTCGTATCGCTTCTTGGTGGCCTCGTGGGTAACCGTCCAGTCGGCTTCAGTGGTGCCCGTGACGCGCTTAACGCTCTCAAACATGTCGTTTTGGCTGACAACAAAGCTTTTAAGGTACACGCCCTTGTTGAGGAACCCCGATAGAGTAAGACTCTTGTCGCTTTCATCGTCGGGAAGCTCCTTGAGGCTCAGCACTTTGGCCACGGCGCGCCCAACCTGCGACAACGTCGACGTTGAGTTCTTAGTGTTGCCATCGTCATAGATTGTCAGGGAACGCTTGTCAAAGTCGAACCCAAAGCGCGCCTCGCCACCCGCCAGACTATAATCGTACCAAAACCCACAACACACAGTTATCCACTGCATACCGAGCCTCTCAATCTCGTCCCTATTGGCTTTGCCCACGGGCCCCAGCATCGTCTCCTGCTCAAGTTTGATGTTATCAATGTCGCCGCCGTACCCGTTAGGCATGACGTAGGGAACACCAGCCTTGGCGGCCGCCTGGACGAGCTTGCTGTGGGCATCCCGGGGCGCGGTGGGGGCCATAGTGATGATAAAAAATTGCTGGTCCTTGAGGGCGGCGACAATGGTGGCCTCGTCGTCGTAGTCAACTGGGGCGACGAGGACGCCCTCAGGGAGTTTGTTGCTGCTGTCTTTGCGGGAAAGGGCCGTGACTGTGTGTTTTCCGGTTTTAAGGAGGGCAGCGGCGATGTGCGATCCAATGGTGCCACCGGCCTAAGGGTGTTTATTAGTGCTGTTGTGTACGTGGTGTTGTTGAGGGGTTTACTTACACCGACAATGGCGATTCTCTCGATGGCATTTTTGAAGCCGACGGGTTGGTTTTTGGCGTACTTGGGCATTTTGGCTATTTTTGAACAAGATGTCAAATCGATTATTGGAGTGTATTAACTGTTGTGATTGTGGTCGAACGTGGTGGTCGAGGTTTTGTAGCTGTTTGGGCTGGTGTGAGCTTGTGTGCGAGTGGCTTGTAAATCTCTGGCTATTCCTCCCTGAAGCAGAGAATGCTCATCCATTTATACATTTCAGATTCAGTCTTGACTTCTCTCTATTTCTACGATCGGACACGGAAATTTCGGACGATCCGTCTCGTATATCCGAGTTAATCTGGCCACACATTCACTTCAAACTTGATTCGCCCGGAGATAATATTAATGGCGTCCGGGAGCCACAGAGCAATGCAATGCAATCAACAACGAGGGCAACGTGTGCGTCGCCGTCGTCGCCGTAGTGGCCGCCGCAGCCGCAGCCGCAGCCGATATTCGCTGGTTCGAGGCCGCCCCCGATGTTACGGAGATAGCATGCGATCAAGGTTGATAATAATTTTTAAGCCCGCGCCTCTCGGCCGCAGCAGCCGCATGCAGGGGTCTAGTACAATGACACTAACACTGACACTGACACCGTCTGACAGCGGTCGATGGGCGCCCATGACCATTTCCGCAATAGCCGTAGCAGCCGCACCGCACCAAGCCGCATAAAGACAGCATGGCAGTGATAATTCAAATACGGACTGACGGAGCTCCGAGCATGTATCCGCAACACTAAGATGATGAGGATGAAAATCCCTATAGGGAGCACAAATTTACATATACTCCATTGAGCCTCGCCGGGCTGACAAATGGATACAATTGCGCATTGTCGACAGGCTTTATCACCGGCACGGTCGATTCAGAGGTCAATGACGGAGGGAATGATGTTCTACGAGGTTACCGGGGCACGTTTAACATGGGGTTCGGTCTCTTCGGCTTGGGCGTAATTGTGGCTTTGATCTTCTCCTTTGTGGAGCGTCATGGCGCCTGAGAAATCGCACGGGAAACGAGCCAAACGCAAGAGGGGCATGTTTAGATGTTAGTTATGCCCATTTTATATAATTACAATGCTGAGCTTCATTAGACCATTTCAGAATGTCACACCATGTTTTGATGAGTTGCATGTTGAATCGCCGCTGAGTGGAGTCAATCAATGTCCAACGACCCCCGTGCCACTACAACTGGATGTCGGGACCGAGCATCGATACATATGGGTCAATGAGGAACTGGTCCCAGTCCAACCCCCAGCCTATGTCTGGCACAGCGGTGTTGGCCTCGGGTTCCGGCTGCGACTGGAAGGATTGATAGCTCGCCTCAACACCTTCCAGCTGGGCAAGCTCCTTTTGCTTCTTTGCCGTATTGAGGCTGAGTAGATGCCGCGCCATCGACAATGCCTTACGCGTCAGTCCTGTGTCGGCAACCTTGACCAGATTCTCCAAGCCCTTGAAGGCAGCAGCGATGTGGACGGAGGCGGCCGGTGTGTCGATGGCCAACAGGACGCAGGCATACTGGAAGACGCTGCCGATGACGTTCCAGAACAGAAGACCCTGGTTAGCTAGCTGCTCCGCCGCCTCTACTGCGGCGTTGCCGCTATCAATGACGAGCTGAATGATCTCGTCCGATATGCCCATCTTGAGTTGGTAAATGCGTCGATAGAAGCAAAACGCGAGGTCCGCCTTAGTCACCACCAGGAACGGATGGGTGAATTGGAGCTTGTCTAATGCCTTGAGACGCTCAAATAGCTCCTCCCGCGGAGTTGGAGGCTGACTTTCGAGGTGGAACGGGGAGTTGGGCGCCGGGATGATCTGGGCTATTTGCACGAACTGGTCGGCAACGGACCCTGATATCGGGATGATAGCCTGGCAAGTCACGGCCCCAAATCGTACAGACGAACGATCGTACTCATAGGACAGCATGTTATGCCCGGCCCACGAGATCCAGAAAATTCGCCGTAGCCGGTCCGCATCATGTCCAACAACAGCGGCGCCGGCGACGGACGCCATCTTCTTGATGTTCTCTTCCTCGTGCAGCCCGATCGCTTCGCAGAGGTGCATAGCGGTGCATGACGCGACCCAGGCATAATTGGGGCGGGTCGTGGCCCGTAGGTAAAACACTCGCATGGCCCACGCGATGATATGGTCGATACCCAGCGTGCGCATGGAGACCGGATCATCGAGAATAGCTTTGGCATACTGCACCAGGTCAGACTCCCGCGCGTGTCTGTTAGGGGATAGGAACGACCCGAGAGCAGCGACGCCAGCGGCCACGGCGCCAAAGGCGACCGCCGTGCTACCGGAGCCATGGTAATAATCCCGACATCGCTGGGCGTAGATTCTCGGGTCTATGTAGTCGCCGATAGGGCCCATTGCCGAGAAGTACACACCCGAGAAGAAGCCGAGGTCATCCTCCGAGATGAGCCTCCCCAGCAAGCCATGAGCGTTGGAAGCTTCCTCGGGGCGGATGCCAAAGTTGTAGGCGAACGAGTGCATCTTGGGAGGGCTGTCAGAGCCGAGAGCCACGCCCAGGATGTGCGGGAATGCCATGGCCGCCGATGCACCGGCGTATCTGGACTTCTGCTCGTCGAAGATGCCGGCGGCCGTGGTGGTGGCCGCGGACGCGTCGGCCACGACGGTGGGACTCTTCGTCGACGACGCGTCGGCTCCGCGGGGACCTCGCGCTACATAAGACCGGCCGTCTGGACCGCGCCATGTGGCGGCGGCCCGGCCCGCCATACTACTTCCACCGTCGACGCTGACGCGCTCGTTTTGGGGCGGAGCGTATATTCCGCCACCCGCAATGCCAGTGGTGTCCGCGTATCTGCAGTTGTAGTCGTAGGTGGTACACGTGCCACAGGGATGCTCGGCGTCACATTTCCGCTTGCGCTGGTGGCAAGGGATGCATGCCTTCCTCGCACGCTTGCGCTTGGCAATTTTCGTCGACATGACTGCCAAGAGGGTATGAGCCTCAAAGTCTATGATGAGACGGATGAGAGTAGATTAATCGGCTCCCCTGGGCTTTGGATTGAAGGGCTCATAATTTGGGTTGGGATCTTTAAGTGATAGGTTGGTGGACTGAGTGTTTACAAAACGCACAAGAGGGATGATGTGTCAGCAACAAAGATGGCCCCCGGGCAACCTTGGAAGTTTGTCCTGTTCTTCATGCAATTTCTACGACAATTATAGCAGAAGAGCACACAAGGCACCTTATGGACAGCGGACCTTAGAGCTATACAATATATATGTATTAAAGATTGGTTCATGCAAGCTTAGAACCTTGGAATAAGCTCTCGTTTATTTAAAACTATCCAGGGACTTGCCACCGTAGAGGGCCATGATTTACAGCGCTTAGAGCGTCTAGCTCTTAATAGACGGGAGGCTCGTTCCTAGCGAATCAGTGCAACGCTCATAAACTAATTGTCAAACATCAGATCAAAAATCTTACTTCCATTGCACACGCACTTACCAGTAGTCTTCCGCATGACCCATTTTGGGTCGAAGGTCTCGACCTAGAACCTAACCTAGTCTGGGTCTGGGTCGAAACCCCTTAACCCAGACCCAACCCAGTCTGGGTCCGGGTTGGGTCTGGGTTTTACTGGGTCGTGCGGAAGACTACCCACTCTATCTGATGTGGGGTAGATCCACGTGATACGACGTGCAACACCCTCATCCAGAACCCTCCATCTTTATGGAACATCATTAACGAGGAAAGCAAAAACAACATGACTGGAACGTGGCTTATTGGAAGTGGGAGTAGCGAGAGAAATAGTCTTTATTTCTTGTTCTTTAATGGACTTAATAGATTCATTTGGATCTATCGCGTCCTACATCCTCCACCGTCGTTTCTGCTTCATGTGTATCCGTAATAGAACTATGATGAGTCAAATCGCAACCTCCTGGATTATTCACTTCTCGGTGCGGCTCCGCAAGAATCTTGGCATCCGCTGTTTGCCGGGATACTCATTGCTTGCGAATGAATGCTTACTTTCTTTCCCCAGTTATTGCTGACAGCCGCATAAAACGAATCCAGCAGGTCATCAACGCTATCACCATGACTGATACTAATCGGCGTAAGACCAGACTGTAAATTGAACAAACCTGCGTAAGCTTAACGCATTCAGATTCCAGGTCACCAATACGTGAACAAACTATTAATCGTCAGTTGTATAAATAGTTTCTAATAGCTGAAGTCGTGTTCCCATTACCCTAGTCGGCTACTCGCTTAACCAAGTCCCAGTAGAGTCCCAGGGAGATGCAAGCAACCAACAGCGTATTCCCGACTCGATGGTGCCCGATAGAGTTAGATATCATTGTTCGATTGCTTGATTGGAGTGAATCCATTTGAAATAACTAATGTTCAGGCGCCTGTCTCCGTCCAGAATTTACGTCCCCCGGAAACTGAAGCGAGATTTTGGAAAAGTCTTTGTGCAATGTTAATGCTCTTAGGAGCTTTTCAATGGTTTGACAGTGGAGATTACATGATTGTTTTCTTTTCTCCCTACGACCTACAAGCTAACGTCTTAGCAGAAATAGAAATAGGCAATGGACTTCGAGTTAACCGTCAGCTATGCTAAGGCTCCAAATGCTGCTTCTGTTCCCATAAGCATCTCATCTCCCAGACGCTTTTCCGTAATCAAATGAACATCAGGAAGCCAGTCTGGCGTCGCTTCACCAAGAGCCATTCTAGCAATTGCTTCGCCACATGACCAGCACTGAACCATGCCATACCCATTGTAACCCGCAGCGATCCACTCGCCACCATCGACATCCCCCCTTCCAGTGACGCTAGCGGGGAGTTTGCCCACCAGTGGAAGATGATCCGGAGTACTACCGATGATCCCAGACCACACCTTGTCGACAACTGGACGCTGCACTGATCCGCTGACTGGATCATTCCACCTCCTGTCAAAAAGCGTCGGAAGAATCGTCGAGACATTGTTCTTCGAAAAGGAACTGACTTTTTGATCGTCGGAATTGACAATCTCGTCTATATGCGCCTTATTACCACCAAAGAAAAGGTCACCAGTGTGGGGATTCTGCTGCATATAATATAGCCCTGTATCGAAAATGCCAGAGTTGGGGTCATAACTCGGCGTTCCAAACCACATCCAGCACTGTTTAGCACCCAGGTTTGGAAATTTTGGACCTGATTTCTGACAGGACATGATGTGACGAGTTGGGAAGATTTTCCCCCGTAGATTTGGCAGCAGGTGCCCAGCGAAAGCATTGGAGCAATGGAAGACCTGTCCTGCTCGGATGTTGCCACGAGGTGTAGAAAGAATGTAAGGATGCTCGGCGTCCGTTTCTGGCGAATAACTAATGGAGGTGACCGGCGTCTTGGTCTCTATAGAGAAACGACCCTTGTAGCGGTGCAGGAGTGACTCGAACACCCTGGTTATCAGACGATACGGCCAGAATACCTCTGCTAGGGTGGATAAGGCTCCGGCAGTGCCTTTAAGTCGGTAAACCTGGTTCAGTCATTAGCCTACATGAAAATAGAGACGTGATATATTGCATGATACTTTTTCAGCTGTTTCGGGGGTAATCGTCGAATACAAGCCTTTCGCCTCGGGAAACACTTCCTCGTAAAGCTGAATAGACTCAAGGCAAGCTTGAAGTACCTCCGCTTTCTCGTACGCTAGAATAGCTTGAACGCGTCTTTTCTCGCTTGCCTTCTCAACATCGGGTCCTTGAGAAGTCGCCAGCTTTGACATCTTCTCCAGGGTCCTGTTGCAGAACTGTGCAATTGATATGGCTCTTTCCTCCCCATACCCTTCGACCATCTCCTTGAAGTATTTGGGTATGTGGGATAACAAAAACCCAGCGTTGCGGCTAGTGGCCCCGCTTGTCAGAGTCCGTGCCTCGAATACCGTCACAGTTCGGTCGCCCAGGAGAGGATTCTCTAGAAGGTTGCTGGCCACACTGCAGCCCGTCACTCCAGAACCGATAATGGCCATATCAGTAGTTGAAATGAGATTCTCAGATTGGGTTTCCGAGAGAGGGTGGGGTGGCAACTGCCAGGTGGCCACGGTAGGGTCAATGCGAGGAATCTGCGGATCCATATGCATTTGCGAAACAAGTTTGGCTTTGACATCATCGGGGAATGAGGCACTAACGGATGGCGACATTGTGTCTGGCTTCCTATTTGGCTCTGCAACACTGAACTGAAATGAAGATAGTCTCGGACAGATCCAAAACATTACAAGTGCGATTATATACCAGCTTCTAGGGAAAAGGAACTTTTCTTCCGCGGATTCCCAGATACTGATGGCTTCCGCAGACAGAAAGGGACTGTAGAAGCTGTCCTCTGTTGTCCGCGGAAGCGCGGCTCTATGATCAGCGGACCCGCGATAATTTGCATCTGGTGAACATCGGTACCGAATTCCAATATTACGGCGCCGCTCTATGATCAGCGGACCCGCGATAATTTGCATCTAGTGAACATCGGTACCGAATTCTAATATTACGGCGCCGCTCTATGATCAGCGGACCCGCGATAATTTGCATCTGATGAATATCGGTACCGAATTCCAATGTTGAGCCGACAATGTCCTATTTTGCTGACAAGAAAACCTTTAAAAAGAGCGAGAAGCACTTAATACGCAATTGGAGTGTACAAAACGCTGAATATCTATTACCGTCTTGCTTGACTCGTCTTTCTTACAACATATTATTATATATTGCGTGCCGACAAATCAAAAACCGCTGATATGACTTCTGGCCGCTCGGTCTCGGTTTTGGGTTTAGGAGTAATGGGCTCTGCCCTTGCTCGAGTCTTTGTTAAAAACGGTTGGAGAACTACTATATGGAATCGTTCTGCCGCCAAAGTTCAGTTGCTGGTCGGCGAAGGTGCCATCGCCGCAAAATCTCCGAGTGAATGTATTGAGGCAAGCGGCCTGGTAATCACTTGTCTCCTCGACCCCCAGGCCCTCCATGATGTCTTAGCGAGTGTCGACTCACATTCCTGTGCTGGACGAAACTTGGTCGACTATACCTCAGGGACCCCTTCACAGATCCAGAAATCGCAGGCAGCAGCAACGAAACTGTCATTCTCGGCCTACCTTCGAGGTGCTATCCTGACGACACCTGCATATGTCGGCCTGCCTGAATCTGTATTCTACTACAGCGGCGATGAGAGGGCCTTTCAGGCGATCGAAAATGACTTCAGCATCCTTGGCCAGCAATACTACCTTGGAGATGATGCGACGTCAGCCACTCTACAAGAATGCATCCTCGTCAATACATTTTTTGGGCTTGCTGCTGGCTTTTTGCAGTCGATGGCCATCCTGAAATCATCCAAACTATATACTGCTGGAGGTGCGAAGAGTTTCTTGTCTGAAGCTCTGGGGCCCTTACTCGCAACTGAGTACCCCAAGCTGCTCGGAGATCTCGCACAGCAGATTGATAGTAAGGACTATGTGAACAAGGGTAGTGATGGCGCCCCATTGGGTTTGCTGTTAAGATCATTCCAGGGGATGCTGGAGACACATTCGGAGCTGGGCCTTGCGAGCATATTTACAGGCCCAATGCTGGAACTTATGAAGGTCAGAGTTGCACAGGGAGGAGCGGCCGAGGAACTAAGCAGCTTGGTGGAAACCCTCTCAGACCCTGCTGCGCTCTCCAAATTATAGGAGGCCAACTATTGTATGGTCAATATCGCCGAGATGTTGTTGGGTGCCTGATTTGTCAGACAATGAATGTGACAGATCCTGTTTGTAGATACCTAGCTAGTTAGCTCTCCCTCTCTGTCCTTTTTGTTCCATACGAATCGATTACGCTGTTTTCTTCTCTGATTCCCCTCGTAATTCGATTCTTAAGAGGCGTGCATGCATCTCCCCTGCCAATGACTAAACACATTTGGGGGGGGGGATGTCTATAGTTTGAGATACATGGGACTTTCCAGAGTTCTCCACATGATATCTCATGAGAGATTGTTAACTGAATAAATATTCCATATTGTGTTTCGAGATAAGTTCCAGGAAATCACTTCAAACGCTTCACCCAAGCGGGATTTGCATCACTCCATTTAGATACAGTTTCACTATTTGGGGTTCTATGATCGCCTACTCTGATAGCTTTTGGGTTCGACTGGTGTCAAACGTTAAATATATGCAGTTGGCCGGTGAGCTGGAAAGGGAATATAGCAGCTCGGTCAGATGGATATTAAAAATGATTCTGTACGTGCATCTGAATGATCAGACAAGTGCGTTCATTTGGTTTTATTTCATGCATAACTATTGGCTTTTCTTAGAGTCTCTTGCAGCCATTCAATGACTTTTATACCCTTCTCTTGGGCCGTATTTAATGCAGGTTTCCTATTTATTGACTTTGAATTCTAGCTAGTATGATTATGATAAATGAAGAATATGGAGTTTGAATTGGCAGTTCACAGATGCAGTTCATTGCGTTCCCACTGTGGATATCAAAAAAGACCAACCGACACTATATAATCTAGACTCCCGTAAAACAAACCCTTGGGCTCCAATTTACCCACCAGCCTACCTAGGCCCGAGTAATGGCCTGATATGGCAAGCAACTAAATGTTTCGCAACTCCGTTGAGGGGCTCCGCAGATTCCTGTATAGCGTTTTAAACGCCGGCCACGAGATGGACACATAAATAAGACTATTCCAGAACCCCTGCAAAGGAAGCACAAAACTCGACGCATAGTTGAGCCCGAACGAGAAGTCGTTGGGGCGAGCGAACGCGTATACTCGGTTGACCGTGGAGGGAACCTGTACCAGATTAGACTTGGACGCTATGCTGAATTGAATTGAGTTAACTGAGTGTAACCACGTACCCACGTCACAAGCAGTGCGATAAAGAACAGCATCGCGTATTTCGTATACGCCCACGCCGCAGAGGTCGCCTCTATCGCCTTCCCCCGCTGCGCATACGAGTCCCTGCACTCGCGCCGCGCCGATTTGACAGATTCCTCTGTGCGGAGCGGACTTGGGATCGGCCAGGGGCGACTCGGGTCCTGGATAGGCGCGGAGCTTTCCCCTAAGTTCTGCAGCATGCTGAAGGGATCGATCGGGCCGCCCTCGACCGTGACGGAGTACGGCCTAAACGAGGAGGCCGTGAAGCTGCGGATGGGGACGTCATTGGTCGACAGGGACCGGTGCACTGGCGCGAAGCAGGCGATTTCGCTGGTGACCTGGATGCTGGCGTGTGTGACGAGCGGGGCATTAGGCTGGGTGTCAGTGCCGAAGGACTCGATACCGCTGATGCTACGCAGCTCGCGGTGTTTCTGGTAGATGACGGACCCAGCGCGCAGGTAGATGGCGAAGGTGAGGCAGATGACGAACCACACTGGGCCGTAGAAGACGGCGATGCGGAGGTAGTCCCAGGGCAATGCGACCCAGCACCAGAGCTATACAACGAATATTAGAACTTTTTAGGAAGTTGAGGAAAGGGTATGTGGTTCTATAGGTGGTCTTACAATTGCAGAGCCGTAGACCCAGCCCTGGGCCTGGGTGTGGATGAAGAAATATATGAAGGATGGGATGAAGGGCAAGCCGTAGCAACACACGATATATTTCCACTCGATCTGGCGCAATTGCTCTGAGTTATACTTGTAGAAGAATGTTAAGTAGACGTTGCACGCCATGGCAAAGGTCCACAAAGCGTCAGCGGGCATGAGCCTACCTGCCATTAGATACGCACTGGACTATAAGCACCTATTGAACCAATCAAAAAAAAGACTCACCACTGAATCAAAAAAGCCTGAACCTGGCACAGAGAGCTCCTAGTCCCAGCGTGGATCCCCGATTGAGAAATCATCGTCGCTATATTAGCCATCATGTTGCCCCAAGATGCGTAGAACACGAGGCGGTTGATCGGTTTGCGAAATGAGCGCGAGCCGATGAAACTAGCTATGATAATAAAGGTACCAATGAGCGATATGGCAGAGCAGATGCGCTCCGTGACTGAGATAGCGGCGAGCTGTCGCTGCGAGGGCGCGGGTGCCATGATGTCATGGCCTAGAGGGCGGCAGGCGTGCTGGGAGATGTTTCTGGCACCATGGGGGTTCGATCAAGATCCCATGCCCACCAAATCTATATAGAAGGAACGAGAAAGAGAAAGGATGCAGCTGTTTTTACACAGCACAAGCTGCAAGACAGCCAACACAGACAATGCTCCCGTGGTCTCTTCCTGGAAGACCCGGGAGGCAGTTAATATTGCAAAGCGAGCTCGGTGGCGCGGTACACCCGTGGACGCTAGTAACAAGAACCCGTGGAACCGGCCCAGAGGATTCTCGCCCCCCGCACAACCCACTCGATACAACCTCTCATATTCCGCACTCACCCGGGCGACACCCACCGAACTATTGATCGAGCTTAAGCCACACGCCGGTGAGTTAGTAGTTGGGTGGATGACCACCAGCGAATCCTCACTGTTGTATGTTTTTGCTTTTTCGCTTTTGCTTTTAACTTTTGATTGTTAGTCGAATATTGGTGGCATTGGTGGCACTGCTATAGGTAAAGTTTAGATTGAAGCCCTCCCTATTAAACGGCCGCATAAATTTCCAATGCGTCATGTAACCTTCCAAAAACACCTCCATGCCACCCTCTAACCAACTCCCACTCCTCAACAGGCAAAGTCTTGCTCGCCATCCTCAACCAAGCCCCAACAATAAGATCCGCATAATTAGCCCGATCGCCAAGTAAAAAAGGGCCATTCCCACTAAACAGCTTCGCCAATCCCCCCAACATATCCCGAAAGGACCCAACGAGCTTCTCGCGCTGTTCGCCTGTAATAGCGAAATCCTCCCAACAGCTCACCCCAGCTCGCCGAACAAACTCAGCCTTCGTCTCCTCGGCAGTTGCAGGATCAAACTGTAGCCCTTGGACCATGAGTGCGACGTGCGTGGTGAACGCAGCATCGACATTCATATTGAAGCGCGCATATTCGGGGTATTTACCCTCGTCGCACTCAGACAAAGGAATTAGAATAGCAGAATCCGGGCTGAAGACGTAGTCTAGGGTTTGGGGCGGGAAAATATCGTTTCCGGCTGGGTATTGCTTTTGTAGATAGACGGCTATGTCGAAGGAGTCGCCGAGTTTGCGGGATGTTGTGGGGTCCACTAGGATGGGGAGAGTGTGGAAGTCGGTACCGTCGGCGAATTTGCGGCATGCGGGGATGTTGAGGCTTGTCCGGACGCTGGATACATCGGGTAGTTGAACCCAATTGGTTGAGTAGGGAAGTGATTTGAAGTTCAGGGCTAGACGGGTTTTCCAAGGGTTTACGGCGCTGTTGTTCTTTTCAACTGGGGGGCGCATGGCAATGTCGTAGAAAACTAGTTTGGTATCCATAATGAGGAATTAATAGGTTGTTCTTTCTTGATTATGGAGTTTCGAGTGTATATGTCCTGATCGATGCAACTTAGATGTGCGACGTGGCAAGGGTGAAGGGTGTAGACACGTGACCTCGTTTGTTCTGGTCTGCAGATTAGATACCTCTTTTCTTCGTTTCCTTTTTCCCCTAGTCTTGTTGGTAGCAAAGTCATTTTTGTCTCTTTTCTTACTTCGTGCCCTAAAAACGTTGACAGTAGTTGCGGAGATGACGTGATTTGTTGCCCAAAGCGGGACCATCAGCTCAGAATTTGATAGTTTTGGCTCAACTCACGAGACTAACACTTACATTTGAACTAGAGAAAAAATATCCCTCATCTACTGGGACCGCTAATAAGGCAACTGCTGGGACAGTTTGTTAAGTGTAGAAGACAAGAGGTCAGAGATGGGGGGAATAGAGCTAGTTTCTTGAGGAAGAGACGACCTCGGGAGCTCTCAGAACCAGCTACAACTATCCTGAGCTAATGCCCCAAAACATCAGATAACTACATATCTCAACCACCTGCCTCCCAGGCACCCATCTTAACACTGTTGATCAGGTGTTATTGGGGGCCTTAGGCCTCTAATGGTGTCAATACCATGTAGTCGCTTAGGTCTCTCCTCCCTTCTCTCTTTTCCTTTCTCTCCCCCATTCACTCCGCTCCATAGTGAATGCACACCCCTTTTCTCTCCATAGAGATCTCTCGTTATGTATCACACCCTAGAGGTGTCTACCAAACCCACCGAGCAAGCGATGCGATGTCGACCCTGGAGAACATTGCTGAATGTAAAGTCAGCCGACATCCCAAAGAGGTCTACAGATCTGAAGAAGGCCATAAGAAGCTGGGTGCAAGCGACAGGCGGGGATACCATAATTCCGGGGTATCTCGGCTTTTTTCATTGGAAGGAGTTGAGATCCCTCTTTTGCACTTGGTCAATCATAAAGGTTTGGTTCAAATTCATTCATTCGGTCAGCTGATTGTAAAATACTGCAGCATTCTGAATACTGACGGACAAGCTCACCCAGAATAGGATGTCCAAAGCCACGGATCCAGATCGGGACATGGCCGCTGACAGGCGAGCTGTCGGCTAAAGACCGCGTACATACAAAGGGTACTGAGTGGTGTGCTTCGTGAACCATCTTTTGAAGAGGTTCATGGTGTACACACTGCCAACATTGCTTCAGCCAACAAGAAACACAACAAGGCTACAATTGATGGCTTCGGAAAGGTACTCGGCGTAAGCTTACCCGAAATTGATGCGACCACGAATTGTAACGGTCTCTTCGGTGGTCTCTCAAACGAGTTCCCAAACGGTCTTTCCAGCCATCTCTCCGACGAATTCCGTGCAATGTCCAAAAGAGCCATCAACTGAGTAATCGTTGAAGCAAAGAAAGAGGGTATGGCGGGCGTTGGAAAAGCTCAACTCGTAAGCTACATGGGTATGTCTTAATAAACTATGCCTAATAGTATTCTTCTAACTATTCCCTTTTCTCGTGAGAGGGATCTTCGCGACGAAGAACAATTCAGAGTCAACGGTTATACATAGAAAAGTCTCTTGCGCAAAACATGCGTTTTACCGTCTTCATATACACCTAAACAGACATCAAAAAAGACATCAAAAAAGACATCAAAAAAGACATCAAAAAAGACACCAGAAAGGCACTTCGGAAGGTTCTTACATATAACACTCCTAATACCATCTTGGTCCAAACATTTGAATAGATCACATTATTAAAGTCTTAGGTCGTCAATACAGAGGCCGCATAAGCGGCCGACGATTCTTGGTTCACATAACTCTAGAAATGGAAGCATTAGATAAAGACGATCCCATCACATGGAGTTTTGCCTCGCATTCAACAGTTGCTGAATGATGAGGAAGTGCACAGGATGCATACCTATTGTTGAAGCCTTGCAAAGGATATTAAGAATGAATGCTTATTAGATGTCCACGGGTAGACCTACATGCAGGTACTTCAAAAATTATGTCCCCAGGTCCACCTGGGCAGGTGACTTCGGCAATGTCCACGGGTGGCTCTAGAAACAGTAAGATCCCCCCCTTTCCTCTTTCCTTCCTTCCCTTCTTCCTTCCCTCCATAAAATATCTGGACTTGCCTCGTCTGAGGGCAATTTACCAGCCCCTGGCCTGGAAAGTCCTCGGCCTCGTGGATCCCAACAACACACAACCATCAAAAGATTTTAATCGTCGAATGTTTATCACGGTCCTCATGCTGGAGTTGTCCACGCACGAGATCCTCTCAAAAGAGAAAGACTAAAGCCGGGTCTTTATTATGAAATACGACACTGAGTCCACTGGAATGGATCTCCCGAAGGCATGTGACCGCGTCACATTGGCAAAATTGTGAAAAACCTGGGTGTAGGAGACCATGGATAGGTTGGCTGTTGGAAGGACTCATTGGGTACGTTACTGGCCACGCTGAATAACCCTTATCAAGAGATTGACTACTAACACATTCACCCGGATCACTTCCAGATATGACCCAGCGTGCAACGGCTTCAGAAGATCTACACCAAATATGCCGGTATTTCCGTTGCTTAATCGCAGATGACGCCCACAAGATCAAGAATAAGCACACGGTAATCTGGGCATTATTGAAGCTCCAAGGTTTTGCAGGAAAGTACTTGCCACAGCTACCCCCATGTTCAACTCAATTCGGGTAAGTTAATGTTCGCTGCACCCCCGCCAACGCTACTTTCTAAGCAAAAGCGAGCAACAGCTACAGGACATGGTTGGACTAGTGGACTTAGTAGGACCAAAATCTCGCAGGCCTATCCTGTGCCTCTAAATCAGCGATCAAGAAGTTCAAGCCAGCAAAGTTGAAGCCCGAGTATGGTCGATTGGATCAGTATTCTCAGTTGAGACTAGCAATCCTCGACCCATAACTGTCCTGATCGTACACACCACGAATTCCGTTGACTAGATTCGGACACAGGCCAAGAAAGCTGGCCTTGGGAGTGTTGGAATACGTGTCCATTTTGATGCCTAATCCAGATTTCAAAGCACGGCACACAAATATCTCTGGGTCAAGCTGAATGAAAACGGAATAAATGACGTTCTTTGAGTTCAAGACAACCTGGCCATTCTCACAGCCTTCCCATCAGTCTCCCCAGCAGTCTTTCGAGTCGGGGATCCGCCCGCGCTTCCTGGTCAATTGCAACTGGCTGTACACCCGCTATATCGTCGACTCTTTCCTAGCACCCATTAGCCTCAACTTTGTCGTTATTCCCGTTGGCATGACACTAGAGCCCGGGTTGCAGCAATCGACTAGTTCACCGACCGCGGCACCATGACGGTCGTCCTCACGACCACGCTCAACTGTGGCGCACTAGGTCTAAACATACCTAGGTGCACGCCTCCTATAGCCAAACAGTCTTTCCAGTCATCTTTTCAACAGGCTTTCAACAGTCTTCCGACTTCATTTAGCCTCACATCCACCCGCTAATATCTCTTTTCTTTGTTCTCTTCTGTCCAGGAAAGCATGGATGCTGTTGCCAACAAGCTTGCCTGCTTCCTAATGGTCGATCTTGCCTAATTCATCTTGAGCCAGATATATTAAGTGGCCCAGACTCTAACACGGCAAGACATAATGATCCCATCCGTCGGCCGACAATGGAATCAGGAGAACTACCCCCGGTCGACCGCCAACCTGGAATATTTGACCTCGACCCAAATGCGGGAGGGCTTGCTAGTACAGGGGGCCCGTTACCATCAGGAGATGGGACAATTACGGGAGGTCTCTGGCCTTTGGAAATTACGAGAACAGAGCCGCCATAAAATCCGGGACCTCCAACGACAACTCAATCACCAATAGGCCGATCCAGATGTGCGCGTGCTCACCTTGAAGCGGCGCCTTGAAAATATGACGGTCGACTTTGATCGCCTCTCCTGCAACCACGACCGCATGCGCATGGCGTTGAGTCGTCTGTCAGAAGAAGGGCACGACTTACCTCACAGAATGCCTTTGAGAGAGTGATGAAGGATGTGGTGTCAAAAGAAAACATTCACACAATGCCTTCAATGCCTACACTATTCCCGCGGAAAGAAAACAAGGACGCCCCTCCGGATTGGGAGACCGCCCTGATCAGTGGCTTAACTGCCGTTATAGTCCTAGCTATGGTCGTCTGCGCCGCCTTTTCTTGGCGCTGGTATGTCAACCCTGCTTTTTTCTCTTTGATTGTGTGTTGTGCTAAATAAAAGATATATACAGCCTAGACAAAAGGAAGCCCACGACGAAGTTAGAAGCCGAATTCCACTTTGGGGATTAGCAGCTAATGCAAGGCTGCAAGGATTGGTCAGTTGTGTTGCCATCAAGCTTCTCTTGGTAAAGAATAGGTAATGGTCCCGTTCGTTCACTGGCGCGATGTTTTCATTCCGGATGGAGCCCAACCTCCCATTTAGTGGTCGTAGGCGTGTGCCAGTTGCAATTTTTCGTCCGGCGCCAACAAATGCTCCTTCCGCCCAGAAAATGGTGCTCCCTCGAAGTGGCTCATCGACCTTTGTGCGGGCCAAGAACTCTCAAACAGCCTTCTAAAGTGTAAGGCCGTGCTTATTGTGGAGGCTGCGGCTGCCGGCGGCCCGCCGCTGTCGTTGCGGGCGCTGCCGCTGGCGTTCCCGGCCCCGCTGCTCCCCGAAGGCCCGCAAGGTCAAGAAGGGAAAGGGCCGCGCGAATGCTAAGGACCAGCGGAAGGTTGCCAAAAGTGGTGGTAAGGATGACGGGAAGGTTCATCAGCCAGGCTGTGCTTTTCTCGGTGCTTGCTTGCTCTAGTTAGTCAGACCTCTCTTTGTCTTCATGAAGTATAAGGTTTCATGGCAGTAAGCAGTTTTCATACGCAGATCTTGATTCTTCTTCCTCTCTTGCTTGGTGTTAGTGCACCTACATCAGTAGCCTTTCATATACCACAGTAATAGTCTCACTTGGTTGCTGTTGATAGTTGTATCGAGCTGTGTCAAGGTCGCTTTGCCAGGACCATAGTCTTTGAGCTTTGATTCCTGGTCGGTCATCGACTGGCGGTAGTTCTCCAATTTCCCTTTTTGGTCGACGGATGGGATTATTATGTCTTACCGATTAGAATATGGGCCAATTGATCTATCTGGCTGAACATGAATTCGGGACATCATATCTAATATGACACTGTAATGTCCTTTCTAGGTGTCTTCTTGCATAGTTTCATGGATATTATTTTCGAAGATCTTCTTAAGATATCTTCCTCTCCGGTGGTCCCAAGTATTTAGTGGTCTCGGTGGGTATTAAACCCTTCATTTTGTACATTCACTCCTATTTGTATGTACTCTATAAAGATCGCTAGTTATGTAGTATATATACTATTTATGCTTCCTTAACACGCGCTATACCCGCTTGTGGTCACCCAGCCAACTAATACCCCAGCGTATGGTTTATATGCGGCCAATAGTTCGGCAGGTGTAGGGTGAGAAGGGTGAGTGCACTATAGACGGTGTGAGAATCACCCGCGGCAGCCGCATTGACCCCCTCAGATGACACGAACCGTGATATTATTGGGTTACTCCCTTTCCTTACCCGTAAGCCCATCTCGCTGCCCCGCTCTTCTCCTCAAACCTCTGTTTATCAAAATCATGGTAGTGTCCAATATCTTTCCATTTCCGGGGGTGAAACATGGTGAACGCATTCTCGTTTCAGTCATCGAGAACAGAGCCAGCAATGATTCCGATAAACCGTGGGTATCAGTTCCAGTGGATGACCAGGACTTGTCCCAAGGCTACAAGGAGATCAATTTCCGGCAGTTAAACAATTATGCCAACCATGCGGCACAATGGTTGACTGAGAATCTCCCCCATACCTCCGAACCATTCCAATGCATTGCTTATGCCGGCCCTAAGGATCTCCGCTACCCGATCCTGGCCCTGGCCGCCGCAAAGCTGCAAAAAGTGGTATGTATGAGTGAAAGTCTATCGAGTTAGTAAATATGTTAATAGAATGAATCAAGTTGGTACTGCCATCACCACTCATTACGGCCGAGGCGCAGAAGATAATCCTTGATGCAAAGAGCTGTGCTCTGTACCTGCGGCCGTTTTCTTTGGCAGAACATGTCGGCGCCGTACTGAAGGAGGCGCCTCATATCCAAGCTGTCACCGTTCCCGAGATTGATGAATTTATGAAGGAGACGGAAGCTCCGACATATTCCTACCCCAAGTCCTGGGAAGAAGGGAAATATGATCCTTGGCTTGTCTTCCACACATCGGGGACGACAGGTTTGTCGTTGTTTCAAATACCTTGAAATCTTATGCTAACTATTACCGCAGGCCATCCAAAGCCACTGACATATACTCAAGAAATGATGGCTGTGGCCGATATGATAGCGGCAACCCCGGACCTCGAAGAATGCTTCGCCCACCACTTTGCCAAAGAGAGACTGTACACACCTCTGCCATCCTTACACGTGCGCCCCCTTGCCTTGGCTATTCCTCAAAAAGTTTTCTGACCTAAATATAGCTGGTTGGAATGATTTTAGTGCTAGCTTTGACCTCCTTTATCGATACGACCCTGGTCATTGGTCCGGCAACGCCACCAACCCCAGAGACCGTCGTAGACATTATGAAATACGGACAAGTCAAAATTGCCGTCCTGACGCCCGCAATTATCGAGGAGCTCTGCTTGACACCTACCGGCATCAATGCCCTGCGGAACCTAAAATCAGTTCACTATGCCGGTGCACCTCTGTCGGCCAAGGCAGGGGATATGTTGATCTCTCATACTCGGGTTGTACCTACCATTGGAAGCACAGAGACCGGGGGATACATTACTTCAGTTCATGATAAGAAAGAGGCATGGGATTACGTTGTTTTCCAGAAGCACGCTGGTGCGGTTTTCGAGCACCGCTTTGATGACCTCTACGAGCTGGTCTTTGTGCGCCAACCTGATTCGAAGATACAGTCAATTTTTCAACTGTATCCGGATCTTGATCGTTACCCGACTTCTGATCTGTGGGTCGAACATTCAGACCATAAGGGTCTGTGGAAGATCGTCGGCCGCAGTGATGACCATGTGAGCTTCTCCCACGGGGAGGGCTTGTATGCTTCGCGCCTTGAGCCTGATATTGAAGTCCATCCTGCGGTTAAGTCGGCTTTGATTGGTGGGCATGGTCATTCGGCACCGGTGCTGCTTATCGAGTTGTATCCTGAAGCGGTCAAGGAAGATTCTCATGATCAGTTCCTTGCTTCTTTGCAGCCGAACATTGAAAAAGTTAATGCTCAGGTTCACGACTGTGTGAATCTTTCTGCTGGTAGAATTATCATTGCGACGAAGGAAAAGCCGTTTGTTCGAACGGTGAAGGGAAGTGTTGGAAGAATGCAAACTTTGACGTTATATAAGAATGAGGTTTCTGCTCTCTTTGATTAGATGAGAACTATGGACTATCAAAGTTGTGTGTGCTCATTTAGGACTTGAATAGAACTATATAGGCAAAATTCATATGGAGAAGAGAGAATATTCCGATAAGCACCCTTTTATATGTCTTTTTTGATGTCTTTTTAGGTGTATACGATGGCGGGAAAAAGCATAAATTGTGCAGACTTTTCTATATATAAAATCTTTGATTAACTGAATCTCAGAATGCATAGGAAGAGCACACGAATAATATAAAAGACCGATAGAAAGACCATAGAAAGGTTAAATATCTCATATATGCTACCTGACTATCTGATCACGAATCACAGACTCTATATACAGGCTTCAAGCGGAAACAGGAGTAATCTTAGCGACCTCCTTCAAATCACGACTACTGAATCCAACACGAAGGACAAACTCGCCTTCGGGAATAAGCCACTTCTGAGAAACAATATCCCAATAACTCAAATCCCTGCGCATCAACTCAAATCCAACAGTGCGCGACTCACCCGGAGCCAAAGAGACCTTCTCGAAACCGCGCAGCTGCTTGGGCGGTGTTCCCTCAGGGGTGGTATCTGGGAATGTAACGTACAACTGGGGAACGGTAGCACCCTTGACATCACCAGAGTTGGTAACTGAGACGGTCACGTTGTAGATAGTCTCCCACAGGGTGGGATTTCCACCAGGCTGAATAGGTTTCTCTTCTGGGATGGAGGGGATGGAGTCAGCCACGGGCTCGGCGTTAAGGTCGGAGAGGTTGAAAGTTGTGTACGAGAGACCGAAGCCAAATTCGTACTGCACGGAGATATTCTTAGCGTCGAAGTAGCGGTAGTCGATCTCGAGCTTCTCATCAAACCAGGACTGCCAGTCGTCGGTGCCGTTGGTGGACACGGCGGTGGTAGGCGGGGCGTTGTAATCACTGGCATTCTTGGCAATTGTGTAGGGCAGGTGACCGGAGGGATTGACGTCACCGTAGAGGACGTCGACGATGGAGTTACCGGCTTCCTGGCCGGGGTAGTGGGCGGCGACGATGGCGGTGACATTGGGGTGGCTGGCCCAGGGGAGGATGTTGATGCCGGAGGAATGGGTGATAACGATTGTGTTGTTGCAAGACTTAGCGACGGACTCGACCACATCGTTGCCGTCGTAGTCCACTGTCAGGTGCTCTCGGTCGGCGCCTTCTTCGGCCCAGGTCTTCAGGAAGACCAGGCAGGCATCGGGGGTGGTGGGAACCCAGAGATCGGTGACATTCTTGGTCGCAATCTGGGTGTTGTTCAAGAAGTATTGGACAAGAGCGTTGTCCTTCTTGGCGCGAGTCTTGATGGCCTCGAGTGGGGAGACGAGATAGGTAAAGCGGCCGGTACCTGAGCCACCACCAGAAGCGAGGTTGCCGAATTCGAAAGTTTCCTGATTCACTGCTCCCATTGTGTTCTCACCGGCATCGTTGCCGAAGACAGCGATGTTCTTAGGAGCCCTCAAGGGCAAGACCTGCTTTTCATTCTTCAACAAGACGGTTGCTTCAGCTGCGAGCTTGCGGATCAGCTTGCCGTGATTTCCGCGGACATCACGGCTTCGCTCGCCGGTGAGATTGAACTCGCGGAGCCAGGTTGAACGGGGAGAGAAGGTGTTCAGGTCGGCGGATGAGGGGTCCACCTCCGGGTAGTCCTTATCCTGGCCGAGCCAGTAGTAGGGTGTCATAATTCGGACGATCATGTCATCAACGCGAGATTCATCGACAGTTCCGTTGTTGACGGCATATGTCACGTTCTTGCCGAAGAAAGAGCCAGCCTCGGGGGTTAGACCGTAGGCACCGATACCACCGGGCATGTTCATGTCGAGACCACTCTCGATCGAGGCGACACCAGAGTGAGTGCCACCCCAGTCGGACATGACGTATCCCTGGAAACCAAGCTCTTCTTTGAGCAGTCCGTTGAGTGCCTTGGAATTCTCGCAAGCATAAGAACCATTCAGACGTTGGTATGAGCACATGAAGCTAGCAGCCTGGGCGCGGACGGCATTGGCGAAGGGCCAAAGGTACAGCTCATGCATAGTTCGGTCATCGATGTTGGAGGAAAGTGCTTCCTGAATCACATCCGTGAGTGTTCCATTGGAATCATAGGTAGGGTTACGCTGAGTCTCCTGCTCGTTACCGATGAAGTGCTTGGCGGTGGCTTGCACGCCAGCATCCTGGTGGCCGCGAATGGTCTTCTCCATAGCGACACCGGTCAAGTAGGGATCAGCAGCAAAGCCTTCCCAGTTTCGGCCTGCATAGGCAGAGCGGCCGAGTGGGCCGGCCACAGGGCTCAAGGCAATGTGAGCACCTTTGGCCTTGAATTCTTGTCCCATGGCGTAACCTCGTTCATAGAGGAGATCTCTGTCCCACGTGGATGCCACGGTGACACCAGCAGCAAAAACGCTGGCATAGTCGGCTACCCGAATTGACAGAGGGCCGTCCTGCAAGCAGAGGCCTGGGAACCCGAGTCGTGGGATAGCAACAATGTTTCCCACACAAGGACCCGGCTGGCCAGTGACCATGTCGGCTTTCTCATCGACAGTCAGCTTGGCGACAAACTTTTGGGCTTTAGCGTAGGCTTCCTCCCACTCGCCTGAAGCGGTAGCATTTGCTGTGGTATAGATTAGCAAGAGCTCAGTGATATAAATGACGATTGAAGAGGAACATACGTGAGGGAAGGACGGCCGGGGAGTGTCCGTAAGCCCCCAGAATGGTTGTGTTCTTGGGTTGGACATAACTGAAAGCATCTTCACTTCGACCGCTTCCATCAAATGATTGGCCATTAGCCAGTGTGGCAGCCAAAAGGCCTGAAACCACAAATTGAGCGACGCGGGCCATTCTTCGTAACTTCGTTAGGCACGAGCTCGAACGGTCTCTGGAGATGCCATCTTGGGATGTTCACTCCTTTTTATAGCCTGCAATTCACAACCCGCAACCTATCTCCGGAAATTAACCCGGTGGGGTATGGGGAAAGACAGGTTTGCCGGGGTTCTACCGGTGAGTACAACGTTCGAAAGTTAACTTGAAGTAACCGGAGTTCTGCCGAGGGCAAGTCTTGGCATTCCCGTGGGGACCCCACACATTCCTCTTTCTGGGGAAATTTCTTCATGCAAGCCTGAGTCATGTCAGTGCTTCAGAGTCAGTGCGCAGCACAATGTATGACGCATTTCGATTCTCTAGCTCGGGTTCCCCTCCATCTGTCGGTCCGATTAGCTCTCAACGGTCGTCAATTTCTTCCGAATTTGCTCTCCAGGTGCTAAGTAAATGTGAGAAAGAACCTTGGAAACCTTGACAAAAAATGGGGAACTTAGCCCGAGGATGCCAACCTTGGCACCACGCGACATTTCCATGATGATCATCGCCTTGGCAACTAGACTTGGCTAGCGGGTATCTCACACGGCGACTTCATCGGAGACGGAAAGTCGGCATCTTCACCAATGTATATGTGCCGCAATCGCCGGCGATACTTCGGATGCTCGATAAAGTTTGTTGTTCCGCTTAGTGTCTCGCGACGATGTCACTATGGGGTACCTACACTCCGGCGCTAGCCATTGGCATGCCCGCAAAGCCACCGGATAATGTTCTGAGGGGTAGGAAATTAGTGTTGCCGGTACGGAGTATATTGACAGGAGGTGGTGGCGTGGACTCGATGGCTACAACCTATCCCGCTTTTTCGGCATTTGAGTAGTGTCCACCGGCTCATGGCCAGCTTAGGGCCGTGCTTTGTCCTCGGATGGCAGCACTCTTTCTATCCTTGAAAGAGGGGTCAGATGGTTTATAATCATTATGAAAGCAAATTGAAGTTTTCCGAGGTTGCTAGCGGCGGCTGAAGTATGTTCATGTCATACAATCTGATTCCCCAACTTTTACTAAAAGGCCTGCTATAGTTCATGTACTTAAGCAATCGGTATATCTTGCAGTGACTGCAACTCTGTCAGCTTTATAGTCTATTTTCTAGCTAGCTAAACAAAAAGTCACCCGGGATTCATATTGAGACAGTCCCAGTGCAACAAACCCGGGCGCAGTGTGGCGTCTTGCAGCATGAGCCACTTCCATTTGGTAACAAGGCTATCAGGACTTAGCAGTAAGATACACCTACGCCAGCTTCAGTGGCACGTTTGAAAATGCACATTTGATTGGCTTGCTGCTCTAGTTTTGTTATATACGACCGGCAATTCTACAGATATTTAATACAAAATACATTATTCTCTATTGATATGAGAGTAAAACTGGCTTGTCTGCACTTTTTATCTGAAAGGGTATCGGATGGGGGTTAAATAGACATCCAAAAAGACACATGGAAGGTGGATAAGAGGATTAAAAAGATTGATCCGATTGCCACAAGTATTCTGCATAACTGAATATAACTATATCCTACCTACCTACACACTATATTCTATGCTTTCGAGGGGTTGTTCTTAATATCTATCCATAAAATTCTATCAAACGCCCTAGGTGTGGTCACTGAATCATGAACCTGCTTTAACTACTATTGCTCAAAGCTGCCTACCTGAAGGTATAATTACCACAAAGAGTAATAAGAAATAATTGAACATAAAAGGAACTACTAACATTCACTATGATCAAATCTACTTCGTTATATGATCAAATTCATAATTGGTAGACTTTGGCCTACATTTCAAAGGTCGTGGGGTCGTGATATATAGTTCAGTTCGAGTTCAATTTTAAGAAAGCTTTTTAATTATCGCCCTTAGGAAGCGAATGCCTATTATATAGCGAAATAATAACAAAACGCAAGTTGATTTTTATATAGAAAAAAAAAAAAAGGGAAAAAAAACTTACAACAGTGATGGTAGCCGGCCGAAGCTCTGTAAGGGTAACCCGTCTACCGATTTAGGCCTACGGTCCTGTAGTTTAATTAGCACACTTATAACTCTCTATAAAACACTAAAACCTACCTATATTAAATAGAATATATACGGATCTATTTTTAATAAGCTTAGGATTAGTAGTCTAGTGTAACGGATAAAGATCCTTACAACTAGAATATCAAGGTTGGTAACATTAGTCTATTATTGGTGGATTGGTCGTGCAACGTAGGCGATCCGAGAAAGGTTCGTCATAGGACAGCCATGTTAGCATTGGTTGGTATACTATTTCCCTAGATCCCTCTTAATTCTAGTAAGAAATAGGGTCACCCGCCTAACTACTAACTTACCGGCGTGTGGTATGTGCGGTCAATAGTTCGGTGGGTGTCGCCCGGGTGAGAAATGGTGACAGCCCAAGAGTCGAAACGCCCTAAGGCCCACCGTGGACGGGCCTTGGGCACCTCGTAGGTGCCCATGGACGGGCGATGTCGCAGTCTAGTAGGTGCGTCACTCGCTTACCGAATACGTTAACTAATTAACTGATATTCTAAACCTCTTCTTCTCGCTCCCTTCTTTCTCTTCCTTTCTTTATCTTTAGTATTTCGTTTAAATAGGACTCTTATCTCTTTTTTAATCAGACTTGCCGTGTTATATAGAGGCTATAATAAAGGTCCTACTCGACCGACAGTAAGATAATATCGAAATTTTAGAGGAGTTTGTCACTAGTATTATATTGTGGGTGAATGATGATAACGCTTGATAACGTATCAATCTTCGAATCGCTTCAAATTTCCCAATTCGGAGGTGTTACATAAGCTAGGGCCGACGCGGGGTGCACGAGTACGCAGGGACATTGGAAGACCAATTTGGTAGCTGCGACTTTCAATTGGCTTTGATCACCGAAACCTGCCACGCCGACTTTTGATTAGAATCTTCGTTATAAAGGAACTGGTGAACACCAAAAATCACCTAGGTAGATACCTTCACACAATGTCTGCCACCGGTGCTCAACTAGGCTCATCATGCGGTTTCTCAACGCGCATTTCGCTCCGATGGGTCCCAGAAGTCCCTGAGGAAACAACCGACACAATTGTGCTTTCCGTGGGAGAGTGGTTCCTTGATTTGCGAATGGACAAGAAATCCGGCGACATCGACTGGGCAATGGCCGGCACTAGAATCGAGGAAAATCCTAAGGGAATCCCACGTTCGTTGCCCTGAACTCACCTATTATTGTCGTTTACCTTCTTGACTGAATAGCGACTAATTGTTTTAACAGTCAAAGTTATCTTTACGCGCGAGTTGGACTCCCTGAATGAGATCGGCATTAAGGATATTGGTAACTTTAGCCCCCGTCCCGATGGTACCGATCTTGAAAGCGGGGAGATGCCTCGGGCCGACCTTCCTGGTGCGCCTATGACAGCCTTTGAGGAGGTCTGGCAGGAGTTACCCTTCAGAGAAGGCCCTGAAGGGGCGAAGAAAGGGATTTCGTGGATTCTAGAGTCCGATGATGCTCCCCTAGCTCCAGGTGAGCAGGAAGGACAGGTGACCGTAACCAAAATCTTTATGGGCCGCATCTGGGGAACTTATTTGGCGTTCCAGCAAACTCAGACTCATTCTAGCCAGAAAGATGAGAGCGGAGTGTGGTCTGTGAAGAGGTCGGGAAGTGAAGTCAGTGCGAGAAGAGAAGAGTGGGGTTCTAGGTGGGAGGAGAAATATGTGGTGGGCCCTGATGGAGCTGCCGTACCCTCGATGAAGAACGGCTATGACGGAGAAGGTATGGGCACATGGAGGATCCCAGGGGAGAAGGTGGTTATTCAGGGAAAGTCGTTCATTGTTCGGGCCTTCGAAGAGATTCAGTAAATATGGACCGTATAACCAAGGAAGAGGCGCACCGCCTCTTGCAAACCATGCTCTATAAAAGTTCCATCGTCAGATCGAACCTCAAAGGCGACAGGCTACGTGGTCTCTCAGATTATGATCAGTCAAAAGGCGAACAAAATAAGTTCTAAGGCTGAATCAAACATTACCACTCAAATATAACTTAAACTTCTCCATGTCATAGCCTATAAAATGGCTCTAGGTATCATCCAAGTCAATGAGCATCATACACCTGAAACCTTCTTGTTGTTCAATGATTCGTCCGCACATCTCTCTTCCCAGACGAAGTATGTCACTGGAAAGGTAACTCCAGGAAGAATGACCGTTGAAAAAAAGAAATTTTGCTAAAAGAAATAAGATTCGAAACGAATATTTGGTAAGTAGTTCCATATGATGCAGTAGAGTGAAGATTCTCAAACTTTGCACATAATTGGCCGCGATGGAAGAAGAACTTGATATATATTGTCTTGTTTGCCAATTACATCATTTTATCTTCCATTCCGCCGCCCGTGATTGCCCCATCTATGGTCTTGATGTCGCTCGAACTTGAGCGATCTATTCAGGATGTTACAATGCTTATTGCATATCAACTTCTTGCGTGTTTTCAAACAATCAAATACCCCGGAGACGGGCTCCTTCGATAACTTTCTGCCAATTAATATCTATATCTATCGCTATAAATTCCTGTCTCAAGTCTGAGCCTGACGATTCTGGAGATTATGTACATTGTCAGATATCAAGGAGGGCACAGTTTACTTAAGATCTTATCGGCACTGGGCAACCTCTGGCTATTAGCAATTCTTATAGAGATAATGAAAGTTAGTAGTCTGGAGATCTAAGCCCGACACTCGAGGGTGGAGAAGGAGTTTATAGTAGTTCTTCTCTAAGAATCAAAGAGCGAGTATGGAATGAAGCTGGTTTCCTAAATATCTTCACCCAACATTTGCACCCAGTCGCACAACAAGCTTCCCGTCCAGTTCGTTCACGCGTCTAGCATAGCTCTTTAGTTCGTGAATGCCAATTTCTGTCACCCTTGGCTTCACCAAGCCCTTGCGAACAAATTCTGCAGCCTCTGCAATATCCACACGACCGCCCGCGATGCTCCCAACGATGCGAATTCCATAGTCAATCAAAAAGAGGGGGAAAAGTGATATCTTTGAAGTAGGCGGGGGTATTCCTACTGCCACCAGAGTTCCGTGGTAATCCAGACAATTCAGAGCTTCATCATATGCTGTTACGGCTCCGGCGCACACGATTATCGCAGAACAAAGCTTGCCCTCCGTTTTCAGGAGCATGGCGCTCCTCAGACTGTCCTCCTTTTCGAAGTCCAAGTACACCTCTGCTCCTGCTTCCATGCAGAGAAGTCTTTGCCGCTCTCCTCCGTCGATTGCGATAGGTCGATAGCCCATATGCTTGGCATATGATAATGTCAACGATCCCACTGCACCCGCAGCGCCGGAAATACCCACCCAGGAACCTGCTGCCAGGTTCGCCAGCTTAAGTGCTTTATAACCAGTAGCACCGGCACACACTACTGGCGCTAGCATCTCGCTAGGGACTCCATCGGGCAGAGGCGTGATATACCTCTCCGGTACAACAGTATACCTGGCCAGAGTACCCGGCACATCACGCCCACTGAATACCTGCTCTAGACATCGCGTCTCATCTTGTATATCGTTGTCGCATACGCGGCACGATCCACATGCATCACGAATCCAGCCAACACCGGCCAGACGGCCTACCGTAGCTGCCTCGCTTGTGCACAAAGAGCCTACGGCGGAAATCCGGCCCACGCCCTCATGGCCTAGAATCGTTAGACATGGGCCAAGATAACCGTGTGCAAGTGAAAGATCGGTCCCGCAAAAGCCAGTGACTTCTAATTCAACGAGAACTTCTTGGCGCTTGATGGTGGGGATCGCGAGTTTCTGTGTCTCGAAATAGAACTTGGGACCTTGCTGAAAAGCATTTTGTCAGGGACAATATCTACCAGCCCTTATAGAGAAAACAGAGTGTCTTACATTTTGAAGGACTGCAGCCTCTTGATGTGATGGCACTCTCTGTCCTGAACTGGAGCTCATTGTAACTGGAAATTTTGGGAGGGATAATGCGTAACGATAATTATTCCGTAATCGGAGTGTTTGATATCCAACGGCAAATTCGGACTTAATTCAGGAGCAAAGCTCACCTCAGCGTGCCGTAAGAACTGAGAATAGATGGGATTGGTGACCTTCTCTAGAAATCTCCTTTCCCGCCGGTAATCCTCCGCACCTCGGGCTTATTTCCCTCTCGATATCCCTCGACATAATCTCGACGTCAACTCCTCCACTAATTATAGGCCCTCTTTTAATTTATATCCGAAGTCTCCCAAGTCGGCCCGCTCGCACCTGATATCCGATTCGGTGCGAAATGATGTAGAAATCCTGTCAGAGGTGTGACTGACCCACTATTCACCTGGCATTCAATATTTAATTCAGCTGTTAGCCGTATGAGGTTTCCAGATTGAGTCTTTGTCTCTTTCTGAGATCTCAAAATGTTCTACAATATTATTAACTCGGAGCGCCGGTCCGGAGATTCTGCAACGGTCATGAACCCCAGGACCAATGAAGCCCTCTGGGAGGTGACAGTCGCACATGAGACGAACCTTAACGACGCAGTCAAATCTGCAAGGGTGTCATTTGAATTATGGAAGCTCTTGTCTCTCGAGGAAAGACAGAGGTACCTACTCAAACTAGCCGATGAGCTAGAACAGCGAAGAGATGAAATACATGCCCCTCTGGCAGCGGAGACCGGAAAATCTGTAACAAAGTCCTTGCACATTGTGAATATTGGAAATATTGCTAACAATCTTGTCAGAGCCTCCTCGCAAACATGGAGATTGATGATACTTTGACGTTTATCAGATTTAATGGTATTGCAAATCCACATTCGGAAATATTGCTTGGCCGAAAAAGCTTACTAGTCCAGCATCTCAGTCATTGCCTGATAAAGTGGAATACGAAAACGACAAACTCAAGATCGTGTCTACCCATCATCCTATTGGAATGGTGGGTGCGATTTGCCCTTGGAATTTTCCGCTCGTGTTAGCCGTCACCAAGATTGCTGCTGCGCTCGTCATGGGAAATTGCATCATTGTTAAATCGTCGCCATTTACCCCATGTGCCACTTCGAAATTGGCTGAGCTTGCGACATCCGTGCTTCCGCGGGGTGTACTCCAGGTGCTCAACGGAGACAACGAGGTAGGAAGGCTCCTTACCATTCATCCGGGAATCGACAAAATTAGTTTCACCGGATCCATCGCAACTGGAAAGAAGGTAGCGGAAAGCGCGGCCAGGACTCTGAAACGAGTGACACTCGAGCTCGGTGGAAACGATGCAAGTGTCGTCTGCCCGGACGTCGATGTCAAAACCGTTGCTGCTCAGGTTGCTGCCGGGTCATTTTTTCCATGCGGGCCAAATGTGCGTTGCTACAAAAAGAGTTTATGTGCATCAGGATATCTTCGAAGAATTCCGAGACTCTTTTGTGGAGGCAGTCAAGGACATCAAGATTGACCCTTCTGGTGACCAGTCACCTCTATTCAGTCCCATCCAGAATAAGATGCAGTACAAATTGGTCAAAGATCTCATCGCCGATTGCAGGAAAAAAAACTATACTTTACTTTGTGGGGGAAATACCGACGACAAGCACCCAGGGCTCTTCATCGCGCCGGTTGTTGTGGACCAACCACCACATGATTCTCGCATCGTCCAACTGGAGCAGTTTGGTCCTATCATTCCGCTTACGAAGTGGTCTACTGAGGTTGAAATGATTTCGATGGTCAATGGGACAGATACTGGCCTGGGGGGCTGCGTGTGGGTGCAGAATGTTGACAATGCGGAGCGGATTGCGCGGAAACTCGAGGTTGGAGCAGTATGGATCAATAGCGCTGAAGCCCCCAACCCATACGGATACCTTTCTGGTTGGAAGCAAAGTGGAATTGGAGGCGAGTGGGGGAATCAGGGCTTACTGTCGTACTCTCACACACAAACAATTCAGCTGTGCAAGTAGACTGTCCACAGCCCTCAGAACAGAGATGACGTGCTTCTGAATATGTAAAAAGAACCTACCTAAATATAAAAACACAAGTATATCGACAATACTTAAATTTCAAAATTCGCTAGGATAATCCGAACCTTGGAATATCTTGGAACAACCCACAAAAAGTATCTTTTGGAAGGAAGCGATAGAAAATCATTTTAAGGAAAAGGTCAAAATTCGTAGGAGCTACGTTTGCATACGAGGCTTTAGAATTGATACTAAATTATTCTTCTCATTTCATTCTGAGACTGTCTGAAGAAAGTGAGTAAGTCACGAAGCTTTATAATATACAGATCAAAATGGCAAGTTATCAGCGTGAAGATTTGTGAGGTTGTATAAAGCATATTCCACGAGAGTGACTCCCTCTGCCCTTGGGGATTTATACCTTCAGATGCAGTTAGGTCTAGGAATATTTGACTTATAATTCGCAAACTCTGCCAATCGTTCAATAATCCCCTCTGATAGCTCAGCTGGAAGAGCGCAAGACTGTAATTGCCCTGTTCTCATGGAACTTGTTATCTTGAGGTCCTTGGTTCGATCCCGAGTCAGAGGATTTTTTTAAAATTGGTCTGCTTTGGTCCTCTTTTAATTTGACCTAAATGCATATATATATATTGGCTATTATAATGCAGATCTTGTTTTATTGTTTTATTTTATTTATAAAAGTGATGTTGATACCTGTTTCACGACGGAAGCCAACGTCGGACCGATGGCAGCACCCATGGGAGTCCTGATCTCCACAAACCTTCACCTCCCAAGGTCCACACCCAGGAAACGGCATTCTTCTCACCCGAAAGCTTTTGCACCACGATTCTATCTAGGTAGTCAGGTTTCCCGGAGGAGTATCAAACCTCACTTCGGGGAACCACCACAGGGCTCTTGGCCCAAAGGTTGGCGGGCACTTTTTAGAACGTTCGACAGCCCATTCACAGTTTAAGCTTACAATCCACTACATGACCATCGCGTTTTCGAATACAAAGCTCTGTGGACACAGGGTAACAATACAGGGGAAGGCGTGGGCTCTCCGCGCTCAGACCGACTGCCTCTCAACAAGCTCCCGCGGCATCATGCAAACACCATGCATGGATATTTGTCAAGAACACCTTAGCATATGGGAAAACTCAAGCAAAGAAACATAATATCATGTCATATTCTTTTTATCTTAGGCTCAGAATTCTGGTGGCAGCTGGCTGTAGTGAGCACCAAATGCCAACTAACTGAGAATCCGAGCCCAGCAAATGTATATGAGAGCCGAACCCAAGGGATCAACGAATCCTTCGGCCTTCAAAATTAGTGGACATAATCTTATGTTAATCCTCCCCAAAATCTACTTGATACGTACGGACTAAAGTCATAGGATTAAGTGATTGGAGGTCCCCTACATTGCCAGGAATGCATTGATCAAGAGAGAATGTTTTAATCAAACCACCGAAGCCCTATCACACTGTCCAGTCAGTTTACCGATCTACATGAAATGTGCGGAGTACATTGAATTTCACCCAGTGTTGAGCCCCAAAATGCGACGCCAACCAATACTGCCACTGGCCCCCAGATTCCCCCCTGCATACTTGGCGTACGATCTATCACATGGCCTATGATTAGCTGGTCTGGCACACTCAACGCGTTAATTGTTTTCCTTTCCTATGAACACGTCAGAAAGATACACAAGTTGATAGGTAAATAACGCTAGAAGAGATTGGTCCTAATTAGAGGTCAGTGTGAGTCACTCTCATGAAATAAATCTAATTATTAATTTGTTAGCATTGACATGGAATGTCTCTTTAATATCTTGAGATTTTTACAATCGACAAATAATCAGTATTATACTACTATGAGGGAAAGTTGTGGAACTAATCAAGGGACATCCTCTGTTAATGTGGTGCCACCAATAAATTCGTCATGTACACATGGACGGCCTTAACCACAAGAACAAGAAGCTAAATTGAGAAACGTATATCGTGGAATTATATTAACCCGTGCTGATTTAAACCATTGAACATACAAAGAGAAAGAAAAAAAGACAGACTGGTATGTCCAACGAGATAGGAACCATATATCTCAACACTGAGCGATCCCAACTGTCACCACCAGCTACCGCCTTTACCGGAATCCAAATCTAGATTCCCACTTAGATCTGCATAGCAACAGCGCAGATAGCTCCGAACACCATGGCAACACCGGACAAAGTAGCACGGCCGGCCGCGTTGAACGGAATGATGCTGGGGCTGGCGCTGGCGCCGGTGCTGGGCTTGCCCTCGTTGCCACCGGAGACAGGAGAAGTGTGAGCCACAAGGCCGGTAGAGGTCTTGGATGCATGGCAGGCAGCATTGCAGACAGTGACGACATTGGTGAAGGTGGGAGTGACACGGGTGAAAGCGCCGGTGGGGGTTGGGCGTCCCACGGTGACGGAAGAAACGTGGGTGTATGTAGGAACCGAGGCGGAGGCACCGCCAGAAGGAGCAGAGCCGGGTCCCTCGGGGCCAGTCAAGCCCGGGGTGGTAGAAGCCTCAGAGGCGGGGACGGTAGACTCGCCTGGCACAACACAGGGGGTGGTCTCACCGGGCACGACGCCGGGGACGGTAGTCTCGCCTGGAACAACGCCAGGGACGGTAGTGTGGCTTGGGACAACGACGGGGGTGGTCTCACCGGGCACAACGCCAGGGACGGTAGTCTCACCTGGAATTACGACCGGGCCAGTGGGCTTCGATGGGGTGGCAGTGGGCGGGGTGGATGATGCATCATGGCAATCAACCTCACCCAACACAGCCAGGCACAGGTTGACGGGGATATTGATCAGACCACCATTAGAGCCGGAGCTCTGCTGGCAGTGAGCCTCACCGAGGACAGCCAGGCAAACATTGATCGGCACATTGATCAGCGAACCGCCGCCGCCGTTGGAAGAGGAAGAGGCCTGGTCACACTTGGCTTTTCCAAGGACAGCCAAGCACGCGTTAACAGGCACGTTGATCAATCCACCACCGGTGGTCGTCTTCTGCTTGCACTCAGCCTCTCCAAGGATGGCAGCGCATAGTCCAACGGGCACATTGATCAGGCCACCATCACCGCTGCCGCCGGAAGAGGAGGGAGAGGAAGGGGAAGAGACCTGGTCACATTTGGCTTTTCCAAGGACTGCGGCGCACGCGTTAACAGGCACATCAATCAGGCCACCACTAGTGGCTGTCTTCTGCTTGCATTCGGCCTCTCCGAGGATGGCCGCGCAGAGGTTAACGGGCACGCTAATGAGGCCACCGTCACCGCTGCTGCTGGAAGAGGAAGCAACCTGGTCGCACTTGGCTTTTCCAAGGACGGCAGCACACACATTAACAGGCACGTCAATTAACCCACCACTGGTGGCTGCTTTTTGCTTGCATTCAGCCTCTCCGAGGATGGCTGCGCAGAGATTCACGGGCACGCTAATCAGCCCACCATCCTCGCTCCTGGGAGACAAAGCGATCTGTTCACACTTGGCTTTTCCAAGGACTGCAACACATGCGTTGACAGGCACGCTAATCAAGCCATTGCTAACGGTCTTCTGGTCGCATTCGGCCTTTCCAAGGATGGCTGCGCAGAGATTAACGGGCACGTTAATCAAGCCATTAGCGGCTTGAACTCCCTATACAAAGACGGGATATGTTAGCTGTGGATCTAGTTACAGCAGCAACCATCACCGGGATTGGCTTACGGAGCATGAAGCTGCGAGAGCAACAATGGAAGTGAGCATGGATTGCTTCATCGTTGCGAGTTTGAAGTATATTCAGAGTGAAATAAAGAATGGACGCTGAATGATACCAGCAAAAACGAGTGGTCAAAAAACTAACAACGAAGAGATGAAGAACTGAAATAAATCAGAGAGGTAGGCAGCCTTATATGTGCCCACCCATCAGGCAGTCATTATAGCAATTTTAAAAATAGGGGAGGAACTGTCGATCTACTCCGTACATCACAAACCATTGCCTAGCCCAGAAAGGAACGCCAAGTGAGAAGTCTAGAAAGACCAGACCAGCCCATTTTGCTTGTAAATAACTTTCTGATTGGTCCCCTGCTCCTGATTTTCCTCGTTTTTCGTTGACAAGTTGGTCAATAAACCAAACCTGATATTGGAACCTTATGGCTAGACCTATCACTATCCTCCCGGGGCCGCTAATGCAATTAGCGCCTTATTTGATTGCTCCCTCCCGGAGCCTAGTTCGCACTAGTGCAGCCACACAAGCTCGTATGCAGAACGTATCTCAAGCAGTTCTTTGTGCTCGTGATATCTCAGTTCAGGGGCTACTCCAAGCAAGGTGTCAGTTTCAATATAGGGCTATTCGGCGAGATAAGCCGAATAATCCTAAATCGGACCAGCGAAATGCCTGTTCGAGTAAATCCGAGTCCCCGCAACCCCAATCGACCAGTCATCACGCGCCTCCTACCTAATGCAGAACCTCGGCTATCGGAGTGCAAGGGTCTCTAGTCAGGTACGCTGCATTTCTAAACTAATTTGAAGCCAATCAATCTTGATCGCTTTTTCTTTCCAGGGCAAAATATTATATACTCTCTACGAACCAAACACTACATTGCATCCTCGGACACCGAAGTATTGCACGAGCATTGAAATTTAGGGTCTAAATTCTGCACTACCCCATATGGTTCGTTGACCCTTGGGGGGCTTGACCTCCTTGAATGCGCTAAAGATGTAAACCCCACCGTTTTTTGGATCTTTTCGATCTTGTTATGGGACCCACAATGTCTGTTTCTGCATGTGGGGTGTGATCTACGGTCTGGCGTGCATGTTTGTTTTTGGTTCTCGGCTTTGTCCCGGCGTCTTAATAACGTTGTGTCCCTTCTCATAACTACACAAAAAATAGTCGGTAGTTAGGTAGTTATATCTATGGATTAATAATTACGCAAGACACGATGTGTTCGAGCGAACGAGACTTTTCTCGACTAGTGGATGTGATACCTTAATCGAGAAAATATTTTGCATTGCTCCACTAATGATCGAATTGATGCACGCAGGTCCCGTGCACGCCAGGGGTTCGGAAAGTTCCGTTCATTTGCTCCCAGTCGCGTAAATAGGTCCCAAGAAATCAGCTTACGGAGTACTTTTAATGGTGTTGGAAAAATAACTAGAAACTAAGAGAGAGCTAGCGCTCAAGAAACCCCCTGCCCCGGAAGTCCGGCCTTCATGGATGTCCCCGACTTTCCAAACACCGTTGCATAAGCCATAGATATCAGACACGAGATCTGAAGATGATCCCATGTTTGAACTGTTGATCATAAACATAAGATCAGCAATCGTCCTCCAGTGGCCCGGCCCGCCAGGAGGAAGCGTTTCATTAACAAATCATAGTATGCAGCGTTGTCAGTGTGGTTTGTCATTTACCCTTGCAGACTCTACATAGCGTGGCATGGTCCCAGCCCAGCCCCATTTGTGTTTAGTGGTTTGTTGAAACCTTAGGGCTGGACTCCGTACTCCGGAGTACTCGGGCCTACATTGTCCGAATAAATGACGGATTTTGATCGGTATACGGACTAGTCATTGTTCCCTTCAATCCTCCAAGATACTCTAAGACAATAATTAAATAGCCTGTTGAAATTGAATTCCGTCGAATTTTTGCGACTTTAGAATCAATCTGCCAATTTGTGAAAGATGCGGCCACGCACGGATGAGATTCGTCCACGCGCTGACCTTCGTAACCGCCCACGCCCACGGCCCCCTTTACTTTTTTTTCTCGATCAGCTACTGTGACAACAAAGGCTGCTTTCGACGTCATGTTTCAATGTACACTATGCGAAAAAGCCTATCAGAGGAAAACTCATTTAAATCGCCATGAAGCGACCCGTAAGGTCCAATGATCTCGATTACAAATATGAAAATATGAATAGGCTGACCACCTCCCAGATACACAGCAGCTCTCTTCTAGCTGCCCTTTATGCAGCAAAGCATTTCTAAAGCCGTGTGTAAAGTATCTTCGCCATAAATAATGAACATAATCTAATGTTTCGAAAGTGAGGTCACACGCAGACATATCAAAACTTGTGCAAAAAAGTTCAACCAACCGACACCTCCTGCAGCCAAGCCAGGCAGGAAAAGGCATTCCTGTGAGCTATGCTTCTTTGCCAAAGCATCTTGCGACAGGAATCTACCATGCTCTCGCTGTCGCTCCCTTGGACGACAATGCACTTTCGTGACCCCGGAGATACCTTCCCGGGATTCTAGTTGCTCTACAGTAGCATCACTCTCGCCTTCTATAACCACATCCTCAGTCACCTCGAGAGACAGTGGATCGTTTTCTTTCCTCCAACATTTTGCCAATCCGTCTTTCCAAAGGGACAGGCTGGCGATTGGGGAGACTGCAAAGTGTTCTGTTCGAAGAAACCTCGAAACACTCAATTCTCATATCGAAGATGCCCTCGTTCCCACTGATCCTATGTCAGCTTTTAGTAGTGATTTTCAACTTTCAACTTTCCCTTTCCAAATTCCGTCGACTCTACCCTCTTTCACGGATGATTATCTACTTCAGTTCAACCCTGATGCACTCTTCCCTTCGAAGCTTTCCAACCAATTATCCGAGATTATGACAGAATTGGTCGATACTTCAAAGTCAATGGGTCTCGGAAGCACAGGAACGCTAAGCCCGCTTGATTTTATCGAACTTTCTACTCTCTTGGGGGTTTCCAATATCTCCGCTTCTATCTCTGCGTTCTTCCACTCTCTCCACTGGCATTTACCCGTGGTGCATTTTCCAACCTTCGACCCAGGAAACATTTCCAGTCCTCTATTACTCTCAATATTTTTATCCGGTGCCACATATACTATTCCATTAGATGGAGGAGCCCTACCATCGGGGCTATTCGACGTCGCGGAAGAGTATATATTTCGGAAAATTGCGGATCTATCAACACTTGCTTCACCGAAAGACCAGTCGCATCCATTATCAACTGTACAGCTACTACAGAGTGCTCTTATTATTGAAATGCTTCAATTTGGACAAGACAATATGCAAACAAGACGTCGCATTCGCATCGTCCGACATCCATGTTTGGTATCCACCATACGATCCCTAGGGATTTTCCAGCTGAAGCGAGGAACCGCTCCCACCGTCTGTGATGAGAGAACTTGGAGAAATTTGGTGGCAGAAGAAATGTGTATACGGTACTTTATATCCCCATTCTTTCTTATCTTGTCTTTCTTTCGAGATGTATCGCTAACCAGCTCCAAGAATCGCTTGTTGGGTCTTCCTTGCGGACGGATTCCTCACAGTCTGCTTCAAAAACCACCCATCAATATCGGTCTTTGAGATGGACTGTCATTTTCCTTGGAGCGCCGGGCTATGGGAAGCCGAAAGCGCATCTTCTTTCAGCAGAATTGCCATGTCGCACTCGACGGAGCTCCCGCTTCCTCCCCTGAAAGATGTTGTCACGCAGTTACTCGAAACTCCTCTCAGTAATGACCCAATACCATGGGGTCTTTCGGTATCAGTGGAGCATCTCCTGATTCTGATTTATGGTATGTTGATAACAGAGGCCAGCCAATCGATTTAATTGCTAATAATATCACAACAGCCATTAACTCCCTCGCATTCCAAGCGAGAGCCGGCTTATTAAGATATCTATCACTCGATAGAATACGCCGTGCGTCTGGTAATTGGAGGCGCATCTGGGATTCTGTAATTGGTCTCCTTAATAAGGATCAATTCCTTCACCTTGGGTATCCAAAACACGCTCAGGAGCTTTGGTGGTTGTTGAATGCCACGCTGGATGCTACTGGTAGATCTGATGTCAGCCTTCGGTATATGGATAACACTGCCACCGATGACCTGGGGAATTTGAATGAATTCATTCAATGGTGTCACCAAATTTCGCCATAAATGTTGAATACAAATATAATATAATCGGATTTTAGACATGGAAATTTCGCATTTGATGGCCCATATGCTGCGATTTATGGCTAAATATTTTCTTCCTTCTGGCTACAACATTTGAAAGTAAAGAGATATCTAAAATTACATTGTATTATTATCTCAAATATTAATATCATCTCGAGCCAGATGAAGGCATTGTCAAGAGCAGAGGCCGCATAAGCGCCGACTATTATGGTACATTTAAAAATGCAAAATAGACCTCTTTGAATCTCCATCTCAATCACGCTTGTCTCCAAGTTTCTCCTTCCCATCCATTTGCTGGCTTTCCATAAAACTATCACCCTTGGGTTTTCGGTATGTTCCTGCGAGGCGATCCCATGCCGTTGTAAACTGACCATAATTATAGTTGAAGTACAAGTGATGCATCGTATGACAAGAAGCGCCGTTAATCACCTCCGAAGTTGGCAACCACTCGGCATCATCTGTTTAAATCAATGTAAGCTATCATGCTATCAGTTCATGGGGATCGGAAGACTCACGGATCAGCACCGTCCACATAGTGACAAAAATAAACAGCCCCATATATGCACCTTTCTGCAACGGAAAAACAAACGGGTAGACATGGTATGGGAGACTCTGCGACCATCCATCCAAAGGATGAAACGCATAACTAGCGAACGGTGTGGGTACTGCCCATTTATGGTGTGGCTTGTGAAGCCATCGGTAGATGTGAGGGTGATGCAGGCCACGGTGTATCCAGTAAATCCCACTGTCTGTGAAGCAGATAAACAATGGGTATTGCAGCAAGGTGTATCCGAAGAACGGAGAGTCGCTGGTGAAATCATATAGCTTCGACCATCCCCGGATCTCTGCTAGAAAAAAGGGGACAGTAAGGAGGGCCATTACGGGAATCGCGGAGATTCCTTGGTTGATCTCGAGTTTGATCTGATTTTGGAGGAAGCGCGGGTGTCGGAGTAGTATTTTATCGAATAGGGTGTGATATAGTAGGAGGCTACCGAGGAGGTACATTATCATTGCGAAAAGCCTGTTGCGTATATCGAGATCTCAATCAGCTGCCGGGATACTGTACTGCGAGTGCAAAGGACTTACCATATAATCAAGTATAATGACAATGCTTGTCTGGCAATGTCATCTCTCTTCCAGAGGCTTGCCTCCGCCCATTTTGAGGGCTGCATGGGGTAATAAACACCGACATGTCGGTTCAAATTGGCAGTGGGTAGAGTATAAGTATCATTATTGGAAATTGCTGCTGGGTCTGGCGAGAGTAATGCGTAGCACCGATCGAGGATCAATGTATCCAGAATGTCCAGGAAAACATCCATTGTTGGATAAATGTGTAATGTCTCTTGCGCGACTCGTTCAGCCTACACAAAAACAGGATCATTTCTCTTCTCTTATGTGTGGGAAATACCTACAAGGGGTATACCTACATGGCAATTGCCTACTTGAAGAATACCTACATGGTCGGCTTCGGCCTATATGGGGAATACCCACACGGGAAATCCCTACATTGAGCTTTTACTTACACGCGGTGATCCACTTAATACCACGAGTGTATATCACTGGCTGGACGAACTATTCCAAGGATCCACAGACACATGCATGGGGCCATATATCATAGTAGTTCCGAAGGGCATATCGCCATACGTAAAAACACCTAGTCAATTAGATATCTCTTCTGGCTCTTGAATATGTGGGCTCTTTCATGAGAGCTCATGACTATAGCAATTGAAGCCAGGTTAATTCAACACAATTCGCGGTTGGTGTTCGCTGCTACAGCACAATTGACAGATATATATCGAGCTTCATGTTTTTCTGTTTTACGGTTTTCCCCCGCTATTAAATACGTTCGGATTTGCCTGTGGAGCTCTAAACCAGAGAAAGAGGTTTGCTTCAACAGTTGCCTAAGTAAATTATTGATTGAATCTTCCACAATTATTTTGATTTGACTACGATCTGGATGTTTCTTTAGTTTTTGATCATGGGGTCAAAATGGGCAAATATTGCCATCAACCAGCCAAGTGGCCGAGCAGTAACTCGACCATCGCATCTTCCTTGGTCTAGTGGTGATGATTTCCGCTTGTCATTAATACCGATAAGCGCGGGAGACCGGGGTTCGATTCCCCGAGGGAGAGATTTCTTTTTTTGCTTTGTTGCTTTTTTCCTATCGCTATTTTATTCCTTCAAACAAGCTGAATATTGAATGAATGGGGCTGAATTCTTTTGTATCGGGTGGAAATAATAAAAAATAACAATAGCTACTTCCATGCTTCCATATCAGGTAAACAAACTGCCCAACTCCAACCCGGAGCTTTAGTATACATGTCCCAAAAGTGACGGATGAATGAATGAGTGAATGAGTGGTCAGGATCTCCGAAAGAATATGACAGAGCAAAAAATGAAACACACACCGAGGTATTCCAATAGCAAAAAGAGTCAGTCTCCCAGATTCAAAGAAAAGCGTCTGTGGTTGTATTGTTGTCAGTGACTTCACCCATTTGTCGACGGCGACTGTCCAAGAATATATCCACCATGCGCTTGCTAGAGATCGTGGAATGAATGTCTTGAAGTTGGTGGTAGCTCTCCATCATGCCATTATACTCATCCTGCTGCCTCGCGTTCTCATTGTTTGTACGGTTGTCTCGTTGGGTGCGCATGGACCGGAAGTGATTGATTCTGCTATCTTGGGAGATCGGAGCACGCCTGGCTGAATAACGTCGCTGTTGCTCTTTGGTCCAGGATCGCTTTGCTCCCACTCCCTTGGGGGTTGGGGACTCTGGTGGCTGCATGTTTCCGGATCTCAGTCGAATTGGCGATGGTTCTTGATTACAAGCAACGGGGAATGGCTTGGGTGAAACGTTTTCACCAGACTTAGCAGCGGTATCCATGGACAATGAGTTAGCGTGAGCGTGCGCCATATTTTCCGACTTAGTTGTCTGTAATGGCATGATGGTTCGCATGCCGGAAGCCTGGATTAATGGACGGGAGAAATTGCTCTCTGGCGGGACTTTGTTCTCAGCCGAAGCTTGGCGCTCAGTGATACTTTGGCTGTGTGGAACCTTTCGTAGAGTTGCTGAAGCGGGAGCGGAAACAGCGACAGGAGCTTGTCGAGCTATGCTGGTAAAGTACTCATCATCGTCCTGGTATTGTGCATCTTCTCTGATGTGCTCCCTTGTGGGGCTTGCCTGCTCAATTCTTTCGATCTGTGAACTCATCCATTGCTGCCAGTCTGCACTGGGATGTACATGAGGTGCGGGAGATGAAACCCGATTGGCACGCTTGGGTGATCTGTATGTTGTCCGCTGTGGAGTAAAGATGGTCGCTGTTCCTGGTTCATCATGGACGCCCATGTCGGCATTGTCAGTTCTTGCTGGGGTATGGCCACTGGTGGTCCGGGAATAGACACTTGGGGAAACAATATCCCTTTTCGAGACCCGAAGGCGAGAAACAATAACACTACCACTATCATCATCCGATTCCTCGCTCAGAGTGTACGTTGAATGCGACGACTTTTCGTCTGAAACAGCAGTCATATGTTGATTTGGCACCTGAGGCGGCATGCCCCGAGAAACTTGCATCGACCTAGCTGAGCGCGGATACTTTCGTGGACTTGGTTGATCGCCACCACGCGCTGTTGCGAATGAACCGGGCGAGGTCGAGGATTCTTGGCTTGGGACATGACGGATACTGCGTCGGCCACGTTGGGAGTAGGCCGAATTCGCCCGCTCTGGGACCACAAGATGCTGGGACACATTGCCGAAGACCACCTCCTCGCTGGGATCGGACAGGGAATTCTGGCCTATCTGTTTCATCAATGCAGTGTACAAATCTTGACTGTCAACAATGCTAATTCGATGAGGGTTTGCTCTCACACCCAAAGGAGATTGATTTTCGGTATCATCCATTGTAGGCGTCCGTGGTATTTGCTGATCCAAATCCCCATCCTCTCTGATCAAAGACAGAGATTGGCGATGTCCTGGCTTCCTGGTCGTAACTGTGTTTGGTATGGTTGAATCAGCCCAACTAGTGACGCGCGAGTTGGAAGTGCAGAGACTATCGCGGCTGGAAGACTCGGGCATTGACTGGAAATAGTTGGGATCAATGCCGTCCTCAGTGGCTGTAAGTTTGTGTGGAGAGGATTCTTCCATCATTCTCCCAACTGGAGTCACCACAGATGCCTCAGCGCCATCTGGGTTACCGTGTGGCACATATTGCTGATCCGCGAGCTTGGAAAATCCAAACACACGTCTGAACTTGCTTTTAATCGAATTTGAAAAAGACCGAGATTTATGAGAACCCCCGGTATCAAAGCCACCTTCACTCATGGCCCGGAACGACTTTCGAAATGGCCTGTTCTCCTTCTTGCGTCTGAGCAAGAAATATGACCGGCGAGTCTGAACACCTCTTCCCTCGGGATCCTGGGCGAATTGGCTACGAGCAAGCTGAATAGCTGCATCATGACCCTTAGCAGTTGGACCGACTTGCGTGGATTGATAACTTCCTCGAAGAAAAGACATGGATCGTCTCATTGTTCGTGGCAGCTGAAATCCAGGACTGCGCTCGGGATCAAGGGGATCACCGCAAGGGAGGGGAGGCACTCCATATGGGGTCTGTGAAGTCCGCTGCCTGGTCGAAAACATTGACTTGGCTTTGCGCAACCGGCGATATGAAGAGGGAACTGAGCTGTCTCGTCCATCAAGTCCGTCGAGTTCCGTGATAGGCGGCAGGGCGGCAGGGTCATCGAAGCAATGGGCTCGAGCCGATACACCGGTTAATTCTTTGGACTGACGAGGGTTTGGAACTTTAGGCAAGTCAGTCTGGCCGACCGACGAACTATCATCAGTGCTCCGAAGACTCGATCCGGGACGCCTTCGAGGGATGGCAACATTTCCTGGACCTCCTAGTCGTTCGTATGAGTTTTTCGACTCCCGAGACGAGCTGTGACTCGAGCGCATTGCTCGTGAAGCTGCAGCTGCAGCTGCTGCATGCTGAATGGCAGCATCGGGGATCTCCGGGGCTGGTTGTCGCGGTTTTCGTATTGAGCGGGTGGACATGGACCTTCTAAGGTTGTGTGTATTGGATGTAGAGGAAAACATGTTACAAAATGTCTGCAGAGTATATACCTACAGAAGTATTGAGAGAAGAATGGATTCACAGAAGAAGGGATTGGGGGATTTGAAGAGGGAAGATTCAAGACGAGATACTTGCGAGGTCATGGAAGGAAGTACTCATCACCAGTACGGAAGGTGCGAAATAGCTTCATGGCAACTTCCATCTCCGCTACATCTATTTCATCCATTTCACCAAATTCCTCAGGTAAATTTCTATTTCCTTCTCCCCTGCAGAGTTAAGCCTTCGCTAAGCGCTGAGAACCCGATCTAGACTGGCCGTGACTCACGCCAAGATGACGCAGCCTTCGGATCTGACTCAAGACCAACTGGAAGTGAGACTGATCGAAATGAATATGTTAATTGTTTTCGCACAAATTCTCGAGGGATCACAACATCTCAGCGTATAACTCAAATTGCCTGAAATGGCTTCATCCAAATTAAACCATGTCTATTTGAACGGCAAAACCCTGGAAGGAGGTGGGCAGTTGGTTCGCATTGCTATCGGACTGTCTGCATTGACTGGTCGTCCAGTTAGCATTGATCATGTTCGCGGGAACAGAGAGGGGAAGAAGGGGCTTAAGCGATCACATGCTGCAGCAGTGCAGCTGTTGGCCGAGATTAGCGGCAGCAAAGTATCTGGAGGCGAGGTTGGCTCCCAGTCCTTGAACTTCTTTCCGCAATCAACCAGATCGAAAAGCGGTCCGCTCCTGGACTTGTCACAAGTCACTGTAAAGTCTGCATACGAGATCAAGCTCACGACTGCCGGTGCCATTTTTCTCGTCTTCCAGGCCCTCTACCCGTATCTGCTTCATGTTGGATCGCAGGCGGCTGCTCCCTTTGTGAAAGTGAACATAACTGGTGGAACCAACGCTACTTATTCTCCATCATATGACTATGCAGCGCAAGTTATCGCGCCCAATTTCGCCAAACTTGGACTTCCTCCCCTGTCCATTATCCTTCACAAGCGCGGCTGGACAACGGGGCCGGTTGATCTTGGAGCAGTCACTTTTCTCATACATACACTCGGATCTGGAAATACTTCAGATGGCCGAAATCAATCCAAGGAGTCATCGGAAAAAGAACGGACAGCCAGGCCTCTGTGCAGCTTCCCACTGATTAATTTAATGGATCACAAACGCGGGAAAGTCACGCAAATTGATATCACAGTGCTAGCACCTGATCAACCCACCCTAAACGCCAACGCAGAAGACGACACGGGGAGTACTATTCGGCAGTTTATCGAACAAGTCACTCAACACACTCTCCGCCGGGAAACGAGAAAGCTGGATCCGTCTATATTTGCTAAACGATCTAATTCGCCTCTACCTGAAGAGAACTCTCCCAGCAAATCTTCAGCCAAAGATGCACCAGTTCCCATCGAAATACACACATCGGAAGCTACAAATCACCGCAGTCACGTATATATCCTTCTGGTGGCCCATACCTCCTCAGGCTTCAGAATAGGACACGATATTCTCGGCAGCATGGGGGGCGATCGCCAGCCCAAGTCAAAGAACAAAGGAAAGCGAAAACAACTGCCAAATCATGACCTTCGGCGTGATTCTCAAAATGAGATAGCATTTTCTGCGGCTGCAGATCTAGTCCGCCGATGTGTGGAAGGGTTCATCGGGGAAATCTCAAACGAGAACCCAAATGCCAACCCAGATCAGAAACTTGCCTCCACCATTAAGACAGCTTGTCTAGATAAATATATGAGAGATCAGGTTGTTGTTTTTGAGGCACTTGGAAAGGCCTGTCACGCAGGTGGGCATGGCACCGAAGCAAGCGACAGCGAAACTTTGGAAGACGAGCGAGATTGGACACTCCACACAAAGACCGCACAATGGGTGTGCCGGCAGATTTTGAACGTGTAGATGATTACCCTTTCTAGAAACATCTAGATGTCGTCTTGAAGGCACAAATTTAATTCCGAGCCTCTCTATAGACTGTAATCTCCACTCGCGAGCTCCGATGATCCACCAGGAAAGCGTAACATATAAAATGTCAACTAATATCAAACTAAGGCCCAGCATATTGATTGGCACCCGTCGGCAAAAACAATCTATTCATCGCAAATTTCTTCCGCTAAGTGCCGGTGTCCACGTAACGTGCCCGACCACCCTAGAACCCGAGATTAAAGGATCTACGCCCCAAAGCGGCTCTTAACCAGGGGGCCAACCTTGGAAACACTTACCGAGTAACGTCCCGCGCTTATCATCTCAACCCGAAGGCGCGTTCCAGACCAACTGCTTATGTGTGAGGCTGGTTCAATATCTCATATTGGGAATTAAATATTATTGCATAGTTCCATCTATTCCCCGTATGGTCGATCATGAGGTCCTGGGGAGAAACATCATACCATAAATATACTTAATTAGAGTCGGGTCAATACGAAGCCACTGGTATCAATAGAAACCCCTCTGGGACAGCTCATAGTGGACTTGAAGAGGCCAAACCATTAGAACAAAGCCACCAATTTCAAGCATCCACGATATCTTGATAGAGCTGACCGGGACTAATAACAAATTAGTAGTTATTAGCCGAGAGGCGTATGCCCTGTAGATCCGATCGAGTACATCTCCACGACGGCCCTGTTTGACAGTTTGACACTTCCGTATCGGATTAGAGGTTCAAACGGGAGTCTTCGAACGCTTATAGGGCACGGTGGATATTGAGTGTTCGTGTTCGGCTGACATGCAACAACGCCCGATATCCACTTTGGCTCGATTGTTGGACATAGGCAAGCTCACGGGTCTTTGATTTGAATCCCTTTTTCCACCCCCGTTCTAGACTTCCTTCTAGACTTTTCGAAATCCAATCTATTTTCTAATCTTGGTGAGGATTGGCTACCCTGTCGCGGCTACTGCGCGACATGTTGTCACTGTGTCGGGATATTAGGGAGACAAGTTAATATAGCATTAATCTAGGTAATTAAGAAAGTAATCCTTTAGGATTGGCACTCTCTTCTAGGTAGGTACTTACTCTAGTAAGTTTAAGCATGTGACCCAATATGTCAAATCTGTAAATATAGTGCCCGGCAAAATAATCCGCAAGACATCGGGACAATATCAACCAGAATTCAATATTTACCCAAGTGTCAACGGGAAATGCAACGCCACACCGATTATCGATTATTCTTCCCACAGCGATCAATAGATCGCAGCAATTCTAAACGAGCTAGGGCATCGTTCTCAACAGCAGAATCCCGTGGAGATGGAACGTGCCAAATTCCCCACAGTTCCTGAAACAGCGATCGATCCGCTACGAATGTGGCTGAGCGTAGAAAAATACCCCCAATACCGAGCAAAACAGAGAAAAAAGGGGCTTGAAATTTCAAACTCTAGAGAACAAAAAGAGAAACAGCATAGAAGGCCAGTAGAAGCGGCTAGAAGCGCCTCTTAACACTAGGCTCCTTAGTTAGCTTATTCCACTGGGCTTTGTTTTAGATTCAATGGAGCCCAAATTTGACAGAATCCGACTGTGGAATGTGGGTTTTGTGTTTCTCTTTTTTTTTCCTGTTCTTCTTTTTGAGTATCTTTTTCTTGCCCCCTGATCCCCTGTTCATTCTGCTGTTTGGTTGGCCCCCGGGCCGTAGTCTTGCCCGAGGGGACTGTCTAGCTTACAATAATATAGATAATATAGACAATAGTTTCAGATGTGGACAAAACACACAGAGTGGAACTATCTATCTCTGAGACAAGCGATCGACATGGTTCTTTTTCTTTGGTATTCTGTATTCTCCTACGGAGTAGGCGGCCCCCCTTTTCCCCCATTTCTTGAATAGTAGTAGTCAGCAAGGTATGACATGCCCTATCTACGTTCCCAGTAAAAAGGCATTATTGTATGTACATCACACATCGTATATCGTATATTGCAAAAACCATCGGAGCCCTTAATTCTCCGAAAGAAGCCAGGCCCAGCTCAGTCTAGATCGCCCCCAAAACACCCGCAACACCACATGACCTTCACAACCTTCGCCAAAAAAAAAAGCTAACTCTCCGGTAGATAATCATATCAAGCCATAACGGCGTCAATCCAATACCACCCGCAAGAGCTTGTGCATTGTATCTGCATGTGTGTGTGCGCCCACCAAGACAAGGGTAACCCCTGCATCGGGCGAGCTATGAACAAAACCCGAATGATCGACGGCGTAGGTCGTACTAAGCCTCGCACAAATGCCATTACTGCCTAACCCGTAACCCGCGTGAAACATGGCCCCCAACCACTGACGACGAGAAAGAGCATGCCACCCGCACATCTACCAAGGCGCAGATCTGTAGATTCGGGCTGGCGAGGTCTAGATTCTGACGGGGATTAGCTACAAGGGTTTCAAGGTTGGGCTCGGCATTGCGCAGCGGATTCGGGGGGATGATGCGACACGACGGATATGGATGGGCTGAGGGCTGATGGAGGAAGGCAACCCCCGTGCGAGTTCTGGGTGTTGAGTGAGCTGAAGGATGGGCGGGGTGTGTGCACGAGTGGATTTCTAAACTTGGGGTATTTTCTTTTTTTGGTCTGTTGGGGCTAGGAGGTCTGTTTCAATGTGAGATGCGGGTGTTATTGCGGCTGAAAACTGTTAGCGAAGAGGATTAGCCGGGTGCCGGGTCTCCACGACGGGTGAGAGAGAGAGGGGTTTCGGGGCCGAAACACTTCACAGCCCCCGCGGCACTGCGGCTGAGCGTATATACATTTAGACACGAACGCGCTACTGCATGGATTGGGTAGGAAGGTGGGTATCGGGTTTGAGAATAGACTAGGGATCTTGCCCACAGGGCTGAGTATTCTGAATTTACTTCTACAACATAGATTGTTGAAGCAGGAACGAGATAGGATGAGAATATCAAGACATAACAGTTGAATACTGTAAATAGGTATATAGCACTAGGGGGAATGGTCATATGATAGGAAGCGCAAGTAAAACAGAGGGGTATGGCATCACCGTTCACAAAGAAAAGAGTCAACATCAGGTAAAGAGAACATAAAAATAGGGCATAAAAACCAAAACCAAAGCAAAACCAAGATTATCAAAGCACACGTATGCGCAAGGAAAAGAAGGGGTCGATCAACGATCAACCGGAGGGTTGAAAGAACCCAATCCATCAGCGCCACTGCCCTCCAGTGGCAGATCCATGTCCGTAGGTATCCATGCAAAAAAAAAAGCGATCTATCCTCCATGCAAAACAAAAAAAGAGCGGGCCGTTCTTTGTCCTAGAAACAAACCCAAGAGAGCGAAAAAGGAAATGTTCGCGAAGTCCATGCCAAGTTTCCCGGTTTCCGAAAGGATATTCGTGGAAGCTCACTCATTAGCCCGGCCAATGTAGAGAGAGTTTGGACGAGATCAAAGAGGCGAGGTAGAATGAGAAAACCAGGAAATTAGGCATCGAAGCAAATGGTAGCCGGCCGCTGAATATAACAAAGAAACTCCCGGCGATGCAGATGAGAGATTTGGAGATAGAGAGAGAGGAAATGAGGCAGATAAGAAAGAACAAAGGAAGCGGCCGTTGATCATGCGAGGTGAATCCCAGCCGGCAGGAAGCAACCTAGCGAGGAGCCGGGGTATTCTCCGGACCGTCCCGAATGTGGGAGCTTTGCGTTTTCATTACAGCTCAGGCTCGGATGCCTTGGATGAAAGCTCGCCGAAGAGCTCTGAAGGCAGCGCTCGCTTGTAATCGCGTGGTTGGGCGAATGGCGACGCGAAAGCTGGACGGCGCAAGTTTAGAGACTATCAAGGGTGTTAGTTTGGTTGTATTCTTTCCTTTGAATAATCTTTTCTTTCCATAGGCAGATAGATTTAAAGATATAATTTTAGGGATCACATACAACGCAGTCAGAGCACTTCGCTCCTTGTCGGTTGACACGGCCTCGGCATCCGCGGGGATAGTTTGCGCAGGAATACATGGTTGATATTGACCGTTGTTTAGATCAATGTGGATCGGCAAAGAGAGTTGAGTTGGCGGATATTGATCGGCAAAGGGAGTTGAGTTGGCGGATATTCCCAAAGAATCTTGAGAGAAGAAAAGAAGGGAAAAAGTAGAGTAGATACTTTTTCGAGATTAAATGTAACGGAGAATAAGGATCAAGGCCTAGAATGTGTAGTACAGCACGATGACGTCGGAGGTTCAAGGTGAGAATAGAAATTCAGCCACAAGGTTAACTAGTGAGAGAAGACGAAGAAAGAGAGGATCTAGGGAGAAGATGACGGGTTTATATTAGAGGCTCAAAAAGATGGCTTAGACATGTAAAACAGTCCAACAAATACAATTCCAGGCAGTTAAATAGGAGGATTAGAATTTTTAGGGTTCCATTTATTACCTAGGTACGGCCGTTTGCTGGGGTTGGTTTTTTATTATTTTTATTTATGTATTTTTATTTCTTTATGTTTTATATTATTATTAGTTCTGTTTTTTTTTCGTACTGTTTTATATTATTTACCTTTTTATTTATATTTATATTTTATTTTCTTTAATCTCTCTCTAACTGGCCGAACCCTCTGAATCACCCTTTTGAGTCTTTTTTATTATTTCTGGACGGGACTCTGGGTAGTAGCATTGGGTACACTTGGCAGTGCTTCCCGGCTTTTTTCCCAACGTTCTTGAATATTAGTGTTTTAATCTTTATAGAACTATGTATACCACTTGCTTCACATTTAGTACATTCTAAAACTGCAGAGATCGGTCGATCATGATCCCTTGACCCGAATATGCGGGTTGATCGGCTCAAATGCTGGTCTTCGGTGCATGAAAGGGGCCAATGAAGGATCCGCCATATATAAAAAAAAAGACGGTACGATGCATCATCAGGATCGCGGGATGACTCGCAGTCTCATATGTATATTGCAGGGACGGGTGGAGCTGACAAGATTTTTGAAACAGCTGCCTAATGCAAATCGCCTAATGCAAACCAAACCGTTAAGCTTCAGATTTAGTACTTCCATGAACACTACTCCGTACAGAGTATGAAAATAGGTCGTAGATTGTACATAATTATGTTGGGGACCTGGTGACTTTTTCACTTCTTCACTTTATTCTTTGATTGCCTTTTAGTATACTATATAGAGTACGTACGTACTATGTTTCAAATTGAAGACGGCCCCCTCGATCCCCAATGCTGGGTCTTGGGCTCTTGGGCCTTTCGGATGGAGTAGTTTGTTCTGGTTTTGTTCTGGAAAAATCTCCACCGAACTCAGGGGATCCCTCGATTTTCCGTTTCAGGCCTGTTTGTAAGTTTGCATGGAACATTCTGATCCTTCTGTGCTGTCCACTTTCTCCTGATCAGCCCTGTCAATGACATATTTTGCCCATTTTCTGTTTTGATTATTGGTACCTCGTACTGTATATCCAACCCCCTATTCTTCTACTCTATGCTTAGATGATCGTTATCTCATATATCAGTATAAACCAATAACAATCCCATATTCCAGTCCTTGAAACTTCACTAGAAACAATCCAATTCAATAGCCCTTTGAGTTGGTCCTACATTTGTATGGTTTCTCCCTTTCATCCCTGTGGAGGCTGTGGAGCCCGGGCAATTTTTTTTTTTCTTCTTTTTTTTCCTTTTTTTTCCTTTCCCACTCAAGCCAGAGACATTCCAAAGTAAGAAATCTCAAAATGCAGGGCTTACTGTCAGATCCAATGCTGTGCTGTGCATTCCAGAAGTCTGAGCTGTCTAGATCTCTCTATACACGTTTATAGCCCACACACCGCCTCTATGAAACCTCATCTTCACACTTTCCCCCTTGGCAATTCGTAAGGTCGTACACGCGGTGAAGGCTAGACGTGGCCGTGATTTTTTTAAAACTTGGAGAATTCAGGAAATTAAGCTCTCTGCTAGTCACTTGACCAGTTCATGTGGCCTGTTCCATGCGTTATCGCACGTTTGTTAATGGTTGGTGTTACAACACCATACTACTACATACTAATTTACTACTTAGGTATGATGTATATTGTAAAGAGCCCACAATAACAGCTCTTTGTATTTCCAGGACAACTGCAGCCGGATGTCGCGGTCCGTGAAAGAATTAGTGGACCACAGTTCAGGCACAGAAATATTTGGGAGTCTAGAAGACAATCGAATATTTACCTCGGCATCTGGACCATCACAGCCCAAAAAATAAAAAATAAAAAAATACCGGTGTGACAAAGTGGAGGAGAGTGCCCAGATGAAGGGTGGAAAACCTTACTATGACAGCAGTGACAGCAACGGTAATATCCGATGAGATAGAGAGAGACCTGTGCAGCTCCCCTGCAGCTTACAGTCTCAGTCCAGTCATCACAGTCATGGGAACCTCCCGCAGAATCTAGAGATCAGCGATATTCGGAGGATTGGAGAAAAGCAAGAGCCAAATATGACCTCATCCGCCTGTCGATAATTCAAGCCACGGCGCCCCTCAGCGCCATTTCTCACCTGCAGAATGCATCCCGACCGTTTCGGATCGGCTCGGTTCATGTGACTTCGTTTGGAAAGAGTATTATCTAGTTTAGGTTGTTGCTAAGAGGAACCACATCTACAACCCGCATTGTCTGATTGTACATAATTGGGACTACAGCCGGTTAACTCGGACCATTGAGTTATCTGATGGACCTGATAGACCAATTTGAAGAGAAATGCGGGGAGTTCAACCCCCCTGCGACGTCACGGGACATTCGATTGAGGCTGCTGCCCAGGTGTCGATGCAACCCCGATTACGAACCTTGGAAGCTTGGAAACTATGCAGGGTGAAAGGGAAATAGCTGGGCTTGTTCATCCAGTACCGGTTCTGGCGACAGGCAGCATTGCATGATATTCTTCCGAAAATACCCAAGAGACAACAGGATAGGGCAAGAGATAAAAAAAAAAAAGGAATGAAAATGAAAGTCTCCGAACGCCGTTCACCACACCGTCACTCAAACCTCCAGCAAAGATCGAAGAATGAACCACGCTCCGACGATACCTAGCAGCGACGCGAGCAGCAGCCCATTTCCTTCCCTGGTCAGTCCCAGATACGCAACTGCACCCACCACAATCTCCTTTCGTCGCGCCATGTCTCGCTTGGCTTTCCAACTCGGATCGATAGAGAACGGAGCCACAGCTCGTATGCTCTCAGTGTTTGAAGATGCATCAGAGGGCCGCAGCGGCACCGATGCAATGAGCGCAACGGGACGATGATCTGACTGTGCGAAAAGAGGCAGTGCATTGTAAGCGAGCGGCTTGACCTTTCCAGCTTCACCAACCCAGGGCTTATCGAGGTAGAGGACTCGATCGCACCAGCTGGGCCAACGGTGATTCGACCATTTCCATTCATGATCACCAGTGTCCAAGCCCCGGCGGACAGCTTCGCGCGCGGCGTCCGAGTATTTGTACGTGGGAGGGAAATCTATCGGCGCCTCAGACAGACTGTGGAAGGTCCTGCCATAGCTCATCTCGCGCACTAGCTGGTCGTTCTTCAGAAGGTGGGAATAGTGCGAGGGGTTATCGAGGTCGACATTGCGGCGAGGGAATTGTTCAATCTCCCGAGTCGAGGGTCCGATATTCGACGTGCGGTAGTTCAGGTCTCCGGCAAGGAATAGGTAGGCGTTTGGCGCGAAGAGATCTCTGCGACTGCCCTTCGCGTGCGCCGACGCAGCGTCGTCGAGAAGGCTGGTGCTTTCGTCCACGCTTGACCTCTCTGCTGGTCTCTTGCTGTCGTGTGTGAATACAAGGCGCTCGACAATGCTCTTCCAGTCCATGTTCCTTTGCTCATAAGAATCCTCCATGGGAGCGAGATGGGCCGCGACGAAAGTGAGGTCCACGGTCTTGGATGGGTATCCTTCAACCACATACCCCAGGCGTGCCCCGACAGCGCCTTTGTTTCCCATTTCCTGAACTCCGAGGCCGACGTGGGCTGTGTCCTTCCAGGCGATTTTGCCCAGAGTGTCATCGCGCGCGAAGAGCATCAGGCCTGTCATTCCCGTATTGTCGGTGAGGAAGTTCACATAGTGCTGGTCCCATTTTTGTGCCGAGGCTTTCTGGACAGCACGGCGGAAGGCATCGAAGTAGGGTAAAAGATAGGATCCTCCGAGGAACGAGTAGGCAATAGGTGCGATCTCTTGTAGCGAGAGGAAAATCAGGTCGGGTGCGGAGCTCCCCGCACCAGACGCGGGGAGTGCGTCGAAGAAGTGTTCCGCGAACACGTCGACATCGACAAAGTTTCGTGCACAGTTAAATGTCAGCACATAGACACCGAGGGCGTCCATACTGAAAAATTACTCTGGGTCAAGCCAGAGGAGACAGGGAAGAGTAGGCGATGGGAAGGCTAAGGCGGTGACGTCACTTTGAGAAGTGACCGCTTTTTTTGACCGTCTGCCTTGGACTGCAAAAAGTAAATACATACAAACTCGGATTTGGATTTTAATTGGAAGAAAGACCATCTTATACAAGCACATGCAAAAAAAAACATTAATACGGATGATTATTGAGTTCATTGATTCCATGTCTAAAAACTACAAAAAGACGTGCATCATCCGTGAATCGAACACGGGCCTCGTCGATGGCAACGACGAATTCTACCACTAGACCAATGATGCTGGAAAACCAAGTGGATCTGCAAGCTGATTCGTTGGTGATATGTGGGATTCGCCAATTTGATATGTACAGGGTGTCAATGCCATAACCTATTTTCTCCAAGCACTTTGGTCTATCCAACGCAGAATCATAACTTACCCCGGACTTCTACTTTCCCATTGTTTGGCTCCAATTCGACCAAAAGCATACCCTCAGCGACATCCTCCTCTTCATCCTCCATCTCATAAACCCATTTGACCCGACCACTTCGAGGGCTTCGTACTTCGAGCTCCATCTTCATCTGCTTGACGAAAGCCAGGACCTGATTTTCAACAACATCCTCTCCATCCGACACCAGTATCTCAATCAATCTACCGGACAGAGGGAGGATGATATGGTGGGAATTATTTGGATCACCTCGCCGATGCGACGAGGACACCAATGCTGACGCAGCGGTCGTAGTTGTTTCGAGTTGCATCCGATAGGGGATTGCGCCCTGCGAGGTTGGAGTCGTATATTCAACTTCGGCAGCTAGTGAAGATGGGAACTCATTGCGTAGTACCCGAGACAGGCGCAGATGGTGGACAACTTTGTCTGATTGCTGGGAATCCTTCGACAGAGGTTCCAACGTGATTGACCATGCATCTCCTTTTCGGAACAAGAGATTGGATGCTGGCAATCCACTTTGGGTGATTGATTGCTGTGAAGGACCGGCTGGACCATCTAGAACCATGAGAGTCTTCGATATGTTCTCCCCTTGCTGGAGTACTGCATCGAGGTTGAGCCCAAGCCATTGTGTGTCGACTTTGCCGGCCATGAAATCAGAATGGGCCACGATCCCTCGTAGAAGACTGATATTAGTTTTCACACCGTCAATCCTAGAATCAGCCAAGACCCGCTGGGCCTTTCTAACGGATGCTTCCCATGTGGGCGCAGTCACGATTATCTTGGCCAACAGATTGTCAAAGTTGGATCCCACAACCAGCGCGGGGCCAGAGACATTGACATGGGTATCTACGCGGATTCCATGGCCACTAGGCACGGTAAATCCAGTAACTTTGCCAATGCTCAGAGAAAACCCGTTGCTAGGGTCTTCAGCACACAGTCTAAGTTGGATTGAAAAGGCATTTGGTGGAGGGTGATTTGCGTTGACCTCAGCACCGAGGCCCAGCTCATTTAAAGTGTATCCCTGGGCGAGAAGAAGCTGTGTCTGCACCAGATCTATCCCACTAATAGATTCCGTAATGGTGTGCTCGACTTGCAGCCGCGGGTTCACCTCCAAGAAGTAGAATTCCTCGCGCTGTTCACTGACCAGGAACTCAAACGTACCCAATGACCGATAGCAGATTTCACTTGCCATCTTGAGCGCAGACTCGATCACTCGACCGACCAAAGCTCTATCCCGCATCAAAGCCGGAGCGCATTCAACCACCTTCTGAAACCGCCGCTGAGCGCTGCAATCTCTTTCCCACAGATGTCGCACCTGACCCGTCCCATCACCAATAATCTGAATCTCAACATGATGGAATCCGTCCACAGCAGCCTTTTCAACAAAGACAGTCCGAGACGGCGACTCGCCAATCGCTCTCTGGATACTATTATCCAGCTCATGCTCCTCGCGAACGAGCCGAATCCCGCGACCGCCTCCACCATCAACAGCCTTGATCATAACTGGGAAACCAACCTGCGTAGCAAACGCACGCGCTTCGTCCACGTTAGTGGTAGGTTGGCTCATGGCTTCCAATACGGGGACGCCGCATTGCTGCGCTAGCTGTTTTGCCTGCAGTTTATCACCCGTTCGGGCGAGATTTTCCCATCCAGGTCCTATGACGGTAGCTCCGGCTTCGTGCCACATGCGATGCGCGAATTCGGCGCTCTCGCTGAGGAATCCATACCCGGGATGCACGGCGTCAATAGAGTGTTTTTGGGCTAGCTCTACCAGGAGGGAAATGTCGAGATATGATGACGCTGATGGGATTTGAATTGCATGCTGTGGTCGCCCTAGATCGCAGTGCGATCGGTCGTCTGATGTGTACAGACTGAAGGTCTCGACTGGCTCGGGTAATTCTCGTGCTGCATGGAGAATACGAACGGCAATCTCTCCTCTATCAAATATCAAGTAAGTATCTTGTAATATTATTTTGTCGTAAAAGCTCATACCTGTTGGCGACCAACAATCGTTTAATGGGCCGTGAGTGCGGGGATGACATTTGGGGTGAAAGGGGGGAAATCCGGGGTAATTGAATGCAATAGCTCAAGCAAGCTAGATTGACGAAATAAGTTAGGATATATTTCAAATGAGATCAATTGAAAGATTAAAGCATTAGTTATCTCATTGCAAAGATACTTCCACCATTCGACAAGATATATAATTATAGCTCTCGACGTGGGTGACCTCGGCCCTCGGACAGTTTGCCCACCCCCTCAGTAGACCAAATCCTTAAACAACCTCCAAGTCTACACTGTATACAAGGAAAACAAAAGAAAATAAACCAATCCATATCAATTGATACATCATGGCCAAAGACAACGACAACCCACCAACTAGAACAGGCAAAGACCAAGCCACGGACCGCCTACACCAGGTCTCATCACATATATCCCCACTAAAAGACCAACCAAGAAAACCCAAATCAAAATCAAAATCCACAGCAAACCGCCTCCCAGCAGACCACTCAGATGTACTAGGCCAACTAGCAACGCTTCGCGCAATAGCTGCAAAACCAGACCCCAACAACCGAGGCTACGTCCGCCAAAAACAAGCAGGCAAGCTATGGGTACGCGAGCGCATCGAGCAACTCCTAGACCCCAACAGTTTCCAAGAAATCGGGTCCGTCTCCGGTACGGTGACATGGCAAAAGACCGCGCCGATGCGCGAGAAGCCCGTCTCCTTCGTGCCTAGCAATAACATCCAAGGCGCCGGACTGCTTCGCGGCAGGAAGGTCCTTCTCACGGCTGACGATTTCAGTATCCGGTCTGGACATGCGGACGGCGCGAGTACCGGCAAGACAGTTTATGTGGAGAAACTTGCTATTGCGCTGCGCGTGCCGGTTGTTAAGCTTGTTGATGGGAGTTCTGGGGGTGGGAGTGTGACGACGATTCGGAAGGAGGGGTGGAGTTATCTTCCTCATGTTGCGTCGTTTCCGCATGTTATTAAGCAGTTGAATATGGGAATTCCAAATTTGGGGGCTGTTGTTGGACCTGCGGTGAGTTTATCTGATATTTTCTTTCCATCTTCCTTTTCCTTTTTGCTTTATCTAGCCATTTGATATTGGTTGGTACAAGCCGAACTGACCGGTCATGTAGATTGGACTCGGCGCCGCGAGAGTGGTATCCTGCCACTTCTCGGTGATGGCAGCTGACATCGGAGCACTGTTCAATGCAGGCCCGAAGGTTGTCGAGGGCGCAACATTCGAAGAAGGCCTCGACTTCCAAGACTTGGGCGGGCCTATGGTTCATTGTATGAACGGCACGATTGATAACCTCGCCGCCAATGAGGCAGAGTGCTATGAGCAGCTGCGGGTAGTTCTGAGCTATCTCCCCAATAGTGGGAGCGATGCACCACCCACAATTCCCTGCACTGACTCGGAGGAACGCGAGGATGTTGCGTTGCGGAGTATCATCCCTCGACGACAAGCACGCATGTACAATGCCCGTTCAATTATCACCTCTGTAGTTGATAAGGACTCCTGGTTTGAGATTGGAGCATTATGGGGTCGCACTGCCATTGGTGGTCTTGCTCGCCTGGGTGGCCGTCCTGTTGGAATTATCTCGCTCAATTGTGAGGTGAATGGAGGTGCATTGGATGCTGCTGGCAGTCAGAAGTTGACGCGACTGCTGAAGTTGTGTGATGTGATGAATCTGCCTATTCTGCAGTTTTTGGACGTCCGTAAGTGATCATGTTTCATCCCAGATCGTTTGAAATGAGCTGACATGGTATTTGAAGCGGGCTATGCTATTGGAACTGTTGCTGAGCGCACGGCGACAATGCGTTGGGGCGTCGAGCTTGCCAAGGCTTACTTCAGTTCTACTGTTCCGGTATTTAACGTGGTTACACGGCGTGTATTTGGTGTGGCGGGTGGTGTTATGTTGGGTTGTCGTGATCCGGTTATGCAGGTTGCTTGGCCGTCTGGACAATGGGGTTCGTTGCCTCTGGATGGCGGAATTGAGGTCGGGCATCGACATGAACTCCGTGAAGCCGAGAAGGTTGGAAAGAAAGAGGAACGGTATCAAGAGTTGGAAGAAGAGTATCTACGGCTGATGAACCCTGTGCGTACGGCAAATGCGTTTGGAATCGAGGAAATTATCGACCCGAAGGATACAAGGAAGTTCTGCTGTTCTTGGGCATCGCATGTTTATGAGGTGCTCATGAAAGAGAGATTAGCAGACCGAGCATGTGGGAAGCTCCAGCCTTCTTTTGCCTGATAGAAATTGAACTTGTTATGCTAGGTGAATCAGTCTGATTACATATGTATTGTGAATCGATACATAATCAATATAGTCATATGCACTGAATTATGCGTCCAAAATAAATAAAGAACAGTGATAACGCGCTGGAACGATTGAGTTAATTCCCTTAGTAGATGGTGATGTAGTGGCATCTAGGCAGCAAGGCAGTAAGGCTTTGCTTGCTTGCTCTCGTTAGTCAGACCTCCTTTGTCCCATGGAGCTATAAAGAGAGCTTTATGGCAGTAGGTAGATCAACATGCTCTTCTTCCTCTCTTGCTACTGGTAGTATGCCTTCATCAGATGGCTTATATAAATCCATTATATTCTTTAGCCCATTGTCCATTTGTATATAGACCTATCTGCGCGCGTATATCTCTCTATATAGTGTATCATACATAGTAAGTGATCTCTAACCCAATTCCTCCCCAATTCCTACGTGAATGGTTGAGCGTTGACGACTGTTTTGCTATAATTGAGTTCTTCTTATAGTTTTGATTGCCCTAAGACACTAAGCCTATACTTCGTGTTTGCAGAGGTAAAGAATGAAAGGTCCGGCTTTGACTGAAGGACTCAGATCTCGAATGTAACGGCTTTATTCCTCCAGCTGATGGTGTCTATAGATCTTTTTATCTCTTAGTCTATTGTCTCTCTGTACACAGATAGAGAAACATGATTGTCATGTCTATTTGCTATGCTAGCAAGCCCAATTGCTCGAGTATAAAAGGATTCTCTCACGATTTGAAGTATCCTTCTTCTTCATCTTCAACCTTGATCTCCTTGATCACCATCTTCATCAACCGTCATCATGCAGAGTGACCTCCAGGCTTCTGCCATCAGGAACTTCCAGGCAACTAGAGATGACTTCGTTGCCGAGCTAGAGAAATTTTCTAGTGGAGACACAGGAGGGAGAGTGTCTCGCTGATTCAATCCTTCCTACGCCGAATCCACAACACACTCTCTATGTGGACACTGATTCGAGGGCGCCAAGAGAAGGAGGGGAAGTGCTTCGAAGAGAGATGTCGGAATTTGATGGTGATGACAGATGAAATTTCTACTACCATATCCGGTTGTATAACTATCACCGCCGACGGAAACAACTGTACCATCAGAATCCACGATCCGGTGGTGAAGAAGGCGTTTGATATGTTGGCCATGCAGATTGGAAGTCTGACTTTGCATGGATTAAGCGACGACGACAATGAAGCGGTGGAAAATTCCAGGATGGTCGAGAGTGAACAACGCCGTTGGGAACAGAAGTTGGTATGGGAAGATGATCTACGCCGCGAATATCTTCGACGCCTTTGGTTCCGCTTGTACCACAAGGTGCATGACTGCAATTGCCGACAATGCTTGGATTTCTACCTGCCTCACCGTGATCCCACTCCATCTCCACCACTTCCACCCATGCCTGAGGAGGACAGTGATAGCGATTGTTCCTAGACCTCGCTCAGCGAGGAGGAGTAAGCATGAGAGCTTCTCTCCACTAGCTTTTTCTGTGATTCTACGGTGCCCGCAATCCTGGTTGATCTTCTGTTTCTACGACAAACTCGATTTTTGGTTGCTTTTCTGTTTTTACGATGAACACATTTCGGTTTCTTTTCTTCACTGTTCTTACGATGCCCATTATTTTTTGTGAAATCAAAAAAAAACGAAGCTTATGCTTTGGATAATTTGCAAAATTGTAGAAAGGTACCTATGTAGTAAATCAAGTAGGATGGGAAGAGTAAGGAGGAAAGTGGAAAACGTGCCCTAAAAGGTTGAACAAATAGTTTGTATAAATGTGCTCAAACATTTAGACAGAGACAAGAAACCGATCTTTCCCTACATAATCAGACCTATTGGGAGTCGTAAGCCGAATAAAGAGCCCTGGGTAGGGTGTTGCCACTACTATATTGGCTGTTGATAGTGATAACTAGGAGGATGTGGTGGGGGAAGTTAGAGTTTTATAGGGCTGTAGGGTAGTAGGATAAAGCTCGTGGGGTAAAGCTTATAGGGCGAAGACCAAGGAATGGCAGAAATCCTATCCTACCTATACGATACCTACTAGTTTTCGATTTGCCCTACACCTTTACCCTGCGACCCTATACAACGCTGACTTTTCCCACCACATCCACCCGTGGACTTATCGTGATGCGAAATTAGAGGAGTACCAGGCCGCTAATACCGAGCGATTGTTTCTGAGTATTACTAGTATAAAGGACTACGATTGTGGATAATGTCAATGGGTATGTTGGACCTGAAGGAATGATGATAAAGTTATTTTCCACCAGAGTCTCGAATATATTAGTAGCGCAACCGAGTTTTTATATACATCTCGCACCATCTCACCCCAAACGAATAGCGGCATATGCTGTGGGAAAACTCCCGAAGGGTATTACAACGTCTTTCTTAATTTAATACCACACCTCCTACTCCCCAAATCAAACAGGACTCTTCCCTGTCTTCTCCTCGTCCGAGGAAATATCAACAGGCGCCAGCACCGGAGCAGGAGGTGCAGCCGGCTTTGGCGGAGTAGGCGCGATCCAAAATGCCGGATACCGGCGATGCAAATTATTGAACAGCAGCGCACACACCAACAGCATAACCGAAGACAGGAGGACTACAGGCAAGTAGTACCAAGAAAGGCGCCAAATCTCCTCATTGGTAGCCGGGAGCAAAGCAGTCGCACCAGCAGGCGGGTGGGTAGTACCCGTCAACTGCATAACGACAATAGCAATAGCCGTTGAGAGTGAAGCGGCCAGCCAGCGCAGGGACTCGAAGCGCTCCTGGTCGGGCATCAGACTAAACAATTTAGTGACGCAGATGCCGACCAAGGCACTGAAGAAGTGGCCGAAAACTAGAGCGCGTGGTTGCGCGAGCGGGCTTTCGATTGCGCCGAAGACGAGGACTGCGGATGCACCCTGATTTGGATGTGTGAGTCAATGTAGATATTTGGGGAATGCTAATTTGGCGATTTGGCTTACATAGGATGCGATTATACCCGGTACATTGCGCTCGATGAAGTAGTCGGAATAGTTGAAAATTGCTTGTACGACTGATAGACCGCAGAATGAGGTTATGAAGGACCATAGAGCGACTTCGTACGTAGAGAGTGGCTTTACGGCTTCCGGGCGATAGCCAAGCCAGTGGCTGATCCACCGGGGAAGACGAGCGAGACGTGAAGGGGCCATGGGGTGAGGCCCGTAGTTGGATTTGAAGATTAGAATTATTAACGGTATATATAGGAGATCAAAAAGAAGAAAACAAAATATTGAACGACATTCAAAGGATTTGATTCAAAGGCGCTAGAATGGTTTTGGGAATTGGGGAAGGCAAAAAAAAAATTGGAGAAAACCGGCCGTGCGGAGAACGTGAGGAGATCCAATTTTTATGACACATCGCTATATGCACAATTATATATGTCCACGGGTGCCCCTAGTAGAACACACCCTATCATTACAATATACATTTACACTCTTATACATACTGCTTGGGCAACAGGTCGCGGCTGATGATGTGCGACTCGCCCAATGTTCCCTTCATCACAAGCACCAGGTCATCCACGGTAGCCAGGAACTTGAGGTATGCGCTGATGGCGACGCAGAACCGGCGGTAGTTCTCGTCGCGAATCAACTCCTTGCTTAGAATAATATCCACCTGGTGCGATACCCAGTAATCGTGGCAACGGTTGAGCAGTGGCGTTGGCAGCACATCGGGTAGAGGGTCGCCGGTCTTGAGTGATTGTTCAACCACACTAAGAACAGCCATCACGTCGCCGATATTGTGGTGGTCAAGGAGACCGGCTTGACGAGATAGGCGACTTTGCAGGTGTTCTGGCAGCGAAGCAGATAGGTAAAGTAGCCGAGCAATGTTCTGGTTGAGTTCTTGGCACAGCGATTTCACCTGGCCAAGACGGTCGCTGTCAAATGGCGAGCCGGAAAATTCAAAGCGTAGCAACGCGATGGGCCCGTCCAGTGCGGTAAGAGTCTCGGCGAGGTTAATAGCCAGCTTCTCGGCGGCCAGACCTTCTTCGCGCCCTTGTCCCCAGCAAGATAAGAGAAGCGCGTAGTGGTCCGACAATAAGCGGATGACGTTTGAAAGGGACTTGCAGACGTGTCCCGACGCAGACGGTGGGTGGGGAAAGAGCTGCACGATCAGTGCCGCTGCAGAGCCGATGAGAACAAGCGTAAGTCGTCGCCAGAAAACATTATATCCCCAGCCGGGATTGCCGTAAGTTGGGATGTGTCTGGGAAGTGTGTTAGCCATGTTGCTTCCCGTAATGTGGCATAATTTACTTACGTATCCTCGAAACTGTAACCAACAACCAGAATGCAGGTCGCACCAGCCATAATCATAGCTTGAAGCATAGCAGGGGGTGCGAAAATACGTCCCCACATGAGAATCGTGAGCACAACAGCCATGATAGCAGCAAGACCGTATGGGTTACCTTCGCCGTTGCCTGAGCCGATATACCACGCCACTAAGCCAAGGACACCGCCAATAATGGTACCAATGGCTCGACAAAGAAGGGAGAACGTGAAGTCAGCCATGTATATGACCAGTGTGGTCTGCCCCATGATGAGGGCCCAGATACCTTTCTCACGGTAATAGAAACCCGCAGTGTGAGGAATAGCAGCAGGGATAGCGAGCGCGATGGTGACAGCCACCATGCGCATTGCATAAAGACCTTCCGGGTTGATGAACCAATGATAGATGCCGATGATAGCGCGCCCGAAGCGGCTGCCTCGGTTGACACGATACCCTCTGCTGATGCGAAGATGCTGCTGTGCCGCTTTGGACTGCGTCTCTGCGACGTCGGGGTCGACGATTGGGTTATGAGCCGCGGTTACAGGCGCCACGACATTTTTTCGAAGAATCCAGTTGACTGCATATCGCAAGCCCTTGGGTAGCCATAGACGGATCTTCTGGCGTTCCTTGAGGAGAGCGACAAGCTGTCCTAAGACCCGCTCCCACCCGTCGGCGACGCCGAGCACCTGCTCTTCGAAGATCATTCCCATAGTGATACCCCTAACTCTGGGCATTGAAGTTTCGTCAAGGGCCTTGAGCATGCCTTTTTCGTCGAAGATCTCTGCGTGTGTTTGAATCAAACGTTCGGTGGTTTCCGTCGCAAACGATGTGCGCAGGGTCTGAAGATTCTGCAGCGCAGTAAGACTGCGCTCGTGCAACTGATTGAGATGTTCCTTGGAACTGCGACCGAACCAACGCTGGTTAACCGTGTGAATTGATTCCGCAATGATCTCAACAGCTTCCTGGCACGCCGGGAGGATATCCTTGCTGGACTCGCGCAATACGTCGATAGTTTCCGACCGCATGGATTCATGTTCTGGGCTTCGCAGTGCTTGTACCAAATTCACACTTTGCATCAGCTGGCGCAGTCCAACCTCGCGTGAACGCTTTTTCTCATTTCCATTAACTTGTGAATCAGAGTCTGAATCCCGATCCACAGTGAGCTGGTCCAACTTTTTTAGCTTCGCGTGTCCCCCGATGCGGGCGATATGAACTTCAAGAAGGGACAGACTACTCATCAAAGCCTGGCGTATTGGTTTCTTCATGCTCTTGACGTCCTCAGCACCCCACCAACCGACGGAGAAGTCCAATGGCAAAAAGCCCATGGCGGGCTTGAGATCCTTGTAAGCAGCAATGCTCTTCACCTTGATCTTTTGCAGATCTGCCATATCCAAGATTTGACCTTTCAGAAGACTGTTCTCTGTGGCGTCCAGAGGCCCTCTGAGTAGCCGCACCAGCCCCTCCATGCCATCGAGCACGACATGGGAGGTAGATCGAGGGAAGAAGATAAAATGGGAGACCAGGCCCAACCCAATTCCAATAGCGGCAGGCTCGATCAGGACCTTGGGGATGGTGCCGCTGAACGATCCAAGCAGCGGGCCAATAGTCAGAGTAACATCGATGATGATGATTGCGAAAATCTGCATCAGAATGAATTTGGGGTTTTTAGCCCGAAGACGGGACTGCGAAAAAGGGTCAGTGTATTGACGATTATGCTCGGATCAAGAAGTTCTCACGATTAAATAGATGAACAAACAGATTAGGCAATAATAGACAGCTGTTACACGAGCGTCAAGCATCCAGCCAGTGTAGATAAGCTCCTTTTGGACAGCTGCCACCGGCTGTCCGGTGGAATTAGCCTGGCTATATGCGGCCTGTCCTAGGGCTTGAAGCTTGGCCTGGGTCTCAGCCGCTGGTCTCGCTGCCATAGCAGCCTTCATGGCGACGATACCCCAGGCCCAGCCCAAAGCCATGCCAATGACGAGGGTCAGAGTTCCTAAAAGGAAAATGAAGACAATTCCGGTCGGAGGCACCATGAAGAGTACCAGGCTGATCGAGATAGGATTAGCATTGATACCGAGAGGAAATATATGGATGCGCTCACGCTGCAAAAAAAGTCGCGGTACCAATGACGCTTAAGGACGGCGTGATAAACATCAACAGAGACGCGACCCAGGCAGCTAGCGAGCAACGGAATAGCACCTTAAGATCGCGGGCATTGAAGTGATCAAGCCATCCTGGCAGCTTTCTGCCGGCTTTGGGAGCAGGCGCTGCCTTTCCGGGAGAGGGAGACCCCTCCCCATTAGAGGTAAGCGGGGATGCCTCCGGCCGGGCATCTCGCTGAGAGGGTTCTGTTTCAGTCATTCCAACATGAACAGTGTAAGAAAACGAGATTATCAGGAGGATAAATCAGTTTAAATATCGAAAGGGATAGGTGTAATTGGGCATTCCTCGCGATGAAAGGGGAGAATGAGGGGACATCTGAATAAAGATTTTACCCGTCTTCGACCAGAAGAACATCCACGGGTGAAAACCAACCCAGGAACGATCGGCCCATTTACATTATTGTTTAATAATCACATGTAAATATAGCTTCGACTCATTTTTCACGATTCTACCCATTAAGGGGGAAATATCTATGAAAAAAAGAAAAAGACATTCTAAAAACCCTACTAAAAACTCTACCTAACGACAAGGCCGCATGCGGTCGACTATTCTTATAATTTGTTTATTTCTCGAAATCATGACTCTCTCCCGTTTTATGATCGACATCTGGCCTGCCCTACTGTCCTAGATCGGCATTAAATCCTGCATACGCTCTTATGCTAGGCATGATTATCATGATGAAACTTGGCGCTTGGCGGCTCGTGGGCGGGGAAGTGGAAATTGTGATAAAATCCAAGCCTTGGCGTTGACTTGTTTCACTCCATAGGGCTAATAATACAACCCCTATTAGGTAACTGCGAGAGAATTGTGCGATAAATATTAGTTTCGCCTGACACTATTGAGCGCCCCTGCCGGATTGGGAATGTGTGAAGCCAAAAAGGAGACAAGAAAAGGAAGTTGCGTGTGTAGCCCTATTATCGAGCGGGGGGCTAATAAATCAAGAGCTCACCGGTGTACCAATACTAGCCTTCATTTATCGCTGCATGGGTTGTGTCAAATGAATATCCGCTAGAGGAGAGGAATGAACTATGGAACCCCAGAAACAAACTTTATATTATGGCCTAATCATTCAGGCATTCAGGTATCAGTTTCTCATTTCAGCATCTTTTCAACGTAAACCAGATGCTCTTTAATTTTCAAATAACCCTCGTCCAGTGATGATTCAAACTTGATCATTCCACCGTGATCAGCTTGAATGAAAATATGTGACGAATTATCCTGTAGTGGAGACGACGCAGTCTTGTTCAAAGGCAACTAAGAGTGTAAGCAAATAGTTCACGGCTGGCTGATGATAACTCTCTTACCTGGTCCAATGTATTGTTTGTTGACGGAGAGTCGAGTCTCTCATGAACAAATAAAGTCCAAAACTGTTGGCTGATCGATGGGTAGGTTTGTAATATAGTCACCAACCAATGTGCTTCCTTATAAGTATCGCTGGACTCCTGCTCAGATCCTTTAGCATTAGCTAAGTAGCTTTGCAGTCCAATGAGCCTTGAATCTAGCTCAGGTGTCCCCATGAAGATCGCTCCACGAGTTAAGAGTCTGGTGCTGCGGAGGTCCGTAGTAGGGGTTTCTTGTGCTGAGTCGGCATAAAGCAGGGCCTGGTGATAATCAATGGCAACTCTCTTTTATATAGAATGGTGAGACTTACACTTTTGACTATAGTTCCCCCGAGACTGTGTGCAATAAATATAATCGGACGATTGGCTGTCTGTGTTGTCTCTGTCAGTACTACTTCTTGTTTGCTTTTTGGGTCAGTTGAGTTCGTACGTTTGTTGACGATCTCATTTCCCACAGGTCACAGACTAGTTGCTCAGATAGTTTCTGTTGGGATGATGTCTCATCGGAGTTTCCCGCAGTGGGCAAACTATAACCCCAGGAAAGGACTCGAGTGTTGGGCATATCACCTGGCAGCAGATCACGGAGCCAGTTTACCCCATTGGCTGCCGTCCATGAATTTTCGCGGTGGCCATTCAGGCCATGAACAGCAATGATGCTGCGGCAATTATTAATTATCGAAATATTTGATAGAGATGTATTGTACAAACTCGACTTTTGGGGTTAGCCCATCATACAGCAACTTCAAGCCAGTCTCGTCGTCTGGTGGAAGTGGAGACTGTAGGCACTCTTAGCATATCGACGAAACAAGACGCAGCCATCTCATTATATTGGGTTCTTACTTTCTTTGCGATCTTTGATTGGCCCTGTTTGAATGGAAAGCACCACGGCCACGGCATGGTTCACAGCAAATTTATCTTGAAGGGTGCGGGGTAAAATATAGCTGGGGAAAACAACATTGATCAAACTGGCATTAACTCGAGTGATTCGTTGTAAAAACGAGGGTCACAGAGTTGCAGGGTTAAGGTTGCAGGGTAAAGGTTGCAGGGTAAAGGTTGCAGAGTAAAGGTTACAGGGTGAATAGAAAAATTAAACTATATTGGTCTAGTACGAGGTAAAAAACCCCCCTAAAATAGACGGGAGGATCTGCTATATATTCGCCCTGCTACCTTAACCCTGCGCTCTGCGGCCCCCTACAACTTACTACAGCACGATTTATATTATTGCGCGTGCGATGATTTCTCGATATATCGTGAACACAGTCGGCCGCTTATGCGGCTTTGTCACGCATTTTTGGTAGTCTTTTTTGACATATTTAACCTTTTGGAGCCGTTCAATAGTTGGAATTTATATTATTAGCTCAATTAATGTATCTACCTAGGTAAAATAGAGTACCTAGGTATTGTTCCGAGAACCCGCGGGTAAACCTTGGAAGGGTCCGATTTTTATTTTGGTGCCTAAGGCAAAAGTTAATGCCTAGTACCTCAGGCGAAAAGCTTATTCTTGAAAATCTATCCGGCGCATCACGTGGCATGCTTCCGTATGCGTACATTTTTCATTGCCTCTCTACAAATTGGGACCTTGGAAGGAACTCAATTTACTGGCCACAATGCCTACTTTGTACTGGCCATATTTCACCGAGCCTTGGGGTAACATGAAACCAACAAATCAAGGTCGATTGCATATTTGCCTCCCATCGGTCCCATCGGTCCCATCGCGATTATGGCGAAGAAAAAGTTAGTCAATCGCCTCCCATAAAAGTGGAGAGAGGCCGAACTCCGGGCAACGCAGCCCAATGAGCCTCCCCACTGTGGAGAACAAACCGTCCACCGGCCGATGTCGTGCTTTGACGCGACTGAATATTTTTTGGAGAAAAAGGAAGCTGTTTCCCCCCTACCCGCTTCGATCTCTCCTAAAGTCTCTGGGGTATAATCTACGGGGAAAGACTCGGCCTGGATGATCGGCACTTCAGACGACAACATGGACAAGTCCGACTTCAACAACGAGAAGGTCCAGCCGGCTCCCGGCGCAGAGTTTGAAGACTTCGATGCCAATCCCAAGGGGGAGTTTGAGCTCAATGTCGGCGGTCGTGCGGCCTTGCAGCGTCGCCTGCGCAATTACCAGGTTACCATGATTGGTTTCTGCAGTGGTATCGGCACCGGTTTGTTCGTGGGAACTGGCGCTGCCTACGCCAAAGCTGGCCCCGCCGGTTTGCTGCTCGCATATATTATTGTGGGAGGAGTTTTGTGGTGCGTCATGCAGAGTATCGCCGAACTCGCAACGCTTTTCCCGACTGCTGGATCCTTCCCTCACTGGGCGACTCGATTTATCGACCCGTCTGTTGGTTTTTCCCTCGCTATTTCATACGGATACTGTTACACAATCGCCATCGCCTCGGAAGTCTCGGCAGCCGCGGTTATTGTTTCATATTGGACGGATATCACTCCTGCTGTGGTGATCACTGTCGGTTTGGTACTCATTTTGGCTATCAATTTGATGAGTGTGCGATTCTATGGTGAAACCGAAGTGTTTGGAGGTGCCGTCAAGGTTCTCTGCTTCCTTGGCTTGGTTGTTGTCTCCATTGTCATTACTGCAGGCGGCGGTCCCAAGGGCGATGCCATTGGATTCCGTTACTGGAATAACCCTGGGCCGTGGACAAATTTCAACGGTATCACCGGTCCGACAGGCCACTTCCTCGGCTTCCTATCATCGTTCGTCAACGCCTCGTTCAGCTTCATTGGCGTCGAGACTGTCGTCATTACCGCATCCGAATCGGTTGATCCTCACCGTGCAATTCCCAAGGCCGCCCGCCGTGTGACTTACCGCATTGCCTTCTTCTACATTCTCGGAGCACTCCTCATCGGCATGATCGTGGACCCAAGAGCCGCAGGCCTTGTCTCCGGCTCTGACAACGCGAACAGCTCGCCCTTCGTGATTGCCATCACTAATGCCGGCATCAACGCTCTGCCCTCTATCGTGAATGCATGCATTCTCATTGCCGCGTGGTCTGCCGGTAACTCATACTGCTGGGTCGGATCGCGCATGATTGTCGCCATGACTACAGACCACCAGCTGCCCCAGTTCTTCGGGCGCGTGAACAAGACTGGTGTGCCATATGTGGCTGTCGTTACCGCCTGGCTCTTTGGTCCGCTGGCGTACCTCAGTCTCGGTAGCGGTGGTGCAGCGCAGGCATTCTCCTGGCTTCTGAACCTGAGTACGGTTGCCGGTTTGATTGCTTGGGCAACCCTTTGCCTCTGCTATATTCGTTTCTTTGCCGCGATGAAGAGACAAAATGTGAGCCGAGACACCCTCCCATGGAAGGCACCATTTCAACCTTATGCCGCGTGGGTGGGCTTTATTGGTTCCACTATCATTACTTTGGTTGCTGGTTTCCCCGTCTTTTTGAAGGGCAATTGGGATACGTCGAGCTTTGTTGCGTCGTACATCGGTATCCCCATCTTCATCGTTCCCATCATTTGCTGGAAGCTCTGGCATCGCACCAAGGTTAGTTCAACCCCTCTTTTCTTTCTGCTTTTTCGCGAAGAGTTGCTAACATGTTGAATGTACAGTTTGAGCGTGCCGCCAATATCGACTTATGGTCGGGTCGTCTCCTAGATGGGGAGATTATGCCGGTTGAAAACCCGCATAACAATGCGTGGACAAAGTTCACCGATTGGCTCTTTTAGATGACTTTAATGATGTATAAATATTTGCATGCCGAGCCGGCTATTCAACATTAGCGATTTACAATGTCTCATTTCATTCAATTTACATTCCAAACTCCATTCGTAAATGATCTTCCGCGCTCAGAATGCCTATTGAGTCTTGAATTGCTGTCCAAGTTTCTTGATATCGTGGTGAGAAGCTTTGCAACACCCACCCACAAGGAACGAACTGAAATGGCCCTTTTCATAGGCTTCATTGACCACCTGGGCCAACTGCTCCTCCCAAGGTCGCTAAATCTCACGTTAGCATAATTGTCATCTCCGATGTTTCCACCCGACAGTAGTACTTACGCTTGCACTCACATTATCACTCAAACCATCAGGTTTCTCCCAAACCTGCGTCGTTGTATTGTACACCTCCCCATTCGTTCCATCGGGATACAGAACCAAACTCGGCACAGCAGATAACTGCCCCTCCGCAACAGCGCGACCAAACAAATCAACAAGCCCAGCAAGCTTATGCATCTTAGTACAATTGATCCCAATTCCCCAGGGAACAGCCCCACCATCCATAGGGGCAACAGCAGCCCGCACAACCTCCTCCACGGAGCTCCCATCAGGCAGGAGGTCATCATCGCGCGGGAAAACACAAGCAATCCAAAACGGCACATCGAACGCAGAATCCCGAATCGCCCTCCTCACAGCGCGAACCTCATCAAGCCGCGGCAGCGTCTCAAACGCAACATACCGCACGCGCGACACAAGCTCTCCATCGGCCTCGGCAAACATCTTCAGCCGATCCAAGTGCCACAAATACAATGACTCCTCAGAGTCATGCTCGGAGTCGTATGCACCGCTATACTCCTGGCCTGGGATCATGCACGCACCGTACGGGCCAAGACTGAGCGCGACGCTGGCGCTCTCGCGCACTTTCGCTTGCTCGGCGATGTCCACGGCTTTCTGTAGGAAGGGTCCTACTGCACTGCGTGGGATCCCGTCTGGGAATCGGGTGGTTTTGGTACGGGCAAAGCCCTCAGTGGAGACTTGGTAGGTTGCTGTTAGGAGAATGTCTACTCCGGCGACGCCGAAGTCGCGTTGGCATGCTTGCAGCGTTGCTGGGTCGCTCACTAGCAAGTGTGAGGCCCAGAGTGGGGTTGTTGTGGAATCGAATTTGATGTTGTATAGATCGCCCAGAGAGGTGCCAAGGCCTCCGTCTAGGATTTGGATTGTCGCCATTATGTGTATTTTGGGGTTTAGGTGGTTTATGGAGGGTAAGTGGGGGTTTTGCTGTTTGATACAGTCCTATACGGGGCGACCTCGGTGATTTGTTCGGGGTTACATAATCGCTCGTTTTGGGGCCGGCCTCGGGGGTATAAAAAGTCAGAAGAGTGGAGATTAGACTAAAATTGACATTATTCTCAATTACTCCATAGCTGAAACAGTCAACACTTTGTTTGATGAGCTGTATGACGATAAGACCGGTTATATTAAGTTCACATTATCTCTATATCGCGCCAACATCACCCTCTAGGGATCCAGGGCTTCTTCGTAGACAATATCAGCTCGTACCTATATACACACCTAGTAGGTATGTATGTAATAACAGTCAGGGCACTTTTTTTTGCTGCTATTCTGCGAAATGTGTATCAGGGGGCATGTTTAAACAAATTCTTTCATTACTGCTTTGCGCCTTAGAAGACAGATTCATCAACTAGCTAGGCAATGTTTTGAGATTCAATACCTCCACGTTCTTGAGTGCCTTGACGACAGTTGCTACCAACCGGTCACTGTCCTCGAGTCCAACACTGATGCGAAGTATGTGTTGCGGCACCCCATACTTTGGGACCCTTTCTCTGTTCCAGTAAATTGCCAGCTGGACATATGAAATCACCAGAGTGAAATTAGTTCCAAAGCTGGAACCTTTGTAGACATCAAGGATACTGTAGAGATATTCAGCGCTGTCCGGGCGATGGAAGATGATACTCAGCACATTACCATAGCCTCCATCTTTGCGCATCACACTTTGGTATAAAGATGAAATTGGCGCAGTGGATGGATGATGAACCGTAGCGATAGACGAGTGAGAGCTAAGCAGATTGACTAGCGGAAGGGTACTCTCATTGCATCTCTTCACTCGCCAGGGCATATTCTTGCAGTTGTCTATGAGCGCAACGATATCCAGGGGGGAGTACGTCTCATAGTTTGCAGACAAGGCTGCTTTGATAGCATCACGATGTCGAGGGCTGAATCGGCTTAGATCCCCACCGTACACAAAGCATTAGCTCTTGGCTCCTGGCTGAGAGTGCCGCTGTTTGTGTCATTGCCCGGATGCCGTCGGCACATTTTGCAGATAAGTCTGTCTCGAAGCGCAACTGGTTCCTTTGGGCGCCAGTGATAGCCTTCGCCAGTACCATTACGACAGCATTTGGGTCTTCGTGTATGTCTGAAGCCATAACCTTGTGAAGGTGACACTCTCAGCCGCTAATATCACCATGCAGTGTTTGTGCTGTTCGTCGGCCGTTTTGTGCAAGCTATTGCCAGTAGTATCATGTGGGTTGTGGGATTCACGACAGTGGCGGATACTGTTCCAATTCAACATACGGCCAAAATCTACGCCGCAATATCAATGGCGGTATCGCTGGGCACCTCAACCGGGCCCGTGCTATCTGGTATATTATTCCAACTGGCAGGGTACTGGGTGGCATGGGCAAGTGCCTTCACAGTTATTGGAGTTGATATAGTTTTTCGTCTTTTGATGGTGGAGAAGAGCCATACGAAAGAAGTCGGTACGTACTCTCAATTCTCTAAACATGACTCAATTTCTGACAGGGCCACTTTGAAAGATGTCTCAGAAGATTCTGCCGAGAGGGCCTCGAATTCCGAGTACTCTCCCCTTCTCTCTACCCAGTACGATGAATCTGCTGCCACATATCCGGTATCCCAAAAGGTACCAAACTTTTACCGGTGCATCTTCAGTAAGCTCGGCTTTGCTGGTGCCGTATGGTGCAGTTTCATGTTCGGTTTCTTGATAACCACATTCAACGCTACCGTTCCCCTACACGTTCGTGATGAGTTTGACTGGGGTGGTATGCAATCCGGTCTTGTATTTGCTGCCCTACAAGCTCCCCGTCTTGTGATGTCCCCATTAGTCGGTTGGTTAAAAGATCGTGTGGGGACACGCACACCGACTGCTTTTGGATTCGCCGTATTAGCTCCATTGATCTGGCTTTCGGGTATTCCAGGCAATGAACACTTTCCATTCGCAAATTAAGGGAACCGCGGACCTGTTCTATATGTGTTGACGATGACCTTGATTGGGTTTCATATTACCTTTCTGAATGGAGTAGGGACGATTGAAGCCACAGGTAAGCTACATACCTCTCATTTGACATTTAAAACAATGACTAACCATTGATATATGAGAATTGGCCGTAGATGAGCTCCAAAAAAGCACCCCGGGGCATTCGGTCCCAATGGTGGAAAGTCGCGTGCCCTAGCAATCCCCAGTATTATCTGGACACTGGGATCATTCGTGGGCCCTGTCGTGGCTGGAACAATCAACGACAAGGTTGGGTACTATACCATGAATTATGCTATTGGTGAGTATCTCCACGTCTTTGATATTCTTCTCGCTAACTCCCGAGATTTTTACAGCTGGATTATGTACTTTGTCCTCTACTGTTGCATTTCTTTGCCTCCGGGTGCGGCATCAAAGGACATGAGCATGGTATATATGTACTCTAGTAAACCAACCGTTTCACCGTTGGTTGGCTCACCATGTACGCCAGAATTACATAGTAGAATACACTGTTGAATAAATCATATTCAGTGAATACTTTGTTTTCCAAGTGTACTAGACGAGGTCTCGAGTGGCAGAGGTTATCTGGTATGTAGGTATAGACGTCGATTTATGTCTTATATACACCAATGCATGGATAAAATATAATATCAAAGAAAGTATATCCGAGACAAGGCTTAGATCTAGACGTATATAGGTACTAATTTTCCTATTGTAACAACATATAGATTCCCTTCCCATTGCGATGAAGAACAGCCGCTCTCTGATTGGCTGGCGCGCAGGCGGACCGCGACGTCACCGAAAAAGAACCGTCTCTTCTTTGCGTTGTTGACGTGAATCTTCGACTCAACTCATTTCAGATTCTGTTATCTTCGTCAAATACACCTCTGAGACAAGCGATCGGCTTTGAATTCCGCAACATGGCCTGCCCCATCAGCGTCAGCAAGTTTGTTGGCACTGTTTCCCTCGGTCTTCTTACCGTACGTCGATCGCATTTATCACATCATAATATATGATCAACAAATACTAACAACCCCTCTCAAATCTGCAGGGCCTCTCCTACTCCACATCAGCTATCACAATCCCAGCTCTGCAGCTCCTTCCGACAGCGACAACCGCCGCCCGTTCCCTGAACGAAGTGAAGCGCCTAACCCGCCGATATGCCCTACGCCTCTCCTTCCTGACCAACACCTGCTTCTGTTTCGCATGGTGTCTCTCATCTCCGCGCCGCCGACACCCATACATGGTCTGGTTGTGCGCATTCTCTACAATCAGTGCCCATGGTGTTGATTTCTGGTTCAACCGTCACCTCGGCTTCAAGAACTGGGCGTCGGCTGTGATCCGCGACGTTTCCCACCTTTCCCTTGTCCGGGACTCGACCACAAACAAGGATGAAGACCTTGTCGTTGTTGAGGCCCAGGACGACGTGAACGGCGAAACCGTTCAACGCGAGATGGACCGGGAGCGCCGGCTCCACCGAGCGCGCACTTGGTTGTCTGGTATTGCGCTTTCGATTGGCATTGTTGGTCTTTGGGGTGACAAGAGGTGATCTTTCATGTCTTTGTTCTGGGCCACGAAGGCTTTTTTTATTGGTGAAAACACCGGTTATTGTTCCATATCTATTTTCTGGAAAGGCCTTTTCGCTACTGTTTCTTTCATCGCGTCTAATACGTTCCGTGTTTGATACCTTTTTGTGCTGTTCTCCTTCTCTTTTGCGCATCTTTTCCTGTACATTGTGATGAAACAACCGAGGAATGGAGTAACTTCTGAACTTGAATCCGGCATATCCGAACCATATCTATGAAATCGATAATCCAACCAGCCAAGTTGAAGCTTATATTTCTCATACTTAGGTAGGTACCCAACCTTGACTAACGCATACAGGAAGGTAGAGGTGTGGAAGGGATCTGATATAGGATCGACACTACAATTTCTGTAGTTTATACCCATATAAACGGCACATCAGCGCAAGAGAATGTCAAGACAATAACTCTAGAGAACCCAGAAAATGACTTAAGACAAGTAGACAGACAGCAAGAAGAAATAATAAATAAGAGGAGAATATATAGCAAGTAGAGTGAAGATAGAGTAAGGATAGAGTGAGGCAAAAGAACCGTCACATTGATATAGTTATACGGTGTCGGTACTTAATTACTAAATGGAAATAGTGAAATAGTTACTGAATACGATAATAAATAGATGAATAATAGAGGAAGGCCTCCAGGGCTCGGGAGGCATAGTACTTGCGTAGTTCGTAGGACTATAAATAACAACTTCTTCTTCTTCTTCTTCTTCTTCTTCTTCTTCTTCTTCTTCTTCTTCTTCTTCTTCCTCTTCCTACAACTCCCTCCACTTTTAAGCATCTACATCAAATGCCACTATGTACTCATGCTGTCCGTGAGTTCATTTCACTCTTACTTACCCCTCGCTTTCTACTAACATGGTTCCTATGTCTATGAATAGCCGCTTCTTCTTCTTCCATCTTCCTTCCTTGTCTTACAACCTTCCGAGCTCATCCACATTCCAAGTGACTAACGCCGAAGGGCATAAGTTCGCTCCATGGCTCCAGACTTCTCTTTCCTTTTTCTCTCTCCTCCTCCTCTGCCTTTTTCTCCATTCTCATGGTGATCCTTAGGGACCAAATGGACAAACACTAGGTGGAGCCAACCCGTTCCAGGTCCCAAGCCTCGGCGCTCCAATCTCACATATCAACACAGCGAAGCACGACCCGATTCATTGACCAACACCAGATGGACACCATGATCCATCAGTCCAACAGTAACAGGGCACGCGACATTGATGCCCAGTTCAAGATCCTCGATAAACGATTGGATCAGGTCTCCGAGGACCTTGAGCGTGCTGAGGGTAATAAAAAAGCCCTTGAGGCTTTAAAGCACACTATCGAAAAAGACCGCGTAGATGTCCAGGACCTGCGGAAGATAGTTAGTGCAACTGAATATAACCTGCAACGGCAACAACGCCTGGCGAGTGCGGAGGACCGGATGAAAGGCCTCCTCAAAAGTATGGAAAAAATGCTTGCTGCGGCCATGCAAAACACAAGGGCGAGCCAGGTCCAGACTCGCAAGGCACCAATTGCTGAGTCCTCGGCCAGCCCTGTGGGTATTGCACGCCGCCATGTCGTAAGATTGCATTTGACTATCCTTTCCCCAACACTAGGTGAGCTCGGGTACTGACGATCAATCCGAAAACTTCAGATCTTCTTTCCAATGATCCCGACCAAACAGAGTTATCTGAAGTGAGTAATTAATGAGAGCACCCTCGAGTAATATATGATCTCTCTACCTTCAAAAATAAGATCAATAGCAATAGCGGTATTTGTCAACAAAGCGTGTAATGCGATACCACTAAGTACGAGGTTGAACAATGCTAGTGATCGACGGTGATTCGGGTAAAGTGGAGAGGGACGGGGAAGAAAAGCATGCTCGACGTGGGGTTGTGAAGTTAGAAAATGTATACAATGTATAAAATGTATAACTAACTAACATTATCTATATAACTACATGAATAACATCTCGGTCGCATTGTCTACTACTCTGGGGCATTGGGGTAGAGATCAATATGTCTGAGCAAATATAGGTTTGAAGTGAGTAGAGGTCACATATGCCATGTACCCCTATTAACTGTGATTAATATCGAGTGAGAACAACTAACTAGCAAACTGGGGCTTGATGGATGAGGGTTCAAGGGTCATAGTCAGACCAATGATCTGAAGAAGTAAAATTAATCCCAATACGCTAAGGACAACGGCGGAGTTGTCGGAAATGAGCCCCTTGGCGCAAAAAGAATAAAAAGGACATAAGCTTATGTTGCTGTAAATAAAATGATATGGATTCAGATCAAATCCATAAACTTAGAAAACATGGTCAACTTCACCATCGTCAACGGCCAAATATACACGCCAGGCCTGGCAATTGTCGATGCACCACAGCCTAACACGCCCCTCGGAGGAGGCAAGTCCATGCGCCAAAACCTCAGAATCTATCAACATCTTACTAATTTCTTAGACAACCTACAAATCGCAATCGACGTCTCCGGCAATGGCCAATTACCATGGCCGGCATCAACTCAGCCCGACTCATCCACCCGGTTCCACGACATCACACTCTTCTTAACCTCCGAGTCGCACAACTTCACCATCTCCAACGGCACAAAGCCCGCGTCTAACACAAGCTACGTCGGTCCCGTCTTGGACCTGGAGCCCTCATCCACCGTCACACATGTGAATTGGATATGGCCCGAATGCCTTGTGGGAGACGGCTCTGGCTCAAAGGAATCGGCGCGCGGGGCATACAATATCTCCATGCACCAGTCTTTCCGCTGGAATGGGACAGACTATTATACTGTCTTTGACCTGCCGGTCTCTGTCACCAACAGTATATCTAAGAATGATGACCGGATCGACTGCGATCTGCTGGAAAACAAGCTTCTTAGCGCGGCGGAGATCGGCGAGAGCTCGGCTTCGCTACCTGGGCAGCCGTGGGTTGAGGGTGGAGTTAGTACGACGGTATTGAGTCCCGATACGGGGGCGGGTAATCGGTGTCATTCGGGCTTCAAGAGAGTGGCTGGCATTGCCATTGCCGCGACGGCTATTTTGCATTTCCTGGGTTGAGACTTGTTCCTGGATATCGTGGGTTTCATCCCTTGTATACTAATTTTTATCGTTGTTCTTGTCTTGTTGAAACTAATATAGAAGCAACCATTTCTATACTTCCACGTGCGACCAAGCATATTGTAGATCCAAACATGGCTGTCACAATCTTTTCATGGCCGATCGGCGAATACCGTTTTTACTCCTTCTGTCGATGATCTTCGATGATATTTCTACTTTGGGAAGGAAGTATACATTCTCATATTGATTTCGAGGTATCCCTTGATTACCTAGCTCTCTCTCCTGGCAATGCCCAATATCCTCTATCAAGGGTTGCTTCCACAGCTCCAGCCAAGTAAGTCAGGAGGATTAGATCGCGCGCATCGCAACCGACCCCGACGTTGACACCAAACCACCCATCTCCCAACTCTCTCACTTTCCATGACGATTTTGTCCACCTCCCGACGAGTCCTCCGGTACCGCATCGCCCGAGCTCTGATCATAATCTTCACAATATGGAATCTGGCCGAAATACATCTGATTCAGCACCGAATTCACGAAGCAGATTACACTGTCCTCCGACACCGGCCGCAAAAGCAAGAACGAATATATATTGCAAGCATCAACTGGAACAATGAGCTTATTCTACGCAGTCATTGGAGCAAGGCACTCACACAGCTGGTCTTGAAGCTAGGCCCGGAAAATGTGTTCATCAGCATATACGAAAGTGGGAGCTATGATAACACGAAAGGCGCATTGAGAGAACTAGATCGGGAACTCGAGCGAATGCGGGTGCCACGGAATATCACTTTGTCACCTGTGACACATGAAGACGAAATAGCTGCACCCGCACGGGGTGAGGGCTGGATTCGCACTCCCGGTGGAAAGAAACAACTCAGACGAGTGCCGTATCTTGCGCGGATACGGAATTTGAGCTTGCTGCCTCTGCAGGATCTTGCCCGGCAGGGTGTCACTTTTGATAAAATCCTATTTCTGAATGACGTTGTGTTCACGGTTCGTTTGAATCATCTTACCTTCTGTCGAATGCATGTTCTAATTAAGGCCCTCTTTTGTTGATCAGCCGAACGACGTTCTCGAACTTCTGGATACTAATGGCGGAGAATACGGTGCTGCTTGCTCGTTAGATTTCTCCAAGCCTCCGAATTACTATGACACATTTGCTCTCCGGGATAGCAAGGGCCATGAGCCCATAATGCAGACGTGGCCATATTTCAGCTCTGAGGCATCGCGACATGCAATGAAAAATCTGTCTCCTGTTCCTGTGACAAGTTGTTGGAATGGCATGGGTATACTGACCTCCATTCTAGAAAGCGTTGCATAAACTAACATGTCCCTAGTGGCGATGCCCGCAAGCCCATTCATCGCCAGTTTCCCACTTCGCTTCCGAGGTATTCCCGATTCACTAGCGAAGTATCATCTTGAAGGCTCCGAGTGCTGTCTCATCCACACAGACAACCCACTATCAGTGGAAATGGGTGTTTATTTGAACCCTTTGGTGAGGGTCGGGTATAGCGGCGCCGCATATACAGCTATTCATCCGACGATGAACTGGCTCTCTGCGAAACGGATTCTACAAGGGTTGTGGGTCAATCGACTGCGCCGCTTGGGTATCACTTCATGGTTGAAAGAAGAAGTAGTTCGAAGGAGGGTAGACAGCTGGAGAGCCTTGAGCGCTGGGAATGAAGAGCGTGGGGAACTTTGCATTATCAATGAGATGCAAATTTTGCATCGATATGGATGGGCCCATGTGTAAAGAGTTAGTGACACATTGTTTATATATATAGTCTTATGTTCCCGGCGTACCATTAGGCCCAGGTGCTTATAGTATGCTTAATATTCACCTTGGTCAAAATATATACTTGAAGAATTAAAAAAGGAGCAATAGCTAGTTTGGAGATCAAGTTCTACAAGAGGCTGATCTACGGGGTATAGATAGATCGGCTACTGATATGGTCCATGAGCACTTCAGAAAATATCTTCTACGCCATAAGAGAGACATTCTTCTAGGGCTTTGTGTTTTCGTATTATTTTATGCATCCATCTAAATTCGGAATGCGTAAAATGCATAAGAATGCATAAAATTGTGAAGCCGAGGTCCAACTGTGGGGAAACGGCTATCCCCAAACCACGACCTACCTCCTGAACATCCCCAACTCCCCCACATTCTTTAAACCAATATCTTCGGGACGTACCCAGTAATCAGAATGCCGCTGCCCAAGACAGAATATCTGAGTGACTCCTGGAAGGATGGGATCTTCGGTAGGCTCTGTTCGAATCCCTTGCCACCGCGCAACCCACACTAAATCCGCGATCCAGCAAACAAAGTCGTCTTCTGCACAGGTGGCGCCGGCACTATCTGCAGTGCCCAGGTCCGGGCCTTAGTACACCTGGGTGCCAACGCCTGCATCATTGGCCGCAATGTCGAGAAGACCGAGCGCGTTGCTCTGGACATCGCGACAGCCCGCCCCGGTGCCAAGGTGATTGGAATTGGCTCCGTGGATGTGCGCAAGCTCGAGAATTTGGAGCAAGCAGTCGAGCGATGTGTCAAAGAGCTTGGAGGCATTGATTTCGTCATGTACGTTGATATATCAACTTGATCGCGGTCTTCGATTCTCATACTGATAGTATTTGACAGTGCCGGAGCGGCGGGTAACTTCCTCGCTTCGATCGAGCAACTCTCAGTGAATGCTTTCAAATCGGTCATGGATATTGATGTCTTGGGCTCTTATAATACCCTCAAGGCAACTCTTCCGTATCTAAGGGAGTCAGCAAGCAAACACAGAATGGACTCGAAGACTCGTAAGTGCACCATTCGGCGAATTCGACCCTCTGTCTATCATTGGCACTGACAACCCTCCAGTTCAACCATCACCGATTGGAACCGGCGGAAGAATTATCTTCGTCAGTGCCACTATTCACTACCGGGGTATGCCCTTCCAGACCCACGTATCCGTTGCCAAAGCCGGTATCGATGCCTTGTCGCACAGTGTCGCGATCGAGTATGGCCCTCGCGGTTTAACATCTAACATCATTGCGCCGGGCCCTATTGCACAAACTGAGGTTAGTATAAGTCTCAATAATGCTATTCGTATGTCAAAAATTGATCAACTTACCATTCTGCAGGGCTTGGAGCGTCTGCTGCCATCAGATGCCCTGGAGGCCTACACCAAGGCCCAGCCACTCGGCCGCTTTGGACATGTCCGCGACATCGCCGACGCCACCGTGTATCTCTTCTCAGATACTGGCAGCTATGTCAGTGGTCAAACGCTTGTTGGTGAGTTGTCAGATAACACAAAAGAACATTATGAAGCTTCCATACTAACACATAAAAAGTTGATGGTGCAAACTGGCGCATGTCGGCAGGCGGTGCTTCCGGTGGGAGCCTGTCTTACCCGGACTTCTTGCTTTCGGGGGATGATGTACCCAACGTGACTGGCAAGAAGTCTAAGCTTTGAGCAAATGGAACAATGTGCGAGGAATTGATAATGCACCAGGGCTTTTCGGACCTTTGGATTTCGGATAAATTCTACTACGTATCACTACCCTGGATCTGGCCGATAGAGATTATATGTTCATTCAATGATATTTCTGGTGTTGTCACCTTCACTAAATCAACCCAAGCTGCTATTATCACATGCCAAAACTGTTATACATGTATCCACTCTGCAAGACACTCCACCCGACTCTGGTATCAGTGGCAATAGTCTGTACCAAATTAATTTCCAGGACCCAAGGAGACCCCGGACGACATACTACTGAACTCGACTGTATTGTTACCTTCTAGAAATGTTTTCTATGTGAATGTCCTTTTGATTATTCAACTTATGGATACTTAACAATTGGCTGTTCAATGCCAGACTCTCTGTTTATGTCTAGGACCTTTCTGATAGGTTGCTGTCGGTAGAAGATCTCAGCGAACGATACTGAACTGACCATGGTGTCGCGCCTGGTGCGCCTTCCGTATCATCTGACATGGCCTGCTGCAACATGTCTTAGTCACTAATAGGAGAAACTTGCTTCATATATTGGATACCCCATCGAAGTAGCCCTCGTTTGACACCCAGTCAGACTTTCGATTCAGAACAAAACTTTTGGCATATGAGTCGGATGACGGTAGACATTGGGTTCTTTGCAGCCCGCACCTTTATCAATGAGACCCGGCGACCTTTCTTGGATGGGCGCCAGCCCATAGATCTCGTCAGCTCTCTGCACTGGTTACAGATCACGATTGATTCCTTCCTTCTTCTTCCCATCGTGCCAAATATCATTCATCCTTTGTGGAAACCATTGAAGCGCCGACGAAGATTGGGTTCCGAAGGTGTGAAACAATTAGGAGTGAGTCGACAGGTTGAACCTCGTTTCCTGGATGATGAGACAACTTGCCGCATATTTTCTGCAACAGCTGGTGGTATTTTGAGGCATCCTCGACGTCTTGTTAGAGAATCTAAAGTAAACATCGTGTCAGTCTCCTTTGAACGGCGAATACTTCGAGTAATTCGAACGAAAGAGGACGTGTACCTTAGTCCCATAATCCACCACGCTAACGGTAAAGAACCAAATGTAGTGGCTTGACTGTCGTCTTCGTGAGATCAATTGGTATGATTGCAAAGTCCCATCTAACGAATGAGACCTCGCTTGGCTGCTAGGTTCTCAATTTTGTCAACTACTGTGCGAACCTTATTGGAACAGCCACAGAGTGTCCATACATTGGTCCAAGCTTGATCTTGTGCCGTTTTCCTTCATGAAGTTTCTCTCAAACTCCAATGTCAAGCCCATTGTGTGATCGTTCGCAATATATACTTGGACTGGTGGTCACGTCGCTGCTTTAACGCCATGTAGATTCTTACCGACGTCTTGCTGGTTGCTAGTTAGATGTGCTTGGCTTCCAAGGTTGTTTGGTACGGACCCGGCCCGTACCGCGTTCTTATTCGGGGTCTTCGTGGAACCGAGGGACTACCCGACGAGCGGCTGTGGGGAATATGATCTTCCTGTCAGCAATGATTCCCAGTGTAGGAGGGCTGAAACTCAACATATTCATATCCCATAGCAGTAGAAACCCACCAAAGCGCGCAGAGCGACGCTTGACAATGACTCGCACTCCGGTGGGTAGAACCCCAGGGACAGGACCGCTCTTTCGACCAAGAGCAATGGTGACAGTGGCCCCCACCACGATTGTATTATAGTCCACAGTAGATCTAGTGGCACGAAATAGCCAAGGCTTTCATTACACCATGGAAGAACAATCTATTCGGCAAGCCGAGTGCACTGACCTTCGGCAAGCCGACATTCAGCCGCAATCGCATGGCGCAGATCTCAAGTCTACATGCATATCACCGAGCAGCCATTGGGATTGTCTACACAGAGCTAATTCTAGGCAGGATACAATTGAATAGGCATAGAATTAGAAGTTTAATGTAGATTGTACTATTGAAAGACACATCCAATTCGTAGAAAAAGAGCATTCAAGGGACCAAGGAGACACCCCATTGTTCTCTTTATTGGAGAAAATTTCATAATAGCCATTGTTAGAGAAAGATCTTGTCATCAATAAACAATGGGGGAGCTCATTAATTGGCTCAGGGAGGTGAGACCAAGTCATTGAGCAAGGTCATTGACCAATGGGATGCCAGAGCCTCACTATCACGTCGTTTGTCGAGGCCCTATATCTTCTCCCCTTCGCACTCAACTTCTCCTTCCTTCTTCTCCTCCTCTCCTCTCCCTCTTCCCTATCATCATTCCTCTTTGTTTCTCTGCTTTGTACCACGAAGCATCCTGAAACTCTTGTTTTGAAACGTCTTGTTTCCTGTTAGTCCCAACTACCTTCGCAAGTATTGTCTACCATTTCTGACTCCTTGTCACGTAGCCGTTCATGCCCAGTCTCTGGGCACCTGTTGCAAGACCTGTTCCCTTGCAGTGAGCAAGTCATCTTGTCCTTCTGTGTGAGACTTTCCAAGCTGTTTCTTCTTTTCCCTCGCATTGTTTCTAACCACTTCCAATGTAGCAACCATTGACAATTTCTCTGAGTCTCCAACCGACTCTTATCTTGTGTCACCTTTTCTTCTGTGAGTTCAGGTGCCTTTGCAATCACCTTTTTCGAGCACGATCCCTAACATCTCTCAAAGTTCGACATGGCAACCCAGCAGGGACCGGCCCGCCGTAACGGCGTCATTGGGTTCCAGATGACGGGTGCCCCCACCCCCGCCATCCCTCTGATCGCCCCGCCCCGCAATGGACCCATTGGCTTCCAGATGGTGCCTGGTCCGTCTTCGACTGCCACCCCTTCTTCTTCTCTCATCAACCAGGGTCCTCCGCACAGGATCACCCCCCTGGTGGGCCCCGACACAGCCCATTCTTCCCCCTCCAGTGCCCGACCAAGTCAGGCACAGCGCGAAGTGAACGCCCTGAATGAAAAACTGACTTATGCCGAAGCGACAATCCATCGGCAAGAGATGGAGCTGAACCGGGCCAGGTCCCAGGCCACGGCTCTCCATTCTCAGTTGACAAGTCAGCGAAGCACGACCCGATTCATTGATCAACACCAGATGGACACCATGATCCATCAGTCCAACAGTAACAGGGCACGCGACATTGATGCCCAATTCAAGATCGTCGATGAACGATTGGATCAGGTCTCCGAGGACCTTGAGCGTGCTGAGGGCAACAAAAAAGCCCTTGAGGCTTTGAAGCAGACTATCGAAAAGGACCGGGCAGATGTCCAGGACCTACAGAAGATAGTCAATGCGACTGAATATAGCCTGCAGCGACAACAACGCCTGGCGGGTGCGGAGGACCGGATGAAAGGCCTCCTCAAAAATATGGAAAAAATGCTTGCTGCGGCCATGCAAAACACAAGGGCGAGCCAGGTCCAGACTCGCAAGGTACCAATTGCTGAGTCCTCGGCCAGCCCTGTGGGTATTGCACGCCGCCCTGTCGTGGGAAGCCAGGAACCAGGCTCCCACGGGCATGCATTTGATCCTCACCCGCGGCAGTCCGGCAAGGGAAAAGAACGTGGCCCGAGATCGCTCCTCCCTGAGGATCTCGAACGTGATGGTGATCTTAGCTCTGACATTGATGATGCTGACTGCTCTATCAGGTCGCGGTCCGAAAGTCCCAGCGTTCTTTCTGATGTTATGTCATTGGATAGTCGCAGATCATCACGGGCTGGGTCACCCATGGATATCACCACTGAAGCCACAGAACAAGAACTTGCTGCCCATATGTTGCAGGCAGATGAGTCGCAGGTGGGCGACCGAAATGCAGCGGTGCAGGAAGCACCAGCTACCACCCTTGCCATCACTTCCCAGCAAGTGGAGACTACCGACAGGATGGAATTTTCTTGCCCGATCTTTTACTTCGAACTCGCACAGTTGAACGGCGAGGCCTTTGACGGTTACATGGAATGGGTTGGGGAGCCAGCACAACTGATCACAGTCTACAACCAAGATGACCCGGCGGCTCCGAGCCAGGCATCTAGTGGTCAGATCCCATCCGTTCATGCAGTAACTTTTGATGCCGACAACGATGTCTTGATGGTTCCCAGTCAGACATCAAGCGTCGTGCGCCCTGAGCCTTCCTTCAATCTGTCGATATACAGCGATTATCCTCCCGTCCCGATCTCGCGACACTTGAGTCGCACTATCGCCGATGGCATAGCACTCGCCCTTGACAACCCCACGTTGCCGAGGGATCCTGACCGCGTATACAAACGGCAGGACCGTCTCACCGGGAGTCGTCGCCGTGAGGTGCGCCGGAGGGTGATAGAGTTCGTCAACCTCCCTGTACGAAAACGGACAGCTAGGATGGACGAGCGCAGCGAGGACGGAGAACCAGATCGCAAGAAACACATCACAAAGGAAATGGTGGAAGCCAACGGATCGCTTTTGCTTTCCCTTTCTGAGGTATATGTGATGAACACAGCCCCGAAAGTGCCAGAAATGAGTGTGCCAGCTGATTCGCAGCCAGCTCAATCTGTGCATGTTTCGACAGAGGAGGTGACAACCCAGGCAGTCATGAGTGTGCCAGCTGTTTCGCAGCCAGCTCAGACTGTTTTGGAGTACACTGAGTCTGTCAAGACCGAGCAGGTGCCTACACAGGCAGTCATGAGTGAGCCAGCTGTTTCTCAGCCGACTCTGACTGTTCTGGAGTACACCGACACTGTCTCGACCGAGCAGGTGCCCACTGAGGCAGCTATGAGTGCGCCAGCTGTTCCCCAGCCGACTCAAGCTGCCTTGGAGCCCACCGTGCCCGAGTCCAGTGTTCTTGAGCTCGCGTCAACTGTGTCCATCCCATCTGATGAAGTTGTGGGTGCGCCTGCTCCTAGTGAGCCAGCCCCAACTGAGTCAGCCCAGACTGAGCCATCGTCAGCTGAGGAAATTCTGAGTGTGCCTGCTGTTACTAAGCCGACTCTGAATGAATCAGATCTGACTTGGCAGACCGAAGATGAGCCTGTTGTTCCGAGCCTGCGGACCGGTACTCGTTCGCACCTCGATCTCTTGCTTGCGAGACACGCGGCAAGGACTCAAGCTCGTCCTTCCATCATTTCTTCTCCTGGGGGGTTGCAGGTCACAGCAACCTCTCGAATTGTCTCCACCTCTTCCCTGGTCGCTAGTCCCGAAGACGCTTCGGTAAAGAATGCCGTTGCAACAGGGACAGATTCCCGTGCGGGGGTTTCGAAAGGCACCAAGAGGGTCGAGGACGCCAACCCGACTTGCAGCGCTCAACAGATTGCAGGAGAACAGCGCGAGGAAATGGGCGGAGAAGAGGCAGCGACTTCTGGTCTTCAGATGCCAGGGGCTTGGCCTTCCGACCCACCCGCCGTCACTGCGTCTGACGAGTCAGACATGCATGAGGGATCGGCTTTGCTGAGGGGGTTGTGGACAGGAACTCGATGGCTCTCCTTTGGTGTATTCGTTATGGTGATGGTGATTCTGCTGTCGTTCCCCCTGTGGGTAGGTCACCTTGGACACCTGGTTTACGCCTTGGAGGGTCCTGAACAGTTCCTGGAGGAACTGCGCTGGGAGCACGGATATGAAGTTCCTTTCTTGGAGCGGATTATCTATGTCTTCCTTCGTTGTTTTGCCGGAGATCGGACTTTGTTCGGTTAACCGCACGTGGTGCACCCCATCAAGGGGAGGGACGAATGAGCCACCTCTTGATGGGTAATATGATATTACAACGGCAAGGCAGGAAGCTGGCAAGTCCGACGATTGCCGCTTCAACTGCAGAAGTACAACGACAGCGGCTCAAGGGGAGGGACGAATGAGCCACCTCTTGAGTCCGCAACAAACGACAAAGCAGTAAGCTGGCAAGTCCGATGATTGCCGCTTCACCTGCACAAGTACAACGAACAGCGGCCAAGGGGAGGGACGAATGAGCCACCTCTTGGGGCCGCAGAAACGACAATGCAGCAAGCTGGTAAGTCCGATGATTGCCGCTTCACCTGCACAGTTACAGCGACAAGTGTCTGTTACCAAAGACACAGAAACAAGAGCCCATTGTTTGAGTACCCTTGTTTCCCTCACCCGGGAGGGTGATGGATGATTATCATTGTCGACGCCCATGCCATTTTGTCAGGGTACCTGTTCTGAGTTGTGTTCGATTTCTTGTTCGCCCACCCTTCGTGGTGGTGTATGATTGTTTGTGTCGGTTGCCGAAAGGCAACATGTACAATTTGTTTGTTGTCCACCCTTCGGGGTGATGTATGATTTTTTGTCGGCCGCCAAAAGACGTCATGTTCGAGTACTGTTTCGACGCCATGTCCGAGTCTGTGTTGGTTCCATGTTTGAGTACCATGTTGATTCGATGTTTGATTTCATGTCCAAACATGTCCGATTGCGATGTCTGGGCCCTATATATATCATATTCGGGTATATTTTGTTCTGCCTACCCAGGAAACTGGGTAGAAGATGTGCAATTGGCGCCGTCTTGCCTGCACATGAGAACGAGTTATACCACGATCATGATATACGACTCCACCTGCGTGTTCAGCAGGCTGGCATGCAACTGCGCTAACAGCGCGCCAGCTCCTGGGACCGGAGAGCATTATGTGATCTCCCAGGAGCTGGCAGGATGGCACAAACAACGCCACCCACATGGCCAGCCTGCTGAACACGCAGGAACAACAGCCAGCCCCTGGGAGATGGGAATATTATATTATCTCCCAGGGGCTGGCAACATGGCACAAAAGCCGCCATCTGCGTGTTCGGCAGGCTGACCATGCCACCTTCATCAGCTAGCTCATAAGAACGGATGACATTACATGATCTCCTAGGAGCTGGCTGCATGGTCAGCCTGCTGAACACGCTAATTCACCAACAAGACGCCAGCCCCTAGGATACGGGATCGATCATTATATGATCTCCTAGGGGCTGGCATCATGGCATAAGAACAAAATACAGCGAGAGCCGTACCTCAGAGTCGGCCATGAGTGGACTGCGCAAAGGCTTTGAGAGCAGATTAACGACTGCTTGGATGCCACCTGCATGGATAACCTGCTGAACATACCAATTTCAGCAACAGCAGCCAGCCTCTCGGAGATGAGAAGATCAAATGATCCCCTAGGGGCTGGCAAGATGGCACAAAAACAAGAACGATGCCGCCTGTGCGTTCAGCGGGTTGACCATGCGAATTTGCAACAACCGCCAGCTTCTGGGAGCTGGGAGCACTATATGATCTCCCAGAAGCTGGAAAACATGATACTGCAGTATACGCCTTAGTGTGGGACGGTCAAAAATTGGCGCCTCCTGCACATTCACTAGGCTGACTATGCGCATTTCGCGCTCGGCTAAAGCCTACGTTAGTATCGAAATTATGTTTCGCCGCCTCTGAACGTATACTACGGTATACAGCCATCATCATGATTTTGAACGCATACCCAACAGGCATCAGACTTGATTCCTCCCCATCTCTTCATTTTTACAAAAGGTCAGGGGAACAATACACCACGGTATGCGACTGTTAAGAGGGTCTTTCGTGGAACCCACCAATACGAACACGAATTTCTAAGCCCGGGAGATGCCGCCTACACAGTCAGCAGGCTGACTGTCCCACCATCCACCAATGACAGCACGAGCCACGCAGGAGCTGGCGTCACCCACTCCACTTCCCGCTGAAAGAAGATCACTTATCTCCATACCCCCTCGAGATATTGTTCACCACATCGTTATTGAGTCTACTCCTCTCATCGACTTTAAGGAGAGAAGCATCGCCTTGCTTCTAACTTACATTTTGCGTTAACCTTCATTTCTTTCCATCACCATGTTTGTGCGCTCCGTGTTGCTGGGTGGCGCCGCTGCTCTTGGCGCCAGTGCCATGCTGGTCGTCCCCGAGATGGAACCTAAAGTCGATATTATTGAAGATGGATTTGTGAATGTCCACCCTATGCTTTTGGAGGATGTTCATCATGCGATTGTTGACCTGCCCTGCTCTGAATGTCCTCTCCGTGAAACCAACGACGAAGGTGTTGTCACCTGGGCGGAGGGCAAACCATCATCTCTGGTAAGAATGACAGAATCCGTTTATTCATTCGAACTGGCTAACAAACCCCAATAGACTCTTGATTTCTCGATCGAAGACAACCGCCTGCTAGCCAACGGCCGTCAAATATTCCCACCGGCCCCGCCCATCCCAATTCTTGCTGTGCAACAAAATGAAGAAGGAGAGGACTCCGCCCCCATGCCTGTTGGGTATGCGCTTGAAATCATGCCGATGGACGCACCATCTGACGAGCCGGGCTACGAACTCCTGGATATTCGATTCACCGTTCTCGACCTGGAAACCCATCCAGTCCCTGTCGATACCGTTGCGATCACCGTTCTACAGGCTCCCAACGGCGAGCTCTTCATCGCTAGGACTGAAATCGAAAACACCACCCCTGCCTCCGACCGCTTGTCTTGGAAGGAGTGCCACGGCAAGGCCAAATGCCTGCAGGAACTTCTGGTCTCTCGCATTCGGGGCCTCTTAGCTGGCGCCAAGGCTCGTGTGATGGGCATGGCCAAAGCCGGCCGCAAGGGCTGCCATGGCAAACACAAGGGCAAGATAATGGGCCACCACGAAGAAGGCCATGACGGTATGCCTTTCCCCCCCGGGCCTCCTTTCGGGAAAGAGGGCTCTGGGCGTGAGAAGTTTGGTCCCGGCGGCCACCATGGCCACGCCCACGGCTCCGCTCGTCCCCACCATCACCACCCACACCACGGCGCTTTCGCCCGCACTTTCTCTCGCATTGTGCACTTTATCGTTGTCCCAGCTGTTCTGGGTGTCCTGGCTGGATTGACCGCTAGTGCCATTGGCATGCTGGTCGGCCAGGCTGTGGTCTTCCTCTGGCAACGCTACCGCGGCACCACTTCTTCGGAGCACAAGGCCGCCTGGGAGGACGGCGAGGCCTGTGAAAAGCAGGGCCTCATGACCATATCTCGTCCCTCTGAGGAGTCCGAGGAGGTCCTTCCTGAATACACTGAGCCTTCTCAGGCCCGAGGATCACTCGATAAGAACTAAAAAAGAAAAGAAAGAAAAACATCGAAATGAAGAAGAAAAAGAAAAAAGAAAACATATTGATCTTGTCTTTCAATCGAGGCCCGCTGTCTTTTGTTTGAGGGTCATTATCAGCATATCTGGACGGTGCTCAGTTTCATACTTTGACAATTTCCCAGCTGGCCTTTTTTTCCTATGGAGAGTGCTCACACGAATACATGGATTTCCCCGGAATCATTCTACAAAAACAATACAAAAATAAAAATACCGAATACACTCCAGGTCGTCTTTCGACCAAGGGCCATCACCAGCCACCCGGACTGACCTTTCCCTTCAACGATACACCAGAAAACAATAAGCTCTCCGGCGCCAACGGTGGCTTGACAAGATTAATACCAAAAAAAAAAAAAAGAAAAAAAGAAAAAACAGTTATACTGTCTTCAACCAAGAGCCGTCACTACCTAGACTGGGCTCTCCACGGTCAATCCCCATGAACACACCAGGCCCTCTGGTGCCAAAGGACCACTGAACGGAACAAGACAGAAACCTTGGAAAACAAACCAAGACCAAGATCGCAAACAAGACAAGCAGAAACAAAGCCAAGATCACGAACAAGACCAAACACAAAAGCAAAAATAAAACAAGCACAAGAACAAAAAAAAACTTCTGCTCTCCTTCATCAACAGCCATTGCCAGCCAGACTGGGCTTTCCACTCATTTGCCAGGCCAATGGGCCAGGAAAAAGCGAGCCATCTGACACTCGACGGTCATGGACAAGAACAAAGACAAACAAAAAAAATCCACAGTTCCGCTGTCGTTTACCCTTGGCCACAACCCGTCAGACCGGACTTCCACTTTATCCACGACCAAATCCACGCATGCAACGCCGAAGCTTCGGGTCACTCGACAAGAACAAAAACAAAACAAAAAAGAGTTCAGCTGTCGTTTTGCCTATGACCAGAACCAGTCACACTGGACTTTCCACTTTTTCCACGGCCAAAAACCAAGTTCATGCAATGCTGAAGCTCCGGTCACTCGACAAGAACAACAACAAAAAAAAAACAAAAAAAGAGTTCCGCTGTCTTTTGCCCTGTGGCCATCACTAGCCAAACTAGGCTCCATCTCTTTTCTCCACGGTCAATGCTTCTTACAGTGCCCTCTGACACCTAAGAATCACTAGACAAGAGCAAAAAAAAAAGTTCCGCTGTCTTCTGATTAAGGGCCAATACCACTTGCACAGTCTGCACAGTGCTGAGTCAATGCTTGTTCGCTCAGAGTGAGCTATCCCACAGCCAATTTTCAAACGCCAATGATTGCCTTGGGCTTGGTTTTGTTCAAATCCTATTTTGTTTCAATTTGTCCTTTTGCTCTTAGTTTTGTCCACTTCTTGTTCTATTCCTAAACCTTATCTTGTTCCAGTGTGCTCTTACTCTCATTTTACCTACATCCTGTTTCATTCCAATATGTTCTTTCGCTGTCATGCTGCTTGCTCAAATCCTGTTCTATTCTCAATTATTGTTTGTTTTCAATGTGTGTTTTTTGCTCTCATGTCAAGCTTGGACAGTGTTTTCAATTCCCCATTTTTGTCCGACGATAATATGTTCGTGTCCTCTCATCTCAGGCTTGTGCAGTATCTCTTGTGCAGTGTTTATATCCATGTCAATCAAGCCTCATAAATTGAAATATCTCTAGTTCTTAGGCTCTTCCCTGTAGTATAGGATCGTAGTCCACTGTACTCACTTGTATTCTACTCTGACAGTGGATATATTGTAGAATATCCGTGCAATTTAACTCACGCTCGGTATATATAAGACAAATGTAAATACTACAATATCATTGGATGTTTCCTGTAGATATCTTTGCCCCCTATAGCAATTGGCCTACAGTGTAGATTGCACAATACCCAACGTCAGAGCAGCGGAAAAAAAAAAGAATTCCCACGGAAGACTATTCCATTTATAACTTTTGAATGCTGTGATGCCAAGCTATGGATAAGGCTGATGACAGTCACGTGAAACCGGCATCATCACGCCCGCCCCCTCTTATCAATCCGACAACAACACCCGACGCAATCCTCTTGTTCTGCAGGCCTAGTCCTCGGCGAAGGATGATTTAGGTTGTACGATGACCTTGAAGCTCCAATTTCCACTACGCACGGGCTTTTTTTCCTATTCCTAGCCCGGATCTGCTGGACTCGAAGTCCCTAGCTGTAGCTTGATCCCGACATCATCGGTTATCGGCTTTAGGACATTCTCACAATTTCCCACGTTCACTTCTCCAAGATGATACCGTGGTCGTCCTTCGTCCAGAAGGCCCAGAGCCTGATTGACCCTGCCAATTTCAACATTCCCGCCCTATCCTCGACCGATCATAATCCCTCCAAGGCATCGCTGTTCCGGCAACAATTCCGCCTCCCTGATTCCCAAAACCCGCTTCAAGAGATCACCGCTGATCTCGTTCTACCACTACCAAATTCCTCGGCAAATCAAGCAGATGGCTCCCGCAGGGTTGACCGGGCAGGAAACACATACACCGGACGTCTGCATCTGAGTGAACGTTTCATCTGCTTTTCAACCCAGCCGACAAGCTTCATTCCATCCGCCACAGCAAATGCCTCAACCACTTGGACTGGCCAGACACACGGCACTGGGCCATCAGGCAATGGATTCATTCTCCCGCTATCTTGCATACGACGTGTCGAACGCCTTCATAGCGCCAGCCATGTTTTCTCCCTGGCGCTCACAACATGGAATGGTTTGCTCAATAAGCAACAAGAACCCAACTTCGCCCCTCAACGCCTCATATTGCAGCTTGTCGGTAGCAGACAGGCCTGCGAGCGATTCTGTGACACACTGAAAAAAGGCCTGCGGGAAGGAATGAAGGAGGTTGACAGCTTGCGGACTGTCGTCTCGGATTGTTATTCGGAATATCTGCTCTCAGGTGCAAAAGGAAAGGGACAAGACGGGAATGAGGCTGACACTCGTCAACCCCCGGATGCAGGGCTGGGTCTGATTTTCCGCTACCCTGGTGATGCACGCAAGCTGCGTGATCGCAGCAAGATGAGACTTTGGGGCGAATATTTCAGAGGTAAAAACACATCTCTCTATTCTTTGATTGTATATTCCGACATCTGACTGATATCCACTAGAAAATGGCCGCAATGCCACGTTGGTTCGCCAACCAACCTTCCACAAGCTAATCAGAGTTGGTTTGCCAAATCGGTTACGCGGAGAAATTTGGGAGCTTACGTCTGGTTCTCTGTTCCTTCGTCTACACACCCCGAAGCTGTATCAACAGACATTGGCCAAATTTGAGGGACAAGAGTCCCTTGCTATTGATGAGATTGAGAAAGATTTGAATCGCAGTCTACCGGAGTATCCTGGATTCCAGAGCGAAGAAGGTATTGGACGCTTGCGACGAGTTCTCACTGCATACAGTTGGATTGACCCAGAGATTGGGTATTGCCAAGCTATGAACATTGTGGTTGCCGCATTGTTAATGTATGTTTAGAACTTCAAGTTGCTAAGGGTGTCTGCTAACTTGACCAGATATATGTCAGAGGCCCAGGCCTTTTTCCTTCTCTCTGTGCTATGTGACCGTCTCCTCCCCGGTTACTATTCAACAACAATGTACGGCACACTACTCGACCAGAAGGTGTTTGAGTCTCTAGTTGAGAAGACAATGCCAGTTCTCTGGGATCATCTCACCAAATCAGACGTACAACTTTCTGTGGTATCGCTGCCATGGTTCCTCTCCCTCTACATCAACTCCATGCCGCTCGTCTTTGCTTTCCGTGTCTTGGATGTGTTCTTCTTAGAAGGGCCAAAAGTCCTCTTCCAGGTCGGCCTTGCCATTCTCCGAGTTAACGGCGAGGAGCTTCTCGAGACTCAAGATGACGGGTCGTTTATCTCTGTCTTGAAGTCGTATTTCTCACGATTGGATGAATCTGCCCACCCGAGATCAGAGAATCCCAAGCTGCGGGCCATTACTAGATTCCAAGAATTGATGGTGGTTGCTTTCAAGGAGTTTTCTGGCATCACTCACAGCACGATCACCGAGACGCGCGAAAAGCACAAGGGTGCTGTGCTGGAGAACATCGAGACTTTTGCAAAGCGTACTTCTATCCGCAACCTTGGACCCGAAAGCAAACGCCTGAGCGTGGATGATCTTGGAACGATATACGACCGCTTCTATGAAACACTGTACCAGTGGGAACAGCACCAGAGAGTTATCGAGGAAGAGACGAGGCGGCAAGAGAGGAAGAAGTCCCAACGCCTTTCCATGCTTGCTCCTCCTGCAGATACCCAAGTTGGCCGTGTTGGTCTTGGACCTAGCCCTACACATATGGATTATGACGCTTTCCGGGAGTTTTTAGCCGCCACATCCAAATGGGCGGTCGCTGACTCCCCTGGACCATCGAGGAAAGAATCCCCATCGGGGAAATCGGCATTGTGGGCGAACCGCAGACAGCCAGCAGACCATGAGTTCATGCAACGCCTCTACCGCAAGTGGGCCACAGACCCCGATGAGGGATTGAATCTCCAACATGTCGTGAATGGTCTCGCTCGCCTGAAGGGATCCCCTGACATCATGAATAACATCAACTATTTCTTCGATCTTTACGATGACAGTGGAAATGGCCAGGTTGATCGTGAGGGAATCCTCAAAATCTCCGAGGCCCTGTTGTTCCTCTCCCGGCGTGGGTTTGAGGGCACAATCACTGCCACTCCATCTATGGAAAATCTGAACTCGTCAGGAGACCGCGACCATGCTGAGAACTCGCTCACTACCGACGAGAAATTCCTCGGTAGTGTCAGCGCATTCATTCGTCGCTGCTTCGAATACGCCGACCCCAGCCACCAAGAGAACCAAAAAACAGACCAGCAAGATGCAACGGTAGAGGCAACCGAGAAGCTAGACTCATTTGCCATTGGCGACGACGACGACGAAGAAGACCTGATTGATGTTGATGATGCCAAGTCCACCAACTCTCCAGCACCAGACGCAGCCCCCCAGTCAGCTAAGTCTACCGCCGCCGAATCAGATAGTAACGACCATAACCGCTCAACATCTGAGTCTGCCAATCCAGCTCTCGATCCTAATAATCCCCTGCATATCACTCTCCCTACTTTCCGAATGGTTGTCCTAGCCGACGAACTCCTAGAGCAGTTCTTTGAATCCTACTTCCCTCAATCCTTCCACCTCTCCGACCACCCCCACCCCGCGGCTCTAGCCGCATCATCCTCAATGTCATCCAACCTCACAACATTCTCCAACCTCGGCAGCATCCGTTCCTCTGGCATCGCCGCCGGCTCCGCACCCGTCGCCGGCGCCTCAGGCGGCATCGTGCCACCAGGCAAGGGCCTGCGCGGCGTCCTGGACAACATCGTCTCGGACGGAATCCGCATGGCCGCCGAAGTCAAAAAGCGAATGGACGAGGCACAGCGCGATCTCGAGCGCAACGCTCTCGGCCGCGAGGAAGAAGACGACGACGAAGACGATGACGACTATCCCCGTCGTGAGAACGCCGCCGCTGCCATCCCTGGCGGTATCCCCAGCTGGGGCGCTGGCGCATACGGCGCTGACACGGAGCGTCGTAGCGTTGTGCGTGACGCTGACCGTGACCTCCTTGAAGGAGCTGAGGTGCTTGGCGGCGGAAAAGAAGAGAGAACTTCTCTCTTGGACGGAAAGGATGATGCGACCCACGCTCCTCGCAAGGTCTCTGGCTCTGCGGCTTCTGCTAGGAGCGGTGGCTCCCCCTCATCCCGTGATGGCGAGGTTATTAGCAAGCTCGTCGAGTTTGAGTCATGATATCCTTGCATACTGTCTTATGTCATATACGGTTGGTCGCCATCTCATTTGTTTTTTCTCATTGTCGATGCCTTGGTTGGATCGTCATGCAATTTTGTACTACAACCCTTGGTTCGGATGTTTCAACTCATCTTTCGCGTGGTTCCCCTCGGATTGGAACCTGGATTTTTAGATACCTTAGAAAGAACCTACTGCTGGATCATTTCTTGTTTATTGGACATGTGGATTCGATGTAGCACTCTTCTCTTCGTACATGTACCGAATTCTACAAGGGATTTGCGATTCACGTAAATATGTCAAGATCAAAAGATAGATTGAGACCTATATGTTTCCACCAACTAAATCAAAAATTCGTAAGGGCAAAGTCGCCCATGCAAACAAAAGTGTTCTGAATTCAGAGAATCGTCAAGTCATGAGATGTAATGACGTTTTCTATGTACAGCATTATCATCAAGCAGGCTGGAACAACCCCAGGTAGTGGAAGCAATCAATCACCGACCAAACCTTCGAAGTAAAAGTAAAATGGCAGTGTGATGACGAAAGAGAAGAAAAAGGGTATAAAACAAGCATAGGCATGGAGAAACGGGCCACCGGCCATAGAAAAAAGGTGAAACCACAGCGGAGAATAAAAGGCCCAAAAGTAGAAAGGGATCAAAAGGGGGTAGGCAAGTGAAAGGTGCAAGAAAGGCGAAGAAGAAGGGTAAGCTGTGGGTGTTAGATGCAAGCTCAAAGAGAAATATAAAACCCAAAATGGAAACAAAATGCGAACCAGGACGACCCAAAAACGGTCAACTGGAATTGGTTTAGTCTTTTTGCCCCTCATTCTCGAGAAGCTCCAAGACAATCTGGCTCCGCTCATACTCTGGATGTTGCATGCAGATTTTAACCGTGTTGCCCATACCCGTGGGGGCCGGGGAGCCATTTGTGGCGCCAGAGAAGCCGCTGGCCAGACTCATCGAGCCACCGGTGTTGGCCTGTGCATTTCCATCGAGCGAGCCAGGCACTTTGCTGCCGTCGTCGATGCAGACGACATTGTGGCCGGGAATAACCTGGCGTAAGCGGCCGTTCATTGCGTTGCGGACTTCGACGAAGTCGTCGTTGAAGAGAATTAGGAACTTGCCATAGAGACAGGCTGTGTGTGCGCTGCCCACGAACTCCATGACTACACTGCGAGAGACGTCGCCGTGCTTGTTGACGTACACAGCGCACTGCTGGTAAGCTACTAGGAACTCGCTCTCGCTGAGACGGAACATGCCCAGCGGCTTGAGCCCGTTGATGCGATTGGCGATGCTGTGTAGAGTATCGTGTGCATCTTCGGTATTGTTGGCGCTAAAGTCTGGGACAGACCATGAAAGTTTCTTGTCGAGGGTGAGGACTTCAATGCCCTTTTGGGTTGAGATGGCGAGCGAGGAGTGGAACATGTTGATTCGGTAGGTCTCGGCAGGGATGTAGAACTCATCGTAATCGCGGAAGAACTCCGTTTGTGAGCGACGTGAGAACAGACGGCTCTTATTTGTGGATGATTTCTGCAGGACGGGCTCGAGAACCTAGATTTTGTATGTAAGTTTGCTGTTGCTGTATTAAGCTCGCTGCGAATGTACATACCTTGAATGTAGATGATAAACCCTCGCGCTTTTTGTACAGGACCAAGTACCGGTCCTTCAGACGACCAGCGGCAAAGAAGCCCACTTCACGGTTTCCAGACAGCTTCTGCGGGGCTCGTCGAGCAGAATCTTGAGATGACTGGGAGGTTTTTCCATTGGCGGGACAGACCACGTCGAGGTGATATGCAATCAAAGACCGATCTGCAATCAACAACAGCAAATTGAAATCCTCAAAGACAGCAACTTGTGTGACCCGCGTGATGGGAATAGCCCTGTACCAACCCCGCGGGTTATTGAGCTCAGACATGTACAGACCATGATCTGTGCCAATTGCACACATAATGCGCCCAGGCGGTTGTTGGAACACCGTCGCACAGTTGACTGCATTCCTGCATACCGCTGGAGGGCGAGTCTTCGAGCTTTCATATTGCTTCTCGACTTCTTTGATCGCACGATGGAGAGGGGTGCCCTTGATCGTGACACTTTTAGAGCCGGGTGTATGACTAGAGTATTCGAACGCAGTGTCCGCAAGCACACGTAGTCGGAATGGCTCCGCGTTCTGCGAGAAGAGAGCAGCAGCATGCTTTGTCTTCGCTTCGATGATCTTTTGGCACCATTCCAGGCGGCTTTGTGCCGAGAAAGCGTAGAGAGTATATGTTCCAGTTTTGCCTAGATGCTTGATTTTGAAAGGGTATAGGATCTTGTCGTCCCTTGAGTTGTCAATGGCCCCGTTTCCTCCAGATGCACCAGACCCTGTATGTGCAAGAGGGCTGGCAGCACCCGCTTGGGAGGGCGTGACAGTTGAAACTCCCCTGACGGATGATTTAACCACAGGATCATCGTCGGTACTTTCCAGGCCCAATAGGTCCATTGGGATGGGCAGTTTTGAAATATCGTATCTCTCGTACTTCACTGCCCGGTCGCGCATCGTAAATATCTTAGCAAGAACAAGATAATGGTCGAACAAGATGGCGTGTGTATCGACAAGGAATCTTGTGCGGGTTCCAGGACGTTGCAGCTCGCCTCGATGGATGATCTGTCGACCCAAGTGCTCGAGATTGAGTTCAACTTCTTTCTTCATATCAGGTCGCAATTGCAGCTTGGATGCCAACTCCATCAAGTCGGCCTTCTTGTTCATCTCTCCCACTTTGTTGTCACACTCCAGCGCCACGACCTTGATCTCTTCAATGGCCTGTGCTAGATTTGTCTTTTCTTCGGAATCCTTGACCATATTCTTGTGGACAGTCGCCAACAGAAGAGTATACCGCTGGATTCTAGTAATCGGAGCTTTGAGGAAAGTATCCCAGCTAAGGCGACTGGACAGTTTGTGTTCCCGAGCTTGGTTCAGGAACTGCTTGAAGTGCGGGTTGCGCTCAGATTCCTTGCGCACAAGATAGTTTGCCGTTGGGAAGGTTGCAGCATAGTCGATGTAAACATTCTTAGCTTTGCGAATCCATTCCCGGAAGATGTCACTGAATCCAGAGATGAAAGGCCCTTGTTCCTTTTGACGGTATTTAAGCTGTGCCAACAGGAAATCCTCGTTGACTCTCTTCACAGCATCGACTTTGCCAAACACGTCGGCCACGAATTTGGGCAATCGCTTCGCCGGGATGATCGGAGGATTCATCTTAGCCAATTGATCACGATAAAGTTCTCGTAGGACATCCAGTTGCGCGATGTAGGAGTCTTCTGTAGTGACAATTTCGTGCAAATTGTTCTGTCTATCGACCTCTTTCCTCGGATGAGCTTCCCAGACCTCCTTGGGCACCTTGTAGAAAGTGACCCAATCCTCGATTTTCTTTTGCGGTGCCATCATCTGTGCTTTGAGGTTGACTTTCTTCAATGTTCGCATACAGTGATGCGAGTAGCATCGACCGAAACTATCAGTGCCCTCAATGTGCATCTCGTGTAAGTGGAGCCTGGGGGAGTAACATCCAGTGCCAGTGATCTGGAACAGGATACCCGAAAGAGTGCCTGAGCCAAACTTGACCCATTCTTCTTCTTTTACCAATGCACCTTCTTCGAGCATACCACTCACAACTCGAGCAGCCAGTGTCTCGGCATCAGCAATATTCATAGTGGGGACTTTGTGAGTGAACAACGCAACCATGGCATCGGCAATTGTTTGCTCTCTGAGATCTGTTTCATCCTCGCTCAGATCTTTAATCCAGGACAAGAGAGAGCTCAAAGCCCACGGCTCGCTACACTTTTTGAATTGTTCCGATGACAGCTTCGCGGGATGGAACTTCTTGCGCCGGCCAGCCGGGATGCTTGGCAGATCCAGCATCATAGCCGCTGCTGCTGCCGCCGCTGGGTCGATATGAGGTAGGTCCTTTTGCTGAAGCTGCAAGAGAAGTTCTTGCTGCTGCTGCCTGTATCTCAGGCGGTCCGCATCGGTCTTCGATCTGATAGGAGCATCAGTACGAGGCCCAATGGGAGTCGACAAAGATGACGACCGCGGGACTTGGGACGGGCTCAGCAAAGCATCGCCATAAGAGTCCGCAGAGGTTGGCATGGAGGGGTTGTTATACTGTGAATAACTATCAAAGTCATCCTGCTGCTCCGAGTGGCGGTTATATGTGCCCGCGGGCATCAAATGTGACACAAGATCAACATTACCAGCAGGCTCAACAGGTGCTGGTGGCAATGGACGCATCCCAGGGTGGAAGAACAGATCTTCGTGCGCAGATCGGTGGGGGCTCTCGTCATCGGATTGATCCCCAGAATGGGTCTGATCATATGGTGATTCTCCTTCATCACCATAGTCAAAGCTCATCCGTCGAGAATACGCATCGGGTACCGATAATCCTCCTGTGCCACTGGCATCTACCCTGGCATCGGCCGGCGTATGATGGAGGCGTCTGGCATAATCATATGCAATAGGCGGGTGCTCGTAGTCATTATAATACTCACCACGCTCATCGGGGGACACAGAGCTTCTGAATGAACCAGATGTGCCTGGAAATCTGTTGCCCGCGGCAGGGTCCGAGTGCTCTTCCGGACTGTATACTGGCTCATCACCATAGGGCATGTTTGCTTGGTAACCTCCTTCGTACTGTGCAAGGTCATGAACGATTGAATCGTTATCTCCATCGGGATCAGAGTGTGGTGAATTTCCTCTTGGTGATATGTTGGATCCACGTGAGCTGAGAACTGAGGCATTGGTCTCACGTCGCATCCGCCCTTTCTCACGCTCCTCGCGCGCTATGTCTTCTTGCATCATAATCAAACCAGCAGTAGCCTCGGGATCGCTTTCGTCAATGTACGCATCATAATTGACGTGATGACCCGCTCCTGTCTCCATATTACCGTTGGTGTGGGTGTGTTCCTCATCAGGCGAGAAATGCATGCGTGAAGCAGAACTAGCATGGGATTCTCTGGAACTGTGACGCCGAGTAAAGTTCTGAGAGTCCAATGCTGCCGCCTCATCCTCTCTGAGCACATCTTCATATGCCATGGGAGCTTCCGCTGGCCAGCGATTGCCATTTGCCCCCGCTTCATCGTCTGGCGGTCCAGGAAGAGGTCGGGACTGGGGGTGTCGAGTCAAAGTGTCAGTTCGCCTCGGTGGTTGTTGAGACGGGTCTAACTGTACAGGGGGCGTCGGCAGGGTTCGCCCTGCCCCGGAATGAGATACACTTGGCCGCTTGCCGTACAGGCCATTTGCTTGAGTTTGATGAACTGGAGGCGCTGGGGGCTGCTCTTCAAAGGAAGCGCTGGGGATTGCTGGGGTGTACTGGGGAGATGGCAGGTCATACGCAGCCCCTTGTGGGTTGCTGTAATAAGGACGTGATGTAGGCGGAGGCATATGCATTATGCTCGGGGAGCTTGACGGCACATAAGAAGGCGAGGGATTCGGTGACATGGGTTGGTACGGACGTCCTCCATACGGATGATCAGCGCCCCTCGGTGGTGGAAGCGGTGGTTGTTGGGAGAAGCCGTACGATTGTGGAGTCGGCGGTGTCTGCCCGTAGTGTGAAGCTGCACTCTGCCTTCTAGGTAGAACGGGAGAGCTCAGTCCCGACACTGCAGCAGACTGGTATGCCGCAGGATTATATGGTTGGTGGCCGGAGAGTGGAGCGGCATAAGCATTGCTGGAGCCAGTGTACGTCTGGGGGTTATAAGCGAGGACCGGTTGCGACTGCGTGTGTGGAAGGCCATATTGCTGCGGGTTGTAGGCCGGTTGGGACGAGGGTGCTCCAGAGTATTGGTACTGATAAGACATGGTGGAGGTTTGCGAAGAGGCGCGACTCGGAGACATGCGCGACATGGCGTCCGACGAAGTACGCGAATATCTCGAGTCTCTGTCGTCTTCAAAGGCTCCATGCACAGCGTTGTAGCCACCCTGTCCCGCGCTACCACCATAACCACTACCTTGTGTTGAATATTGTCTGTTTTCTTCGGTCGCTCTCATATTCTGGGTCTGGGCAGGGTTGAAGAATCCAGAATCATCCCCAGCATTGTAACTCGGCATCCTGCGAGGCAAATGTTGGTCCGGCGTGGGGTTTTGGGATGAATAAGCGTCATAGTGGCCGGTGGGTGGTTGGGCAGAGGCTTGAGGGTTTGTAGATTGGCCGTAGTATGCCTGTTGACCGTTTGGATATTGCGACATGGTTTCGGAGGGGTGGAGGGTCCGACCAGATGTTGACTCGACTCGGCTCGACTCGACGCGCCCAGGATTGCGCGAGAGGTTGTTTAGCAGGACCGTGGAGTCTAGTCTCGGGCACTCAAGTGAATGGTAAAACGAGTGACTAGTTCAGAGCAAATCAGTCTGATTTGAATGAGGGGAATGACCACGCGGGCCGGTAACACGCTGCCGAAGGGCTGGCTCTGGGCATTCCCAATGAAACCGTAGAGCGCGATATACTAGCCTTGGGTAATAGAGAAACCAAGTCCAGCAAAGATGCAAAAACCAGGGAGTTGTTTTGGGTAAGATGGGAGGTGTGTTGGGACTCCAGCTGCGCCCACGCTAGTCGAGGTACCGTCTCCACCGCCAACGGGGTTTACCACCTGCCACGACCTGCACTATGTATATTGCACGAGGATATCAATCTGGACGTCCCCACGTTGTCTGCTGTAAGTAGTTCCAATAATATTTGAGTGTATGATGTATGAAATACTCCCTATATACTACATATATACGAGATGTCTTTACGACCTTCAGCTTGTTACTGATTGGTTTTTATTCCCCGGGATCCGGTAGGGGTCCAGCGCCATCATACATTATGTACCCAGGTAGCACTCTTTTTCTTTACTACTAAGTCACAACAAGGTCAAACACCATATATGTCCACTCATTTGGAAAAGTAGTGAGCCCCAATAGGTAATAGGGGGCCACATATCCTAGAACGTGAATGATCATGGCCCCCTCGTATTTTTTTTCGGCGCAAGGCTGAGAGGCTGAGCCGTATTTAGCCCCACTATGTTATATTGCATCTACAACCACATATGCAGTGACTGGACTTGGGAAACAGTATATTTTCGTCTAAAATGACCCCAGAGATTCGGGGTTGACATCTAGAATGGCGCGGGGAACAGCAGTAGTTGATAGTTGATAATATCGCCATAAAAGGCACCCAATATTTGCATGCAAAATAAACAAGTGATTAACGGTTCTGGAACTAAAAGGGAAAGAAACGAAAGGATTCGAGAAACGGGAGGTTTCATTGAAACAGGCGTGTCAACAAACACAATGCACATCCTCAATAACAAAAAGGGTCAGACTCGAACCACTCCAGCGAGAGTTGGCTATTAAATAATTGCCACATCAACGCATCATCAGGTGCAGGTGCATAGCTTCCATCACTGGGTGTTTGCAATTGCTGAGGGTTTGCTCCAGAGACAGGATCCATATATGGAGAGCCAGCCATGAAGAAATGTGCATGCTCATTAGTACTAGTTTGATGGTCGTGCCAAGTCCCAGTCATTGAAGGGTACAAAGTAGGGACCTTGAGCTGCGGGCCCATGAGCTGTTTGGCTTCGATCAATGGTACACAGAGATTCTGCAAGTAGTACAGAAGTTTCAGCAGTTTTGAGATGTATGGACTTGCGGCGAACTGAGACAAGCTTTGCGTGATGTCTTGCATTAGATTGTAGTCATCCATGTCTAGTTCTCCGATGATGTTGCAGAAGAGAACGAAGAATGGACTTAAGGGGTATAGAAGAACAGTCCTAAGGAAGATGCAGAGATGTTAGTGGAAGAACTGGTGGTGCTCGGGGTAGACCAACTAACCATGTTAGGAATGAGGGATAGGGATCCATGAAGCCCGGGGTATCCGCGATGTTCCTCTGAAGGTGATGCAGTGCCCTGAGAGATTTGCGAGAATACGACACACATTCCTTGTGTGTCAAAGGAGAAAAGGCACATTTTAATCGTGATCGAAGAATATCAACCAGAATCGCGTAATAACAAAATTCACCTGAAATCCAATCGATGGCGATACAGTCTGGTGCTGAGGCTTGACCCTGGGAGAATAGAATAGGTTAGCTTGGAGAAAAACAGGGATTTATTCAAACTCACAGATTGCAACCTTGAATATATGACCTCCATTCGTTCTTGGAGTCTCGAATGATTGGCGATTATTTGGCGAGTGTTATCCGCCATTCCGCAATTCAGCAGCTCTCCTTGGACCTGAGCTAAATCCAACAAAATTCGTATTAATGGGAGATGTGGCAGAGATTGGTTGTCACTAATTAGATCCATGGGAGAGATGTGAGGCTCGGGCAGTGACAGTGGTCGGTAAAGAAGGGTGCTCAGAGTTCGGTCAAGGTAAAAGCACCAGCATACAGCGCTATGGATCTCTTCATCGAGGTCTGCAGTCCCAAGCGGATTGCGCATTTCATGATAGCCCAGAGCGGTAATCAGACGAGCAGCGTATGAGTTGAGAATCCAGGATTGGCTCATGTTGCCAAGATACTGCATGAAAAATGCCTGCCAAATAGTTGTCAATAACAGGCTTTTCCGTAGAAGGAAGCATGATGACATACAGCTGATATCAACGACTGAATGAAAGGAAGAGTTGGGGCATTCAAGAAATTGAGCCTCTTGAGCGCGCCGAAGGCATATGTTTCATATAATTTCTTGGATTTCAGAAATTGTGCGTTGATGCGGGGATCCTTATACGTTCTCGGTTTTTGATAGAGATGGAAGATGGCCTTCACATAAATGCATATACAATACTGGTAAAATACCTGCCCATGCTCAAGGTCATTGTCACTGAGAATGGATGAAGCCATCTTCTCTAGTGTTTTATCCGAGATATGGTCCGGCCATTGAATGGAACCAGAACGTCCGATGGTAGCTGTCGGCTCTGTATCACCATTAGTTTACGCATTGAACATGAAGCTGGCTTTTTATACCTGGAAGAAGCATGTAAAACAGCTCTGGTGATGGGGCAATGAATGGACAGACACGTTGAAAATCCTCATGCGGCACTTCTAACGGCGAGGATTTATCGGGAACTGAGGTTCTCCTCTGCCCCGTAACATCCACAAATTGCAGGGCAGACCTGAGGATTGCCTTTCGTTCACGGTCCATGCGCTCATTTCCATCAAGCTCTCCTTGTATAACGACTCTGGCCTTCTCTGCATGGTGTGTGTCCGACCCAATGGGACACTCATCCAGAGCAGATTGGGAAGCGTCTTCTATGTGCGAGGCATGATCTAATCTCATTTTTTTCGACGGCATATCTCCATCGTAATGATCTGCCTCATTGGATGGAATGATATGTTCAATGCCCCTAAATGGTCAATCAATAGGAGTACGGAAGTAAAGAAGAATGGCAATCATACTCTGAAATTGTTCTTTCTAAGGTTAACAACCTTTCCCCGAGGGAAGATATTCTATTATTGGATCCGGTAAGCATGAACCAAGATAAACTCATATGAAAACATACACCGATGATGATTGCCGGCCAGGTCGTCGAGGTCTTGTACGACTGCACTCGACGCCTACATCGGTGCAATTTGCACAATGTAGTTGTTTATCACAGCGAACCTGTTCAAAGACATCAGTCCCTGGGCATTTAATAGACTCGATGGGCTCCTTTAACCTTTCTTGAGTGGCAACGGTCACACTAGTATCATTAGTATACGAATGTCTTGCCGAAAGCCATGCGGTGGCACTCACAGCTCGCAGCGCGTCGTCATTCATTTGGTAGGTAAATTTGCAGTCACTTCCGCATTAATATTTGTTTGTAAGAGTCATAATGACCTTTCAGCATTTGCAACGCCTGATATGAGAAAAAAAAACGTAGTGTAGATCGCTCGGGACGGAGTCCGCGTGCAGAGGCCGCGGAGCCGCTTAGTAGTGAAAGTCTGCAGAACCGATTTCCTGATTCGGTCGGAGTGCCGACCGAATCGGGAAAGTACGTCGACCCTTCTATATAATTAGTTCGGGTGTTGACTACATATGTAATTATTTCTGATATTTAGATCATTATTGATGAGTCATACTAGTAAAGTCGAGCTACGTCGAATTGATGGGTCCATCAAATTGAGCGTCTATGTGAAGAGGAAGATTGGTCCCAATTCGGATTCCGCTCTTTTCTCGGGTGTCGAGAATATTGAGGAGATCATTATGCCACGCCTTGTGGTATGGCATCATATTCCCCAAGCAAAAAGATCAAAGGTGAAACGTGTGTTTATCTTACACAACAACGTTAATTGACGGTAAAGTGGCTGCCGAAAATTGCTGCATTGGACGCCGGTTTAATCCCGAAGGCAGAATCGATTAGTTAAGACAAAAATTCTAGGCTAGACAACATATTGATTGCTCACAAGTAAAGGCAAAAAAACGTAGTCGCGCCCGGGATCGAACCGGGAACCTTCTCGGTGTGAGCGAGACGCCATAACCATTAGGCCACGCGACTTGATTATTAATCTTTTCTTTAGGAAATGGCTATATCACTGATGGATGGCAGCAAAGTAACATATCAAGGCTTTTAGTACTCTACGGAGTATACGTTAGAGAGATTGTAGACAGTTTGCTACTAAGAAATGTTTAAATATCTGTGTATTTTTCAGACTCTATTCCAGTGGCCAATTGGGCTATACCGCTAAGCAGATACATTATAAAGTCACTTGTGGCAGTTATGGCCTAATAAATTTTAAACTAAATTTTTATGTTAGATTAGAAACAAGCTCATAGAATATAGTCTAAGAAAGATATAGACTAAGAATGATATAAGTTGTAAAAAAATTTATACTCCTAGGAAGATATAGGACCAATTAATACGAAGACTACGAAGACAGAATGAATCAAGACAACTGCTAGGCTAGCCTACGTATTGTTCACACACGAAGGCAAAAAAACGTAGTCGCGCCCGGGATCGAACCGGGAACCTTCTCGGTGTGAGCGAGACGCCATAACCATTAGGCCACGCGACTTGGGATTATATTTGAAGACATTTTTGTCATTATCAGAGGTTCCCCTTTTTTATCCTCCTGTTCCTATTTTTAGTAGTAAATTATCTACAATCTCTCTAACTTAGAGGGTACACGAACTGGAATTTCAAGTTTCCTTTCCTGCTTATTTAGTGATATAGCCACTGACAAAAGAAAAGCTTATTAATCAAGTCGCGTGGCCTAATGGTTATGGCGTCTCGCTCACACCGAGAAGGTTCCCGGTTCGATCCCGGGCGCGACTACGTTTTTTTGGTCACATCTAGCTAGTTGTTGCCCAGGAGACTTTACATCTGTTCCATTAACGAAAATCTACTCCATAATAAAAAAAACTGCCATAGATAGGAAGAATAGCATCTCTCATGGATGAATCATGTTGCAAGAGTTTCTTTCGAGTCTGTGCGTGCCATGTTATTGGCTTATTCCTTCCTACCGCCTACGGGTAGCTCTGCCCGCCATACTACTAACCGTGCCAAGCGCCCAACCACCCATACTAGCTGGGTGTTGGTGCCAGATACCCAATTTTCAATTTATTCAACTATGAAAATAGTAATTATAGGTAACCACCATGACTATCTATATACCAATTTCTACCATTACTATCTCTTACCGCCATCAAAGCCAGAAAAGTCAAATTCACTACTAGCTCCGATATTAGACATAGATCTATGGTGGCGTTGCTCCGTGAGAGTCGGGTTTTTCATCCTGCGCGTCGAAGTCGATCCTAAATTGCTTTTGTTGCGATGGTACCTTCTCGGTACTGCTTCGAGAATCATCAGACTGGTGGGTAGATGACGGTTCAGATTCAGCGTCCCACCAACCCATCGAGAACCGTTGGATCGTAAATACTCCTCTTTTTTGAAGCTCCTTGTCATTGCACCACTCCGAGCCTTTAGGAATATACTTCGGTCCAAGCATTCTAGAGTTTTGCAACAAACTAGCCACGGCTGCAATACTATTAGGGTTCTTTGGCAACGTCCGTTTCGTCCGCATGCATGTCATAGAAATCAGAGCGCATATGACCATTCCTGCAAGGATACCATCCAGGATCCGCGTCGAGATCTCACTCTGAATCAAATACGACCGGCCGTCGTGGTAGATGGCCTGGTGAACGGGTGCATGTGTTGTGTTAGGCCATACCGAATCTGTTGGATTTGGCACTCCCTCAAACGACTGACGTGCCGCGGTATTGATGATCTGGGTCACACTGATGCTCCAGATGTCACTAAAACGGGATATAAATGTGGCTGGGTTCCAGAGCTCTTCAAAGGGAACGCCACCTGTGCCATTAACCATTGCTTCCATCACGAAGCTTGAGAGTGACTGGTCTGGCAAGTCTCCCATTGCCAGAGGCGCTTTGGCAAGGTAATTCTTAAACCGGTCAAATTCTGGCCATGTGGAAATGCTCGTCCGGAAGGTTTCTTTGGCCGATCCATGAACGACTCTGGGCTCGAAATCGGGATCTAGTGAGAAAGACGGGACTTCAAACCGAACGTCAACATCCACTGTCTCGATAGATGCGTTACAAGCAATCAGATGATGGCGAGGATCGTCTCCACCGTACAAAATATAGTAAGTGGGACAACTCGTGGATGGCAGATCAACACCATGCCCGCCTCCTCCGCCATATCCAAGCATGAAGTTCCCTCTGAAATAGTCATCCTGCGAGAAGCATGAATCTGCTGAACAGTCATATTCGTCTGTAGAATCTTTCGTGCAATTGAGACTTTTGTCTTCCAAGCAGCTCAACCGTGGTCGCACTGCAGGAAGTCGGGCGGTCACAAACCCATGCTGGCTGGTAGCGTTTGGGTTCCTATCCTGGGTCGCGTTCTGAGTGCCATTGAGAAGAACCTGAGGAAAGGCAAGATCTCTGTACGTCCACTGAGGATATGACAAGTTCTGTATATGATCATGGCAGGAACAGTTTGCGTTTTGTAGTCCCCTTGAGCCCAAAATTGCGTATATGAGGCCCAAGGGGAAGTGTCACCGAGGTCCCATCTTGTTCTCTGAGTGAGATTACAGAAGGAAGTTGGCATAGGATTACCAACTGTATAAAGACCGGCGACAACAATGGGAGTGGCTGCTGCCAGAAGCAACGTCAAGGTCGCCCCTGCTAATGCCCATTGTCGTTTTCGAAGCGCGTCCACGACGCCAAAAGCCGCAATTTTGCGTAGCTGATTCTCGAAGATGCTAGTCTCGGGTGGAGCACTCCCCTTTCGAAGCTCGACGTAAGGCTGGAGGATTCGAGCGCCAAACTCAACCGACTGGAAGAGACAGCGGACTGTAAACATGATCAGGGCAGGAATATAGGTCCAAATATAGTGAATATAGTCCGACTTCCCCTCCACCAACGTGATTCCGTGGGAGCTCTGGGAGATGTGATACACTACCTCCAATGCAGCTATTACTCCCAAGGGAGCAATCACGGCTGGAAGCTGGATATACAAAGTGGATGAAAGAGGACGCCACCAGAAGATTTGCTCGTCTTCAGTTGAGACCTTGGGTTTGATGGGTTTATCCTGGATAGGCTCCTCACTACCAGGCACAAGCCGGTATGCTCCGTCATGTTCCATTTGGATTGAGAATTGAGTTGTTTGCAAGTGCGATTTCTCCATGGACTCTATCGGCTTCAAGGCCGTGCCTTTAAAAATAGCCATAAGCTCGGGGCTCTGTGCAAAGACAGTGGAAAGCCCGGCTATCGAACTGGTGTCTCGTGGGCAAACCGAGACCGGGAGCTGGAATAGTAGAAGCAAGATCACGGCAAAGATCAAAGTACCCATCAAAGCAGCCATGAGCCAGAAAGAGAGCGGACGGACAAACAATCGCGGCTCGGCCGCTCTCTTGATGCCGCGGACTCGGTATGGGCTATGAACCAGCAGATCATTTTTCGCGACCTGTCTGGCGAGGCAGGACTATGAATCTTTGATGGCTTGTGTGAAGGCGGTAGGTGACTTGCGTAGCTCGTCCAGTGACTTTTCAGATGCGAAAACGCTTTGCTCTCCAGATGCAAGTCTGAAGTTAGTCGATCCGACAGTTAATGCCTGGTCAACGGCAAACAGGAGTTTATTGCCTGTAACGTTTGTGAGACTCTTCGAAGGAGGTAATTCTTTGCTTTTGATCGAAGAGGAGATTGTGTTACTTCCGGGCTCTCGCCAAATGGTCACTTTGCCATGCGACATGTGATAATACATTTTGCAGGCAATTGTTGTGACGTCGATATCCTGCCACGCAGTGTCATGCATATCTTCATCATCCTTTAGCATCCTTGGAGAAATCATTGCCCAGAGACGCCAATCAAATTCGTATGAAACATCAGGTGCCTCGGTGCTATCGCTATATGGGATGGTTTCACCATGACAACCTTGAATAAAAGCGTCAACATTTTTCCCCAAGGTTCTTTAATGACAAGACATCCGGAATTGTGGTCATCCGACAACCGTCCTCAGAATCGAATATATCTTCTCCCTTAATGGTTCCGCCGTCCATTTGGTCCTCGGTTCGAGCGGTCGTATTCACGGTTCTCCTAGTTGGCTCACAATGTAGGTCCATGTCGAAGATGTCAAGATCAACTTCATATTCGTTATTTGCTTCGAGCTTCGAAGAGTCGCTCATCAATGGATCGACGGGCTGAAAAGGGGAATATATGTAGGAGTCATGGACACCAATAGGAGGTGTCAAGTTTTGGCCCGTATAACCTAGACAAGCGACGAAGGGTAAAGCATCGGAGGCTAATGGATTCCAGTTGGAGGCGTCGAACTGATGAGTGACTGTGAAATCCGCGGCCCGTGGAATTTGTCTGTTGTCAAGCTCGAATAAACCTGTCGATATCACACTCAAGCCGTTGAGCAGCAGTGAACCAGCGACACACAAAAAGACCAGGAAATGCTTCTGTCGGAGTGATCTGTATAGGGAAACAACATTCAAAAGCGACATGTAGTCCAGAAATACGCTTTCTGCAGCCGGTGTTGGGCCTTTGAACATCAACACCCATGGCATCATCTGCATGCTACGATATTCGACTTGAGTCCATCCTGCGGTTAATATCATGAATACTGAGAGGATTGATTAGCAGGGAGTTGCTCATAAGCGATGACGATCGAGGTGCCTACTCGCTGTGGGTCCATAGGTCCAAAGATAATAGAACCTTTCACCCGGCGTTTCTATCCCCAAACTCTTTCCCTGGCGCTCGGTATAGACAAACAAAGCCACTAAGGATGCGAGTATGGCAACAAAAAGTGCCAGAAATCCCCCCAAGACCGAACGGCGTAAGAAAAATGGCGTCCAGAGCTTCCGATCCCCTCCGCTGAAGTCCCGATTCTCCTTTTCTTCCCCTGCACTGCTCTCTGGATTTGAGATTGGCGCATACGCGATCGGATACTGCGCAGTATGAAACTCGCCCGTTTCTGTTGCCATGGCGAGTGGCCCTTGATGGGTTCCTTCAATGGTGACCAAAGCTTTTCAAGCTCAAGACAGGAAGCTACGATAGAAACTTGGCTTTTTCTGAGTTAGGTCCTTCGCCGAATTTCAAGACCCTTAATTTCATCCGCATATTTTAGTGCTTTGCACGGCCCCCTCTCCGCGGCCCGCTCCAAGCCCCTGGCTCCCAAACCAACTCCATGTACTCCGTACTGATTGGGTCACTAGAGACGGGACCCTCAGGTGGTCGTTCGTTCCAACGCGTATGAATGGCCAACGGGGTAGTCAACGGAGAGCTGATGAGGAATGACGAGTTGGCTAAAGCGCACCGACCAAGTCAGCCTCGCTTGAGCTATTCCATTTTCGGCAGCTACTCATGCACATGAGCGTGCTGATCGAAAATAGTGCCGTAGTTTGAGAGGTCAATGAAGAAAGATCAACGAGATACAACTCGCAGGGATACGTTCTGGTGGTCTCAGGGACCCGGTTTGGTGCTCAAAAGACGCGTATAATAAATATTTCCGCAAACCTAGAGCCAATTCTGGACATCCAAGCAGTGTCTACGCTATGAGCTGTTGACTGCCTTGCACATATCGCGAGCATGACCAGCGGGAACTAAAGACACGAGGAACTTGACCTTCTAATCTCTAGAACATCTGGCCCGCGGGATCCGGGCTGGACTTATTTCGTTGCCGATTTATCCATCGACTGCAGCTGTTGATATTCACTGATTCGTACGGTGTACAAAACAAAAAGCTCACCGCAAGGCCATCTAGTTCATGTGTGCTCACATACTCAATACTGAGACTGTGGCTAGCAGTCAACTAAGGATTCTTGGTACTTACATGTTTATCTTTTTAGATTAATACATTCATGTCTAAGTACAGCATCGTTAAAAGATTAGAGGACGCCCTAGGGTGTCCGACAATCTTGTTTAGCACGAGTCCACCTGTAAGCTTAAGCCTAACAGCCATCCGAATGGCATTAACATAATACATGAGTAGTCCATTCGACCTCTATTTCGTCTGCTTTCCTCTTCTGCCCGAGTAGCTTTTGGGCCTAAATGAGGCACGCAACTCTGGTGGGAATACTGAGGCCCTTCTTGAAATAGATATCTTGTCTTCGGGGATATTCGGTGATGTTAATCCTGGATCACAGCAAAGGTGAAAATGTGTCTATCTTACACTAATATTAAGGTCATCAATAAGACAAAGCCTCGAAAACCGGGGAAAATATATGATATTTGGTAGCACGGCAGTGGCCGTCGAGTGATCTCGCTGTGTGAATATAACTGATAGAAAGCACACAATAAAAAGTATAAGCAGTAGGGTATATGGCGAAAGCAGCAAATCACGACCTGGGCACATCATAGAAATATCCATAACAAAAATAGAAAGGTTAGCCCGGCAATTAGTACCAAGAGATATAAATAAGGTCCTGGTACATAAGTCATACAAATCAGCAATCAGAGTTAACAAGGCAGAACTGGGAAAGATATATCGAAATCGTGTCACTCAGCAAAAGGTTATATCACTTTCCATCGTAGATTTGGTCAGGTGTGAGTATGAACTGGCCTTTCTGGATCTCTCTCGCATCAATGTGGTCGGGCTTGACGTATCTCGCGGTCAAAGCAAAGCGCAATTTGTTCTCAGGCACCACGGAATGCTATATCAGTCAGACTTGATGTTCAATGTTGGTAAAGAAGAGAGCAACCACAAACCTCGTAGTACTTCTGGAGATTCTCTCCGTGCATGACAACCAGATCACCATGATGAAGTTCCATCTTGATGGTAACTGGGGCCTCTTTTCCCTTGCGGCCACTTGATAGAGCACGACGAGAGGCATCATATTCATCTTGTGAGATCTCACCAGCGTCGAACTCCTCCTTCAGGGACCGGCGTTCGCCCTCAAACATGCAATCTTTCAGAACAGGATCATCTTGCAGAAGAGTCCCGATTTGCTTGGGCTCAGCCCTTCGGGTAGAGCCATTGAAATACTTGTACTTCATACGGACGAACATGGTTGCTTTCGCTCCAAGGGACAGTGTGGCGATAGTAGGGCCCAGCGAGGACTCGCCGTCATCGTGGAACTGAGAGAAGATGTTTAGCCTAGGCTACTGTGAATCTCACAAGTCTGACTTACTCCGATCTTCATTCCCTCGAAATAGCCGAGTGTCAATAACTCATTTGGAGCCAGGTATTTGTCTCCAGAAGAGGTGACTGCCTTTTCAGTTGCCCACGACAAACGACCCAGAGCCTGGAGCATGTCGTTGGGTGCTTCATCGAAGCCCTTGGAATCGACAGAGACGACATATTTGTAGGGCATACCCTGTGTCATTTGGTCAGAAAGGTAAAATGTTAAAGTGATGTCTTTTCACTTACGTAGTTGACCGCGAAATGTGAGGTCAGTGTACCCGCAACTGTTCGAATCTGAGAAAGCATACTTCTAGAGCTTGCATCTGGCTGACTTACCTAGACTGGACTGGAGCCGGAATCGTTTGAGACCAAGATCGCCACGTTGGAGATTGATGAAAAGGTCATCCGGTCCATTCGCGCGGCTATTGATTGCTTTGTTGGACACAAAGTGGGTAATCGAGCCAACTCCGTCGAGTTTGTAAGTCAACTTCCGGTAAGGGAATAAGGTGTTGTCATCAATCTCTGGAATGCTAAACTTCCGGTCAAAAACGATTGCTCGCTTGATCGGGGCCAGCTCGAAATGATCGAGGACGACCCGGAGCGAAACAGGGTTCATATTCATGAACTTTTGAAAGGGGCAGCTTTTCGCACACTCCTCGCTGATAGAGTCATCATCGCATTTCCAACCTTTCCAGAAAGTTCGTCGGATACATTTGAAACACATAGAACACACGATACCCTTCCATGCGATACGAGATGTGCTAACATCCGCGGCATTCTCATCCAGTGTGGACAAAAGATCAGGAACTAGACTGTAGTGGGGCTGGATTGCTGGGTCTGGACGACTGCGAAAGCTCAGGAAATCAGGATTGAAAGTGAGCTCAGCGGGAGGGGAAGCGTTCTCGATCTTCCAGAAGTCGATGCAACCAGGATCAAGGCACATCCAACCATCCTCGTACAAGCGAACACTTTCCATGGAGCATTTCTCACACTTCAGAGTCTCGGGCTTTGTGTCAAAGTCCCGTTCATCGAGAGGCACTGGAGGGAGAGAGTCCTTGGACGCCCACCAGCTCTTTTCCGCGAGGTTCAGTTTCTCAAAGCGGACCTTGACTCCGTGTTTCTGGCCAATCTTCTCAAACCAGACATTGGTAACACGAAACCAATCCATGATGTTGTACCGATGCGGAAGCTCTCGGTTGAGAATCTTGTTCTTGCTCCCTATAACGGTGGTCAGTGGGTTTCCCTTTCATACGTAGAATCCTTAATAAATTACCAATAACAAGACCAACAGCAAGTTTTGAGTCTTGGCTGGCGATGATGCTTTGAACGAGTGCATTATCCGGGTCTTGGTTCTTCTCGAGGGTCAAGTTTCCCCCCGAGTCTTTGGTGCAGCATCCACCGCTAATAAGGTTAGTAGAAACAGGTCGTCATTCTCGACACAAATACTTACATTCTGGTAATGATGATTTCCTCGTCGATATAAGTGCGGGTACCACCATCAGCATCAATGAGGAAGCCATAGCAGAAACCCTCCTTGTGATACATTGCACCTTGGGTGCAGCGAAACCACGGAATCGCATCACAAAGTTGTTGGCGACCCTGGCGGAAACCTTAGTATACATACAATATAAGTTTTAAATTAATAGTAGTGACATACCTCTGACCAGGCCGGGGGTGTTCCATAAACCGGCTCAAGAGCTTGATCGTTGACAGCAGCTTCCAGCTGGTCCGATGAGACTGTCTGGTATCAGCATGTCATATTCTATAAAAACAGTAAGGCCAAAGCATTGTCACCTTTGGTGGTTTGTTCTTTCTTTGTTTTGGCAATGCGGCCTGTTCGCACTGGTTTTTCAACCGCCCGGCGACGATTGATAGTAGGGCGTGGTGCCATTTTCCACAATTTGTTGTACAATCAAGCTAGTTTGCCATGAATCAAGTAAGTATTATATCCAGACATACCCCAGAAGGGATTTAAATTGCCAACAAAATCATGTTTGGTGGTGGAGGTTGATAGTCAGACTCACAGTATAGAGGACCCAATGGCACCTTACAAGGTGAATTGGTGTTTTAATTGTGCTCAATATAATTTTCCACACAGTATTCAGCTTTGAGTAATCATTCAGTGCTCGAGAGGGATAAAAAGCGTGGGATGATGGGATGAAATGTGAGATGGGAGGATGACGGAGCCGGGGGAGGGTCCAGGATATATTTTGCCAGAGCGGCGTTGAGGTCGGGGTGAAGTCGGCAGTAAACTTTGACTTCATATTACAGGATGATCTAATCTCGAGGAAGCTCATTGCCCATTGGGAACTTCAAATTACAAGCAATGGCATTATGTTAATTTGGCGTGAGATTAACACCGAGAAATTTCCGAGGTTGATAACACAAGAGGGCACCTAACCCACGAGGCCCAGGCACTTTGCTACTGACAGCCCATTGGGCTTATCCTAGGTAGGAGATACTCAAGACATAATTTTCTCTATTATTGGTAGCTTGCATATGAACTGGATGACGGAATGGTGGGCTAAATGATCGATCATATATGGTATGGAGGTGGTTAACATTGATACGTACATAGGTATGTACGCCACAATTTTACTTCAACTGCATACCCCACAGCAGTAGAACGTGAAGAATACTTCGCTATATTCGCTATGGATTGTACTGGAAGATTGGTCATTCAACTCTATCATATTTCAATTTAAATGAACGTCTTCAAAGTCACTTCGCCCATAAAGGAATGATAGTAACCCAACAGTTTTGTATATACAAGTAAAGATAATATGATAGATTGATCTGGATAAAGGATTGTCAGGCTTCATACCTTGATCCGTGACCGAGATCTCGGATCTGGGCCAGGAACCCCCGAGGCTGGAACAAGGATGAGTAGGCTTTCTCGTGTGAGGTCTTTGACAAAGTCGTGGCTTAGGCTTTGGGCTCTCCATAGCCACTTGACGAGTCCCACGGAATACATGGGGGGTGTTTAATCACACCCTCTTTCATTGTATAGCTAGTAATCTAGGCAGAGGTAGTCACTGAATACATTTATAGCCCATTCGTCCGGTTTGTCCTATATGTCGAAGCATTATTTAGTCTACTTCGGGCATAGTGAAATAATATTGCCCAAATGAGTTAAGTTGTCATTTTCATTCTGTAGATAAATGGCTTCAAAAGAAATGGTGTTGTAGTTGTACTTCGGCACAGTCCAAAAATGGTAAGCCGAGCGAATGGGGATTTAGTGATCTGCACGCCAAGGCCACTTTAAACCTTGCGGCCATTCTGCTTTTCATTGAAATTTAGGAGACAGATTTCTTTAGTTCTCGATTTATCGGGATAACCCCGGCTTTCGATTCCTCGTAAACCTGAACAACTTCTCGGTGCAAGACAATTGAAATTGACATTGGATGCAGCATATAGATGATACGATGATACCCTCGGATATGTATAGACCGAGGCATCTCTGGTCTTGGCAGCATGAACTCCGCCAACGATGAGCTGCTAAGCACGCAAAAACCCCACCGAGTCCCACGGCGCAAATTTAAGCCGCCGGCTACCCAAGTTCGGTCCAAAGCACGAAGCTACTCCGTACCTACCTAGGTACTAGCGGTATAATCTCTGGGCATGCTCGCCAGGTTTGCCGAACTTCCCCGCACCCGTCACTTTTCATAAATCTCCGTTATTCTAAGCTTCTCCAAATTGCTTATTATCATTCACTGTCGCTTTAAATCGTGAGTAAAATCCTATTGCGCTCACCTGGCAGCAGCTAACCGCATTTCAAAAATAGCCAAAATCACCGTACTTCGCTATATTTTGGAGATTTACCCCTAGATTGTTCCGATCGCTGCAACCCCGAGAATTTGGAAAAGATGGTGTTTTTGCCTGCAAAGGAGTCGGGCCAATTGGAGCCAATTCCCGACAGTATCCCAATCAGCGAGTTTATGCTCAATGAGAAATATGGACGAGTGCCACACGCCAGCTCCCGGGACCCATACACATGCGGCATCTCCGGGAAGTCATACTCGTCGCAAGAGGTAGCCAATCGCGTTGACTCGCTGGCTCGTAGTCTTTCAAAAGAATTCGGTTGGGCGCCGAACGAAGGGTCGGAATGGGATAAGACACTGGCCGTGTTTGCCCTCAACACTGTAGGTGCAATATACCGTATCAAGAAGAATAGAAAGGAGCTGATTCTTTCGTTTTCCCATTAGATCGATTCCTTGCCCCTATTCTGGGCCGTGCACAGACTGGGTGGTGTTCTCACTCCCGCCAACGCATCATACTCCGTCGAGGAGCTGACACATCAACTGCTTGATTCCAAGGCCAAGGCCCTGGTCACTTGCGTTCCTCTCCTCTCCACCTCGCTGGAAGCTGCGGCGAAAGCCGGTCTCCCGAGGAGCAGAATCTACCTACTCGATGTACCCGAGCAAATTCTTGGGGGCAAGAAGCCCCCAACAGAATACAAGTCCGTTTCCGAACTCATCGAGGCTGGAAAGTCTCTGCCGCCAGTGGATGAATTGCGATGGAGCGCGGGTGAGGGAGCCCGACGAACAGCATTTGTGTGCTACTCGAGTGGAACATCTGGATTGCCGGTAAGCAGTGTCCCAACAACTTGAATAAGAGTTTTGCTAATAACATGCTGCAAAACAGAAAGGAGTGATGATCTCACACCGCAACGTGATCGCCAATACCCTTCAGATCAAGGCATTTGAGCAGGGCTATCGGGATGGCGGGGGCACAAAGCCCGCGGATACTGAAGTTGCTCTTGGTCTCCTTCCACAGAGCCATATCTATGCTCTTGTGGTCATTGGCCATGCTGGTGCATACCGAGGCGATCAAACAATCGTTCTTCCCAAGTTCGAATTGAAGTCCTACCTGAACGCCATTCAATACTATAAGATTACCACGCTTTTCCTGGTGAGCATGTCTTTGTCGATGTGAAGATGGTGTCGAATACTGACCTCAACCACTTAGGTACCTCCGATCATCATTCACATGTTGGGCACTCAAGACGTGTGCTCCAAGTATGACCTGAGCTCCGTGCGGCTTCTGTTCACAGGAGCGGCACCCCTGGGGATGGAGACAGCAACCGAATTCCTCAAATACTACCCGAACGTTTTGGTCCGCCAAGGATACGGTACGTGGTTATTAGCGCTTCTAATAGACACACAGCTGACATTTTCGCACATAGGTCTGACAGAGACATGCACGGTCGTAAGCTCGACCCACCCCGACGATATCTGGCTCGGTTCATCCGGTGCCTTGATCCCCGAATTCGAGGCACGCATTGTGACGCCCGAAAATGAGGAAATCACAGCATACGACACACCAGGCGAATTGGTGGTCCGAGGCCCAAGTGTCGTCCTGGGCTATTTGAACAACGATAAAGCGACACAAGAGACCTTCGTGGACGGATGGATGCGTACCGGAGACGAGGCTGTCATGCGTGTAAGCCCGAAGGGCATCGAGCACGTGTTTATTGTCGACCGCATTAAGGAGTTGATCAAGGTCAAGGTTCGTGATAGCACCGGTTGATGAAAAGATTACCAGTCTAATACGTCATTCTTAGGGTCTGCAAGTCGCACCTGCCGAACTCGAAGCCCATATCCTCGCCCACCCCGATGTCGCGGACTGTGCTGTTATCGCCGTTCCTGATGCTCGTGCAGGAGAACTCCCCAAGGCCATCGTAGTCAAGTCACCCACGGCAGGGTCGGACGAATCAGTCTCCCAGGCTCTTGTGAAGTATGTTGAAGACCACAAGGCTCGTCATAAGTGGTTGAAGGGAGGTATCAGATTTGTGGATGTAATTCCCAAAAGCCCGAGTGGTAAGATCCTTCGCCGATTGATCCGCGATCAAGAGAAGGAGGCACGGAGAAAGGCAGGTAGCAAGATCTAAAAATGTTGGAATAGCTTTGATTAGAACTTGGGTCTTTGGAAATCTTGGAAGAAGCGCCAAGAACCATTTTTGGCATAAGAGTATGTAGGTCAACCGGTAGATAGTCCGAATTTTTCAATATAATAGCTTATTTTATTGTATTATTTGCCGCCGAAATTAGTCTCATTGATATGTAAGTTTAAGATGAAGACGGACGCGTCCAAATCACTGGTTCATGAAGCCTTTGAAATTCGATTGCCTCGAGGCCTCGGGTATCATTAAAGTAGCGCTGAATAGATAATATGGTATTTCAAAGAGTAAGTAACAAAGCGTTCAGGCCACTTGTGTATTGCTGTTCCCCTGAGGCGCGGGCCCCCCTTCAGGGACTACCTGAGGAGTTGTCTGTTTTCTCAGGATTTGATCAACTGCAGATGCAAGGCCACGGCAAAGTCCAGACCAGGACTTGCGTTTTGAGAAAATTTGGGCCACCTCGGTGAGCAGACGCAAGGAGCTTGCCTTGCCCGTCAGATTGCCGACCCCAACCAGATTGAGCGGAGTATTTGGGCCTTCGGCGATCCAAATGTGAATTTCCCTGGTGTCTAACAAGCGAATTTCTTTGGTTGAAGCTTGCGGCTTTTCCATTTCAGGAGCGACCACGAGCGTATCGAATGCCCATATATAGAAGAAAGCAATCAGGAAACAGAGAGGATCATGACAGGCGAATTTCTGCTTGGCTTTTAATGTGCTGAAAACACATACAGCATGCCACAGACATTTCCTGGCACTAGATGCATTGCTTTCCATCCAATGTTTCAGGGTATTTGTTGTTGACGTATCAACTTCAGCGTCCTCGCCTTGCCACCCTGAAAATGACTCGAGCATCTGAAGTGATACTTGTCGGAGAAGGCATAGTACATGATGGATGACATCTCGAGCGGCAATATAGTCGGGTTTGGCTGAGGTGGGAATAGCCGCGAATACTTCGTCCATCGACCGAAACATCATTGCGCGCAGAGCTGAAGGAGTTGATGTAAGATGGGCCCATTGCTCCTGAACTGGCACGCCAGTTACTTGAGAACTTAGGCTCGATTTCCATATGGAAGAATATGACATTTTGTCAAGGAACAATCTCTCCTCGCTGTAAAGAGACAGCATGTAGAGATTTCGGCGATAAGCATCCATTCCTGCCATGGTTTCACTGGCTTTTCTGACATCAAGTTGAGTGGATGGAGATTGTGGTAGATCTAGAAGTTATGGTTAATCCCGGAGATATCTGGTAGATAACAAATGAAATTCCCTCACTTTGATCAGACTGGTATACATGGACGAAATTGTCAGCATTCCTGCGACACCATAGTGATTGGCGACAAGGGAACTCCTCCGGGAGTTCGTGCTGCCCAAATATCGGCTGACGATCAAACAAAATGAGTTGAAGACATTCGAGTTCTGGTAAAAGATTAGTCAGGCTTTCATGGCTTGTCGCAGTGGGCACACACGGAAGATACAATGAAGTAAACGTATACGAGATTCTCTTGCCAGCCAGGCTTTCCACTGTCTTGGGGCTTGTGACGATTTTGTTTTCATGCATGGATCAACCTTTAAGACACGAGCCAATGTGACAAGTACATTTCGCTCATACTGCAGCTTCAACTGCGCTTTGTGCGACCCGCCAAACATCAAGGAGACGTCACTAAGAAACACGCTTTGGGCATAGGATAAAGTTGTTGATTCGGGTGATTGGGGTTGCTGATTTGATTAATATGAGGTACGGGTCTTCACCGGGAGATGAACTTACGTGTTGTGTTATTGCGTGACAGAGCATCTCTCCGAAAGATGCTGAAAACTGATTGGCATTGCCGAAAGCGCTATATTGACTCCCAACAGTAACCACTGCTAACAGTAGCATCCATGAAGTTTTGTCATGCCCCAATTCTAGAGCGTATGGGTGAACCACGGGGTATTCATGGTCAAAGTGTTCAAAATACAAGTGTACAAAGTCTTGGATGACCCTCCACCATGGAAATGTCGCATCTTCTGTTTCTCCCAGGCTCACAAAATATGACTTAAGTGACTCATATATTGAGGCGTTGGTCATCACGTTGTAACGGGATTCAGGCAACAAGAACCGTTCATCTGAACGACGCATTTTGGGAAGTGATGATCTCAACTGGCGTATTGGCTTAGAGGAGTTGGCTGCACCAGGAGCAGCAGGGGCAGTAGGAGCAGTAGGAGCAGACGGGGCAGCAGGGGCACGAGCACGAGCACCCAAAGCTGGAACACGCGGACGAGGAGCCCGCGCACGTGTAAGATTAGCAGGTGGCCTTGCTTGCGATGTTGGGCCATTTCCATCATTTTCCGAGTCGTCTGATATTTCCATAGCATCATGCGAGGCATCAATCTGTTCCTGTGTAGTGAGGTTTGTAGCAGGCAAGGCCAGGCCTGGGGTAGTTTGGTTTGTTCCATCTTCATTCAATGAGAAAGTTGATGTATGTATGTTTGATGAGATGGAGCTCGGATCTTGAATATCCTGCGGAGATAAAGGACTCGTCTGGTCCGACGGCTCTGTTTTTATATCTTTTCCTTCATGATGTTTCTTCAAATGAGCCGCGAGCCTATGTCTTTGCGGGATATCAGAATTGGAACTATGTATGAATAGGAAGTGTCTGCAGCGCAGAGACTATGGCATACCTTCGAGTATAGGACTTTGAACAAAAGCGGCATTTGAACTCTTTCGACCCGGAATGTCCCCGGTCATAGCATTGTTGAGTCAGTGCTGTGCCACATTGGTCACAAGTAAGATGGAGTTGCGGGCGAGTATGAGTTAGGATATGGCGTTTCAGATGGTGTTTACGCCCGAATACCTTGTCGCATTGCTCGCATGGGTAAGACTCCTGCAAGGGGTTCATGGCTTCTTTCCACTCTGAAACACCCAGGTAAATCGGAAGAATCAATGCAACCTGCAATTAAACAGTCTACAATCAGGACCGTGGCCATATATTCACAGAAAATCCAGTAAACGCCTACAATGATGCTATTTCGCGTCTCGCGCTGACACAAAAGCGGTCACTAAAGCGGTAAGACACAGAGCATAATCTGCCGCGGGGTGGTGGATTTCTAAGCGGGGAGGTAAGAAAAAAGATCGAGGGCACTTCAAGTTGCCTTAACAACCTGCTTCTTGCTTCAGAATTGTTTAGGAACGGGTCATATCAAGAGTGACTGTTCATCAATCACTCCTTTCAACTTCATACCTTTCATCTCCCACCTATCAACGCATTGAAAAAATAAAAATGTCTTCAAACGACCCGCACCGCGAGAATGAAGAGGAAGACTATATGCAGGCCGACGATGCCGAAGAGATCTTTGATCGTGATGAGGATCACCATATGTCGGAGGGAGAAGACGAAGAATATGCCGACGAGAACATGACCATCGAAGATGAGATCACCTTCCAAAACGACTCAGCAGCACACTTCGACTCGCACTCAGACTCTGTATTCTGTGTTGCGCAGCACCCAGTTCACAACAGCATTGTCATGACCGGTTCCGGTGATGACACGGCCTACATCTTTGACTCGACTCCCGCACCGCGTCCTGTGTTCCCATCTAGCTATGAATCAAACCCTCAACCAAAGGAGCGCGAGTCTCTCTTGCCTTTGGCCAAGCTCGATGGGCACACTGACACTGTGAATGCCGTGACTTTCACCGAGCCCGCAGGAGAGTATGCCATTACGGCGGGTCTGGATGGAAAGCTGCGTGCTTATCGCGATACCACACCCCAGAAGACCGGACTCGCATGGGAGTTCTTTGGCGAGGTTCAGGAAGTGGAAGAGATTAATTGGATGGCCGTGTGCCCCTACCAGCAGGGAAATGAAGGGACGCAAAATGTTATTGCCATCGGTTCCAACGACGGCAGCGTGTGGGTCTTCCGTATTGATCATACCGACTCCGGGCAACCTATCTCCATCATTCAGACCTTCTTCTCCCACACCGAATCATGCACTGCAGGCGCATGGACGCCTGATGGCAACCTGCTGGCAACTGTTTCTGAGGACGCCAGCTTCTTTGTTTACGACGTCTTTGGAGCTGCTGCCGCCGCTGGCATCGAGTACTCCCAAGGTACCAATGCCATCCTTGGATTGAATGCGGAGGATCAGCGCTTCGCCGTGGAGGGTGGTCTTTACACCATTGCCATTTCCCCCAGCGGCGGTATTGCTGCAGTGGGTGGTGCTGAGGGCCACATTAGAATCGTCGGTCTTCCTCGAGTCACAGCAAGTACCCCTGCAGCCAAGGGTAAGGGCAAAGGCACACCCTCCCAGGCAGCCGGTTCCACCGCTGCAGGCACTATTATGGCCGCATTGCAGACTCAAACAGACAACATTGAGTCACTCTCCTTCTCCCAAGCCCCGTTCACCCTTCTTGCTGCTGGGTCTGTGGATGGTTCGATTGTGATGTACGATGCGGCTCATCGATTTGCGGCCCGTCGGCATATTAGGGATGCCCATGAGGGAAGCGCCGTTGTCAAGGTTGAGTTCCTGCCTAGCAGCAAGCAACTCGGTGCAACCGTCTCAGGGCCCCTTGCCAATGCTTCCGCAGCCCACCAGAACCGCTCTTGGATGCTCACATCTGTCGGTCTGGATGGTGTAGTCCGACGTTGGGACGCACGCGGTGGAACCGCCGCGGCTTCTCAAGGATTGATGCAGGAGTGGAAGGGACACATGGGTGCCACGGAAAACGACGAGGGCGAGCAATCTGGTGGCATCATGGGCTTCGTACAGGGCTTGGATGGAAAGCGGATTGTTACTGCCGGTGATGATGGTATCTCGCTGGTATTTGAGGAGTAAACTGCAAACAAAAGTTGAAGGTCCCAAACATGCATAGTGGGGGTTCATGTCGATAATGATATTACGTGTTTATAGAAGCTCAAAGCCAAACCAACCTTGATAACCAGCTCATAATATACAATGGCAAAACCCCCTGTAGAGTGATCAAAAAATAAAGAAACGTGTGGTTGTAGTAGTGGAACAAAAGCTATGTACATTCGACAAATCAAACCCAAAGCGCCATCTGGAAGCTACGCTCCTTATGAGCCATGAGAAGCTGCATCTCCGCCCTAACACGACAAAAGCTCCCGGAATCGGCAAACCGTAGGCGCCATGATCCAAAGCCCGACTGTAGTTCTCGCGGAGGCGAGACGACTCTTTCTTGTCGCCTGGGGTATACGTCCTCCGCTCGATTATCCGTCGGTCGGCGGCATTCTCAATTGGTCTCCAGAGACAACCTTTTAGTGGTGACCGTCACCGTGTTGAGCGTCGCTGTGGTGGTGATCATCTTTCAAGAAGAAGTGCTCGTATGTGCAGTAGGCAGCGAAAGCGACAGACGCGATACCGAAGCCGGGGAAGAGACCTCTGAAGCGCTTGGCTCTGCTGAAGGGGCCGGTATAGCGCCAGGTCTCACTGTAAAATATTAGTGCCTACCACAATTGGCATCACATCGGCATCACTTGACGTACTTGCGAGCCCATGGATCCCGCTTGGCCCAGACGGAAGATGGGGAGGCCGCGGCCTTGAACTGGGCGAGGTCGAAACCGGTGGGGTTGCGGGCGGGCATTGTGGGAGTTATCCGGTAGTAAATATTACTGAAAGACGGAAATAAAGAGAAACAAGGTGTAAAGGGCTGTAACTTGGTCCCTTAGTCCGCAATCAACCGCAAAGTGACACAGTGCCCAGGTGAGGAGCCGAAGATGAGGAAAAGAGGTGTGCTTGGCAGTTACCCGCGCTAACCGAATACGGTAGACCAAGTAGCTCTCCCGCCTTCGAGGGACGAAACTGTCACTTCATCCATGCGCATCCTCGAGACAACAAAATGCCACCTCCCGTTGGCAGATATGGGCCATCTGGCTTGAACGCTCCATACAACATACAACAAGCTCACCTTCAATCTCAACACCCCGCACACGCACAGTCTGGAAATACGCTCCCTCCCCCTTCGCTTGGACATCCTGGCTTCGCAGGCAATCCGAATACCAACATCAACCCTTTTACACTATCCGGCGGGATTTCAAATGGCATGGCGGTAGCCGGATTCCCGGGAGCTGGTGCAGGTGATGGTGGCGGCACCGGTCTGGCTAGTCATGCGGCACAGATGGGATTCGCGCGCGGTGCGCAAATGCAACAGCAGCAACTACACCAGGGTCACGACGGTCGGTTAGCACTCGAAGCAAAGGGTGGTGCAGTGAAGTCAAGAATTCGAGATGTCTGGAAGCACAACCTGGCCCATGAGATGGCGGTGCTGAGACAGTTGGTCGACAAGTACCCTTATATCAGCATGGTAAGCACCAACTACGTGATGTCTCCGTGCAAACGGAAATCTACTGTGAGTAAAGTTTACTGACTAAGACCTAGGACACTGAGTTCCCTGGTATTGTTGCTCGGCCGATCGGGTCATTTTCGAACAAAGCAGATTACCATTATCAGACCCTCCGATGCAATGTCGATCTTCTGAAGATGATACAACTAGGCATCACTTTATTCAATGACGAAGGAGAGGTTCCACCAGCCTCAGGCACTGATGCCAATGGGCAAGCGTATGGTGTCCCCGCTCCCTGCACATGGCAGTTCAACTTCCGATTTTCACTCGAAGGAGACATGTACGCCCAGGAATCAACAGCCATGCTTGCCAAATCTGGAATCGATTTCGCCATGCACGAAAAGAACGGCATTGATCCTTTCGAGTTCGGCGCTCTTTTGATTAGCTCTGGGTTGGTGCTGCTGGATGACGTCCACTGGGTATCTTTCCACTCCGGGTACGACTTTGGCTACTTGATGAAGATCATGCTCTGCTCCCAGCTTCCAGAAAACGAAGAGGAGTTCCACAAGCTTCTTACCATCTTTTTCCCGTCACTTTACGACATCAAGTACCTCATGAAGCACGCCGGTCGCAACCAAGCCGTCAACGGTTCTCCTCTCACGCAGGCTGCAGCACAGATTCTGACCAACCTAGGCCAGAAATCTGGTTTGCAAGACATTGCTGATGAACTTGGCGTCAAACGCGTTGGAATCGCCCACCAGGCTGGCTCGGACTCCCTAGTGACCGGCGAGATTTACTGGAAGACGCGCCAGCTCATTTTCGGAGGGGCAATCGACGACAGCAAATATTCTGGCCAAATCTGGGGCCTCAACGGACAAATGCCCGCAGTGGCCTACAACATGGCCCAGCAAACGCCGAACCTCAACGGTGCCACCATTTACTCCGGTGGCACCCCCAGCACTCCCAATACTGCTGGCGCCCACACACCTCAGCACCACGGAGCTGGCTACAATGCTCCGACTCCCGGAGCCTATCAAATGGGTCGGGTATGAGGTACAGTCCCTGAAACAATTGGGGTTGATATGATATGATGTATGTACATAGACACGAGAACATCGTGTTCTTTTCCTTCGATATTCGGCATTGTCTTCGCGTCTATGGCTTCGTGTAGGCTTCGTTGCCTGTGCCGGGTTCTTGCGTCTGGACGACGGTGTTGGGCAGGAAGGTGCCTGGCGTTTGATATGGCTGGTTTTGAATCCATTTACGAGGCGTTGACAGGCTCTATTGTGGCCTTGTGCCTTTCGTTCTTGTGATCTAGGTCGCTTTTTCTTTCTTTCTTGTTGTAGCTAGATCGGACCTGTCCGTGTCCTATGTATAGGAATTCTGGCTTCTCTGTTCGCTCAATTTGCCCTGGTTTTGTAGATCCATGAGCTCCTTTCGGCTTGTCCCGGTGTACTTCGTATCATCTTATGGGATCTCCTCGACATATCTAGACATCTCGGATGACAGCGCTTGCAACTCCAGACCGCCATTGAGGTCAAGCGCACGTTCCCAATTGAGGACTCTCATGCGACATTTCTGGCTCTACCCCGCGATGTGACAAACGACATGAATAACGTAGAGATGATATCAATGTCAAGATGCAGACAAGCATCTCTTTGCCATTTTGGGATAGGAGATACCACGCTAACCCCAATCAGGCGATCGGATCCGGCCTCCGCAATATTGGCTTTATCTAATCGGATGGAGGTATACCTCCAGGGCTACCTAGGGACATCTCGAGATACCACTTGCTTGTTAAATAGCCTGCAAGTCCGGACCTGGAGGAGAATCAAGTGAGTTTATTGTCTTCAACTCTCTAGCGACTGCTTAACTCGAATCGGCGCTTTGGCCTCATCACATTGAAATCATCACCTTCTATATACATATCCCTAGCACAGCATGGTTCTCGAACGACTACAGCAATTGACTCACCAGGTCAGCGCTACTGCGCCGCCGCCTCACCCACTTGATCCTCTTTCTACGGTGGAAATTGATACAGCTGTTGGCATTATCCGCAAAGAACATGGCTCGCTCAACTTCAATGCGGTCACACTATACGAGCCCCGCAAGGCCCAGATGATGGCCTGGGTGGCTGATCCGGAGAATGCTCCTCGTCCTACCCGAGCCGCCGATATTGTTGCCATTGCACCTGGTGGCAAGATCTACGATGGTGTGGTTGACCTGGACCAGAAGATGATCATCAAGTGGCAGCACACACCGAATGTCCAGCCTCTGATCACCATGGAGGATCTGCAGGAGGTTGAACATGTTGTGCGCAAGGATGCTAAGGTCATTGAGCAATGTGGTATTATTGGAATTCCCAAGGAGGATATGCACAAAGTATACTGCGACCGTAAGTGGACGGACTTCCCTCATGAGGTTATCTATCGAAGATTGATCCTGATCAAATGGCATTCTAGCATGGACAATTGGGTACGATGAGCGCTTTGGAACTGGTGTACGTCTTCAACAAGCCCTCATGTACTATCGCCCTCACCCCGACGACTCCCAATACACCTATCCCTTGGACTTCTGTCCCATCTACAACTCTGAGACCAAGGAGATCATCCACATTGATGTGCCGTCTGTGCGGAGACCGGTCAGCAAGGCCCTCCCAAACAACTACCACCCAGCCGCAATTGAGAAAGAGGGTGGATACCGGACCGACATTAAGCCAATTCACATCACCCAGCCAGAGGGTGTGTCTTTCGAGGTCAAGGGACGTACAATCGAATGGCAGAACTGGAACATCCACGTCGGCTTCAACTACCGGGAAGGCATTGTCCTGAACAACATCACATTCAACGACAAGGGCAATGTGCGGCCCATCTTCTGGCGTCTTTCGCTGGCCGAGATGGTCGTGCCATACGGCAACCCGGAACATCCCCACCAACGCAAGCACGCATTCGACCTGGGCGAGTACGGCGGCGGATACATGACCAACAGCCTTACACTGGGATGCGACTGCAAGGGCGCAATCCACTACATGGACGCGGCATTCGTCAACCGGGCCGGCGCCAGCACAATCATCAAGAACGCCATCTGCATCCACGAAGAAGACGCCGGCATCCTATTCAAGCACACCGATTTCCGCGACGAGTCGATGGTCGTAACCCGCGGCCGAAAGCTCATCATCTCGCAGATCTTCACCGCAGCAAACTACGAGTACTGCGTGTACTGGATCTTCCACCAGGACGGCACAGTCCAGCTCGAGATCAAGCTGACCGGCATCCTCAACACCTACGCCATGAACCCAGGCGAGGATACCAAGGGCTGGGGAACTGAGGTGTACCCGGGCGTCAACGCCCACAACCACCAGCACCTGTTCTGTCTCCGTGTAGACCCGAACATCGACGGGCCGAGCAATACCGTCTTCCAGGTAGATGCAGTCCAAGGACCCGGTGAAGTCGGCAGTCCCGAGAACAAGTACGGCAACGCCTTCTACGCCAAAAAGACAAAGTTCTCCACTCCCATCGAGGCAATGTCCGACTATGATGGGTCTACCAGCCGTACCTGGGACATGGCCAATACCAACAAGCTCAACCCATACAGCAAGAAACCCGTCAGCTACAAGCTAGTCAGCCGCGATGTTCCTCCCCTGCTCCCCAAGGCGGGCGGACTGGTCTGGAAGCGAGCAGGATTCGCACGCCATGCTGTCCACGTTACTAAATGTGAGTTTTGTCATTTCCTCCCTTTCTTATATCGTGTTCCATTTCTCACCCAGTTCTCCAGATGACGACGACCAAGTTCACCCAGCTGGCCGCCACGTCCCACAGACCTCCGGCGAGCCCTCCGAGGGTCTGCCCGCGTGGATCGAAGCTGCTGGTCCCAGTTGCTCTATTGATAATACTGACGTCGTGCTTTGGCACACTTTCGGTCTGACGCACTTTCCCGCGCCGGAGGATTACCCGATCATGCCTGCGGAGCCAATGACACTTCTTCTACGCCCGCGCAATTTCTTTGACCGCAACCCAGTCCTTGATGTGCCTCCTAGCTTTGCGCGTACACCGACGCAGGTGGCTGCTAACGCGAGCGCTTGTGCCTGCAAGAAGAGTGATGGGTCTAGTGTGTTGGTTTGATTTGATGAGATTTGACGTTGCTTTAGGTTACTTATTTTCTCAGCGTGCACTTCTTGTATATAGATTACACTTTTGTCAAATGGAATGGATTACTGATTCTCGATCCACTTTCCAAGATTATAATTTGCGGTACTTTATAAAAAAATAAGAGGACCAGATAAGATCGAAGTAAAGTCCACGGACAAAAGTAAGAGGAAAGTGAAGATGGTCACAGCTGCTTTATACTCATTCCCGGGCTTGATGGGCACTGCCCAATATCCACAGGACGCATCCATTGGGGGTGAAGTAGGTTGTGAACTTTGCTTTCAAAACCACATCAACCACTTCATCAAGGCCTGTGCACTGGGTATGACGATCTGATCGACCATTTGTTGATCGGTATGAAGTTGTGCATTATCCGAACATCCACTGGCTTGTTGGCCTCCTGCACGTCCGGAAAACCTGTTGTTGGGAATTGTTGTTCTGCTTGAGTATACCGTTTCATCTTGACTCTGACCGGTTTTGTGCCCGATTCTAGATTAATTGAGTGCTCGACGAGATCGGTGGCCTTGATTTCTCGGACCATATGGCAAAACAGGCGCGCCAGGTATATAGCAATCGTCGCGCATCAGCTTGCCTTTGGGGTGTTCAACTTCGCACCGAGGCAATGATGGTTCCATTCACTCGCACTTCATGGAGATGCCATTTTCTGTCCTTTCGTGGATGACCATATAAGATCAGCGGTTTCGTATGAAGCGATGTTCGATTTTCCGCATGGGAAACAATAAGCTGGAGAAATCGACATGTTCCTATTGGAAAGGTTTTCCCGAAACGCGAACTCTCGCATCACCGCGCTAAGGAGGCGCCATATAATTCCGCAGACTCCGTATAGATGTGCTGTCCAATGTGGTGGAGTTTCAGACGGACAAGAGTCATCACGTTTGTGGAGAACTAACATTCCATCGTTACTATGTACTTCTCCGGTGTTTTCCTGACTTGGGGCTCGTGACGTATAAACTTCCTCGGACGAGGAGGGCAACCGAGGGTCGAAGGGGCGAAGCGCCAGAGAAAGAACTGTGTACACCAAACGTAAGCACCGTACATTTCCAAGGTTAAGCATCTTGCCATAAAACTTAGGATAAGGGTCTCACTCACAGAAAAGGCGAAAAGGAAAGTAAGGGCGAGTAGAACGGATAAGGAAGATCTTCAATCCTAAGAGTGACCGGGGAGACGGTTGGGAAGTCTGAACTGCGTCTCGACCGCATCTTCATCCCCAAATTCCTAGAGCTCGCGGCAGAGCTCGCGGCGACAAGGAGCCCGCCAATACCCACAAGATGAGGGTGAAAAGCTGGTGGACCAGGAAAGAAGACATGGTGATTATATAGGTCTTTTTAAAGGTGTTTCAAGATTTTCAGGTTCAGGTGTAGGTGAAGGGGAAGGTGAATGTAAATATCTATATAGGAACCTCGCAAGGTCTTCTACAGGAAGGTCTTAAAGTGAAACTAGGCAAGAGCGAGGGAAGTAGTAACTTCCCCAAGGACTTTTAGTTGATACCAGACGCGTCTGCCCAGCTAAATTCGATGCATATATGTAACCTTCGTCAACGCATAAACGCCTTGAAACATCCCAACAGAAAGGGAATCATGTAATCAGAACCAAATAGACCATAAAAGCCTCGACACAATGCCTAGCCAACACGCAGAAACGAAAGAGGTAGCTGTGCAGGAAAAAAACAAAAAAACACAGGGTAGCAATCCTATGCCGAGATTCCCCGCAACAAAGCCCTATCAACCTCCGCCAGCAAAGCAAACAACTCCTTCCCACCCTCAGAATCCTTCCCTTCAATATCAAGCGACTTATGCAAGAACTTGCGCGCCTCCTCATAGCGACTCATCTCCGCAAGACACTTAGCAATCCGCCACCAAGCCTTAACATTCCCAACAGGCTTCGAGTCAACACTAGCCTTAGCATCAATGAGCGCCTCAGGCCAGGCCTGCAGAGCCATCTGCGCCTGCGCGCGGTTCGCATAAAGACCCGACAACTCCTCGCGCGCAACGCTCACTGGCTCCCATCCCGGCCGGCTGAGCGCCATGTCGATGGCGTACGTGTACAGCTTGATTGCCTCGTCATAGTTGGATTTGCGGTGGGCGGCGTTGGCGCTATCGCGGAGTTTGTTGATCTGCGCGCTGCGCTTGGGGTTTACGGGGAGGGGCGCCGGGGGGATGTTGGGTGGATCCAGGCTGATTAGGGCGCGGTGGAGTTGGTTGAGTTCTTCCAGTTCGGTGTTGATTGCGGATGTTTGGGAGGGTGTTTGGGCGGATGACTGTGGGAGTGAGAGTGCTTTCGTGGCTGGGTCCATGTACAATGGGTATTGGTTGTAGATGTCGATTTCACTGGCCATTTTTGGGGTTGAGGAGACCGGAGGTCTCGGGTTTGGGGTTGTAAGGTCGGTGTTGTTTCTTGGGGTTGTTAGTATATGTGCTGTAGTGTAACTGGGCGGGTGAAAATGGCAAGGTGTGATAGAGGAATGGGATAATTCATACAAGGTGCAGTTTAGGATGTACTGTCTAGTTGTTCGACAAAGCACAGTTCACTTTGAGGTCAATATTCGGAGTTGTACTTGTCAAGAGATGATGATGGCGGCAAGAGGGCAAGCTGTCCATAAACCCACTGATATGGAAAGCGGTGGCAGAATATTGGTACCTTGTGCTATCTATATCTCTTTCTTCTATGAGCCACCATGGAAGGTGAGAAGGTAACTAAACTCATAGGATCATAAAAAAGTTGATTAAACCATAGCTTCATACTCTCAAAAGAGATTGCGTTGGCTGGATTGATTGAAAAGTACCCAGCCTTCGAGATATCATCTACATATATCTATTCTACGCTACAAAACACGAAGGAACGTATGATTTTACAAATGCAATACATCTATATTTTGCTAGATCCAATGAAACAAAAGCAGGACATACAATCGTAATCCCAGGGCCAAAAGACCCCTGAGAAACATAGTAAAGAAAAGGGCATCAGCCCAGAGTAAACAGCGATGCGCCCAACACCGCTCCATGGTCAATATCCAAGGCGCAAAAAAAGCAAGACGACTCATCAATCCTCCGGGTATTTCACTGAGCAATGCCTCCATGTACACTGACAACACTCTTTACTCAACTCGGCCGTCTTCCATAGCCACTCACCGACGAGTTGTTAAACCCAATGGGAGCAGTGTACTCAGATGGGGTGTATTCCGACGGATTGTACTGAGTGGAGGGCTCCGCATAGTGCTGGCCATGCGCACCACCGTAGCCAGTACTGTTATAATCATGGAGGATGCCTCCGGGCGCGGGAGCGGTGGGGTCGTAGGAGCCTTGCATCGCGGTCCGGCCGTGTGCGCTGCCTAGGTCATCCACCTCGCTCTGGTGCAGGAGGGCATAGTCCTCATCCCGGTCGCTGCGGGACGAGGCGCCCATGCCGCCACCTCGGCCGGAGCGGATGTCATCCTCGTCCTCCTCGAAGTCGTGGGCTGGGTTCGACGAGAAGGCGGCTTTGCTCTGCGCGGCGAAGGTGGGGTCGGAGACCGCGTCGGGGAGGGTGCCGGTGCGGCGGAAGTGCATCACGTTGCGGAAGGACATCCAGGCGGTGATGGCGAAGAGGATGCTTTTTGTCTGTTAGTTTCATTCAATCGCTGTATCTCGGGGGTAGAAGGAATGCACGTACAAAATGAAAACACCGATAATTGTAGTTGCCTCGCTCAGCTTGCACTTGGCAGCGCTTCCGTATGCCCAATTATCGCATCCGGTTTTGGTGGTCTTGTCATCGGCTCTCTTGGTGGTGGACTTGGAGTCGGAGCTGGACGTCTTGTCGGAGCTGCTCGAGCCCTTGGACTTTCCTTGGGCGACGTAGGAAGCGAGACAGATCCAAGCACTGAGCCAGAGAATCGAATAGAGGATGTCGACACTGGCGAAGGCGTAGACGTTACCGAAGCGTCGGGCTCGTGGCCACATCGGCACTGCCACCAGGTAGACCAGGCCGGGAATACTCAACCAGCACTGCCATGCGATCGTAAGTCAGAATGAAAGAACTCTTTTTTTTTGTATCAGAAACGCAGGAATGGAAAACTCACCAGACCCCAGTACCAGCCTGTGCGCCCATCAATGCCATCTCCTTTGGTCCAGATAGCGATGGTTAAAGCCCATGCGAGGAAGATAGTGAATCCTTGTATGAAATGTAGTATGTTTTTCGTCCGTCCGAGGCTTCCGCCTGACGGTCGTGGCATTTGAAACTTCATCTTGTGTGTAGGAGCGCTGCAAGGGTGTTGCGCTTTTGGTATTCGCCCGGAGGGAAGGTCTCAGAGTGGGGAGATAGTCTATCGTGAAGTCATACGGGACACAAAAAGTGAGAGATGAGACAAGAACAGAGTCGAGACCTGAAGAATGAGACCTGAGGGGGGTCTGTCTTGGCCAGGCTGAGGCTCCGTGGAGAAAAGCTGTCGGTTTGTTTTGTTTTGATTTTTTTCGTCGCAACGTCGCAACTTTGCAGTTATTAAAATCACAACGGTAGAGATATGTAAATTGAAGAATTCGATATTCAATCGGACGATCGATTTGTATCTCTGCCTGACCCTGGTCTCTTGTTTCCACCGGGCATACGTATGTCCTCCACATCGGCTGCCCAGGCGACAGCCCGTTACTATTTCGGGAACTCCGCCACACTCTTCTTGGCATATGCCTGTCAATTTACATCATAGTCTCGTTTCTCATATACTTATGCTAACATACAAAATGGAAATAATCAAGTCAATCCCGCCTCGCGTGTTTGTTTCATCAACACCCAGATCTCTCGCAATGGTTGATAGACATGCACTTGCCACCACCAAGGAACCGGATCAAGAAAAGAGAACAGCGGGTCTTTCCAGAACAACAGCCTCACTAGTTCTGCCTCTGCAACTTCAAGAGCTGTGAGTGCAAAGTGAAACAACGAAAACTGCAAAAAAGCAGCGGGAAGAATGGCGGCTCGGGCAAATGTTGGCGCTGAACGGGTTGATGACAGTGCCACTGCGATGTTGGCTGTATCGACTGGATTGGAAGGGAACACAGATAGATAGCCTGCAATGGGGCAAGGTACATTATACAGCAGATTATAGACGGCTCTAGCGCCAGGTGTACAGCCGGCGATGTAGATAGTGTGTCGGACAGAATGCGCGTCGAACTCTTCATCGACCATGAGTCTGACAGAGAGATGGCCTGTCAAGCGAACACCACCTTTGGCTGCCAATGTTTGCATAATTCTATGGACTGAAGCGGCCAGAGCCTCGTCTAGACGCGAGGTACCCCACGTAGACGAACCAGAATCCGAAAGCCGAACCTTAATGGCTTGAATATGTCCACGCACAATCAGTAGGTCGGCGAATAGCTCTCCAACACGAGATTGTTGCTGCAGAATCCAGGGCCGGTCCTTGGAGATCTGAATCTCGCTGACCATTGTGTATGTCTTGCTCAGCGTACGCCTCGGCAAGAGCATAGCCTTGTCATTCGCACATGGGCTCGCGCGGGAGATCTGGTAGGTTTTGGAGGGCGACCGGTGCAAGATCTTGTGCACAGAGTCGCGCGATTGGACCCTGTGATACTCAAGCACAGGAAGACCTCTCTCGATCACATACTGCCTGAAAGAATCGGGATGGGTGAAGCAAGCCGCTAACTCGGTGTCGAAGGTGATGCACTTGCAGCTAGTGCGACTCTCAACAACCTGTCGGGCTGTCGCATCTTCAATGGAGGATGCCTTGGGCGAGCATGGAATCCACAGGTCGACCTTTTCGCGGTGGATAACATCGAGTAGCCGGGGGATGTAATGGTCCTTAGGGATCCGGTAGAATGCCACCAGGGCCTTGGACATGCTCCCGCCGGAGCGCACGGGCAGGTCCAGGTCTGTAACATCGGCCCCAATGACGCGGTGGCCTTCTACAGCCCATGACCTTGCCAGAGTCAGGCCGTGGGCTGTTCCTATGCCTGTGATGAGGACTGTTTTCGGGTAAAAGCGTACACTCCGTTGTGTTTCTCGGCGTCGATTAGCTGGTCGGAGATAGGATAGGAATCCCGCGACCACGAGAATGGTGTTATCGACAAACAGCAGCGTGAACGAAAGGCATATTCGAAGGAGATGCCAGAATACTCGTGACAAAGTCCCCGATGAGACTGAAGCTTTGGCGGATTTGATCGACATGCTGAGTCTGTGTCTCACCGCAAGGAGCGGATAGATGTGTCTGCTCATTTGACTAAGTAGTATTGGAAATAATGAACCTCGGAAGGCTAGCCTAGAGTATAGGACATTATCGCTGACAAGGAGTGAAAATGTGAGTTCCAAGGTTGGGGGGGGCTGGACATTAGTGAGGGGCTTGGCCTGCAGAACTAGTTCGGTGTGACGATGCACTTCCAAGATTAAACACTTTAACACCTCGATCTACCTAGGTATCTGGAGAAGATCAAGATCTGGGTATATCGCTCTAGAGCTAACGGCGGGGGTCTCGGATGTAACCTCCAGGGCTGGGAAATGTCCGGAATTACCATATGGGATCTGTTTTCCGACTCTTTATCAATGTGCTCGGTGCTGATTGCCTGAAGGGATACCTCCGAGGTATATGAGTTTCCAGGCTTGGAATGGTGATAACGCCATCTACTGATGAATGGTGGATGGTGAGTGGTGTGCGTGGTCCGACTCGGATTTACTGTGTCTACCCGAAGTATTCCATGGTTTATCCCCGAGGTGAGTTGCCATTTATAACTTGGCATGTCCGCATAGTATTCCTTGCATCATTTATCCAATTACCTTGCTCTAAATTCACGTCATGTCTCTACCAGTTCCCTCGGTAGGAATTGCATTCTGACCCTTAGATTGTGAGAAATCACGCTAACCCATACATTAGAACGACGCCGGCAAGGAGCTGAAGCTCCTGCATTACATCTATGAGCAGCCAAACCTGGATGAAATCCGCGGACATCCCCAAAAAGTTATCGATCTGATTCACGAGTTTGAGAAAAACTACCGTTTTATGAATGTTGGTGCCGAAAAGGGCAAAGTCGTCACCAAACTCATCGATGAACTCAAGCCAAAGACCATGATCGAGCTCGGCTGCTACGTGGGCTACTCTGCGATCTTGTTCGGCGAGGCAGTCCGTCGAAACGGCGGCGAGCGCTACTTAAGTCTGGAGTTGAACCCCGAGTTCGCCGCAATTGCCAATATGCTCGTTGAGCTAGCTGGACTGCGTGACTTTGTGCGTATCATCGTCGGTCGAAGCGACTTGTCGCTACACAAACTACTCACCTCGGGCGAGGTGAAGAAAGTGGAACTGCTTTTCATTGATCATTACAAACCGGCGTACACCACTGACCTCAAGCTGTGTGAGCACTTCGGGGCTATTGTGCCGGGTTCAGTGCTCGCGGCTGACAATGTCATCTACCCGGGCAACCCGCCATATCTGGAATATGTCCGCAGCTCAGTGGAACAGAAACGTGAAGTGGCTAAGGCTGGACCTTCCCAGGCATATAACACTACCGGGATGGCCGAACGCACGGTAGACTCCTTTGTGGGTAAAGATGACGTGCCCACTTTCCAATTTGTCGGGAACCCAAACTTGGTGTATGAGAGTCAGCTATGCCAACCTGAGGGATTGCGGGTAAGTTTGAATTATTTCCATGAAGAATCTTTCGGCGTCGCTAACTGAATTTGGGTTGACAGGATGCTATTGAGGTTACGAGATGTGTGGGGGTGCAAGAGGCATAGATGGAAAGTGATCAATGACGCGAGTGTGACTGTAGAGCGGCACAATCCGAGATGTGAAGAATACAAGAAGAATCCTCAAAATATGATTATCAATCAGGCGCAGAGTGCTCCGAGTAGATGCACATTTGTAGAGTCGAACATTGCCACATCGGGAACCCGACTCGGCCTTTGGGGTTGACCCCCCACCCGAGCCAACGTTGCCGTCGCCAGGACCTTCCCATGTTCTCCCCCGCTAAATGATTTCCGGGGACATATAAAATACTCTCTCTACCCACTGATTTCCCCCCTCAATTAATTCTCAACCCATAATATCTCATCATGGCTAAGACTTACAATGTCGGCGTTGTCGGCTACGGCTTCAGCGCAAAGATCTTCCACATTCCCTTCGTGAACGAGGTCCCCGAGCTCAAGCTCTACGCAATTGTCCAGCGCACACCGAAGCAGAATGATGATGCCGAGAAGGACCACCCCGGTGTGAAGTCTTTCCGTACGACCGAGGAGATGGTCCAGGACCCCGCGGTCGATGTGGTGATCATCACTACTGCGCCCGATTCTCACTTCGCGCTGTCCAAGCTGGCACTGGAGGCTGGCAAGCACGGTAAGTGCCTAGAAGTCCCGGATAGCAATTGGCATAGATAGACTAACGTGGAATTTATCAGTCGTCTGCGAGAAGCCTTTCACCCCCACCACCCAGGAAGCTGATGACCTCGTCGCCATTGCGAAGAAGAACAACAAGCAGCTTGCCGTGTTCCAGAGTATGTCTTGTCACCTAGCTTGTCAAAACCCCTACTAATATCTGCTCTAGACCGCCGCTTTGATGCCGACTTCGTGACCCTCTCCAAGCTCGTCAAGAACGGCTCGCTCGGCCGCATCTCCGAGTATGAGACCCACTTCGACCGTCACCGTCCCGAGGAGCCCGCCGCCGACTCTCACAAGTGGAAGAACAAGGTCATCCCTGGTGGCTCAGTGATCTATGACCTCGGACCCCACCTCCTGGATCAGGCCGTGCAGCTGCTCGGGCTACCCGCGCGGGTGACTGGTTTCATTGGCTCCGCCCGTGAGTCTAACTCGTCTTCATACGAGGACTCCTTCACCGTTCTGCTGCACTATGCCAACGGCACTATGGTTACCGCCAAGGCGACCGTGGTCAGCCCCGAGGACGAGCAGCTGCGCTTCTGGGTGCGCGGTGACAAGGGTAGCTTCAAGAAGGTAAGAGCAATCTACTTGTGCAGATCACTGTAAAGAAAAACGAAAACTGACCCAATTGTATAGTACCACCTCGATATCCAAGAAGATCAGCTCAAGGCCGGCATCATGCCCCATGATAAGGGCTACGGCCGTGAGCCCAGCGAGCGTTACGGTGCTCTGACTACTATCAAGGACGGAAAGCCCGTCAAGGAGGTCGTTCCCACCGTCGAGCCCCCCACCTACACCGAGTACTACCGCAAGCTTGTCCGCGCTCTTAATGGCGAGGGCGACCTCCCTGCCAGTGGCGCGGAGGCTCGTGAGGTCATTCGTTTGATCGAGTTGGCTCGTGAGAGTTCCCGCACTGGACGTACTTTGGACGTCTAAGCTCGGGTTTGTAAGGTGAAAATAATGATTATGATATATTTTGATAAAAGGCAATATAAATTGAAGCCTTGGATGAAATTTTTTGCTCCAATAAATACAGTAAATAGCCTTCCAGTTGGCAACTAAATAATTAGCGTTGTTACGCAAAAGGATTTCACCTGCCAAAACTGTATGTCTAATGATCTTCACACTTGAGTACTCCGTATGGAGTACGTGGAATTAGTTGGATATATCCATCTTGCTGCCTAACAACGGGCCTCAAACTGCCGCTAGGCCGTTGACTGGACTCTCACCGTCACATGGTATGCACGAGCTAGGGGTCTGAGCATATTTTCTCTTCTACGAGCCAGAGGCTTTCCAAATTGTTCCACGGCCCTCCTGAAGGATTAAATCTTGAGCTAAGAGATACTCGTGATGGACGTCAAATCGCTACCAGATTTCCGATTCTTCCCATATGCAGTCAAATATCCAGTCGAGTCTAAAGAACTATTACCATCAGATGATCCAATTACCCTCAACACTTCGTCCTCATGGACTTACTGCGGACCCCTCTTGACCCTGGAATCATGTAACCTGCCATCCTCCTTCAATACCTGGGCAGAAGCCACAATCAGCGGCTCAATATTACCCTCTTTATTCTCGTTCCTGGCATACGTCCACGAATTCCTGACCAAGAACAACCAATCCCACTACTGGCTCACAATCAGAGCAAGCAAAGGCTCGGATGAATTCGACACCCCACGCTGGCACACAGACGATTTATTCTTCTCTCCCCTCCAACCACCAATAAACCATGCCAGACGAGAATCGCTCTTCTCGCCAATAACTAATCTACTCAAATCCACCCGGACAGGACCAACAACAAACCAAAAGCTCTTAAACCCAATCTTACCCTCCAAACTACAAACCAAGCATCATGATCACCAACCACCCACACCCCCAACCGCCCAAATCCCCTCTACAAGCCCAACCCCAACAAACTGGAAACTCACAACAACCCTCCTAGGCCCAGGAACCCTATTCATCCCACCGGCAACAAACCGTCTAGCACGCGCCATGCAACAAGCCGCCAAAACGGCCGCCCGCGCCGCAGATCCAGACCACACCTGCGTCTCCGTGCGGTGTGTCGGCTGCGCCATGGCGGCGGAGTCGGTGCGAGCTCGGCTAGCGGTTGAGCTGGGCGGACATGGGATTGTGCAGGCGTCTGCGGGGGAGTGTGTTTTTTTCCGGGTTGGCGAGGAGGGCGCGGTGCATTCTGAGCCGCGATCGCATGGTGATCGGGTCTTTGTTAATGTTGTTCCTGGCCATGAGGCGGATCTTAGGGCACTTATGGCGAAGTGGGGGATGGAGTATCCGCGGGCTTGGTGTGTGGGGTTGTCGTTGGGGAATGGGGAAGGGGAGGAGTGTTTGAGGGATGTTGGGAGCGATATTTGAGGGTCTTATTTATGGGTTTGTTGTAGATTGATGTCGTTGGAAATATATTACTGTTCTTTGGTATAGATGGGTGCTCTGGTATTGACTGGTCATATATCAAAATCGCTGGGAGAGCTGGTTTGTGTGGCAATCAATTCCATTTTTACTTCAGTATTAGTCCAAAACAACCAATATATGTCAGTTGCATTGAGACTGAAGCGTAGAGTAGCTCTACGATGGATACGACGAAATAGGAAATATCGTCAGGCGAGATCTCGGACAATGACGCTATGCCAAGCCGCTAGTCCCAAACAGTAGTTAATATTACCAAATGCAAATCCGCTGAGTGGACAAGAAATTGGACCTGGCATCGACCTTGGGAGACATCGGGGACTTTGAAATCCGCGGAGAAAGAGAGAAGCGTTGCGTGTTAAACCGCACACATGAGGTATTTCTCACTAAGAGGTACCCGTATACCCGTGGTGGATGGGGAGTTCTTCCTTTATATCTCCGACAGGGCTGAACCCCACCGTGAGATGTGTTGATGGGATTTGGTGCTGTGAGATCACCAGCAAACCTACCGGAGCCTGGAGCATATTTGCCCATCGCAGCAGAAGTCCAGCATGGCGCCATCCCCGCATGGACCGGTGACGCTATCCCACCCCACGACCTGGAATTTCGATATCGATCGGTATTTGAATCCGTTTGTGCCAGCACCGAGATGGCAACTCGTACCAAGACCTGTTGCCCATATGCTGGGATATCGGGATAGACCACCCAAGCCAATAGGCAACATCGTGGTCGCCTTGTGGTCGTTGCTTGGAGCATTTTGCGGGGTGGCTTTGGTGGCATCTGTTTCGAAACGAGTGCCTTCTTTTGAAGCGCGTGATGCGACAGTAATTGTTGGCAGTTTTGTGAGTTGTGGTGGTCTGATGCGAGAGCAGAGTGGAAGTTGAACAAGAACAACCCAGGGCTGACTATGATTCTTTAATAATAGGGTGCAGCGGCAGTTATTGAATTCGGCGCGATCGACTCGCCCTTCGCGCAACCACGCAATGCTATCCTGAGCCAGGTCATCGCCTGTTTCTTCGGTGTCGGGATATCGAAGTTGTTCGCCTTGGACCCTTGTGCTGAAGCGTATACTGAGCTTGGGGGCGCTCTTGCTTGCGCTCTTACCACGGCTGTCATGATTCTCACCAATACTACACACCCGCCGGCGGGTGCGACTGCTCTACTGGCAGTGACACACTCTCAGACTGTTGCTTTGGGCTGGTTTCTGTTCCCGGTCATGTTGCTTGGAGTGACGCTTATGCAGGCTGCGGCTGTGGTCATCAACAATATCCAGCGTCGGTATCCGCTATACTGGTGGACGTCACATCCTCTGTCGCGGTCTCGGGGGGATGTTGAAAAGGCTCGTCAAAAGGAAATACGTAGTGTTTCTAGTCATTATGAGGATAGTCTGACTGATGTTCCTCGGCGGTTGATAGTAGAACGCGGTGATATTTCGGTGCCTGATGGGATATTGCTTTCTGCCGAGGAACATGAAGTGTTGGAGAGGATCAGTGAAAGACTTTGAGGGGAGACTGTACATATTATACCTAGGTATATTAACTAGCTACATGCTTATCTCTCCAGAGATAGCCCCCATTATGTTATCGTCCAGTCGCGCACACAAATCAAAGTGGCAAATAGACACCTCAGGCACCGACTGCGGTGACGTCTCTCCCAATCAAAATCCACTTGATGTCCACGGCCCACTGATTGATTTTTTTTTTTGTTTAAAAGTTTTTTAATCCTTGAACTTGCCAACTCACTCGACATTCTAGGCAAAGAAATAAACTTATAAGTAAGAAAGGTACTACTTTCTCTCCTTTTTCTTCTTTTTCCCTCTTAAACTGACAATCGATAGGATTCTATCGATAAGGGCAAACCACCATCTCCACTGCTCTACGCCCCTCCATTTCTGTCCGCCCCGCCAGGCGATCCACTCAGCCTTTTTGCATTTCTCTTCAATCTCTTTTCGCATTGTCATCCTTTCTCCTCTCCCTCCCTTTCCCCGTCCCTCACTTCTCTTTTTAAACCCCTATTTTTTTTTATACCCGTCACACCCGCAACCATGGTTTCCGCCTCGAAGGCTGCCCGCATGGCCAAGCGTGCCGACGAGAAGAAGCCCAAGAAGGACACCAAGGTCGAACTCGATGCCCACGGAAACCCAATCGTCGAGGATGCGCCTGCCACTAAGGATCAGTCCGCCGTTGATAAGCTCACAGCCCAGATGGATAAGCATGGTCTGTCCGATCGTGTCACCACCGGTGTGCTGTCATCTCTGCCCGCATCTCGCGACGTTAAGATCACCTCTTGCTCCCTTGTGTTCCACGGAAAGGTCCTGGTCACCGATTCCACCCTCGAGTTGACCTTCGGCCGTCGCTACGGTCTCCTCGGTGAGAACGGTTGCGGAAAGTCCACTATCCTCAAGTCCATTGCTGCCCGCGAGTACCCCGTTCCCGAGCACATCGATATCTACCTTCTGAACGAGGGTGCACCCCCCACCGACTTCGGTGCCCTTGACTGGGTTGTTCGTGAGGCCGAGCGCCAGTTGGAGGATATGGAGAGGAAGGCCGAGGAGGTTCTTGAGGATTCCGGCCCTGATAACCCTATTCTTGAAGACCTTTACGACGTACGTGTTTTTCGAGTTTTGCTTTCCTTGGTTCCAGAACAGAAGCTAACTATCCTATACAGCGCATGGACAAGATGGATCCTTCCACTTTCCACGTTCGTGCTTCCCTCATTCTGACCGGTCTCGGCTTCAACAAGCACACCATCAACAAGAAGACCAAGGACATGTCCGGTGGATGGCGTATGCGTGTTGCCCTCGCCAAGGCCCTGTTTGTCAAGCCCTCTTTGCTCTTGCTTGATGACCCCACTGCCCATTTGGACTTGGAGGCTTGCGTGTGGCTGGAGGAGTACCTCAAGAAGTGGGATCGTACTTTGATCCTGGTTTCTCACTCCATGGATTTCCTGAACGGTGTCTGCACCACCATGCTCGACATGCGTGGCCAGAAGCTCCTCTACTACGGTGGTAACTACGATTCTTACCACAAGACCCGTAGCGAGCAGGAGACCAACCAGGCCAAGGCCTACACCAAGCAGCAGGAAGAAATCCAGCACATCAAGAAGTTCATTGCTTCCGCTGGTACCTACGCTAACTTGGTGCGTCAAGCCAAGTCTCGCCAGAAGATTCTCGACAAGATGGAGGCCGATGGTTTCATTCAGCCCGTCGTCGCCGACCGCGTCTTCACCTTCCGCTTCGCCGATGTTGAGAAGCTCCCTCCCCCAGTTCTTTCCTTTGACGATGTCAGCTTCTCTTACTCCGGTAAATGGGAGGACACTCTGTACGAGCACCTCGACCTCGGTGTTGACATGGATTCCCGTACCGCTCTGGTCGGCCCCAACGGTGTCGGCAAGTCTACCCTGCTCCGTCTCATGACCGGCAAGCTCAGCCCCATCGGTGGCCGTGTCTCCCGTCACACTCACTTGAAGCTCGGTGTTTACAGCCAGCACTCCTCCGAGCAGCTTGATCTTACCAAGTCTTCCCTGGAGTTCGTCCGTGACCGCTTCCCCGAGAAGTCCCAGGATTACCAGTACTGGCGCCAGCAGCTCGGCCGTTACGGTCTGAGCGGTGAGGGCCAGACTGCCCTCATGGGTACCCTGTCCGAGGGTCAGAAGTCTCGTATCGTCTTCGCTCTGCTTGCCATCGAGTCCCCCAACATGATTCTGCTTGACGAGCCTACCAACGGTCTCGATATCCCCACCATTGACTCCTTGGCCGATGCCATCAACGCCTACAGCGGTGGTGTCGTCGTCGTCTCCCACGATTTCCGTCTCCTCGACAAGATTGCCAAGGACATCATGGTCTGTGAGGACAAGACCATCCGCCGCTGGGACGGCTCCATCGGTGACTACAAGAACCACCTCCGTAACAAGATGTTGTCTTCCGGTGCCGTTTAAGGGCTTTATTGATTCTATTTTCAACTTTGTTCAACTTCTTTTTTTCCCCTATTGATGACGAAATGCTAGACGAGAACTGAAGGAATACAAATGCCCACATGGCACTAAAAGTTTGGTTCCCGCAAACAGGGACACTCCAACAAAAAGTTCCTTGGATTGGGATGGTTTTCATTTATTTTCTTTTTGTCCGTTAGATCGTTTGTCCTTCCCTCCTTTTCCGAATAGATTTTGGGTTATGGAGAGATTGGACTTCTGCGTTTATTGCTATCATGAACTCATTACCCCTGATTCGATCCGTCTGTTTTTCGATTTCCTGTCTTGTTATGCATCCTTGATGATGTATCTAGTCCTCTCTTCCGAGGTGAATATAAAGGATGCCGGTTACGCTGAAAGATATCCGTATGACTGTGATTTTCGTATACCTGTATACCCGATTTGAGCTTCCTCCTGATTGATACTTCCGAGGTTATTCCATGTCCTGTCTAGATGCTCTTCCCACCAGCAGTATTATCATGACTCTGATGATCGGCCACGGGACTAGTCCAAGAATTGCCAATGCCTTTCTTCTCTTTCTTGTTATTCTTATCCCAACACTAATACAACACACCGCGGCGATGCACCAGGCGACAAAGAACACCAACAATGGCCATAGTATCTCATTGTCTTCTCTTTCTCCCCCACAAAGAACCAAATCCAAGTCAGCACCAACAGCACATACATAAATACCCCCGGATCTCACCACAATCTCCATCCCATCCCATCGACCATCTCATCGTCAACGGCCAAACCAATTCTAGGTAAGCCCTCACACATTAACCCACTCACACTAGAAACCTTCTATAGATACATACACTCCACCAGCAACACAATGGACGGAGCTCGCATACACCCCCACAACTTCCAAGAAATCTATACCCAAGCCTGCGAAGCCTTCACGCACAAGCTACAGTGCCAAGTCTTCGTTCTCCTGAGCCCATCATCACCAAGCCCTGATATGGAGGAGATCCCGACAAGGCTGGAGGAGCTCTGCGAGCGGGTCATGCAGATTGGATTCCTGGGTGAGGTCGGCGAATTCGGGATCCGGGATGATAACCGCGTGCGTGTTCGTTGGGGGTCCCTTCATATTAAGGAGATTTGCTTTGAGATTAAGTGGGAACTGAATGTGCTCAAGGATGAGCTTTCTAGTGGTGCACCTCCTTTGATAGTTGCAGATCTTTTGGTGGGGGTTTTGGATAGTTTGCCTTTTTGAATATATTTTATGTTTGTGTTTATGTTGGTGCTTGTTTTGTGTTTGGGATTTGTAGTGTAGGCCTTGCAAAATGGGAATTCTTGCTGAGGTCAGGTAGACGAGTATTGGTCAACAAGGCACTAATATTAGAAAGACAGGCCCTAATGGCGTTGTTATATTCTGCGGGATATCCTTGTTACTGGGTAGTCTACTTCGGAGATCTAGATAGGGGAAAAAAGGCAGGGTCAATTACAATCATTGATATCGCATTGAATGGATATCGAAAGGCTGGATTCGATTTGGTTCGCCATGCTGGATCAGAGCAAAACAAACCTGAGCCAAATTGAGTATTTCTGTCCGATGATGACAGGAATGCATGTTCCCTCTGCTGGATTCGAGACCTTCGAGGTTTCAGGTCTGTATAGACCGAGAAGTCTAATAGCTGTATCTAAGACCTTGAAATTTGAGAACGTACCACCATGTCCAACGTTTGGTGCATCTAGAAGTGTGTGTGTTCTGTTGTTTGATATTAAACTATTTGTGCATTTAGATTCAATCACAGGCATGATCATTACTGCTTGGTCCGCTGAGTGACCAGCTCCGGACCAAAAACATCATCATCCTGACGGACGATTTGTTCTTGTTCCAATTTCCGCTTTTTCGCTAGGCGTTCTGTTTCGCTCTCAGAAGTGACAATTCCAGTGTCACTTTGAACAGTGGTAGATGGCTGGGCTGATTCCCGTTTCTGAGCGGCGGCCAGATTCACCTTCTCGGGGTTCTGACAATGATATAGTTTCTTTGCGATGCGCTTGAGGCTCTTCATTTGCGCGGGGTCTGAGGAGAGAGGTGTGTAGGATTGGAGAAGAGCAGAGCATTCACTCAAGACGTGATGCAGCTTGGAGCGGATTTCGTATAGAGGGTTCACCAGGCCATTTTCGTCTGTTTCAGGGGTAGGGATTGTGGCTGTGACAGGACCACCAAGTTTGACGTCTAGCAAAAACTCGGCTAGGGGACGATCTGCCAGTAAAAAGGCGGAAAACCAGATCTGGGATGGTGTGTACAAGAAGTAGGCGTCCGTCATCTGCGCAGCGGATTTCAGCAGCTCACGAGTTGTGCCATGGGCCCGAGCGATTCGATCTGACATTGAGGACGAGGGGACGGGAGGAGGTGCGATGGACAGCAATCCTTGTTGGAGATCTTCCGCGGTCTCATATGGTAAATGGGGGGCTGGCTGGCCTTGGCCTTGTGCGATGGCTTGTAGTTCCATGACGCCGCCTTCGAGTCCCCGGAACGGATGCCGTACATCAAAGGTGAAACGCAGTCCCTGCATGAGCAGGAATTCCGGTGCGATGACGTCCTCTGTCGTTGTGTCACCAGGGATTCCATCTGCAAATTGCCGAAGAGAGATATAGTAATTATCGGTTTTGGTCGCGACGAAGAGCGCACACGCCATGATCGACTTTGGATGGTATGTCATGGGTGAGTTGGTTAGGTAGAAGCGGCGGAGGTATTGGATCGCGGTGGCCTGTATGTGCAGAACGAGGAAAGTCAGCTTCTTAAGCTTTATTTGCAATGATTTTCAAGTAGAGCATGAAGCCCCCTAGAGCTTAACGTACCCGGACCATTGTCGGAATTGGTGGTTTGTATGTCTCTCCGAGCTCTAGTGTCTTCTCGCAGTAATACCGCACGAGAACGAGCTCCTCCTCCGGCGTCAAGCATTCGACATCCTTCTCATCTTTGTTCTTTATTTCCGTATTGCTTTCCGGTAGTGGTGTTCCCGCCGCGGAGGATGCGGTCGACTGATGAGTTTCGCGCGATCTGCGCAAAGCGGCGCGCACGCGCTCGCTGGCGACGGCATTCGTCGAGGCTCTGAGAGATTGCAGAGATGGCTCGGTGTATGACCACAATCGGTACTGGGACGAGGCACGGTAAATGTCGTCTTCAATCATGGTGCTGCTGCTCTTGACTTGGAAGAATCAAAGGCTCGAAACCTTTATTCTTAGGCGGAGACAACGGCCGGATGGTTAGAATATCACCAAAGAGTAACTATGAGCAGGTCGAGGTTGAAATTCCAGGGTCGTTCTAGGTATGAGAATAAGTATTCGACAATTATCAATGAGCCTAGCAAATAATCCACTTGGGTTGATCCGAGGGAGGTTCCAAGCTCAAAGCTGGTGCTTATCGATAACACCAACCCTCACTTCACCTGCAGTTCTGCCTGAAGGGACATCAAATCATTTCAAGGTTATATTGTTTTTTGATGTTATTTTATTGGATCAAATATCGATTAAAACCTATGGAACAAATATTTGACATGCATAAACCACCCAATGCAATCCATTCATATTCCATGACTTTCTGCCGCTTTTCATCCCGAGTCCACCACATACACCAGAATATACATCACTCACCGAGCAATCTGGTAGCAATATCACCCATACTACCTTCTTCCAACTCGTAGTCTTGACCTCCTCGTCGATCGGCACCGACATATCGGAAAGCAGCCACAACACGATCAACGTCGAAGCCCATGCTGGAGAAACGGTCGATCAAATTCTTGTTATATCCATCATATCTATAGATAATAGTCAGCAATCATATCCAATGAATGGTAGAAGAATGACTCACTTTGCAAGATCGTCTTCGGCAGCCCCTTGCCGGGTGTCATCTAGGCTTGAACCGCTTCCATTGTCAGCACTACCCGCGGGAGCTCCAGCATAGACGACTGCCCAGTCGCGTGCAACACGCTCAAACTCCTTGGGGGACTTGAGAAGCATATTAGCCACTTCAGCATCTTGGGGATCCTTGGGCTCGGGTGTGCTGAGCAATGATTGCAGCGAAAGCAGAGCGGACTTGATAGTCAGAACCGGTGACCAAGCGCTGGAAAGCGTGTCGAGGCAGATTGCACCCTAAATTTGCTATCAGAATCCAGTCTTTCTCATATGGATATTGCGAAGAGGGTACTGACCGTTTGGCTGCTGACATTTGGATGCCACACTTTGGTCTCAAACTTCATGGTAGGTGGGCGGAAAGGGTAGTCGGTGGGGATTTTGATATCGATATTGTAGGTGCCACCTTCATACGGGGTGCCGGGTGGCCCTGGAAATGAACCTCTCAGGTGGGTGACATCGTCCTGGTTACCAAATGGCTCGGCCTTGATTTGAGAGTGGGCATCGGCGTGAATGTCCGCAATCTCTTTTCCAATGCGACGCATACGATTGCTAGCCATGGTGATTCGGGGATTGTTTCAGAAAGAGGTCAAACAAGAGATGTTGAAAGATGGACCACTTTTTGTGTAAATTGTGGAGACAATTAGATCTATTTCCGCCTTGTCAAAGACCGCACAAGAGCGTGGAAACTGCCGTGGAGAGAAAGAAGAAGAAGACGGAGTGGGGCTAATAGTAGGAGGATGGAGTTAGGAAGGCCGAAGATAAAGTAGAGAATATCACACCCGGAGTACGAAATCCTCTAGGAAATTGAAAGCAACAAGATAAACGAGGATCTCACCAAAGGAGGGGAACTATACGGGGAATCAGTATGAGTGATGAGCTCAACACCTGTCACCTGTCACCTGTTCTATGAACCTGAGATATAGACCTCGGGAAAAAGCACGACTCTTAAGTCCGGGTTCCGTTAGGTAAATCTTAGTATAGAGCCTCAATGGAATATAAATTTCTTTTGATTGTCTTCGAGAATGTCGGAGGTACAAGCAAGGTGCCGATAAGACAGGCGTTAAGGCAATAAGGCGTGAATGACGCAGTGTCGGCCTGAGGCCTTAATAGTCACGTGTGGACCTAACAGCTTCCAGCTCGCCCAGCGTCTGACCTCCGACGATACCACCACATCTGCATTGACAATCCATCCCTTTCGACTTGTCTTTCTCATCTTTCAACACCACCTAAGGCTCGGGATCGACCCTACTTAGATTCCATTTACAACTTCACACCAGGGATTCTGATTGTCTCCCTCTCGGTGGCTGACAAACATGGTGAGTGTCCCAATCTTGCCAGCCTTTGGGAGGCCATCTCGATTTGCATTCTAACATTCAAAACTAGGGTCAACAGCAGTCTAATCTGGGCGGCGGCCCTGGAGGCGATGGACGCGATGACAAGGATAAGAAGGTATGTTTCTACTCGTTTCCTCTGCTACAGAAATGGCGCTAAGACCATCTTTCTTTCATCAGAAGGACAAGCCCAAATACGAACCTCCCCCACCACCTACCACTCGTCTTGGAAAGAAGAAGCGCAAGGCTGCCGGCCCAAGCACCGCCTCCAAGCTCCCCGATATCTACCCTACATCGCGATGCAAGCTACGATACCTTCGCATGCAGCGTATTCACGACCACCTGCTGTTAGAAGAAGAGTACGTCGAGAACATGGAACGAATGCGCAAGGCCAAGGCCCAGGCAACCCAGGATCCCGCCAGGGGAGGTGGTGACTTGGATGTGATGGATCGGAACGCTGATGAGCGGAGTCGAGTCGATGACATGCGAGGCAGCCCGATGGGTGTCGGAAACTTGGAAGAGTTGATTGATGATGACCATGCTATTGTCTCAAGTGCCACCGGCCCTGAGTACTACGTCTCGATCATGTCTTTCGTCGATAAAGATCTCCTCGAGCCGGGTGCCAGTATTCTTCTACACCACAAGTCAGTGTCTGTCGTCGGTGTATTGACAGAGGAGTCCGACCCCCTTGTCTCGGTGATGAAGTTGGACAAGGCGCCGACAGAATCATACGCCGATATTGGTGGTCTGGAGCAGCAAATCCAGGAAGTTCGAGAATCCGTGGAGCTGCCCTTGCTACACCCTGAGCTTTATGAAGAGATGGGTATCAAGCCCCCCAAGGGAGTGATTCTTTACGGTGCTCCAGGTACCGGAAAGACGCTACTTGCCAAGGCCGTTGCCAACCAGACCAGCGCAACCTTCCTCCGCATTGTTGGCAGTGAGCTGATCCAGAAGTATCTGGGTGATGGTCCCCGTCTGGTTCGCCAGATCTTCTCAGTTGCTGCTGACCATGCTCCAT